GCTCTGATATGAGAGCCCTGCGGGTCAGGTATTGTCAATTCCACTGATATGCAATTTGTTATTCAGCTGCAGCTGCAGTTTAATTGAAAAGCTCGTCTGTGTGTCTGGCACCATACATGCGCATAGACCTATGAGTAGCGTGCGTGCGCAATCGCTGAGGCCTCGTCTCGATAAAGCCGTGACAAGTGTGGAGTGATATAGATTGATGTTGTTTGCCGTCTACTCTCTACTCAAGAGCGCCGTGAGACCCATACCGCCCAGCATGAGGTAGCGGAGTGCAGGGTAGTCATTCATAGCGAGCGTCACCATACCCACATAGGGCATGAAACCATAGACAACACCAATGACATCCTCCTTGCGGTCTAGCGTGCGCTGCCCAGGCGCGTAGAGTGTCAGATCGTCGTCATTGTTGTTGTCGCCTTTGGTAAGAAGCTTCTGCGTTGGGCCGCGGTTTGGATCCACTTGGCTGAGAGGGTTGACACGATAGCCACGCACGCTTGCCTGCTGTCCCTTTGGCAACTTGGCCCGCGTCGTCCTTTTGTTGATAAGGCCCTGCACAAACTTGACTGACTTGCCTAGCTCATTGAGCGCCGACTGCGCTGAAATGTGGCTCTTGATGACGCGGTGAACAATGGGAATGGAGCGGTCCTGGATGTTGTAGACGACGATATCGCCAATGTCGACCGTTGTAGGCAGGTTTGTCAAGAAGAGCAAGTCGCCGCGCTGAAAGGCTGGTTCCATGGAGCCCGATAGGACGACCACGACAGGCGACTCGCAGTCCATGGCGAGGCTGAATGCCTTCCAGGCCATAAAGGCGGTGGTGCCAATGAGGCAGAGGTTGAGGAACTGCTGGAGCGCCTGCCTAACAGACAGCTTGCCCAGGTCCAGCATGATAAGATGTGTTGCTACAGAAGAAGTCGCGCTACGGAGACGTGTCCACTTTCAATTTGATTCAGCAGCAAGAACGCGGCGCCAAAATTGAGAGCGCGAGGACCAGAGACGCACGCGCTTGCCAAACAGGTACATGGGCACAGACAGCAGGCAGACACCCATCTGCGTGCAGCCCATGATGAGAAACATCTTCTTCACCCCGTCCCGGATGAGCCAGTCGAAGCCAGTGACTGTCAGCGCAAAGGCAAGCACATTCTTGACCACCACGAGGCTGATGAAGGCGTCCGTCGTGTGCTTCGGGTAGGCATCTGCAAAGTAGGTGCTCACTGCAACGCTGCTAAAGATGATGCTCGAGATGGCAAATCCAAACAAGACAGTCGGCACCAAGTAGTGCAGACTGAAGCTGTAGCCAAAGCCGAACAGACCAATAGCGGCGGTGACGGTAGTCGGTATCATGAGCCAGATGCGGTACTCGGCTTCGTAGATATTTGTCTTTTTGGAGAAGAAGCAAACAGCCCAATCACTTAGAAGACCTGCAACGGGGAAAGACACGAGAGCCCCTAGAAATGGCGCCGTATAGAGGTAGCCAATGCGTTCCATGCTGAAAAAGTAGGGATATGTTGCAAAGAGGGCAGCAATGACAGTAGCGAGCATGACTGACCAGGCAACCAGCAGACCAGCTGAGCAGACGCCCCAGAGAAAGGCCGGATGAAGGAGCATTATGAATGGCTTAGCCACCGAAAATAAGAAGGGATCGTCAGAATAGCGCACACGTGAAAACAAGGCCAGCTCGTGTCGTTGATGAGTGCCGGTCGAGACTTCCACCTGCGATGTCTGCACACCTTTACTCAAGTCATGAGACTCGACATCTTGAGGCGCTGCTTCCGTACGATTGTAGGCTGTCTCTGGACAATAAAGAACCAGCAGCGGCAGCAAAAGGCAGCTGAATCCAGCAATCAGCCCAAATGTCCAGCGCCAGGACAAGGATGCTGTAATTTTGCCCGTCAGGACTGGCGTCAAAAACGCAGCGCCAGTGTAAGCTAGCGCGTAGATTGCATAATACATGCCACGCTCGTGCACAAAGTACAGGTCTGCAACGACCACCGGCACGAGAGCCTCAAAGGGCATAACGCCAAAGCCTTGCAACAAACGCGCTCCGAGCAGAGAATTGTACGTCGCTGGTGCGGCTGCAGCCCAAACGCTGCCAGCGATCATCAGGATCAGTCCAATGACAAAGGTATGCCGCCTTCCGTAAATCTTGCAGGTCGCATTAAAGATGGGACCGCACAGAGCGACGGCGAGAACGTGCCACCCGGTGAGCATTGCGATGCGCGTGAATGTTGTGTGAAGGACACTAACAAAAACGAGGGTCGAAGTCGCTAGAATAGGATTGAGTGTTGCTGCGAGCACAGCACCGATGCAGAGGATGCCGAAGCAGAGGTCTTTCTTGTAGCGCGGCCAGTTGAGCGGGTCATTAGGTGAGCTACTGGGTACGGGGACTCTCGTCTTTGACTGCGCCTGCATCGCTGCATAGTCGATCGTCCCCGCGAGCATCGAGAGTTATGACTGCCTGTAGTGTAGCCAATGCGACGTGGCTGTAAGAGCTGCTGGTCAAAGCTTGTCTCTGTCGCGGTCTTGTCGCGTCTTGGACGCTTCAGATGGGAGCCACTCAATGGCACAGTGGCACTCATTCTATGTTAGGAGGTATTAAGAGATTGCTAGAGTACAAGCATACTTTACAAGCCTACATCATGGTCGAGGTCGGCGCATCATTGCCAAGCAGCTGGCGTAGCTTCATATTGGTTCGCACATCATTGACAATCGCCTCGCCCTCTTCATCATCCTCATCCTCGTCCTCGTCCTCAGAGATGTGGCCCGTGTCGCCGAGTCCAGAGGCCATCGGCATCCGGCTCATGTGACTCACAACCGAGCCTGATCGACTGCGTGTCGGGTGCAGCGCCATGCCAAAGCTCTCGACGGACCCTGTGTGGCTTTTGATGCTTGTGCTGGATCCATTGGGATGGCTAAAAATGCTGCGCATAAAACCGCTGCGCTTCTCACCTCGATCAGGCGTGTAGGCAGAAGCGCGTGATGAGGAGCGATCAGGCAGCAAAGAGAAGCGTGAGTTTGAGCGCGGTCTCTCTCGCCGCTGATCGAATGAAGTGCGTACATCAGGCGGGCCCATCGCGCGGCGTTGAAAGTGCGGGACGCTCGCGCCAGAAGCGTTTTCGCCAAACATGGCATACAACTTTGCTGCACGGCGCTGCTGTGATCTGCGCGCGGCATCGGCATCAGACTCTTGGCGCGACAGGAAGCTGCCCGTTGTGGTTTGCGAGAAGCGAGAGCCAATTGATAGGGTGGGCGATGGCGGGCGCAGACTGACAATGGATGGCTTGCGCGAAACAGGTTGCCGAAAGACTTTGGTTTGATCGAGCGCTGAAGATTCAAAGTCAAGCGGGACGGTGCGCGTCGACACGGAGCGCACTTCCTTACGCCTCTTGAGCTTTCCAAGCAAAGTTTCTTGATCCGGCGCCGTCCGAGCAATAGGTGAAAAGGATGAGGAAATAGGAGAAGACTGCGCACTTAAGGGATCATTGACCACAACATCGTGACCGAGCAAGCTGGACAGCTTTTTCGCGCGATCGCCAGTGTTCTTGACATTTTCTGGGCGGTCGCCGCTAGTGGAGACTTCCTCCAGTGTCTCCTCGTCTGCATCGACTTCGACCTCATCCTCTACTGGATCTGCAAGTCGAGCAGCACTAAGCGCCTCATCTGCAATCTGTTCGAGTCGCGCTTGTTCATTCGTTTGGGAAGGCAGTAGTGGCGAAGTCTTGAGCAGCTCGCCGTACAGGGCATTGCGTTTGGCTTGTCTGAGACGTTCTGGCCTGGTGAGCTGCTGTACTGGCACAGGCGCAAAGTACTGCTTTGTTGGTATTTGCCCTGGAAAGTATTGATCGCAGACTTGCCCGAGGATGGCTGCTTTGGTAGCCACCTCGGAACGCTCGCGTAGAGACAGAATCGTTGTGTCCTCTGGATCGAGTGCTTGCGTCAAGAGCGCCAGGAATTGTTCGCGCTCAGCAGACTGCCCCATAAACAGAAGTTCTGCCTTTTTGTAGACGTGTGGCCGGGCATGCTGAATCTGCTTGACACGAGCATTCTCACTGGACGTCTCAAAGGTATCGAGTGACCAAGCCAACAGCCCATCCTTGAGGAGTTGCCGCGCTTCCGTGATGCCAGATACTTCACGCGGTAGATTGAGCTTGAGAGGAGCATTCGACGACATGTAGAGCCGCTCAACATAATCTTCTGTGTAGTGGATACTTGTATCAAGCCAAAAAAGCACTTCAAGCAGTGTCCTCTTCTGCCGGCAGAAGCGCAAGAAGGCAAGCAAAGAAATGGCGTTACTGCTGAGTGTTGCGAGTCTGTAGGCAGAGGAAGTCGGGTCGCCCGAAGCCGGCAGTGTCGGCGATGACGAGCCACCACGCTCATGATGCATCTGGAGTAGACTGACTCGATTACGCGCCGCAGTGCGCCCGCTTGATGACGCAGACATGACGGATGGCGGCCGCCGTATCTGGATAAACTCCATCTGCGTGGGCGAGTGGATGAAGTTGGTGGGTGAGCTTGGCCTGCGCCCCAAGGCAAGCGTCTCTTCAATGGTCTCTTCAGTCATGGGCAGAACATAGACGCGCGAGTCGCTGTCGAGGACGTCGCCGACGATATCTGCCCAGCGAAGGACATTACTGCTCTCTTGGTCGATGAGACAGGCCACGACCAAGTTTCGCTCGGCGAGATTTGCCTCGATGACACGGGCAAGGGTCTGCAGGTCTGCCTGCTTGTGTATGGGGGTGGCGAACTCGAAGGGCGGCTGGTCCGGGATGGCGACGGTGACAGCGACGTGGATCTCCTGCGACTCTGAGTGTTTTATTTTCTCCTGGTAGTCTGCATGGTGGGAGGTGCCTGCGATGCGACTGAAGCCGACATAGACGACCTCTGGTGCGACGAGCATGGGCTGGGGTAAGGATGCGGGTGGCTATTGATGTTGGGTTGTTTGTGTTGCACCGAAGGAAGTATTTATTGGCAGTATTGACTTTGGTGCATTATGAGTGAAGCAGTGAGTGCATTTCAGTAACAGATCAGAACAGACTGAACTTGACCACATACACTCAGTCTCCTCTGATCCATCTTCCTTGACCACAGCATACACTCATTCTCTCCAATCCTTGACCACCATGCCCGCCAGCCTACCTGCGCGTCGCTCGTCCGCGTACCCCGTCCAGCTCTCGTCATAGACCACCGCATCCTCCACTCCCAGCGACTCGAGCGCAGCCTGCAGCACACACGCAGTCACCCCAGTTCCACAGGTCAGCACCACCCTCTTCCTCAGGTCGACATCAGCCTGTGCCAGCGCCTGCCTCAACTCCTCTGCGGGAAGCAGTGCACCGTCCCTAATGAGCTTGTTGAATGGCAGAGACTTGGCGCCAGGCATGTGCCCAGACGACAGCCCCGCGCGTGGCTCAGGTGCCTCCCCTGTGAAGCGCGCTGCTGGTCGTGCATCCACAATCTCGACATCCTTTGCCTTGATGCCTTGTATCAAGTCCTCAAAGCCAAGGACGCGCTCAGCATGGTAGACCGCGTCGCCATAGCTCCTCCCCTGAAACGCTGGCTCGCCCTCTTCTAAGGGCAGACCTGCAGCTTCATAGGCAGGCAGTCCACCTTCGAGCATCTTGACATCTCCCTTGTGCCCAAAGACCTGTAAAGTCCAGTACACCCTCGGTGCACTAAACAGGCCGTGCGTGTCGTAAATGACGAGTGCATCGTTCCGCGTCAGACCCAGCTTGCCCATCTCCCTCGAGAAGACCATTGCAGACGGCAGCATGTGCGGAAAGGGTGACTCCTTGTCACAGATGGTGTCGAGGTCAAAGAAGCGAGCATTCGGGATGCGCTTGTGGCGATACTCTTGCAGACCACTGCGCTGCACATTTGGCATGAACCAGCTCCCATCGATGGGGATATGCTTGCCAATGCCGCCTGGCTTGAGGAAGAGCGAGCGCGACATGGTCAGGCTGTCCAATGTATTCAGCAGCTGCCGGTACTGCAACTTGACCCAATCGCGGGCTGGATCCAGGCGTCTCGAGCTCCACAAGTAGTTGAAGTAGATCTGGTCGTCGCACTCTTCCTCGCTGCTCGACCTCAACCAGCAGCACCACAGTCTAGCTCCGCATGCTCCCGCCGTATCCATTCATCGAATTGTTTCCCGAGCTCAAAGGCAAGCGTATTGTTCTGTGCTCGGCATCACCCAGGCGCAAACAGCTCCTCGACCAGGTAGGTCTTCAAGTCGAGTGCATCACCTCAGACTTCCCCGAAAACATCGACAAGGACTCCGTCACGCCATGGGAATACGTCAGCAAGACAGCCACAGGCAAGGCACTCGCCGTATATGAGCGTATCTGCGATGACAAGAAGGAACCAAGTCTGCTTATCGCAGCCGACACGGTAGTTCTCTGTGGCCACAAAATCATGGAGAAGCCCAAGAACCAGGCAGATCAGCTCGAGATGCTCAAGCGGCTGCGTGCAGAGCCAGAGGGAGGTCACCGTGCCATCACGGCAGTTTGCATCATCACACCAGATGACGAGATGCCTGTTGCACCTGGCTATGTTCTCAAAACGCACGTCGAAGAAACGACTGTTGTCTTCGACAGTGAGCTCTCGGACGATTTGCTGCTGAGTTATGTCCAGAGCGGCGAGGGGCTTGATAAAGCAGGCGGGTACGGTATTCAAGGTCAAGGCGCGATACTCATCAAGCGCATCCTTGGTGATCACGGGGCCGTGGTCGGCCTGCCTCTCAATGCAACCTACCGCCTCATACAGAGCGTCCTCAACTACGATATATACGCTGAGGAGATCAACCTATAGCATTCCATCTCTTGTTGAGAAGATCAGGCTCCGTGAAGACCATTTGCATTGGCGACCTTGGACCAGCGCTCACTACGTATCGATGAGCTTTGGTGGCCTTCATCGGCTTTTATGGATGTGCGCATTCCCACAGATGGAGCTTTTGGCAAGAGCCCAAGGTTCATCACGCTCTTCTCACTGTATGACACTCCAAGCATTTTGATCAAGACCCATATCTTATACTTGGACTCAGCGGATTCACTGCTAAGAAGACTCGGATTGCCGTGCTCGTTTCGGTCTGAGCAACCTGGACATACTGAGAGATGCAGAGTGCTTCCTTCGTGTAAACAAGCAGAGTGCTTCCTTCGTGTAAACAAGCAGACGCTTCACACGTCGACCCTTTGGAGCAATCTGCTAGATCAATATCGCTCAACATGCAGGCACATTTCGTATGCTTTGACCACTCTGGCACAAGAGCCTCGTACACTAGACTCATGCCGCCAAGAACTTCCTCATCTTGTCATCACCCAATTGTAGCGGTGTCTTGCCATCTGCATCGAGCTTGTCTGCGTCTGCCCCTTGATCCACCAGGAATTGCGCAACATCTGCATGTCCCTCTGCACACGCATGATGCATCGGCGTCCAGCCACCAGCGTCGCTCGTACTCATTGGTGAGCCATTCGCCACAAGTCGTTGGACTATAGCAAGTGAGCCCACTGCTGCAGCTCTGTGTAGCGGCAACTGTCCCTGCCTATCCTTGATCCTGACAAGCTTCTTCCCTGCATCACTCGCAAGGAGCGTATCGACTGCCCAAATGAGCTGCTTACTGCACGCTGGATGCAGCAGCGTCTGTCCACCACGGTTGATTTGCGAGATGTCCACTGGCACCGCGAAAAGCATCTCTGAGACTTGCTGGTGCTTGGCCGCAATAGCAATCATGATGGGCGTCCATCCTCCCTCGTCCTGTGCATCTGCGTCTGCGCCATGGTCTAGCAACAAGCGGCAGAGTGCTGGGTTGCCGTGAACACATGCCCAATGAAGTGCTGTGCGCCCATCTTCGTCCTTGACGTCCACCTGCTGGTCAAGGAGCATTGCCTGAACAGCGACGAGATCCCCCTCGAGAGCCGCAGTATGCATCGACATGGCCGGTCCGTCTGTCGCTGGTGGCTACGGGTGCGCGTTGCGCGTCGTCCGTCTTGAGCCATGGTCCTACACTTCGACACTTCGCAGCTTCCCTTCCGTTTGGGCCAGTGCATCTCCGAGGGTAGCAGCTCTGCCATCTATGTGGCACAGAGAGAGGTAGCCGAAGTCTTTGCCGTCAAGGTCATCGATAAGACGGCCATCGTCGCCGAGGGAAGGCAGACGGCCAAGCAGGTAGACGGCGAGGCGACACTCCATAAAGCATGCGGCTCCAGTCAACACAGGCACATCGTCGACTTTCTACAAGCAGATCACCTCGACTCGGGTCATCTCTGGATTGCTATCGAGTATTGTACGGGCGGCGACCTCTTCGACAAGATCGAGCCAGACCTGGGCGTCGATGAGCAGCTTGCACATCTCTACTTTCGCCAGCTCCTCGACGGCCTCATCTTTATGCATGGCTTTGGCATCAGTCATCGAGACATCAAGCCAGAGAATATTCTCCTTGATGGCGACGGGCGTCTCAAGATTGCAGACTTTGGGCTCGCAGCCCTATATGCCCATCGAGGCCAACGGCGTACATTGAGTATGCTTCTACATTACCAGAGCAAAGCTAACGACAGACACCTCCTGCGGATCCCCGCCGTATGTTGCGCCTGAGATCCTAGGTACATATGACGGTGAGCTCGTTGACGTCTGGTCGACGGGAATCGTCTTGTTTGCTCTGTGTCTCGGTGCAACGCCGTGGAACCAGCCTGCAGCTGAAGATGATCTCTTTCGCCAGTTTGCGAGGTCCAAGGGCCGGCCAGACTATGCTCCGTGGAAAAGACTTCCGCTCGGCGTGTACAATTTGCTGCAAGGTATGCTCGAAATCAATCCCAAGAAGAGATACACGTTCGCGGATGTTAGGGCACATTCATGGACAGCGCAAAAGGCTATAGATCTTGATCCACTCGATATTGCCAACAGACTCATGTCCAAGATGCACGTTGATTTGCAAGTGCCAATCAAGCAAAGCATGTCACAGTCCTCGGCTCCTATTATGGAGATGACGCCATCGCAAGCACCAGTACGCTCGCAAATCGCGTTTGAAGATGACCCTTCGCTGTCTCAGTTTGCTGGGACAGCCATCCTCGAGAGCTTGACGCAGCGGGCGAGACGATTTGCTGATATAACGGGTTCGGACCGTCTGACAAAGTTCTATTCGACCTGGCCCATCGCAGAGATGTTCGAACTGTTGCTTCGAGCAGTGGAGGAGCTCGCATTTCAAACGAGGCTGGGGGAGATGTGTGTTACTGTTGCGGCTGAAGACAGACGTGGCATGCAGCTCTGGGGCACATTGAGCTGCTACAGCGTGCACACAAGCCAAGGCGAGATGACACTGGTGGACTTTGCGAAGCGCAAGGGAGATCCACAAGAGTGGCGCGTCCTATTCAAATTGGTGGCTCGTCTTTGCAGAGATGCCATCTTTGTGGGCTGATATAGTATACAAATCCTGGACAGAAGTAGATAATGTAGAGTGTGCCTGACGCCAGAATCGCTGCGTCCATCTGATCATCCACAGACCGTTAACGACGCCTGCTCCAGAGCACTTTCGTCTTCTACTGGACACAAGATGGACAGTCTGCATAGCCTAGATAAGGAGACCTCGGTTATCAGACTCAAAAATGCAGGCTTGACAGTCTTTCCCGACGAGCTGCTCCAATTTTCTCAGCTCGAGCTCCTTGACTTGTCTGGTAATCCGCTATGCTCTCTCCCAGCAGACTTTGCTCACAAGCTACCAAAGCTCAAGGTCTGCTTTCTATCAGACTGCAAGTTTGTGACATTTCCTAAGCTATCCGAATGTCCAGTTTTAGAAATGGTGGCCTTCAAGGGCAACGGTATGCAAACCGTACCAGAAGATGCATTGCCACCCAGTTTGCGATGGCTCATCCTCACAAACAATGCCATCACAGCGTTACCATCGAGCATAGGGCGATGCACGCGACTTGAAAAGTGCATGCTCGCTGGAAATCAGCTGACCGACCTGCCACATTCAATGGCTAACCTCAAGCGGCTTGGTCTCTTGCGTTTATCTGCCAACAAGCTTGCGTCTCTGCCATCGTGGCTCTTTGAGCTTCCTTCACTATGCTGGTTAGCTTTTGCAGGAAATCCTTGCTCTCAAAGGTCCAAGGCTCGACTTTCAGAACTACCCTGGGACACTCTGGTGGTACAGCACATTCTTGGCGAAGGCGCTTCAGGTGTCATTTCCAAAGCAAAACTCGGAGAGAAGGAAGTGGCGGTCAAGGTCTTCAAAGGTGAAGTCACGAGCGATGGAGCACCCTCTGACGAAATGGATGCGTGTATCGCCGCAGGGTCGCATCCACACCTCATCGATCCTCTAGCAAGCGTCCTCAATCATCCAGGTGGCAGGAGAGGACTGGTGCTTGAGCTTGTTCCGCCGACTTATACCAATCTAGGCCTTCCGCCGTCCATGACATCGTGCACGAGGGACAACTTCAGCCGTCGATTGTCCAAGGCAGATGCACTTTCTATTCTGCGCGGTATCGCTGCCGCCGCTGTACATCTACACAGGCGAGGCATCGCTCACGGTGATTTATACGCACACAACATCTTGGTTGATGATCATGGACATGCCTTTTTTGGAGACTTTGGTGCAGCCACTTTGTACGGCGATTGGCCGATGGAGAAGCTGGAGGTAAAGGCATTTGGGTGGCTTGTGGACGACCTCATGTCCATCAGTGAACTTGAGTTGAGCACATTGAGAGACGCCTGTACGACTTCGGTCGTTTCTTTGAGGCCGACCTTTGTAGAGATAGAGTCGCAGCTTGGGCCATAGAATCCATCTCGTCCGAAGATGACGTCCAAGATCGCCAGAGAGATCAGCCTCAGCCTACAAGAGCCATGGCAACCAATAACGGCTACCATACAGTCTGTACTGGCAATGCCGCAGAGACTGCAGAGAATCATCGCGCTGCTGATGACACTACAGAGTTTGAGCTCTTTGGCGCTTGTTTCTGCCCTTTTGTCCAGCGAGTTTGGATTCAGCTTGAGCTACTTGACATCAACTACATCTACCGTGAAGTAGACCCTTATGCAAAGCCCGCTGAACTCTTGGTAGACAATCCCAAGGGCTTAGTGCCTTGCATGCAGCACTACTTTGACAACCAAACATTTCGTATTACGGAAAGCACAGTCATTATGGATTATGTGGAAGACGTCCACTCAGCGCTTTATAAGGACAAGACGCCTCAGCAGAAGGCGATTGTCAGGTTGCGAGCATATTTCGTGAATAATACTTTTGTGCCGAGCTTCTATCGTTTCCTGCAGGCAACGACGCCAGAAGGCCAAGTGGAGCATGGCAAAGCGTTCGCAGACAATCTAGGGAAGCTGTTATCTTGGGCGGACTCAGAGGGCCCTTTCTTCATGGGATTACAGCTTGGTTACCTTGATGTTCTCGTGGCTCCATGGCTGCTGCGTATCAGACGTGTACTGAAGCCCTACCGTGACTTTGATGTCTCGTCGCCACGCTATGTCAAGTGGATAGATGCTCTAGAGTCCCATGCTGCAGTCGCGGCAACGATTTCCACTGATGACTTGTATCTGGACTCTTACAAGCGATACGCTGAGAACAGACCCAACACCAGTCAAGTGGCAAACGCCATCAATGCGGGCCATGCATTGCCATGAACTTTACATATAGTAGCTTTTCATCCAAGTTCAGCCTAGACAAGCTACGATGCTTTCAATAGGATAATCGTATGCGTACACTGCATCCAGAAAGAACTTTGGGACGCAGCATTTCAGATGAGCAGATGACTGTAGTCATCAATAATTTGCCAGTCTACCTCGGCTGAAGCCCGCTAGATCTACCTGCAGCTACATGTCTCTGATGCGTCTTTGCAGCTTCTGCGTTTCGATACGCAACTCGCTCGCGACAGCACCCTGTGCATTACCAAGTAGCCTTTCTGACCGCTTAAGCGCATCTGACGCCCTTTCGACGGGGAAGCTCTGTCCGGGTGTATCGTAGTACCGCAGAGTACCAGGACGCATGGAGACTTCGACCCAACGCAACAGCAATGCGAGTGTCTCGCCAATCAGATGAACTGTTGCTTGCTTTGCTTGCCAAGCAGGCTGCAGGTACAAGTCTTCCAGCACGGCAAAGAGTGCTTCGTGCGGTGCTTCTGCTTCCAGTAGAACTTCTACAGCCCAGCCTCGCGGCGCCTCGCCCTTTTGCCGTTGTAGGTGGTACCGTTCGAGCATAGGCAGTAGCTCTTCCAGCGAAAAAACGACTTCATCTGCACCAAAGCGTCTACCAAGCTGACGTACCTTGTTGCCGACTCTTTCAAAGGGCGCGGGGCCCCCTTGCTCGTCTGCAAGCTCATGTTCGCGCTCAAGCAATTTCTCCCAACAACTGCGAATTTCCAGTGTGCCCCGATACCCAGCGGCTTGAAAAATGGCAAGACACACCTCGCCGTAGCCCAGTGGATCGGCGAATTGGTTGAAAAGATCTGTTAGCGGGACCAATTTACCATCGAGCTTTGCGATGAGCTCAGCCTTTTTATCCTCTCTCAAACGCGTGTCATTGCGCAAGCTATTCAACAAATCATCTTGGATGCCCATGACATCAAGCTCCTCGCTAATGACTTCCAGCAGCTGAGCAGCACCATCTTGTGTTGCCACACAAGCCAGGAAGCTTTTTGCCTGACTGAGGTACTCGATTCGCTGCTCAAGTGGCAAATCATAACCGCTGCGAGAGATGTTATGCAACACTTTGGCTGCATCAAGATAGGCCTGCCGACGCGCATGATAATGCCAAAGCAAGTTGGCAAAAGCCAGACTCGATTGCGCCTTGCGACGCAAGTAAGGTTCAATGAATGGACTTGAGATCTCAAGCAGCCGCTCCTGCAGGTTGCGCGACACGTACCAGTCATAGAAAAGGTTATGGAACAGTGCATCAGAAGAACTACCAATGACGGCATATGCGGCATCACGCAAAGATGACAAGGGCGACACATGCGAAGACCCAGCATAAGCAGAATCTTGCGCTGCAAAGGCACCTTCAAGCTTGTCGAGGGTTGCAAACATGAATGTGTAGCACTGCTCGCGCTTTGCAAAGAATGCAGCGCGCGCATCATTCTCTGGCTTGCCATCTTGCATGTAGCCAAGAGCCACATCGGATGGGTCTGACGCGTGCGCCACAGAGAAGGCAAGTTCCAGCGCTCCTGCATAGAATTGCATCTGTTCAAACTCCTCCATTGTATCACGCAAGTTGTCGAGTGACAGTGTTGCTGCGGCGTGCTGGAAGAGCCGCAGGCACTCACGCAGAATGCGTTCGCGTTCGCCGACTGTCGGCGCATCTCTCGCACGCTTTAATTGTTCAATGGCCTTGTATAGCACCACATCATCAGAAGAGCAGAAGGATCCACATCGCTTTTGCAGCGTCTCGCTCACTGATTCGACGGTACCTCCTTGAGCGATGCGTCGGTTAACAATGGCAGTAACGAGTTCTTTGGCAATATCTTGGCCTTTTTGAGATGTCAGCAGCTCCTCAAAGGTCAATTTGATGGCATCTTGCTGCACAGCGGGAGGGACAGATCGAAGAATATCTGTCATCTTGCCTTCTGGACTGTCGCTCAAGACTTGAATAAAGCTGAGACACTCAATAATTTGCACAATGAGCGTAAGAAGCGCATGCATGCCGCGATGTTCAGCCTGCAACACAATCTCTTCTTGACGGTTTGTTGTGCCAAGGAGACGCTCTGGTCCTGCAAGCCCTTCAATGGCATGCTTGTTGGCTTCAAGAAATTGACGGAGGCTGATGATGCGGCTTTGCACAGTTTGCAGCGTGCTTTCCGACAAGGAGGAAACATACTCACCAGGCACTATTTGACGCATGATGGGCAGTCGCCAGAAGGAAGCTACCGTGCGTGCGACGTACAATGCAACGCCATCATGCCGACCAGACAGACGGACCATCTCAAGCGTCGGTAATGTGGCCTGCCCGGCATCTGCGAAATGGCGATGTAGATTTTCATCCACAAAGGCCTTGCCACCGAATTCGATAAAGTAGCGTCGACTCGTTTCGAGAACTTGCGAGGCAGTCAATCGACTGTTGTACTGAATACCACCTGCTGTAGCTTCGTCGACATCTGTACCATCCAAGCCACCGCAAATAACTCCCAGGCACGTCGCACAACCTTCAGCGCGACCGATATTTTCAAAGAAGAGGCGCATTTCGGCTTCGATGCCTCCTGCGGCAGAGGGTGCGTGCCGTAGTGCACTGGCAAAGACTTCTGTAGTTCTGCGACGCTTGATGATGTGCACGCCAGTATTGGTAAGTACAGCAAAAGAAGCGGGCGGCAGTGTGAATTGTGTTATTAGCTCGGCACCGATACCAGAGGCTGTGGAGGATGCTTGCTGAATAGCACAGACATCCTGAACAAAACCTTCAATGGGCAGCCAGCAGCAAGATTCAGAAAGTAAAGGCCGCGTATTGCCAGCTGAAAACTGCAATGCCAGTTTGTCGGCTTCGGGCGCACATCCCAAGAGTCGGTCGCCTGGTGTGGCAGGATCATTGCTCTTAGCCACATCAAAAAATAAGTGCGGCGAAAAGAGCTGAGCGCGTGTTGTATTGGCCAAAACTTGGGATGTCTGTGCAGTCTGGCTTGATTGTGCATTGGGAGCGGGCAGTGCATTGGGAGCAGTGAGACTGAGTTGAGGCGGCGCTCGCGGTGTCTGCGTATGTGGAGCGGGTGGATAGCGGACATGGGAAACTTGCAGGGAAGACATGCGAGCAGAGGCGCTATTAAAGCCCGATGCGGACGAGCGCATGTAGAGTCTGCAGCCGGTACTCGTTACTGCAACGAGATATATTTGCTTCGAGTCGCTTGCTGGAATTGGACAAAGCGAGACGATGCTTGTTGAGCGTGGATCGAGTAGTGGTGAAGCTGCATTGATCATTTGGGCATGTGAAGCAGCACTGGAAATAGTGTAAGTAGCACACAACGACAAGCTAGCGGGCTCTTCAATTGCATACGCTCTGATGGTAGACTTTGAAGAGAGAGTGTATAGCAGCTTGCGTGAGTTGTCTACCACAAGCTGGACGAGATGTTCAGTGGCCTTTGTTGCGAGTGCAGGGATGAAATTGTCAAAAGCCGAGCCTGTCAAGTTGACCTTGCTGCATCGCCGTGAGAACCAGCCTTCATCTGCTTGATATCGTAGCTCATAGACATGTGCGTCTGCCTTACCGGCAAAGAATATGCGGCCTGAGTCCGTGCTGCATATACAATTGACGTCGATGCCAGTGACGGGGACACTCATTCGTGTCGCGTAGAATTGCATCTCTCCCTTGTGGTTTTTTGGGCTCGCTACGCCGAGCAGCAGGATATCGTAGGGTGTTGCCAGCACAAGGAGATGCGTGATTGCATCGACAAAGACGCCGCCCCGCGGTCTTACTAGAGCCACGGCAGTCAACGTATGTGGATGATCCTCATACGCTTGAAAGTCCTGCCCGTCTGCGTAGTTCCAGAGATACAGCCTGTTGTCGACTGTGATCCATGCGCGCTGAATGTCACCAAACAAGCCCATCTGTGTGTAGCATTCTGTCGAGTTGTACTGCTCAAAGATGGTGTCTGGAATATTGACAATCTCGCTGCGTGCAAAAGGCTGCCACGCAGGGGCCGTTTGCCAGGTATACTCGGTCGAGGATCCTTCTAGAGGGGTCAGAAAAGCGCGTCTAAAAGATGCGAAGGAGGCTTACGACTCAGAATATCGCCTAACTCGGGCCAAGCTTGGTCTTGCGCGAGGCATTGATTGATGGCCTGGTTGCCTCGAGTCAATGCAGCTGCTCTCGCCGACTGCTGCGGCTGTATGGCTTGTGGTTGTTGCTGCTGCTGCTGCTGAGACGAGACTTGTCCTTGGCCTTGCTGCTGCTGCTGTTGCTGCTGCTGTGGCTTTTGGACAGCCGCCCCTGTAGCCTGAGCAGGCGATTGAGCATGCTGCTGCCTCTGGACCTGCACCTGGCTCGGCATCTCTGCTCGCGTCCTTGTGCTTGAGTGTCTGTGTCTTTTGGTTGTCGCCAAAAACCAAATTTGAGAATCCAGGAGCAGAAGCTGGACGTAGCTGGCTAGTACGTGCTTCAGCAGTATATGTACAGAGGAGATGTCTATAGAGTCATACAGAGGAAGAGTCGGATCATAAAAGACTCCTATCCCTTGAGCACGCCGGCAAGACCAAAGATACCCGTCCCCCGCCGCCGACACTCTGCCACTTGCCACTCAAGGACAATGGGCAAGAAGGTATACAAGTCAAAGTCCGGCCAAAAGACATCCACAAAGCGGATCATGGTTCGCTTACCCGCTTGCCAGAGCAGGAAGTCACTCAGTCGTTCAACGCCAGACGTGCGAATCAAGATATCCGGGTCAGGACACCCGACCGTCATGAGCTGCTCTTCAAAGTCAGCTTCTGTGAGTGCTTCAATCTGCTGGGCTGTCATTTCCCCACGCTCTGCTCGAGCGACGAGCTTGCTGATTGCCGAAGTCATCTCGTCGCGCGAGGTATAGGGGAAACAGACATTGAGGGTCGCTCGTGTATTGTCCTTCGTCATTTCCTCGGCCCTGTTCATCTCCCGTTGTACATCCTCACTCACAAGCCCTTGCTGGCCCAAGATGCGTATGCGGATATCATACTGTTGCGCAATATCGCCATGTTGACACAGCGTCAGTAGATTGTTCTTTGCCATTTCCATGAGTACATCCACTTCATACTTGCTGCGCTTGAAGTTCTCTATACTGAAGGCGTAGATGGTCACGGTCTCAACGCCCGCTTTGTAACACACCTCCAAGACGCCCTTGAGCGATTCAAACCCAAGCGCATGTCCCTCTGCCGTTTCGAGTCGGTTCTTGCGTGCATACCGGCGGTTGCCATCCATGACCAGTGCGATGTGTCTGGGCACAGGGCCGCAGCTGAGGGCATTGATGAGCATTGTCTCGAACTGCGTCTTGCACCATAGCAGCGGCGGGAATCGCAGCAGCCAGTCAAGCGAGTTGCCCATGGCTATTGATGTTGAATAGGAGAGTGATTTGGTGGAAGTCTACAAATTTGATGTCTACCAAACAAGCAGTGAAGCTACACATAAAAGCACAGGTTGATGAGGATGATGATGATGAAAGGCCTCGCGCAGTCGACTGGAAGGAAGCAGGAAAAGGCAAAAATACTCAACGGATTGTCATGCCAGCGCGCATCTCCTTTGCGCCGCGCTCATGCTCAGCCGTGCGTCGTTTTGCCTCAAACACCTTCCAAAACTTGAGATTCTCATCTGAGGAGGTCGTTGCTAGAGTCGTGCCATCCGGTGACAAGCAGGCATGCAAGACACGCGCATCATGAGCAGGGATATCCACCACTTTGCTGAGTGTGTTGTTTTGTACACTGTGCACCGTGATTTGATTGTCTGGGAATCCATGCGTAGAGACAATTTCGCGATGCGCAGGAGACCAAGTCAGACTCGTGACTTGCGAGGTACAGTTCATCGTAGATAGACGTGCACCACTTGTACTGCTGAAGAAGTGAATGTTTCTGTCTGATGAACCACCACCTGTGGCCAAGAGGGATGTGTTCCAGGGGCACCACGCAAGTGCCTTGACGGCTGCTGTGTGATTGGTCTTTGTGAACTTGGGAATAGAGGAGCGTGCGTCCCAAATGTTGACGACATTGTCGTTGCCTCCTGAAGCTAGCTGTTGACCATCAGCGCGCCACGCAAGACCGCACACTTCGCTAGCGTGGTTGTTGAAGGAAGCAACGTGGTGCTGCTGAATACGCACATCCGAGCTGTGAATCTGGCCGTTGCGTGCACCAGACGTGAGCAAGTGGTTGTTCCAGGACATGGAGGCCACGCGGGCGTCATGGCCGAGGAGTGTACGAAGACGCGTGCCGGTCTCGGCATCGTAGATGGAACGCGTACCATCCGACAGACCAACGCCGAGATGGCTGCCATCAGGCGCCCACTTGATGCTGGCAATGTAGTTGGATGCATCGCAATCGAGCAGAGAGGAGACGCTGCCAGTCTCTGCGTTCCAGACATACACAGACTTTTCCAATGCAATGGCTACACAGTTGCTGCTCGACCAGTCGAGCAAATTGAGGTAGTAGTCATCAATCAAGCCAGGTGCGTCCAGCACACGCTCAGGCACAGTATTGATGCGACGCTTGACAGTTGCAGTGTTGACGGGACGCAGAGGCCGGTTGTACTGTGCATTGAGGAGCACGGGGGCTTTTGACTCCGGTGCTTCTGGCTTGAATGCCAAGATGCGTTGGTTGAGAGCAATACCGCAAGCCTCTGCTACTTGTGAGGAGTAGGCCAGGTCTGAAAAGCTAGCACTGGATGCACCCGTGTATGCAGTAGCCGGTGCCGTTCTTGGTTCTGCATTGAGTTTTGCGGTGGCTGGATTTGCACGGCCGATGAACCGGTCACCGGCGCCGTGACCCTTGACCTGCCTCTTTGCATGCTTGTTGGGTGTTCCCGTGCCTGTGAGTGTCCAGTCTGAAGCAACGCGATCGAGCTTGAAGGGAGAAGCGCGCTTGAGGGTGGATTTTGGGGTCGCTTGGCGAGCGAGTTGCCGTGCAATGTTGACGTTGCGGGGAGTGAGGGGCGATCCTGGGCCTGCGAGGATGCTTGAGAGGGATGTAGACTGGCGTTGGGGTGTGAAGAGGGACATGTTGTGTATGCGAGGATGTAGATGTGATTTCTAGTGTTTCCAAACGAAGGACAGAGACCGGCTCGTCCGCGGGAGAGGATGTAAAAGCACAAAGAGAGGAGGAGAGTGAGGAGCAGAGAGCACAAGGACCAGCCAAGTAGCTTTTGATGAGGAGTGGAGTAGAGCAGTAGAGCAGCAGAGAAGTTGTTGGGCAGCAGCAGAATGTTGACAACGAGCGTGGGAAAAGTAAACAAGGCAACGAGACAGGAATGTGAGGTCATCGGCGGAAGGGAAGAGAGAGATGGTGAAAGGGATGGTATTTAATAAGAGGGTGGATGTAGCGTATTCTAGCAGCATACTGTATATGCTATTAGATATCATTTAGTGACTGTCACTTTTCATCTATGTCCATCCCATCTCGTCATTCTTCTGCCCAACTGCTACTCAGTGTACTCAGTGTTCTCAATATCCTTAGTGTAGTCAGTGTACTCAGTGTTCTCTCTGTACTCAGTGTATCCAGTGTACTCGGTGTATTCAATATACTCAGTGTACTCAGTGACTCAGTTTACTCACCACCTGGCAGCTATACTACAGCTGTACTACTGCTCAATTAGCTCCTACCACTATCTATACTAGCTGTCCGCTCGAATGGACAAAGATCCACCAGACATGCTCTCCTCCTCCAGCTCCTCTGATGATGATCTAGCCAACTACCGTCCTAGCCAGCGTATAGCAGTGACTGGCCAAGTACTGGACACTGCTGCCACCCAAGACTACACAGCTGAACAAATACAGGCAGCAGATAGAAGGCATGCCCGTCGCAAGCTCAGGGCAGAAGTCAAAAACTACAGGACTCTCCTCTCTTCCCTTACTGCACTCGAAAAGCAAGACACAGCCAGGCATCTCCTTCAATTCCACCTCGTAAAACGGCAATTGCCACCAGAGAGACTCGTTGTGCTCAGTCAAGGCAAGCGTCATCATGTACGCCTCAACTGGACACGGTGGCCACTCCCAGCCGCCGATCTCAACCTTGGGCCTGATGACTTACAAGAAGAGTTGCGCGCACTTGTCGAGCGTGAGCACGCAAAGCAAGCAATTCAAGCAGGTCTCGTCCCATCAGATGAAGAAATCCCGGGCTCTGCGATGATAGTGGGACAACTGAGACGCTTTGTCCAAGACACAATGCTCAATGTCGCCAAGCAGGTTCAGTCACACACAAAACTCACGCAGCTCAAACGCATGCAGCCGAAAACCTGGAAGACTGTGATTGACTGCTTTCCTGTCAAGAAGCTTCCAGAGTCCGTGCACGATGAAATTGCTCAGCGCTGTCGACAGCTGTTTGGCACCACAGAAGAGACAGATGAGGCCTCCTCTCTCGATCTTTCCGACGAAGGAGGATCCACGGAATCAGCAAGAGCAGAGTCTGAGCAAATGGACTCTGATACCAGCCATGCCAGCACATCTTCAAGAGACTCAGACTCTGCATCACAGTCTCGTGAAGATGGCAGCGACAGGAGCTCACCAGCCACGCCGTGAAGTGTGGCGGTGCGAATTTCGAAAATTTTGGTCGCAAACGAAGAATTCAACACATTTGCAATTGTCAACTTGCCTGTGCCCCAGGATGTCTGTTGTCGGCTCTCTCATCTTTTGTACAGGCTGCGGCACCCTCCTCGACCCGCCTACGTCCACGGCCTTGACCTGTACAGGCTGTGGTGCCTCCTTCCCATCCGCTCAGTTCAAGAGCCTCTCTGTCACAACGCGCTCTGCTCCCGGCGCATTCCCGTCCGTCCTCAAGCAGAAACGCAGTGTCGTGCATGTGCCAGTACCCTCAACAGATGATCCGGAAGGACTCGGCGAGCAACATGGTGGTAATACAGAAGGAAGAGCCACCATTGAAGAAAAGTGCGTCAAGTGTGGAAACGAGCAAATGACCTTCTTCACACTACAGCTGCGGTCGGCGGATGAGGGATCTACAGTCTTCTACGAGTGCCCACGCTGTGCATACCGCTTCTCGACCAACAATTGATTCTATTTATGCCAAGGAAGAAAAGAAATGCGTCAAAGCAACAGACTTACCGGCATATCTTGGGGAAAGGGTCTTTGGCGGACAGCACAACCATGCTCCTCTCACGCGAGATGTAGCCCTTCATGAACCCACCAGCAATCAAGTTAGCCAGAATGCACTCGGCCTCTTCATCATCAAACGGCAACGGCTCTGCATTAATCTCTTTCGCAAAGACATCCGTCAGTCGATCCATCAGAGCCTTGGGCGACTCTGCTTTGCTCTTCTTGTCGCCATCCAGCTTTGCAACAAGTTTTGCACGCTGTCGTGCGTTCTGTGTGCGTTCAAGTTGATAGCCCAAGTTGAGGGCCGTGGTAAACATGGCCACTTGAATACGCGTTTGTCGATCTCGCTGTAGGTAAACTTTTCTCGCTAGTGTTCGTAGGCAAAGTGGTCGACATCGCTCGAGTGTCAGATAGAGTCGTCTGCCAATCAGTTGCGTTTCTTGCTTCCGCAGTGCTACGTCAAAGGCTGCTGGGTTGCCTGCTCGAATCGCCGCAATCACTGGAAGGAACAATGTCGAAAGAGTCGGGAACTTGCGAAGGAGCTGAACAGAGGGTAAGTGTCGTGAAGTCATAAGGGTCGCTGGAATCAAATAGCTAAAGATTAGTTCAACATTCTTGGGCGCTCTCGCTGTACAGGCCTGGAGCGCCCGTTGCAGCTCCACTTGAGCACTTGGATAGTCGCCATTCATAAAGAGCGAGACACCAAGGTAGTACTGCCACGTCACGAGGTGCGCTTTGGGGAAATACTGCAAGGAAGGCAGCTCGCTCACCTCGACGGCGCGCAGTACATTCTTGGTGAGACTCAGGTTGTTGAGCTTGAAGTAAGTCTTGAAGAGGATACCAAGCACGGCATACGTGCCCCATTTCCTAGACTGCGCCATGGGTGCGCGATCATTGATACAGATGGTGAAGGCCTTGTTGATGAGTCGAGCAGCTTCCTCCAGGTGTTCTTCTTGGTTGCCTTGTGTTCTGCAGTAGGCATCGGCACGCATAGCAAGGACGCGAATGTCCCGACATGCACCAAATAAGACAGGTAGCTGCCATGCCTCCCACTCATTGAATGCGCGAATGATGGCTTGCATCAGTCCACTCGCCTGCTCAAAGGCCTCAACCGCATGCGTCGCATCGGCAAGGCATTTCGCAGTCCGCCAAAATCCCTGAACAGTCTCTGTCCAGGTGAACAAGGTGCTCACTGCAATCTCCTGCTCTTCGCGCAAGTCAGTCGTGTATCGAAGGATCTTTGCGTCAATCAGCCGATGGAGGAACGGGTTCTTTTGTCGATCAGTCAAGGAAAGGAGACATTCCAGTCGCAGGCCTTGCTTTTGGTAGATGGCCGTGTTGAGTGCAAGTAGATAGGTTGTTAATGAGCCATACTCGACGGCATTTGGGTCCATGCAATCACCCTAGGTGACCTTGCAACGTTTGTGCTGGTGGTGTGTCTGCGATGTCGGTGCTGTCTGGTCAAAGATTCACGAACGAACCACCAAGCCTCACCAAGTCTCAATATTGCTGTTACAATGTATAGATGACGCTACATGCTTTGGACTTGCCCAATCTGAGGCAAAAGCCTACGCAAGCCCTTCTTGCCACTACGCTCGCTGGACTCGAACGACCGCCAGCTACTTTCCTGACTCCCCTTGCGCCGCCACTCGACCAAGGTACAGTGCACTGGCTCACGCGGCTCATCGCATCTGATCTGTCCTACCTAGATGATGGCGACACGCTTCTCGACCATGCGAGCGCTTTGCTGGCGGCGAACTGCGGGCGACAAGCCATGCCAGCAATGACCCGCACCTTTGACATTGCAGGTCATCAATTTGCTTTGCATGAGCCTACCTTGACTGGCGATAGTCTTGGCCTTAAGACTTGGGGCACTTCATTCTTGCTCTCCCGTCTACTACCAAAGATCCTGTCTTCTCTTGTGACAGGCGGCTGCATCAAGACTGCTCTTGAGTTAGGTGCAGGCACAGGACTCGTTGGCATCGCAGCTCAAAAGTTGCTTGACATACAAGTAACCTTGACCGACTACCTCGACGATATTAATGAAAACCTTGCGTCGAATGCAGAGCGAAACAACGTCACTTGCAGGACGTGTTGGCTAGATTGGCGCGAGCCAGACAAATCGCTAGTAGCTGACGAGACATTTGACCTAGTCTTGGCCAGTGATTTCATGTACTCGAGCGAGCATGCGGACCTTGTTGCGAAGATGCTGACTCGCTTTGTGCGTCAAGGTGGATATGCGCTGCTTGCTTATCCGAAGCGATCCAGTAACCACGACTTCATTCAGTCCTTTCATGCACAACTTGACCCAAGCTTCACAATTCAACAGCAGGGTACTCTCTTTGGTTTCGATGACTGGGCCGGTGACGACGAAGTGGAATGCCCCTGGTTCTTGCTTCACCGATAAATGAGCTGCAGCGAGCCTGCACGTTTCAGCTCTGCTAGCAAATCGACTGGCGACCTTTTGAGCATGACCGAGAGCTCGTCTAGATGACGTGTACCATCAGCCCATTCTGACACTTCGCCCTCGATACATTGGTCTTTGACCAAGTAAGGAAAGGTATGCACTCGGTACAGGAAACCCTTGATGACCCCAAACGTAATGAAGCGACGAATATCGATGCCTTGTAGTCCGCCAGCATTGACTGTGATCCACTCTCGCAGCGACTTGCCACTCTTGAGGGATGCGTAGAGCGCGAATACTACGGCAAAGGAGAGATCTTCTTCGCGCGAGATGTAGGCAAGACATTCAGCTTGCATGCCGTCGTCAATAGTCAAGAGGCTCAATTCTGGCGTTGTAGCATACATGCCACCAAACTGAAAGATGTCTGTTGTTATAAGACAACCATAGTAATAGAGGTGCTGCATGGCTCTTGCAACCAAGTTTGGATCGACATCGCTGAGTTCGGCGATGCGTCTAACAGAAGAGACGCCGTCAATATGGGGGATGACTCGCTGCATCGTGAGATCCCAATCCTGGTCAATCATGCCTTTGAGATTGATGGTCGGCACTGGTACATGCCAGTCGCGAATGACGGGCGGTCGACGATAACTCGGAAATAGCTTAATGTTGAGCGTCACCTCGTCGTCAATGATTGGGATCATGCATTCGCAATAGTTATTGAGGTCCTCCAAGACTTGCTCGATGACATGGTAGACCACACCGCGGCCGGATTCGGTGCTCAAGCTGCCCTTGAGCTCCTCCATATTCTTGAGCGTGTTGGCGAGCCGTTTGACCACCGGTATATAGCTGGCTGCATCGTCCGCTTCATCAAAGACAACGCAGCAATTGAAGATGAATGCATTCCGCTCGTAATGCGATCCGAGCATGTGTATCGGATAGCCCAGTATTCGGTAGCCCGAGACGCATGTGGCTACCATGCGATCGCAAAGCTGTCTCTTCGGAATCACATATTCAGAGATGGTGTCAAAGTTGACTTTGCCAGCAGTACTTTCGGTGCCGGTCGACACAAAATTGTGCGGTACCTGATGAATGACACTAGGTCCAGCCGTTGGATGAAAGATGGCAAAGAAGATGGCGAGCATACGAGGGAAGCTTGGAGAACCAGAGAGCTCCGCTTCAGCCATCCTGCCGCAGTCGTGAGCAACTCCGAGCTTGAAAGAGTGGTGTCGTGAAAGTAGCTGGTCAATTCTATCAGATGATCAAGACAGTGACACCAGCAGCAGTATTATTGGAGCTACATCATCCTAGAATCAATGTGTAGGAGCTCGGAAATACAATCTCCTTTTCCAATAACTCTCGAATCATCTTGAGCATCAGCCTCTCCACCTTTTCCACATCTCGGATCGCGTCCACTGCGTCCTCCTGTGGTCCTGATCCACCAATCCTGCTCTCAATATGAAACCCTCGAATTGGACTCTTCTTGGGACCCGAGTCTTCGACAACCTGCTGAGACTGCCTTGTTGCTGGTTCCCCGTCTGTTGCGGCCTCGTCGAGCAGACATATGTGTACCTTTCGAACCAAATCGCCTCCTGAGGAGTCTGGGCGTGGGGCCATGTATGCCACAGCAGCAGTTGACTCAATATGCAAGTCAGACAGGGTCAATTCCAGTGGTAGCGTAACGAAGAAAGGACTCGGATAGTTGAGGGCTAAATCGACGGCAACAACAAGTTTCATGTCGCCCTTGTACACGAGCTTGATGTGAAACTGCACATCCTCGTCACTGGCTGCCAGTGTAGCCTTGCCATCTCCTGCTTGAGACGCTGCGTCTCGAGAGTCCGTTGTGAATGAAGCAAGTCTTTCAGGCACTGCGCCAAGGCCATTGAAGTAGCGACCCATGCCAGGCCCAAACATCATGCGACTATTCTGCCTTGACAGCGCTGGAGTTTGGCTCTGTGCTGCTTCTTGCGTGTGTATAGCTGGCGTTGAGATGCCTGAAGCAGAGACAAAGCCGCTTTGTTCTGCAAAGGCCGAGTGAAAGTAAGGCACATTGACACCCTCCCAACCAGAAACCCCTTGTTGAGATGCATGATTTGGGTGGTCATATGGTGGAGGCCCGGAGGTAGACGAAGAAGTCTCAAGATCCTCCAGAGATATAGCGTGCATTGACGTCTCTGGGCTATGCGCCGGCCGCGGCCTCATCTGCGGAGAAGCTTGCGTCAAAGGTGGCATGCGAGGTCGTTCGCGTCTTGGAGAACTGGACAGTGCCAAACTGCCGCTACTACTCAAGTTCATGCTAGATCGTCTTTCTCGTAGCGCTTGGCCGTCAGTACCAGCGGCAAGACTACTTCGTCTCCGGCGACGCGCGACTTCTGGTGATGCCGACAGACTTGTCGTGCCGCTCGGTGGACCAAGGGTCGGCCTGCCGTGTGTACTGAGACTGCGACGACGCGGTATGCGAAAGTTTCCTGCTCTTTGCTCATCAATGCTGATGTCAAGCTCCGAGTCCTGAAGATGACGCGCTAGCATTGGATTGATGCCGCGCAGGCTGGAAGCAGCCGCATCTGCTGGAGCAACAGTATCTATAGGAGCCTCTTCGGCGCGAGATTTGACTTCTTCCTCCCCAGGCTCATAGAACTCTGGCAACGGGTCGCAGATATCAACGATAGACACTTCTGGGCCAATCTTGCCAAGCTCAAAATGTAGCACTCTTAAATTGTGCAGGAAGTCAGGTAGCTCTATTTCACCCAGCTTCTCGTTGACAAAGCGCTCAATAGCAAGTGCATGGTCGTCAGTGAGCAGCGACCAGTCAATATCTAGACTCATGAGAGCATATGCAAGCTTCTATAGATGTGTGGCGGCTAGTTCAAGTCAATTGACACAAGTTGGCTGTATTTTTCTATAAGCTCTAGAAAACCTATTCTGCAGCTGCGCTTTTGCGCTTTTTACGCTTCGGCACCTCCTCCTCGTCCGGCTTGACAAATTGCTCGGCTCGCTTCGCCAGACGCTTCTTGCTGCCTTCTGCCTGCTGTTCTTGCAACACCTCTCTCGCCTGCCGTTCCTTATCCTTCTTGGCCAAAAAGTATTCACCAGACTCAATTTGCAAATCAATCTTGGATGGTAATTGCGCAGGTGGGAAGGGCGTGTAGTCCTTCTTCTTTGAAACCTTCTTGGGTTGTTTGCGCTGCACATTGCGCTTCTTGAATTGCGGCAAGAAGCGATCCCAGCTTTCCTCCTTGAGTTTTGGGTCCTTGGCAAGTTCGCGCTTGATCATGAGCTCTTTGATGTGATAGATGGGATGGATGTTCTGCATGCAGTCCTCGACAACACGTCGCACGTCCTTGAGTCCCTTATAGCTGCCCATTGCACTCACTGTTGTGCCTTGCACCATGACATAGCACTGTGTCAGGAGCTCCAATGCTTTCAGCGTCGATCCACCAGGCCCAATCAGCCGCTGCCGTCTTTTGACGAACCTATCCTTGTTGCGCACAAATGTGCCAATCTTGATGATATCGCATGCAACGCCGTCGTCCAGGACTTTGACGGCTTGTGGAAAGGGCACAGACCGCGCAAGAAGTTTGATGAGATCTCTTGCATTCAAGATCGCCGCTGGATCGTATGTCTTGCGCGTGGTCTTGACAGTCATGCTGCCTTCCACCAAATCCAGCACAGCTGTGATGCTGTACTTTGACAGTGTTCGAGCGACCACACCCCATATTTCACGTAGATACTGTTCTCTGTACTTTGGAAAGAGAGTCGCGAAGCTCGACTCCTCCGTGAAATGACCAGCCTTGTTGTCCTCTGGCGTGAACTCTTCGATCTTCCAGTGATCAATATCGTCTGTATCCCATGGCTTCTCCTTACGGTAGCGCTTGTTTTTGTTGACAACGGGCGCAGGCGCCACTTCAGCGACCTCGAGTCCCGCTTCTTCTCTATCACTGTCTGACATGCTGACTACTGTAAGCTCAACTGTCCCGATATACTTTCTGGACGTTTGCCGCTGCAGAAAAAAGTGTGGTCGTCATTTCAGATGGGTTCACACTTTCCAGGCGCTTCTTCAAGCAAAGTAGTGCGAGAGATCACTTGGGCAAGCAGGCGAAGATGGTGCAGGCAATGTTGCAAGATTTGGAAGTTCGTGGAGTCTACAGATCGTTTCGTAAGCTCGTGGCCAGGCAGCTTGTTCCTGTCCTATATCCCCTGCCGCCAAATTAGATCTGCGTTTCGCTCCACATCAGCAGGTAGGTACTCTCGTCGGATCAACTTTCGCTCCGCAAGCTGAAAAGAAGCTGCACTCGCCGGTATCGTACACGGATATGCCTCTGAACAGAGCAATGTCAAGATGCACCATGGCGACATAGATCCTTAGAGACTGTCGACATTTGACATTGTCCTTGAGTTCCAATCGATCGACCATGCCCGAACAAAGATGACACTGCAGCCAGTTGATTTTCCACCAACAAGGTCATTGCGACAGTTCGTGGGTAACCCGGTCTTAATCTCCAGTGCTGAAAAAGTCCTTTTTGACGTTGACAAAAGCGCCATGTCCACCAGGAATAGCCTGCACTTTGCGAGTCAGACCAGCAACAATCTCTTCAAGCTCTGAGCGCGCGCTTTGCCCAGATGCGAGCAAGATGGCAGAGTTGATCTCCTCTGCAAGTTCCACACGCAAGTTGAGATTAAACAGATGCGCATTTGGCGAGCTCTGAGGGTCAGCATAGGCCAGTAAGCTGTAGACATCGCTCAGGTGCTGGCGCTGCTCAGTTGTGAGACTGTTAGACTCTGTATATTCGGCATCCAATTGTTGTCCGTAAGCAAGCACTTCTTCCAGCGCGGTGGATCCCTGGCCGTCCATGTCTCCCACTTCAGCCATGTCAACATCTTTCTTCTCCTTGGTACCGTTGGCATGCTTCTCAGACAGCAAGCCGCTACCACTGAGATCTTCTGCTGACTTGTCAGTACTGACGCGCCGTAGCATCTCGACAAACTTGTGGCACTTCAATTTGAAGGCCAAGGCACTGTTGGCAGACAACAAATTTGCTTGAAGAGAGTTGGTCAGCGCCAGTGCTTCATCCACACGTCCGGCAACCAGGTGGTTCCGTATCCGTTGTCTGTAAAGTGCATCCGTATCTTCCTTTGGATATTGCGCCGGTGTGTTTGTTTGGGCCGCAACATCGTCCGCCATGGCACGCGCACTCTCGACATACCCATTGTGCGAGAGGTACGACATAACGAGATGTTGAACACTTCTGGAGACATGACCCTCTGCACTTTTGACTTCATTGTAGAGTCTGCTCTTCTCGAGCCTGTAATAATGGTCAATGTCAAAAACAAAAGGCTGCGCGCCGAAATTGACGCGAACGTGCTCGCCGATCGTTCTTAGCCCGATGGATGGAAAGAGTGGTCCAGAGGCTGTAGTGATACCAGTGAAGGCAACGCCAAGATGAACGCCATTCTTCGTGTAGAAGCACTCTCCAGAAGAAAAGTTCAGCGCACAGCCGATCGTGTCGCCAGTGGTAAATGTGGGTCCATATTCTTTGCCAGTGCCCTGGCAGCAGAAAGAATGTCCATCATCACCGTGATAGCCCCAAGAGTCTTCTTCCCAGCCAGGCAAGCGAGAGAGAAGGACATTTCCACGGCAGAATCCAACACCAATAAAGCCTTCACGGCCTTTTGAGACGATCGTTGTCTCGAAGTAGAACAAGCCTGTTGACACTGGTATAGGATGGTTGGCACGTACGCTAGCCGCATCAGAGTCTGAGTTCTTCACTGGACCTGCGCTGTTAGTACATATTGACCGTACTTGTTTAAGTGTACCGATGAAGCGAACTTCCATCTTGTCGTTGGAGACTTTGACTACTGTTGGCACATCTGCACCTTCAGCCAGTTGTGAGGGTAGTTCCTCCAACAACGTATCGTGGGAAGCAAGGGCCGCATGATAGCGCGCTGCGTAAGATGAGCCTTGGAGATAGCTAGGCAGCGTCATCGTCCTTCAGCAGTTGACGTTATAGCAGAAGTATAAGCAAGCTCGCGTTCGCACAGAGGAGGCTCGAGGGCCAGCGCACAAATTAAACCAGAGCAGATGCAGAACAAGCCAAGAAGCGCTGCTTGAGCTTATGCAGAGCGACAGAGAGGTCGTTGGTGTTGGGTGTCGCGTACTTCCTGACCTGAGCCGCAGCGTGGGAAAAGTCCAGGAAACGGGGAGTCCGGAAAGATAAAAAAGTTGAAACAATCAAGAAGGAAAGAAGTAGCTGGCAGTAGACAGATACACCATGGCAGCGCAAGATCAGGGCACAAATGGCAAGGGCCTCAACGATGACGGCACCTCCAAGGACTACTACTTCGACTCCTACTCCCACTTCGGCATCCACGAAGAGATGCTCAAGGATGCAGTGCGCACAGAATCTTATATGAACGCTATCAAGCAGAACAAGCACATCTTCAAGGACAAGACAGTCCTGGATGTCGGCTGTGGTACTGGAGTGCTTTCCATGTTTGCAGCTCAGGCAGGCGCAAAGCATGTCTACGGCGTTGACATGTCCAACATCATTGACCAGGCCACAGAGATTGTGCGGCTCAACGGCTTCGCAGACAAAATCACCTTGATCAAGGGCAAGATGGAGGACATCCAGCTGCCAGTCGAAAAGGTGGACATCATCATCTCAGAATGGATGGGCTACTTCTTGCTCTACGAGTCCATGCTCGACACTGTCCTGCTTGCTCGCGACAAGTACCTCGCGCAAGATGGCAAGATCTTCCCAGACGTGGCCACGCTTTTCGTCGCTGGTATTGAAGACGGCGACTACTTTGAGGAAAAGATCAACTACTGGGATGACGTGTATGGCTTTGACTACTCGCCAATCAAGCAAATTGCGCTGCGCGAGCCACTTGTCGATATTGTTGAGTTCAAGGCTGTTGTGACAGACCCTTGTCCTTTGTACAGAATCGACATCATGACTGTTACAAAGGAAGAGCTCACCTTTACAAAACAATTTCAGCTTCGGGCGCGTCGCAATGACTTTGTTCATGCAATTATGGCCTGGTTCGACATTGAGTTCAACGCTTGCCACAAGCCAGTCAAATTCAGTACAGGTCCACACGCTCGCTACACACACTGGAAGCAGACTGTATTTTACCTTGGAGAGACCATCACCATCAAGGAGGGCGAAATTCTGTCTGGTCAGATTGACTCACGGCCGAATGGCAAGAACCCGCGTGATTTGGACATCACCATCGATTACGCCTTTGAGCCAACCGAGGACAAGGACCGACAGCTTTCTCTCCACAAGGAATACAAGATGTGCTAATAATGGTCTCCTGTTGTTTTTGTACTTGTCTAGCATGTTGTGCCATAGTCGAAAAGCGTCTTCTGCATCAGCCAAACTTGTCGCTCTTGCCCTTAACGCGGACGTCCAAGATGGCTTCATGTAACGTTCCATCACGCTCTGCAGCACGCAAATCGTCCACCTGATCCATAGTCAGCGTTCGACCAGCCATAGCCTCGAGTTCCTTCTTGGAGGCTACTCTCGGCTTTCCAGTTGTAGTTGGAGTCTTGGTCGCTGGTGGCGCTTGACGATAGCGAGCTTGTGTCCGTACTGTGAACGTCTCGCAGAAGCCTATACTTTCCGCATCACATCGAACCACCTCCTTACCCGTGGCTCCTTTGCTTCTGCCGATGGACAGAAACAAGTCGTTAGCAGATTGGAAGGCCCATCCATCAGGCCTCTTGATGAGCTCCCATGTTTCTGCAGGTCCCACAGCATCACTTGTGCATTGAACCTTGCCAAAGCGGTCAGAAGACATGTACTGTCCCATGCTTGACTTGAGTGTGACTTGAAGCGCGCCATTGTCCTGCGGGAGTCGAGCAACCACAAAGACCTGCCTTACTTCATGTGGTTCCACCATAGAGAGACGACCCTCGGGGCACTCTAGATCCGTCACAAAGACGCGTCCATTCGCATCTGAGGAGACTGCCACGGCTCGATCAAGGTTGTAGCAAAGCATCAATGGTCCATGCAAGTCTTCCTGCGCAACCGCCGTAACCCATCCTTCTTCCTCTTCCTTGGGGCCTGCTACGGCCTTTTCCTCCTTCACTGATCCTTCCCTAGGCTCCTTCCGCTTACGCTTTGTGGCAGGGCCTATATCACCCTTGAAGGAGAGGCGCTTAGTGCCGGCCATGCCAGCATGTGTTGGGTCGCGGTCGAAAATGAAGCTCAAGAAGAAGCGCGCTGCACGTCGACCGAGTCCAACAACGCTGCCTGTGGGTGGATGCCTCATGCTCGATGATGTGCCTCCGCAGCTGCTAGCGGGCACTATCAATGACAATGCAAGCCGTCTCGCCTTAGCTGCTGCTTCCCAGCATGACCTGCAGGCCGAAATTGCCAATCTCACCCAGGGTCCGAACTCGAGACATCGCCAAAGAGACCTGCTAACCTTATAGTACTGATGGCATACAACGAAGCGAATGAGCCGCTCATCGTGAAGCCAAGCTTGGACAAGCTAGCCCTCGCAACGAAGCGGATACAGCTAGTGAATGCCAAATTGCTAGGAATTGAGAAGCGACTGCAAGACGTGGATCGCATTCTCCAGCGGAGGCAAGTACAGGAAGATTTCTCCCGTGGGTCTAACCAATGATGTATGTTGTAGCTTGCGTATTCATGACTGCGTTATTCGTTATCTTATCTGACCCGAGCACGACGTGGTGGAACGACACCTCGCATCACACCCTACGTGCCATTGGCTTCTACTGAGTGTCGTCAAAGAGCTTGACCAGTCAGGCATGACAGAGTATACGCTCGATCGAGAGGCATACGCAGAGCTATATGGTCCTACGACCGGCGACCTCATTCGACTGGCCGACACTGACCTATGGGCGCGCATTGAAAAGGATCTCACGACGTACGGCGATGAATTGACATTTGGAGGTGGCAAGGTCATTCGAGATGGCATGGGTCAAGCTAGTGGGCGACTAGATAGTGAGTGTCTTGATCTCGTGCTCACAAATGCTGTAATTATCGACTATAGCGGTATCTACAAGGCTGATATCGGCGTTAAGGACGGATACATTGTGGGCATTGGCAAGGCAGGCAATCCAGACATCATGGATAACGTTTCTCCCAACATGGTGTGCGGTTCCAACACAGATGTCATCTCAGCGGAGCATGACATCGTCACTGCAGGCGGCATCGATTCACACATTCACTTCATCTGCCCTCAGCAAGCCGAAGAGTCTCTTGCCTCTGGCATCACCACCTTGATTGGCGGTGGCACAGGTCCGAGTACTGGCACGAATGCAACGACTTGTACGCCTTCTGCAACATACATCCGAGCGATGATGCAAGCGGTTGACAGCATACCGCTCAACTATGGCATTACAGGCAAAGGTAATGATTCGTCCCCAGAACCTTTGCGTGAACAAGTCAGAGCTGGTGTTATGGGTCTCAAGCTCCACGAGGATTGGGGAACAACGCCTGCTTGTATTGACAACTGCCTCAATGTTTGCGACGAAATGGACATTCAGGCTTTGATTCACACAGACACGCTGAATGAGTCAGGTTACGTTGAGCAGACAATCGCTGCCTTCAAAGGTAGGACCATTCACACGTACCATACAGAAGGTGCAGGAGGTGGGCACGCTCCAGATATTCTGAGTGTCTGCGGAAGGGCCAAAGATGAGCATCTTGCACCTTACACAACGGAGAATGTCCTTCCTTCATCCACCAACCCGACCCGTCCCTTTACACGCAATACCTTGGATGAACATCTCGATATGCTCATGGTCTGCCATCATCTCTCGAAAAACATTCCAGAGGATGTGGCTTTCGCAGAGTCTCGTATTCGAGCCGAGACCATCGCTGCCGAAGACATCTTGCACGACACTGGCGCCATCAGCATGATGTCTTCTGACGCTCAAGCTATGGGTAGGTGTGGCGAAGTCATTTTACGTACTTGGAAAACAGCGCACAAGAATAAGACTCAGCGAGGCATGTTGCCGGAAGATGAGAAGCAGCAAGCACTTTGGAATGATGAAGACGAGGACCCGGAAGCACCCAAGGCAGACAATCATCGCATCAAGCGCTATATTGCCAAGTACACAATCAACCCAGCGGTTGCACATGGTATGTCACATGTACTCGGTGCTGTGGAAGTGGGCAAGCTTGCTGATCTTTGCCTTTGGTCATTTGACAGATTTGGATCCAAGCCATCGATCGTCATCAAGTCTGGTATGATTGTGTACAGCGACATGGGCGACGCAAATGCATCCATTCCAACGGTTCAACCAGTCTTTGGTCGCTTCTCATTCGGTGCCAATGTCGCAGATCGAAGCATTCTATTCACATCAGCCGCTGCCATGTCAAATGGTCGCAATATCAAGGAGGAGTACGGACTCAAGAAGAAAGTCATGCCAGTCGTCAACACACGCGGCATTGGGAAGAAGGACATGAAATTGAACGATTCGCGACCACTATTGGAGATTGATCCAGAGTCCTACACAGTCAAAGCAGATGGCGTCGTAGTCGCTTGCGAGCCCGCCACCACGCTTCCCTTGACGAACTTACACTTCATTTATTGATCAACCTTGCGACGCAGACGGCTCTCCGTTCTTACCAAAGACACGTCCCACAAAACTTGTGAATTGCTTGCCGGAGCCCACGAGCTTGCGTCGGCTAACATCGCCACTGCCGCTACCGTTCGACTTGCGACTACTGGCATTGGACAGCTCTCGCTGTAAATTGCCACCCGAAAGCATGCTTGCGTCAATAGTCGTATGGTAAAATGGTTCTGGTTGACCCACAGGAGCAGTGACTGGCGCAGTAAAGAAAGGCGTGTCTGTGTCTGACTCTGGGTCTGGTGACAATAGCAAACGACCCTCAGCAAGACCAGCAGTGTGGTACGAAGGCGTTGGTGCAGGCATACTCAGCTTCGGAAGACTGCCAAAGGGGTCAAAGCTTGAGGCCGTTGTAGAATGGGATAGGCCCTGCACATCTGGTGCGGTCCATGGATCGGTTGTAGCCTGAAAGCCATTCTTCGGAGAAGTCCAACCGAACTCCATCGATGTTGCGGCATCTCCTGGTTTTGGTAGACCGTGCGATAGAGCTTGACCACTCACTGCATTCCTCTCCGATTCCTGATATGTCCGGCCCAATCTTGACCCGGCGGGTGCGATGATGCCGCCATCCTCCCCTCGTAGACTTCCAGAGCGTGGGCGACGCGTTCCAATGGGTGCCACATCAGTCTTTGGCAAACTGCGAGTGTTCTTACGATCCAGAGCCAGCGGATCCTGAGCATTGATCGGCACCTTCTTGGACGATGATGGCCAGAACCAGTTGCCTGTGCCGTTGGTGGTGGCAGCAGTGACGAGCGATCGATCTTTGCCAACTATTCCGGCACCGTTGCCCAGTCCCAGACTATGCTGCATGTTGTGAACACTGCCAGGTGCACTGGATACAGCGGAGTGATCCTGAGACTCGCTCAATGGCGTGCCATTGAGACTAGCAACCAGACTGCCTGATGTGGCGCGTTGACCTCCACGTTCTCGCTCAAGTTGCAGTGACGAATTCAATTGGTGAGATGCACCAGCGTTGAAGATAGATGGCAGCATACCATAGGAAGCAGGTGCATGCAAAATCGGGTTGATGACACCCGGAGACGAAGGGTTTGAGCCAGACTGGCTGGAGCGAGGTGATTCTCGCCGTGCGCCACCAAGCGAACCTGGAATAACGGCGCTTGCAAAGGGCGAACCGCGACGTGGGAAGAGCGTATCGTCGTTGAAGATGCTGGTCACCCCAGGCATGATCGGTGCAGGGTCGCGACTTAGACCAGGAGGCGCTGCGCTGTGGCTCGGTGCTTCGTAAGGATGGGCAGCTGCACCGACAAAAGAAGTCTCTGGGTAGAAGCTGGTATTGTTGGCAGCAACGAAAGGGGCGGCATCCGGGTTGAATGATGGCATGGCGTGACGGTGATCGATATTTTCCTTGGCCTTTCTAGACTGTCGTCGCCGCAAGGAACCAAGATCGTTGGAGGAGCCCTCCGAGATGGGCGTACCGCTGCGGAGGCCTTGCTGTAAACGCGACAGGAGCTGACAGGCATCTTCATACTGCCGTACAAGTGTCTCCTCGCGGTCCTTCCACTGTGCGTCGTCTTTTGCTGCTTCATTCACCTCTTGTGGACTTGGACTTGCGACACGAGATCCGCTTTGCAAACGTGAAATATCTGCCTCTCCCTCCGCTTTGCGCGCAAGGAGATATCGGATTTCTGCTTCCACTTCCACTAGCTCTTCTGAAGCGAGAGCACCTGCCCGTTCCGATGTTTTGATGGCATGATCCGTCTCTGCAATCATGGCTCTGGTCTGCCTCTCCAGCTTTGCAGTTTCCTCACTCGAGACTCGCACAGCCTCAGCAAAACCTTCCATATCAGCACACTGTCTCCTGTATTCTTCCTGCGCCAACTTCAGTGCCTTTTGCACCTGGTTGCGACGCGTCTCAATCTCTCTCTTTTGCTGATCCAGCTGTTTGTGGTGCTGGTCGCGTGTCGCGCGTGCATCGTCTTCACCCTTCTTCTTTTGCCGCCATTCATCAAGCTTCTTTAAGAAAGCCTGCTCCTCTTCCGTATGATGACTGTTGAGCGCTGTGATTTGTGCATCAATGTCGGTCGTCTCCTTGAGGATCCCTTCCATCTTGGACGTCAAGTCTGCAATCGCCTTTGCTTCGTCCTTTGCGAATGCCTGTGCGCCCGGCAAGGGATCCTTAATCTTGAGAATATCCATGCTTGCCTTCTTCTTAGGCACACGCAGCGCAGGCGCATCGCTGGAAGTCGTGTGAGCTTCCACCTCAACCTCCTGGCTCTGTTCCACTTCACGCGCTGAACCAGGCCTAGACCGTGTCTTGACGTAGAACACTGGGCTTGCGACTTGAAAGCCATGCGCATTTACAGCAATCACCTGGATGCTGTAGAGGTAGTCCGGCGTTAGGCCAGAGATGGTGACGCTCGTTTCACCGCGCACAGAGATGCCGACCTCTTGTCCGTCCATTTGAATGATGTGCTTCTTGACATAGCTTTCCGGCGGCGCCCAGTGTAAGCTGACACTGTCTGCGGATAGAGCATCGACGGTGAGTCTCGGGCTGGAAGGGAGTTCGATTTGCAGGTAGCGGAAGACGAGTTGCAAGGGAGCCGACCAGAGCTGTGCGGCTCGCCAGACTAGATAGAGGCAGGAGAGAAGAACCACGAGGGAGGATACTGCTGCTGCCATGACTTGAGCATGCGCCGGGCTTTACTGCTCTCTACTGCTAGCGCTATACGGAGCTTGAGGGGAGATGGTTGCAGTCGCTCGGCTTCAAGATCTTCCTGCGCGTGCAAAATCTCGCGACAAAGATTCATTTACAGCCAGAGACTATAACTCGACAGAGCTGAACCATACTTACAAGCACTCTGCTATTCTGTATCAGTGTGCTTCTCCTGTCGCTGCTCCGATCGCGAGCGTGTGTCTGGACTTGCTTCCCCACTGCTCGTCCTGCTCAATCAATCAGCGCTAGCATCCATACCAAATCTATCATGCAGTACTTGAGCGCCAAAGATGCCGCTGCGCTGGATGATTTACTTATGAGCCCAGAGACAGGATTCGAGCTTGCACAGCTCATGGAACTTGCGGGATTGTCTGTTGCTCAGGCCGCTCACAAGATGCTACAAGAGCGCGAGAAGGGCAAGCCAGCTGCTGCCAATGCACAGAACAGAGTGCTCATCATCTGTGGGCCCGGCAACAATGGCGGTGATGGTCTAGTTGCAGCACGCCATCTGCAGCAGCTCTCTCATGATGTGCAGATTTGGTACCCAAAGCCCAAGAAGGGCATCTATGAAGGGCTCGTCAAGCAGCTCAATTACTTGAAAATCCCGGTGAGCAACAGCAGCAATCAATCTCCGCAGCCTCTTAGGCAGTATGATCTCATTGTTGATGCAATCTTTGGGTTCTCCTTTTCTGGCGAGGTGCGCTCTCCTTTTGATGCCATCATTCAGGACCTTTCGCAACTGCCTCGTAGTGTTCCGGTCCTCAGCGTCGATGCTCCGTCTTCGTGGCATATTGACGACGGTCGTCCTTCATCAGGACCAGGCAGGGACTTTTGTCCGGCAGCTCTCATCTCCCTGAGTGCACCAAAGCGACTTGCTGCTCATTTCCAGGGTCGCCAATTTCTGGGTGGACGTTTCCTGGGGCCCGAGTTGCAAGCAGCATATGGCCTGCCTGCCTATCCAGGCACTGACCATGTCGTTGAGCTTCCGAAACTCTGATGTGCAACGTCTCCTCCACTCTATTCTATATAGCCTGTAACGACCCTTTGCGGTGACATCTGATGGGGGCCAACGTGCGCAACCACCGGCGCATTCAAATTGATCTGCCACGACCCACCAGGCCCCTCAAGAAGTCAAGCTTGTGCACAGGCCCCGCCAGTAGCAGTAGGCGGCCACAGAGCCTGCGGGCATGCCAAGCTCTGCCGATGACAGTCCAGGGGCAAGCTCCACCAGGAAGCGGTCCAAGTACTCAAAACGCGCCTGCCAACATTGCCAGCGACGCAAAATTAAATGCGATGGGAAGGACCCCTGTGAGCACTGTGTTGCTGTGAAGGAAGATTGCGTCTACGTCGCCGGTAAGGCAAGAGGCGGAGCCAGGTCTCGCGCCGTCAGTAATGTTCCCGCTCAGCCAAACAAGGAGAGCCAAACGCCAGTCAAACAAGCTGCGCCCTTACCGCACCTCAAAGTTGATGCCATGTCGCCCGTCACGTCTCATCCACAACCGCCTCAAGTCAGACCAAATGCAACGGCTACGCTCGCTGACAGAGTTCAGTGGTTGGAAGAGAGTGTCTTGCGGCTCAATGCTTTGAGCCGACCGGGTGACCAGTCTGCCAGCGCTGGCCCACAGTCCGCCTCAGTCCAGATGAGTGCTCGACTTAAACGGCCCTTCGATCAGCTGCAGCGGCCTGCGTTGTACGCCAGTACAGAGCGACAATCCAACCGCAGTGGCGACGATTCCGGTGCCCGCAGCTCTGAAAGACGCGCCGCAGAGACAGTCTACTATGGCAACTCTTCAACGGCAGGCACATTGCATACGCTCAAGGACAAACTCTGCTCCCTGGCACCTGCATCATCTCGCACAGAAGCAGAGCTCTACGCCAGCAAAATATCGCCGGATCCGAAGCCAGTCCCTGACCAGCGCGTGAATCGGCGCGGCTTGGCCCAGTTGCCTACGAGTGATGTCTCCTACCCCATTCTTGCACTGATGTTTGACGATTTGATGAGCATGTATCCAATGTTGCATGCGCCTACATTCTATGCGCGTTACGCCCCGCTTTGGACTGCAGATGGTCGCTTCTCTATGGAAACTGCTCAAAGCGATGCGTATACCGATATGGAAATTGGCCTCCTGTACGCTGGTATGGGCGCAGCAGCTGTTTTGATGCGCGAGAAGCCTGGCTTTGGTGAACGAACTGCCCTGGACCCGTCAGCGGAAGCGGACAAGTGGATCACCTCTGCTCGATTGATGCTGAGGAATCAGTGGGAAGCGCCAACAGACTTGGAACAGATACAAGTGCTCTGCTTTTTGACCTTATACTACTTCAATGTCGAAAATGAAGACTTGTCCTATAAGCTGACGGGCGTTGCATCCCGTGGTGCTTTCGAGCTTGGGTTGCATCTTCGTCGGCGAGAAGCAGGTCATCCTCGACTGTACATCGAGCTGAGACGAAGGGCATTCTGGTGTCTCTACTTGCTTGATCGGCGTACGTCCGTCTCGCTGGGAAGACCGCCTGCCATACAAGACAGCGACCTTGACGTCGATTATCCGACGCCCTTGGACGATGAGCTTCCGTTTCCCGAACAACTCAATGTCCCGATACGCTTGGAGCATTCCAAGATTCCGTACTTGATTGAGTTTGTTCGCTTCTCAAGTATTCTTGGAGACGTCTACGAAAAGGTTTGCGGCGTACAAGCCACTTGGCCGCCCACTGAAGAAACTGCCCGCAACCTGGATACCATACTCGAACAATGGCGCTTCAGCCTGCCCTCTTTCCTGCGCTTCAGTCAAGAGAATCTCTCCTCCATCCCAGGATGGCTCGCCAAGCAACAGTTATTTCTGCACCTTCGCGGCGCTCATGTGCGATTACTCTTGCTACGACCTTTTGTACAGGATGTTGCTGAAGGAACTGGCAGTACGCCTCTTCCCGGCTCCTTTGCATTTCGCATGGCCGAGCTTGCTATGAGTCTTTCAAGTGAAATTATCCACACAATTGCACAAGTCAAGCGATCGTCTGATTTGATTGAGATTCTGTGGTATCCGGCCAAGCAGTTCTTGCTGACGACTGTGTGTATCATCTTCACCTGTGTGCTCAGTTTCGGTTCTGAGCCAAAGTTCTCTGCAGCGTCCTGTAAGGCCGATGTCAGAGTTGCGTTACAGACACTCAAGGAGTTTAGCTACAAGTCAACAGGTTTGAAGCGGAATCTAAGGGATGTCGAGTTCCTGCGTTACATGTGCAACCAAGCAATCAGGACGAAGCATCAGCAAATCAACAGCGAGAAGAGTGTTCTTCCTGCCGATACTACATTGCAGGTGGCGGTCGAACAGCAAGCGCAACCAGTCTATCTTGGGGCTACGGCTCCTTTGGCTGCACCACTCCATGACAATTCCCACAGCGTACAGTTTCATCCAGCAACAGTCCCGCCCGACATCCAACATCATCTGAGTCAAGCGCAACAACTCAATGCCATGCAGCAATACTTGGCCAACAGCCATGACTTGTCTTTCCTCAATCCCTTCCCTGGCATGAGTGGCGATTCTTCTGATTTTCTCATGAGCCTATTGGACTCTGGAGACAGAGAAATGCTTCCAACGACAAATGAATTTAATGACTTGAGCGTGGCCTTTTCATAGCTATTGCTCACATACTATCAAGCACTTCATCCTTATATTTGACTTTGGCTTTCGCCGTTGTGCACTGCACAGAACGAGGGCCACTACCAGCCGTACGCAGAAGCCCCTGTTTTGCGTCGGTCATCTGATCAAGTTCTGCTCCTTCAACGACACATCCTCTCACGAGATACAGTTCCAACCCCAAAATGCCTAAGAGTATGCTATTGCTGGGCCTATCTACTGTGTCTTTAGAGTTCATTGTACACGCAAGCTGATTATACCTTGAGAAGACCAGCAAATAAGCAATTTTAAATATGTCCAGCTCCTGAGCGTGTTTAAGATTGCAATACTAGCGGCAGAGACCCTGTCGTTCATTCGTATAACAGGGAAAGCCTTTCAAGACAGAGAAGACAACATCAGCTGTCATGTACATTCACAGGCATGGCGATGACCTTGGCCAGGAGTTGTGATCAAGTCAGAGTCATGAAGACATTATGCCGGTCATCCTTTGTATGTTGTGCTGCGAGGCTCTCCTGCACGAGACCTGCAGATGAGCTTTGAAGTTCATCTCATCTCAGTGGCCAAACATTGACATGCTCTGCATGGCAATTTGGTCATGCGCACGCGAATGAGTTCTTTTACTGCAAGTGACAAGCTCAGGAGTCATCAAAACACCAACCACAGAGACTTTGCCAGAGCGCGTGGGCGAGCGATTGCATGCGAAGATGGCCAAAAGAAATGAGACATGTGGAGGAAGACTGCTTAGCTCACTGAAAGGGTGCCTGACTGAACAAACAAAGAGCGCCAAAGAGATCAAGATGAAGGGGCCGGGGCATGATATCGCGCGTACAAATAGGACATGTCTGTCTTCTGTGACTGCAAGACAAGAACAACTTTCGGTAGGTATTGCAAGATGCTCTTTGGAAATCTTGCGAGTACTACTCTTGCACTTGCACTCTTCTCGCCCGCCCATGCAAAGACTTCCGATTCACAAGAAACTGAAAAGTCCCATCACCATGGTCGTCATGGAAAGGAAAAGTCGGCCAAGTTCGACCCGGAAGACTTTGTTCAAGGTCTGCACATTGAGTATGCACCAGCTGGTACCAGTTGCACCAAGACGCAGCCACCCGTCATCACCCACCCAGTCAAACCATTGACGGGTCATGAAATCCCTGTTCCCAAAACAGGTCTGAACTATGGGTACAGCTCCTTCGATTCTACCAAGACGGTGGCATGTGACCACAAGTGGTACAAACCTCCTCGCCATGCTGTTCCTCGCTGTACACCTGCTGAATCCGTTCCATTTCCTAAAAATGAGGAAAAGAACTGCATCAAGATTCGATCTGTGGCCGACTACCACAAGTATGTCCCTGATGCTGGCAAGTCAATCCTCAAGCATGCTTGTGTGATTTTGGAGAACTTTGCCTTTGATAGCGCAACAACGATGCGTTTCAAGATGCCTCCCAACTCCTTCTTTGGTTGCCGCGGCACGATTGTTGGGTTTCCTGACTCTCCCATCAAGGAGGAGCAAGCCATGATTGAGTATGTCCACGGACTCAACTCCACCATTGCTGGAGATCATTGCTTGATTTACATGCAAGGTGAAAAGTCCTTCAACGGCAAGCACAATTCTGCGTCTTCGCGTGCCTTTGACATCTCTGAGGCAAATGGCTTGTACGTCAATGGCATCACCATTATCCAAGACAATGCCCCCTTCTTCCACATCAATGGCGATAATATTCTGATGGAAGACTGTAATGTCATTGCCGCTACACCCTACCCATCGAATGATCGCAATGCTGATGGGTACCAGATAGCTGCCAACAACTTCACGTGAGACTCTGTTTTTTTTGGACATGCAGCTAACCAAACAGCCTACAAAAGTCATTTATTCAGAGTGGTGACGACTTGATTGCTTTGCGTCGAACCACTAAAGCGGTGTTTCAATGTCTTACCACTTATTATGGTCATGCTCTGGCCATTGGTGGCGTTGGTCAGAATGATCTTGCGGAGAATGTTGTGTTTCGTGATATCGAAATGGTCGGACCTGAACGAGCGATGCGAATCAAGGCAGACAAGTGGGAGACGGGTCTTGTGTACGATGATGCAGCTCATGCGTCAATGCTAACCACACAGGAAAAATGTGTTGTATGAAAACATTCGCTTCTACATGGCCAATACCTCTGGTATTTCTCTGACGCAGGACTACACGAACTTTCCCGTGCCAGATGGCTTGCCTGATACTGGGGTTTGTGAATGACATTGAGTGAATCAAGCTGACAGTAGGTTGTGTTTGAGAACATTCGTTTCAAAAATATTCGAGGAAGCGTCAGCAACCGTGAACCGGCCTGTAAGTTGAAGGTTATAGTGTTTGAATGGACGCTAACTACTGCAGACCTAACGACCTTGGTGGACATTCTTTGCTCTGCTGGCCACTCGAAGGGCGGCTGCAAGAAGCTTTTATTCGATGACGTCTCCATTGTGAGCGGCGATAAGACGCAGTATGGTTCTCTGTTCGTCAACTTTGATCCAACCGGTACCGGATTGACGGTAGGTGGACCACAGAATATCACCAAGTACGATTCCCCAGGCAAGATGAACAAGGGTATTCCAAACGATAACAGCCAAACGTTTACGCACAAGTCTCCCGCTTCTCATTGAGTGTGAGCGTCAGTCTGCCTCTAGCAAGAGACTATGCCAGCACTAGTGCTACTTCTATACTCCCTTTCGTAGATTGAGTCTCAGGGGATATTCAGATGACACATTTGGGTATTTATCTCACGGTGTAATTCCTGCGCAGTCAACTCAGCAGAGCAATACTGTTTCCCTAACCCCACATGCCTAACCCCATCCGCATCTTTTCCCTTTTTTCCCATTTCTGCATTCTCCCTTCAGCTACGTCACCGCACACACACACACTCGGCACACACACCAGTGACCAGCTACTCTGTAAGGGCCAGGATCACAGGCACAGTCAAGGCCAGGGGCAACATTCAAGGCCCAAGCGACAGCGACTCCTTCTTCCACATAGCAACAATCCTCGCCTGCCTTCTCATTTCACTTGCGCAGCGTCACGCCCCCTCTGTGCTTCCCGCTTTTGTCGCTCTCAACGACAATACACTGCGGCATAGTCAGCTCCTAAGCGCTTGTTCCCTGCCTTGAATCGCCTGCTGAGCAGCGACATCAATAAAACGGCCTGACAAGCTAGTCAAGGTAATAAAAAAGCGACACAACGACAACGCAATACACGCCTCCACAAATCATGCCAGTGAAAGCGTCGTTAAAGAATAAAGCAGCCACCGCAGCCAAGGTCGAGCAAGCAGAGTCCACAATTACAGCAGCCCCAGCCGTCGCCAAGGAACCCTCTAATGAATCTGGCAAGAGCAATCGTACGGCACCGAGGCACCATGACTCTGAGCCAAACCCATTTGAGAGATCCTTTAGCGGTACGGGCGGTGTACAGTCTGGTGGTAACGATGGCGGTATGTTACCGAGTGTAGCAGCACTCACGAGTCCAGCGCCCGCAGGTCAAGCTGGTTCCATGGGCCAGATGAATGGCGGATGGTCTCCATTTGGGTCACTACGATCCGGTCCCCTTTCACCAGCCATGCTGCTTGGTCCATCTGGTCTTGCAGGGTATGATGGATCTATGCGGACAGGCCTCACACCCAATGAATCGAGCATCCGAACAGGCTTGACACCACGCGGCGAAGCAGCTGCACCCAGTAATGGTAATTTCCCGATGGCCAGTCCCAACACTGCTGCTCTTTTTGGCTTGATGAATGGTGGTTCAGGACTCACACCTGGTGGTTCCGCACCGAGCTTTTTGGGTGGTCCAGGTGGTGCCTTTATGCAGAATGCTGGACAAGGAACGCAGGACAGCAACAACCTCTATGCGCCTCGTCCACATGGCCCATCCAACCTCAACAGCAGTGTCTCGATGAGTAACTTGCAGCGTGGCGAGCACGGTCATACAGGTCCTGATGCAGAAACTGCTGCCAATGGACTCTTCCTTCTCTCTCAGCATTCACAACAACAACATGGCAGTCATGCTGAAGATCTCGTGCGTCGCGCTACTGCCAATCAAGCTAAACAAGCGGGTGCCAGTCATGGTCGTGGCTATAGTGGCGATTATCGCAGTCTCTCTCCTGAGGAACTCGCGCGTGCCGCTGCATCAGAGTCACAAACAACGGATACTGCTGCAGGTGGCAGTAGTACAGGTCGCGGCAAAAAGAACCCAAGACGCAAGGCTTCCTACACAGAGGATGCTGGCAAGGAGCCAAAAACAAAACGAGCGCGTGGTTCTAAAGCCCAGCAAAAAGTCTCCGATAGTGGCAATGAATCAGATGAGATGCATGCACAAGAGGAGATGGAGCAAATGGGTGAAGATGGCCCCGGTATGTTGTCGAGTGGCAACAAGAATGAAACAGACGAGGAGAAGCGGCGGAATTTCCTCGAACGCAATCGACAAGCGGCGCTCAAGTGTCGTCAGCGCAAGAAGCAGTGGTTGCAAAACTTGCAGGCCAAAGTGGAGTTTTTCGGTCAAGAGAATGATCAATTGACGTCGCAGGTGACGAGTCTCAGGGAGGAAATCGTCAACCTCAAGACCATCTTGCTTGCCCACAAAGATTGTCCAGCTGCGCGTACTGAGCATAATGCACCTCAAGGCTATTGATGCGCTTGTTCCTTTTTGAAATGTCACAATGCTGCACTGTTGTATTTCGTTATTCTTTCTAGCTGCAGGCCTGGTTCCTTGGTTCATCACTATCATACGATTATAGGTAAGCACGTCCATCTCATCTAGCGCTGTATACTTGCAACTGCTTAGCTCATCTTCCGAGGCAGCAGCCTAGACCTCGACACCACAGCTCAATAATTGTGAATGTAGAGATGCTTTGCCGTCTCGTATCTGATGACCTGCATCTGGTGGAGTGGGTTCCTACAAGTATCTACGTATCCGTCTCGCTGGCTCCCGCATCAAAATCATCGACTCTTGCAGGAATAGTATCGTTCGACTCAAGTGAAGACACTTCAACTTAAAGCTGTTCAGATCAGTGCATCAGACAAGCAGCCCGGAGAAGGACTGTCCAGATATCAGCTGCAAAGGTCTTTCCATTGTAGATTTGCTAGATTGTGGCAGGTAAGACTACGCACAGATGTTTAGAAGCATCGGCATATTCGTATTCCTGCGCACAGGCATGAAGTGTGGAGATGATCGTGCTCTTGCTCTGCACAACTCAATTCAGCACTAGTAAGCGAAAGCACGGTACGGATGTCAGTGTGTCTTGTGTTACTAATGACTGCGGGACTATCCTTGGCAGCCGATGTCATCTTCACTTTTGTTGGATGCGCAGGCGCAGTGCAGCTGTCCGGATCAGACCATCGCTTGCTTTCCAAGTGCATGCACTATAGTCGTATAGGGCACATATGCATATATGCTGCGTCTCGCTATCAAAGCCATTTCTTGGTACAAAGCCGCACGGTCCCTCCGGAAGCTGGAAATCGTAAAGCTTCCTTGCACTTGCTTACAGCAGCAGTCATGGACTCATGGCAGACTGAAGCCTTGCTGCTGCCTGCTCATAGACACAATCAGCCAACTGTCTGTCCAGTGTCCAATTCTGGCGACGACATGCAGTCTGCAGAGTCAATCGAACTTGGCTCTACCTCGAGAGCCTGTCAGATTGTCAATCGTAAGTCTTGACATCGGTACTATTTGAGGCCGCAGCGGCCTGCTGCAGAGAATAACTTTCACTTCCGAACGAGCACGGTCGGAGCACCGTCGGAGCACGTCGCCCAGACTGCCCAGTTAGTAGTTACGCAGCTAATTTACGCTTCAAGCCTTCAGCCTTCATTGGCCCTTCAAGTTTAGGGCAAGTACAGCCTACGGAGTCCGGACTACAGTCTACGGAGGGCTTATAAGCTCCCTTCGGATCATGGCCATTGGCCCATGGGGTCCCGGTCCATAGCCCGGAAGTTCAAGACAGCCGCAGGCCCGCAGCGCTGCGCATTAGCCCAACTTTTGCTGCCTTTGTACGAATTCGAAAAGGGCAACCGCAAGGCCAAGGCCAGTGATAAGCTGCCATAAGCATGGGACGTCCGTCTGATGCCTTGCCTGGCTCCGAGCTTGTCCGGTCCATCTACAGCTTAGGCTGAGCTGAGTCGTGTAGCGGCACAGTAGCCGTTCTATCTTGCAGGCCAACTAGCTGTGCATCTTTGCGTCTTGAAAGACGCAAGACAACGAGTCGCTAGCCGTGCGCTTATAGTGAGGAATAAAAGGTCTCACCTTCCCAAGACACGGCCACGCCGCGCTCTAGCTACGCATCCAGATCACTTAAAGGCACGCACCTGCGCCCGCTCTGCTGTCTTGACAAAAGACTGACACGTCAACACCTTCGTCTACTACATCTGCTTGTTGTCAAAGCAACCGGTCCTTGAACGAGTGCCGTAGATCGCAGCAGAGTCAGGAGGGAAGGAAGGCATTTATCCGGTCGTATCGGTAACCTGAAACAGGAGACCAACGAAGAGTTGCTCATCGAATACTTGCGTCTTGTTTTGCGCTTCCATCGAGCGAAAGGCGCCGCGCCAGACACGATATCCTATCGACGACGCAATCTGCTTGTGCGTGTGTTTTCGCATTACTGTTGCGCCCTCAAACGATCCGCAAAAGCTCCAGTAGTCGGTTTGTGACAGGGGTCCTCGAAAAAGCTTGGCAAGTCTAGCTCACCTGCCATTAAGGAAAGTCTGCTACTCTAAGTCACCCCCTACGAGCAATCAGATCGGAGTCCGGTCATTCTACAACTCCGTACGGCTACAGTACAGCTCGACAAAGTCCGTCTCTATTTGCTTCCGGCCCTTTCTTCTCTGTTTTCAGCCTGAACGACTTGCGGCTCTTCAACAAACAGTCTGAGCAAATAGTTCAATCTTGCCTGGCGTTCTTCATGCTACACATCTGTCCCTGGATTTGTATATAAGTGATGACAGATGCCTACTACAACAACCAGCTGCAAAGCTTCTTCTCACAGCTGGTACGGCCAAACACGATGGCCACAGATGGTCCAGACTTGCAGCTCATTTCGACGGCAGGCACGTCACCGGGCAGCAAGTCAAACAAGTCATCCGTTTCGCCTAAAGCCAAGACGCCAAGGACTTCCAACCTCTCAACAGAAGAGCGGAAGAAACCACGAGCGACACGCCATCGTAGCACAGGCTGTGGGACGTGTCGAATGCGCAAAATCAAGTGTGATGAGCAACTTCCCTATTGCAGAAATTGCCAGCGTACCGAACGAGAATGTCTTGGTTACCGCACACCAGAAGAGCTAGCGAATCCTCAGCTAGACAGGCAACGCCTTGTAACGCGACACAAACAGCGAGCTGAGAAGAAGCCTGATATAGCACCAACAAACCATTCGAATTCGACCCATGGTGGAGTCACGACTCAGGGGACTACGCCAGAAAGCCAACTGTTCTCTATGTTCCCAGGTGCGCATGGAACACACTCTGATACACATGTGTCGCAGATTGATCCTCAGTCCTCGATGGACGTGGTACATGATGCACAGCCCATTGACCTCATATGGAATGCTCAAGCCCTACCCAGCAGTTTCATTCGATTAGAGACTTTCTTCTTTCGCCGCTTCATCACTTCGGTCTGGCTCCACAGCTATTCCGACCTGTGGCGAAATATGCTGCCTTCTGTGCTCAACACATCAGCACCGCTATACCATTCTGTTTTGGCGCTCTCTGCCATGTACATGTTCAAGAATGGCATTGATAGAAGAGCAAAGGACAGTGCCATGTCTCACTATGCAGTGGCTGTCCAACAACTACAAGCAGCGCTCTACAACCCACAGGAAGCAATGAAGGATACAACATTGATGGCAACTGTCATTATGGGCTTCTACGAGATGCTCGACAAGGACGATCACAAGAGTTGGTGTGCTCATACAAAAGGTGCCCAGCAACTGATCCGCTTGCGTGGGCCGAGAGCCACGTCGTCTGGTCTTGGTAAGATGATGTATGTCACTTTGCGAGGGTTCGAGACTGTTCGAGCGATATTGGAATACGAGGAAACTCTATTTGCTGAGGAGACCTGGACCATTCCTAGCGCAAACCCAGCGACACGTTTCCACTTTGCAGAGCTGCTTGGCCCGCAGTGCCCACCCGTCAGTCCTGATGCACTTGCAACATCGGCTCCACCGGATTACGCCTCTGTGTTGTACATGCTTGGCTCCAAGGTCGGCTCATGCCAGGCAAGAGCTCACAAGCTTTACAAAAGTGGACAACTCACACCTCCTGCTAAATGCCAGGTCTCCATCGAGGTGGAGACTGTGGTTGAGCAGCTAAAGCAATGGCGCATGCTGCTACCGCCCGTGTATGATGGCAGGGAGGCACCGAGTACGTTGCCATTGTCCCCGTACAAGATGATCACGATCTTTGACGGTCCACTCGAGGCACAGCAGATCTGCTTCTATTGTGCATTTATGCTGCAGGCGTTTCGGATACGCGCCAAGTATGTGCTGGATGACCCAACGGATTTGCCACCTGAAGCACAAGACTTGGCCAGGAAAATCATCAAAGTGGCCGACTACCTGTCAGCAGGATTGACCACCACCAGTCTGCAAATTACATGGCCACTCTATGCAGCGAGTATTGCGCTGTGTGACCGGGAAGAACAGGCCTGGGCGAGGCGAATGATGAAGGCGATTGCCTCTGAGAAGAGATGGGCCATTGCGAAACAAGCGCTCAAAGCGCATTCAGTGGTATCCCTGCGAGACAGACAGAATGGGAGAAGTACCACCTCATCAGCTGAGACTTATATCCGGCAGCTGTGATAGAGTAGACATAATAGGAAGCATGTAACAGCAATAGTAGTCAGTTCAGTCTATACCCGGCCCTGAAGGTTGCAGATTTCAGATGCGCGCGACTTTTGAAAGTGACAGCACACACATCGATCATCCCACCACACCAGCTTGTCTGTGCATGCTCTCCGATGCGGTGGAGCTGCCTTAGTCTCATTATCGCTGCAGCAGTAGCAGTCGATGCCGCAAATGAGAAAGGCCATCTGCCGCATGATGTGTACGCAGAACACCATGAGGAGGCAAGACCGCACTCATCCAGTGTCGCGTATGCTGTACTGGACGAGCTGCGGAGTATAGAACAAGCGCGACAGGTGACGACACCGTCAAGGTCACGGTCGCTGGTGGAGTTCCTCATCGGCCTGTCACGTCCTACCTCGACAGACTTGGCAGAACCTGCTCAAGCACATGATCCCTTTGCGCACGTCACGGCACAGTTGACGGCGGCTACAGACGCGTCCAAGGCAGCCTCTGAGATCGACACTGAAGCTCTTATGCTGCTTGCGGAGCTCAACTTCCATGGCAACTACACATACCCGCGCGACTACCACAAGGCGCTTCACTACTACCGGCAACTAGCCGAATTGAACGGCAATGAAACAGCACATGAACAGCTTGGCTTCTTGTATGCGACAGGGATTGGTGGTGTTGAGCGTGACCAGGGTCTTGCACTCCTGCATCATGCTATGGCGGCAGAGCAAGGCAGCATTCGCAGTTCAATGACACTGGGTTATCGCTACTGGCATGGAATTGGAACAGCCCCGAACTGTACCATTGCATGCGACTACTATGCTACAGCGGCAGATCAAGCGATAAATTGGATCAGGCAAGGCCCCCCTGGCGGACTTTACTTTCGTCGGAAAGCGTACGCTTTTGCTGAAGAGCTTGGCGGCCTATACGGTGCACGAATGAGTCAACACCACAAGTTGTCTGTGTCTGTTCATGCAAAAGATATTGACGACGTGATTGACTACTTCACCTACTTGGCGGAAAAGAATGATGCACAGGCAGCCTTCAATCTGGCCAAGCTACACAGAGACGGATCGCGTACTGTTGAGGTGGACCATGTCAAGGCGCTTTACTGGTTCCGACGTGTTGCACGGACCTATTGGACCAAAGACGGCAAGACTGTCAAAAACGTCAAAGCGATGCGATATCATGCCGAGACGGCCGCTTGGATTGGCCAAGCTTACCTGCGAGGCGAGGGAACTGAGCAAGACTTTGAAAAGGCTCGCATCTGGTTCCAGCGTGGATTAGTCCTTGGCGATACTGGCTGCCAGTATGGCCTTGCCCTCATGCATCTGCAAGGCCTTGGAACCATCCCAAAAGACCGGGAAAAGGCCATCTCATTTTTGCAAGCAGCCTCTGATGCAGAACATCACATGTCTCAGCTCGTACTGGGTAAAATTCTGATTGAAGATCCAGATATCACTTTCGCAGTTCGGCTTTTGGAGAGTGCTGCAAAGGGTGGCAAGATCGAGGCGTTCTACTTTCTAGCCCAAATGTATGAGCAAGGCATTGGACGGGAACGTAGCTGTCAGATGGCAACACAGTACTACAAGATGGTTGCAGAATGTGCCGAGAGCCTACATTCAACGATCCCATTTGGCAACAAAGCCTACCAGGAAGGGCGGACGGAGGATGCCATTATTGCCATGATGATTGCGGCAGAGTCAGGCTATGAGAAGGGTCAAGTTAATGTTGCGTATCTGCTTGATCAGCACCGTCACTCCTTCTCCTTGAAGGACAGCTTCAAACGCACTGTTGGCCAACAAATCAAGCTGCTACGTCAAAGAATCGGCACAGCACCACCGGATCCAGTGAATGCGCTGCAGGAGAAGGAAGCAGAAGAACAGCCTAGCTTGGCGGATGAACTGGCCTTGCTATACTACACGCGTTCTGCTTCACAAAATAATTGGGAAGCACTGGTCAAAGCTGCCGACTATCACTTGGAAGGCTATGGCACATCTGCATCTCCAGAAGAAGCAGTGACGCTCTGGCAGGCGGCTGCAGATTCTCGCGCGATACCACTAGCACTCTGGAATCTAGGCTGGAGCTATGAGAATGGTGTGGGTGTGGAGCAAGACTTTCACATGGCGAAGCGATACTATGATGCGTGTCTCGAGTTGGACAAACGTGCAAATTTGGCGGTGACCTTGTCGCTTTTCATGTTGCGTTTGCGATCTGCGTGGAATACCGTGACTGGTGGTAGTGTTCGGTCCATCAAGAAGGACGAAGATGCTCCCGTTGCATTCAGCTTCAAGGCCATCTGGACGGGCTTCAAACACTTTTGGCGCTCACAATGGGATCTCCCCACGGACGAAGCGTATCCGGAAGAGGATTTCCTGGATGAAGACTTCCCCTCGAGCGGCGAAGACTTGTACGAGTCGCTGCTCATCCTGTCCATCTGCCTGTTCGTGGCAGGGGCCGTCTATGTTCGTACAAACTGGAACAACCGGCGCCTCGATCAGCAGGCAGCAGCACAACACGGCGGCGGCGGTAATGGCCCACCTGGTGCGCCTCCTGCTGCTGCTGATCCGCATATGGCTGCATTCATTGGCGGTCTACCTATCTAGCCTTATATCAGCTACTCTGGCATCTTCTACTTGTGACTGTTCTATTTACCATTAGTCTAACCCTGCCGCCTGAATGCACACGAGACGACTGACAAGACGCTGGCGTGTCCAGAAGCCAGTAGCTAGACGCTTACATTGCTTCCTCCTGCTCCAGTCATCATGGTATCATCTATACTTTCCTACCATTGAGGAACAATCTGTACTGACAAAATGCGCGTGTAGAGCGATACATCACGTCCAACCTCACCCGCACCACCAGGCGGTGTGCGTTCCTTGATTCGACGACGCGCAGCAAAAGACCAGTCTGCCAAGGAAGCGGCGATGCGACCTGCGGGTACACGAGCAGCTGGTGCTGGCGGTAGTAACGCGACGCAGCTGCGTCTGTACACAGATGATGCTCCTGGCTTGAAAGTGTATGTTTTGCAACCATGCCAAGCTTGTGCGGAGATGCTAACGTTGGTTTCAGGGATCCTTTGGTCGTGATGGTACTGTCTGTTGCGTTTGTCGGCTCTGTCTTTGCTCTTCACATCATTGTATGCATCCTAGGCATATCAACACTCAATGCTAACCATGTCCTAGGCCAAGATCATCTCCAAATTCAGCGCATAGATTCGTCATTACTCTATGCAATGCTATAACCAAAACTGAACGCTGCTCTACGCTTGAATGCCAAAAATGAACGTAGACGCGAAGCATGACATGCTCGATGCATTTAGCTGATGAGATTGAGCGTATACACCACCGTGATTGTGAGCGTGAATCCCAGTAGCGCATACTGAACGAGCAATACCACACCAAGACTCTGCGTCTCTAATTCTCTGCCCTCTGTTGCAAAAATCTGCGTGACATACATGAGTGATGTCGCTGTCGGCGTTGCAGCCGGCAAAACCAATACCAACCTCAGTACTAGATCTGAAGGGGCCATGAGCTTACCCGAGAGGAACTGCATCCATGCAATCCCAATAATCGGACTCACCACCAATTTCAAAAGGCCAAGGACGATGGCGCTGCGGACGGCAGGGATGGGTTCACCGCGTTTGATACGAAGTCGAGAGAGTGCATACCCGAGAATCAACAGCGAACAAGGGACCGTTGCGCCTCCGATAAAGTTGGTGGTATCGGTGATAAAGGCCAATGGCGGTTGTCCATCTGGTCCATCAGGCATGCTCACTTGAAGCGTCGTTGTTGGATCAGCCGCTGATAAGTGGGTAAAGAGTTGTTTGAGGGGTGTCAGCATGGCGATGGGGAAGGCCAGCAGCGTCGCTGCAGAGGGCGGCGACAAGAAGCGTTTGAGGATCACCAGGGCGACATGTTTATTGCGTTGCCAGCCAGTCCGTTCATCAGAGGCAGCCGTCGACGATGCTGCCGAAGACGACGGACGTTTCTCTGGTTCTGCTGTACCAGACTTGCTTTTACTCCTGGCTGATGGAAGCCTTGTGATCTCTTGCGGGTCAAACAGTGCGTGCATGTCGCCGTGATCGAGCAAGCCAGACGTAACTGGCTTGAGACGTAAAGATTCGGTACTCCCGCTGCGAACAAAGCCTAGTGCTGCACCAGGCTGTAGAGGGCTCATTGGTCGAGCGCCTGTAAGTCTTTCTACTGGTGGGATAGTAGCTGTGACTGTGCTGATCGTCTCCAGAGGCACATTCTGCGTGGGTGATGTGTTCTCCATTTTAGTCTTCCATAGAGATGCTCGTTCCTGGATACTCTGCAGCATGCTACTGATCTTGCTCTTGTTCTCAGCGAGCCTGCTTCTCGCATGAGACGCCCTCTCTTCATCAGGAATGGGAAACTTGAAATCTCGTTGTACCATTGCCGTACCCAGATTAAAAAACACAATCGTCTGCATAAAGATGAAGATGGTGATGTAGGCAAAGGACTTGTCAAGTGCCGCTTGCCCCGAGAAGGGCGCCGATTGTGTAATGGTACCAAGCATCACGAGTGGCAAATCTCCCCAATTGCTAAAACAGCCAGCAGCCAAGATGCCGTTTTCCCAACCGCGCGGACACTGAGTGACGAGACGTGTGATGTAGCCAAAGACCATGCCGATTGCCATATACAAGATGGCCGTGAGTACCAAGATGCCAATTTCTTTACCCATTGAATTGTCAATACCAACGACAATCTTGCTGAAGATGAGGCATGGCAGGAATACATTGATGACTGCTTGTGAAAGTGCCCGTGAACCCTGAGAGTCTAGTAGGCCTTTGCGAGCGAGAATGGTACCAGCGGCGGCTGTGAGCACGAATTTGAGGAGTGCCCGGACAGCGGTCCAGATGATTGCGCCAAGGTTGACTGACATGGTTGTAGTACTATACAGTGCATGAGAAGATCAAGTACCCAGAGCCTATGTGCGTACTGGCCTTGCCGCAAACATGGCTCGTTGTGTCGCTGGATGTCGAGCTGGATCGATATCTTTTGAGAGATCAGATGGAGACAGCGGCACTTGCCTACTTTGTCTATGGGATCTTCTTGGTATGGAGAAAGAGGCAGCTCACGGAGTCAGGGCCGTCGCATGAGTACACAAGGTCGACTGCACTTTGAACTGGCGTCGAAGCCCAACGAAAGAATGCGACATACGCTTGCATGTCGGTTGCGATTGACATATGCGTATCTTGGTGAAAGCATGCTTGCCGTGTACAGCAGCAAAGGTAGTGTCCATATTGTAGAGACTGTAGTGCATCTGTCCGGAGTCCGTGGCTCATTCTCCAATAAGCAGCATCTGTCCATGCTGCAAGGTTCTTCCATCACTCAATAGCGCATCCTCAGCCATCTACCTCTGATGCCTGACCAATCTCTACCGCCTGCACAGGGACTCGTCCCCCTCTTCCTCGAATACTATTCTCAAGTGCCTCATTCTCGCTCTCCAACGCTTGAATATACTCACTCACTTTGCCCAACACCAACGCTTCACTCTTACTCTGCGATGGCTCCAAACTCGGTACCAGTACACACAACTGATCAAAGCCAGCACGAATCGCTTGTCGTCTCTTTTGCTCGCTTTGGATGTGATTGGCCTTCTTCTCTAGCGGTGAGAGAAGGTCTTGCGCCATTGAGGCTGTTGCTGTCGTGGGTTTCGTTGGGGATGCGCTTTTAGCAGTATTGGCGTCGCCTGGTCTAGAGGTACCGTTGCCGGCTGTAGCCATAGCAGGCCCTGCTGCCGATGCGACGCTAGAGATCAAAGTAGTTGAAGAAGTAGACCTCTGGCTCGTCGCATGTGAAGAGAGAAAGTAAACAGTCACAAAGATGAAAAGAAGAGAAAGATACAGAGAAAGTACAGGAGAGCCTAAGCAGACAAGAGATAAAGACAGACAGACAGACGCGCAAGCCAAAGCATAAACACCAACAACACAGACATTCTTTTCTCATCAATTGTGATCAGCCAGACACCGCAGAGGGTCCCAAGCCAAGTGACTTTTTGAAGCGGTAAAACTTGAGACGCAGACCGAGGATGAAGTCTCGCCAAACAGCTTTGAAGCCCTTGACACGCTGTCCCTCCACTCTGAGTGTCTTGGGCGCTGAAGACTTTGTGGTTGGATAACGCGCATAACCCGATCCACGCACCATCTCCAACTGAACACCAGCAGCCGCTGCTGCATTCGCAGGGGGTTGCATCGTGGCAGAGGATAAGGAAGCAGCATGCATGGCACTCGCATGCCCATACGTCGATAGTAATCCATCCTTCCCACGCGTCTCTGGGGTTTGTTGCCAAGCACGCTGTGCTGCTTTCAAAGAAGCATCACCACCGCCACGTCGCCGTTTCAAACGATCTAATCCGCTGCCATGCCCGCTACTGCGTTTTGACGAGGCATCTAAACTGCTTCGTGGTGCAGGAATCGGTGCAAGGGGTGGTGGCGGTACATATTTGCCATCACGATCGAAACTCGCATGTTGTGGGAGATCATCGGAACCACGAATACTATATTCTCGAGAGACGCGTCGGAGTGCTGCTGAAGTGACGCGTCGGAGGGGTGTTTGTGAGCTGGTAGCAGAATGCAGTGTGCTAGAGCGTGGACGGGAAGAGCCGCTGGCTGTGAGGAGGGGTGAGGGCGCTTCAAAAAGGTGGGTGTCTGCTGGTTCTTCTTGGTGTGTGTGGATCACGGGTGAGCGCGGATAGTCGAGGTGCATCATCGTTGACATCCTCGCTGTGTCTCCGTGTACCTGGTCTCTTGTTTGTATTGACTCGTCACTTTCAGGCAACGGTCGATGCTCTTGAGCTTGTGCTTTGTCTTGTCTAGTAGGTGTAGAGATGAGACGGTGAGACAGTGCGACACTCTGGCGCTGTTTGATGAGCGCGACAGAAACAGGGACGGTGGCCAAGTGCCAAGGCGTTGAGAGGGGGGTTGAGGCCTTCTTGTGGTGGTGGATGCCCCTGCTCCAGCTGGTCGCCGGGATGACGTCCGACGAGTATGCGCTCCAAACAGGCTCTTGCTCCGTTGGGTGATGCGCTCTTGGTCAGGGGGTGATGCTGCACTGTATAGCCTTCAGCCTGATGCTCTCTACTCGAGGGCCTTCGTGGATATGGGAGAGGGACGAGGTTGGCGGCTGCTTCAAGTTGGTTGGGTTGGCTCCGTGGCTGGCGATGGAGCAGTGAGCAAGATTGACGAGCTGGAGCGGCAGGGACACGGCTCTGGAGGTCTTGGCCGAGGGAGCTGTCTCTTGCTGCATCTGGCCCATATATACTACGTCTATACATCGATCACAGGAAGTAGTCCATTACATCACTCACCCGCATGGTCATATGGCTGCCATCGTCTGTGTTTATTGATACCCTGGTCGCAGCATCTGCATAGCATGAGGCCCAGGCATAGCAAGGCATATCAAGTCTGTTGACAAGACTACAGATCGCAGTCCCTTCCTCGCCAGACTGCTAGGATACTGGTACCAGTCTCGCAGCACTGTCCTGATCTTGATGGTGCATGCAGCCGTTGCCGTGCTGTGATGCGAGATTGCAATTTCAACGGCGAAATACGCGAAACGGACACAGGACATGGACTGTACTTCCCTTCTCATGCCATTTGATCGTAGCTAGAGGTCTAGATATTCTCTGCTCTATTGAATCTCAGGCTCAGCTAGCTAGCATCTTCCCTCCTAAATATAAGTAGCTGGCCAGCCTCGATGACCGCTCTGACATGTCTCAGATCAGCTGAGACTTCCATGGAAAAGTCTTAATCCTCCCTCAAATATTCATGGCAGAAGATATCCATAAATTCACATCAAACTGCTAAAGCATCTACAACGCAGTGGCTCGCTTCTTCTCAATCTGACTCGTCTGGCGACCATCTCGGTAGACACGCCAGTAGTGCTCCGTGAACGCACTCACACCCATCTCCTTCAAGAATGTCTCGTCGTGCGTAATGACAATCAACTGAAAGTTGGCCTGACGACGTCGTTGCTGCACCAAATTGTGCAACGCCTTCGCCAGACTCTTGATGTTCTCGCTGTCGAGGTTCGTGGTGGGTTCATCCAATGTCAGCACACCACAGCTGATACCAAAACACTCTGCGAGTGCCAACCGAATGATGATGCAGGCAAGCATCTTTTGGCCAGCACTGCATCGACCACGCATTTCAAATTCCGCATCCCCCTTGACCATGCGCACATTGTACTTGTACGTGCGATTTGCTGCTGAAGGCTCACCTTCAGACTCAATGTAGATGCGATCCACATCCGTACCCACATACGTTGTTTGCCACAAATCCTGAATGGTGCGATTGATTTCAGCCATCTTGATGGCGTGGTAGCGCATAATGGCAGAATCCAATGCCTTGCCATACTTCTCCAGATCCTCATTCGCTTTTTCCATGGTCGCCACCTTGATGAAATGCCTGCGATGTACTTCAGCGGCATCCTTGTATTCAGTCGCAAGCTGCCTTTGCAATTTCTTGAGCTCATCATCCTTGGCACGCAACTCACCGAGCAAACTCGACTTTTCCAGCTGCAAGCGCGAAAAGCGATCCTTATAGCGTTTCGCCTCTTGACGGTACTTTTCTCGATCACGCTCTGCATTTTTAGATTCGAGATCTTCCACCTGTTGTGTCAGGTGCAGCACATCCTGTCGCATCCTGCGAAGACGCAAGTTGTCATTCATATTGCGCTGCGCAGATGCTTGGTCTGCCTGCTGCCTCTCAGCATCTCCAATCTTTTGCGTAACAGCGGCAAGACCTTCTTCAATGGTTGTAATCCCGCTTCGTATCTCCTTGGTCTTTTCCATGGCTTGCTTGAGCGCCGCTGGACCACCTTTGGCAAGATAGGCATCCATATCATCTTGCACAGACTGCAATGTATTGTGTGAGACAGTCAAGCGACTCGTCTCGCGTCGTACCTCTGATTGTCGCTCGGCAGCATTTTCCTTCAACTGCGCCAACGCCACACGTTTCTCCGCCAAAACAGGTTCAAGAGCCTTCAACGATTCGTCTGCCTTTGTGATTTCTTGCTTGTATTGCGCAGCAGCTTCCTGAGCTTCAGTCACGCGTACTTGAAGTTGCTTTTGCTCGCGCAATCGTCCATGCACTTCAGCGAGTTGGTGCTGGAGCTCGCGACGACGCATCTCAGTCTTGGACAAGGTTGTCCGCGCTTGCTCCTTGTCACTAGCAAGGCGATCGGCGTCACGCTTCAAGTCCTTGATGGTCTGTTGTAATGCAGCGAGTCGTTCAGGCAAATTCTCCAAACCACTCCCTGCGCCAGCCATCGTCAACTCTGTCTGCAGATTATCAATCTTGCGCGTCAATTCGCGCATCTCGCGTTCCATCCTGTTGACATCCACAGCGACCTGCTTGAGTGCTTCAAGTTTCTTGAGTTTTCGAGATAAATCACTCACCACGGCAGACGTCTTTTCAGCTGTTCCCAAAGCTTGCTGAAGCTCGCCCTGGGCAATCTGTAGCTTGGCTTCAGACTCCTTTACCTCTGGCAGCAACTTGGTCCAACTTTCATGCGCTTTCAGGAATGGCTCTGCCCATTCCTTCTTTGCAGTCGCCAAGTTCTCTTCATCCTCTGCAATTTGATCAGGCAGGGACGCCTTGAGATGTTCATAGCGTTCCACGAAACCATCCATTTCCGTTTGATTCTCGAATGCCCGTTCACATAGTGTGCAGCACTTGTCATTTTTGCAAACTTCAAATGCTTCATCAAACAAATGAATCATGGACTCTGCTTTGGCAATCTTCTTTTCCAGTTCCGATACTGCCGATGTGATGAAGGCGTAGGCATCCGCAACGCGTTCTTCAACACTGAGATTTGGATCGCCGTTTTGGAGCTTGTCCTCTGGGCTACTATCCTCCATCTGCTCCATCATCTTCTCCAAGAGTTCTTTTTGCTTCTTGACGGCATCCTTCAATGTCGCCACTTGCACTTCCTTGGTGGACAAGCCTCGTTGGGCTCCGGCCTGAATCACTTCATTATCCTTGAGGGAGATGTTCATCACGGAAATGGCTGCAGCCACATCCTCACTCAGCGAAGCAATCGACCACGACCGTCCCGTCATCTCCTCAAATGTTTTTGCATGGAGCTGCCCAAGTCCAGCAAGTTCCTGTTCCTTGCGTTGCTTGTCACCTTGGAAGATGGTCAGCTTTGCTCGCGCATCCGCTTGCAAGCTGCCACGGCTCAATTCCGAGTTGACATTATCCTTGTCATCTTCAGCAGCCTCGAGCTCTCGCCGTTTTTGACGAATTTTGACATCCCATTCGCCAGCTTCAGATTCCTTGACGGCTTTTTCATAGGCCTCTTCGGCACGCAACAAGTCAGTCTGGAGGGTTTCTTCGTCAAGCTCGTTTTGGTTTGCACGTTCCAGTTGTGCTTCCATTTGCGCAAGCTTTGCATCTTGCTGCCTCATTTGCGTCCTGGCTGCAGCACGTTGCTGCTCACATGCCGTACGCTGAGTCAGGAGTGCCTGCACTTCTTCAGCTAAGACCTCCTCTGCTTGTGCGTCCTCGCGAATCAGACGATCTAATTTCGCTGCTTGCGTTTGCAGTAGCTGTCCAAATTGCTTTCGAAAGAGGGCAACTTGCTCTTCATCCAAATCAAATTCAAATCCACGCACATTATGTTGCCGTGCAGTCTGCTTGATGACGTGTTCGCGTTTCATGACTTGTTGATCGTACGCCTCTGCTTCAGCCTTCCGACGACCTTCCTCACGCACAGCTAGGTCGAGTTGATCGCGCGCTCTTTCAAGTTGTTCACCAGCCTGAAGACGCTGGCTTTGTAGATCCTTCATGCGGCTTGAAGCACGTCGCGCATGCTCATCATAGTTGGCAAGTAGCTCCTTCAACTCATCATCCGTCTCTGAGAATTCCTTCACATTGCGAGCCAGGTCATCGAGTGTTTCCTGCATGACGATGCGTTCATGACGAAACTTTTCGAGATTGGCCAAGATGCGCTCAAACTCTTGACCGCTGTTGAAGAGTGCTTCTTGCTCCTTGATGAGGGTATCGAGACTTTTATCCAAATGTGCTGTCCTGGTCGACAGCAGTGAGATTTCTTCGCTGAGCTCCACAGAGGCTTGTTCAACACGCACTGCGCGTTCCATGTCGACTTTGAGGCCTTGGAGTGTCGCCTTGTCAATCTTGACCTGTACTAGCTGTTCCTTGCGTACACTCTTGATTTGATCCAATGCTTTTGTATATTTGAGAGCGTTGAAGATCTCATCGAAACGCTTCTTCAAGAGCGCAGGCTCAGATAGCGGCCATGTCGAGTCTTCCTGGTGGCAAAAGATGACATACTCCAAGATGACTTTACTGACCCCAAGTGCTTTAGGCACAGCTGTATTCATCTCTGCACATTTATTGGACAAGGTTGTTGTTTCGCCATTCGTGCGTTTTAGCGTCAATGTACCTTCCAGCGTCTTCATCTGTGTTGCCGCCTTCTTCTTTGCAATAGCCTGTACATAGCGCGTCGCCACCTCCATCTCACCGGCACAATCCCAAAAGGACATCTTGACGCATGCGTTCACTTCACGCGCACCCACCATACCGGGATCTTGAATCCAGCCGGCATTCTTGGTGTTGCTTGGCATTTCGCCCGTCGCCGCATACTTGAGGGACTCAATAATGGTCTGAGCATTAGCTAAGAGTCGATTAGCATGCAAATGGAAAGCGTACCGTCTTGCCACTTCCATTGGTGCCGACAATGAGCGTGAGCGGTGTGCCAAAAGTGATGACTTTTTGATCGCCATGGTCGAAGGATCTGATGCCTGTTATACCAAGCTTGATGATGCTGGACATGGCATCCGAGCGGACGAGCTAGGACGTCCGCAAGCTGGGACCAGGTAATTTGCTTTGAAGGTGCTTGGTCGCGTCCACTCTGTAGAACCAAATGCGGTCGCGTCCAAAAATCAATCTTGGGCCCAGAGCAACGACACCACACAACCTAGCTAGCTTTCAAGTCTTCCGCTCTCTCTGCAATCGCTGCCATGTCTGCTCAAGCTGATCAGCAACCACTGCTTCTCAAATTCCAAGTCCCCTCCGACCGTCTCAAAGTCATTGTCGCTTCCTCTGCCGTATCAGTCCCCAAGAAGCGCGCTCGTGATGACGCAGCGAGTTCTGTTCGCAGTAGTCCACCGCCGTCTAGTCCCATGGGCTCTGTAGCTGCTGATGCATCTGTTTCTCAGGCAAAAAGGCAACTTCTACGCAAGAAGAATGGTCCGAAACGAAAACCGAAAACGGTTGGGTTGACGGAAGCGCAGCTCGCTCAACAGCCTTTGCAGCATCAGCAAAATGCCGCTGGTGAGGGGAAGTCGAAATTAGGACCTCGTATGAGTGATGTCAAGGCGATGTCTGGAATTGGCAGTGCTTCTGGTAGCAAAACAGGAACGGCAGCGGGTCATGGAACGCCTATACCTGCTGGCGGTGCAGCTGGCCATGCCATGCCAGAAGCTTATCGTTTGCTCGATCGAAGTGGCAGTAAATGTAAACGCTGGAGACCTAGTAAGCTGCTGGTGCACTCCATCAGCGGATATCGCTGGCATGCAAAAACCTGGCATATCGCGAAGGAAAAGGCAGTGCAACCGTCGCCTCAGAAGGAGAATGCCGTTGTTGCTACTATCGCTACGACAAAGTTTGCTTGATCTTGTGCTTCTCTAAAAGAGTCTAAATCGTGGTACGGGATCGAGCATGAACCAGCCGCCATCTCAGTACGCCAAGCTTGATACTGCTCCCGACCGCTGTTTCGATCTTCAGGTGCTCCAACTTGGCTGGTTGCTTCCTGCTCTTTCAAGTCGATCCATTCTCATGCTGCGTGATCTTGTTCTCGTGGAGTTCAAGTCGAGGAAGGAGGACGCGATCTATTGCCGATATTGACAGCAATCACAAGGTTTTCTCAATCATATGGGTTGCAGTCTGTCCAAAAGTCTCAAGAGATCATTTGCACCGAGAATCAGTGGCGATTCCAACACTCCACTGTGGACTGTCCCGCTCTTCTCGCTTCAATACAGCTCGTCCTTTAGTGTCCCGTAGGCATGCTTTTCCCTTCATCTGCTCGTACTCTCACTTGATCACGATTCCGATGATTGTGCTGGCCGACTCTTGCCTGGACTCGAAAGTACTGGGCGTACGGTATGAAGAAACCGGTGTGCCACTAAAAGTAATCAGATCGCTGGGTATGCAGTCCTGATCAGACAACGAAGCGCAGCAAAGCACAAGGCACAGGTGGTCCGCGACGAACTACAAGAATGCCACAATGGTTCTACGCCAACTGCACAGTCAGCCGATCAGGATGCGTCAGAGATAGTGGGGGGCTTCATCACAGTTCATGGCATGCAAAAGGGGATCAGACAGAACGAGGAACGCTTCTTGTCCAGGCTAAGAAAGCTTGGGTTTCTTGCGCTATGGCGCCAATCGAGCGACATAGGAAGTCAGGTTGCGCACCTCGCGTACCAGTGTGCTGGGCGGCAGACTGTGGTTAGCAGAGTCCCTCGCTGCTGCTGGCACACTTACTATGGCTCCATGTACGCATCAGCTATGTTAATGCTGAACATGGCAATGCCCGGTAGGATGAGGACGGTGATCAAGACAATGGCGCAAGGAGTGCAGTGATCAGAGCAATGGCGAGATGAGCGCAGTGATTGATCAGAGCACATTGATGCCTACTTGCGCCATCGCATTGGTCACTGTTTTAATTCTACCTGGGGTCGCAATGATTGGCGTAAATATCGCTGACTTGTATATGGAGCCTTAGTAAGTGTGCCAGCAGTAGCGAGGGACTCTGCTTATCACGGTCTGCCGCCCAGCACACTGGTACGCGAGGTGCGCAACCTGACTTCCCATGTCGCTCGATTGGCGCCATAGCGCAAGAAACCCAAGCCTTCTCAGCCTGGACAAGAAGCGTTCCTCGTTCTTTCTGTTCCTCATCGGAGTGATGCGAGGAGCTAGTGAACACGTACCTGGTAAGGCGTCTGACTCAAGCAACCTAGATATTGCAAATAGGATTGTTACGGACGAGGAGCAGAGTAGAGGCTCATGCTCTCTATGAAGTAGAATAAGGGGTGCCCATCACGTGAACGCGCGCGACTCGCGGCAGAGAGATGCACTAGCAGTCACATCCACGCGAGTGGGTACCAGACTGCTTAAGAGTTCCTCTACTACTTGATCGGTTCAAGACCGTTCTCCTGAGTGTTGGCAATCATGGAGACAGGCACGACATGCATGGCTGTCAGTGCATTACAAGGTACTGACGTCGGATTGACGTGCCAGCTTCTGGGCTCATTGCAGATTCGCCTTAGTCTACCTAATGCTCGATGCTCGCGCTTATTGCCTAGGTGCACTTTGCAGCTTGCGGGTATTTACTCAGTCCATCCTGCACTCTTCAGACTTAAAGAGTTGCTTGGCATTGTCGTGCCGCAGCAAACATCAGACATCAGCAACTTTTCACCATGTCCACCGTCAGGATGTGCATGTCAGTGAGCACAACAGCGAAAACAAACCATGTGATACCATGCTGGGAAAGTCCTCGAAGGCCATGAGATATATTGGTGACGTTGTTGCCGAGAAGATATCTGTCCTGGTGTGCCGAAAGTGAATTTGAAAGATGAGCAGACCGGGCATCCGCAGCGTATTGCAGAGACAAGCTCTCAAAACGAAGAGCAAAGGCCGCAAAGCTTGCGTCACAAGCTGCCGCTACATCCAGCGCAAATGCAATCGCGGTCGCTGGCCCAACAGGGATCGTTCGCAGCGCTCCAACTGCGTCCTCATTTAGTACCACTTGTGTCTCAGGTGCTATCCCAATCTCAGCGTTGCTCAACTCGCCGAGCCAGCGAACGCTGCACACGCCCAGCCCGCAAACAATCTTGAGCGTTGATCGAAATATCTTTTCTCCAAGGTTGTGTAGTCCATCTGATGCTGCAAAGACTGCGTGTGGCGTGCCACAAGGTCCAGCACTGGCTTCCATGGTGGCAGCAACAGTCGCGCCTTCTCGGCATCGTGCAGCACCAGCTTTGGTTTGTATTTTTGTTCTTTGTGCTTGTCTGACTCTCTGACTCTAGATTCCTCTTCACTGCTGGTTCGGCGAGTTCAGCAAAGCTGATATTGGGATAGTACCAGGAAACCCAGTGGTACTGAATGTGGACACAGTTGGAGCGCTGCGGACGGCTCCTGTTGGGCCAGCAATCGCGTTTGCATTTGCGCTGGATGTAGCGGCAGCTTGTGATGCAAGCTTTGCGGCGTTTGCTCTTCGTTTTGAGTGCTTGTTCTTTTCGCGACGCAGGGCCTTGTAAGCTTCCTCTTCACTGCTGGTTCGGCGAGCTCGTGGCATTGAAGAAAGAGGGACTGTCGCTGACAAGATTACTGGTGATTGTTTTGTGGTGCAGCCTAATGATGCAAGAGTCAAAGACAAGTCTTCGGCGAGAGTGAGAACGAGGTCGAGGGCGAAGGCAGCGCGACGGCAGGCCTACATAGGCAAGCATCCCGGCTCAAGTCAGCATCTGGCCAATCGTGTAGCCTCAGCAGAAGGGAGGCATCGTGCCAAGATGTCATCTTTCCCATGGCGAACCGCAATCTTCCTCGTTGCGTAGCAAAGTAAGTAACGACGAACAAGCCTGACCTTCAAAGCTGACGGGAAAACAGCGCCATGGACGGAGGTATTGCCCAGGGTTCAGATAATCAATATGCTTTAGACCTACTCTCAAAGGGCTTGCCCAGTAGAACGCTTGGAAACGCCCTCAAAAGCACAGAACAGCAGTGCCCATACCGTCTATTAGCAAGCCTGCGAAAGCATCTGGTAAGAGGCCGTGCCCAAGCCAATACCGCAGATATAGGGCCACTCGGTGGATTACTCCGCTCAGCCGCAGCTGATTAAAAGGGACGCAGTCCAACAGTTCCTGTGCCGTCACTCGGCAACGGCTGCATGCAAAGTAGTTTCATGCGTGATTCTCACCTGTACGCACAGCTCATAGCTCCATCTTTAACGTTTTGTTGGTCATGGTCTGGGTGCGGATAGTTTGTGCCATCTCCTCATGTGCTCAGGGCCAAGCACGTGGCCATGAACGTCACGATCGCCTCAATCTCAGCAAGCTGCACGTCTGTACGTGGTTTCTTAGATGTTCTGTCTGGAGTCTATGAGCCTTATCCTTGTATTGCCTTGCGCTATGGCGCTAAGCGGACGACGTAAGAGGTCAAATTGCGCACCTCGCGTACGAGGGTGCTGGGTGGCAGACTGGTTAGCAGAGTCCCTCGCTGCTGCTGGCACACTTACCAAGGCTCCATGTACGTACGCATTAGCGATGTTCACGCTGAACATCGCGACGCCAGGTAACATGAGAACAGTCGCCAATGCGATGGCGCAAGCTGCCATCAATGTGCTCTGATCACTCACTGCGCTCATTTGGCCATTGCTCTGATCACTGCACTCCTTGCGCCATTGTCTTGAGCACCGTCCTCGTTCTACTGGGCATTGCCATGTTCAGCATTAACATAGCTAATGCGTACATGGAGCCATAGTAAGTGTGCCAGCAGCAGCGAGGGGCTCTGCTAACCACAGTCTGCCGCCTAGCACCCTCGTCCGCGAGGTGCGAAATCTGACCTCTTATGTCGCCCGACTAGCGCCATAGCGCAAGGCAACACAATGATAAGGCTCATAGACTCCAGACAGAACATCTAAGAAACCACGTACAGACGTGCAGCTTGCTGAGATTGAGGCGATCGTGACGTTCATAGTGCGTGAGCTGCGCAACTTAACTTCATATGTAGCTCGATTGGCGCCATAGGCTCGTAGCGTACGAAAACCAAGCTTCCTTAGCCTGAGCAAGAAACGTTCTTCATTCTATCTGTGCCTCTACTGCTTGGTAGGTTCAAGACTGTCCTATTGAAGTGTTGGCAATCATGTAGACTATGGGCTCATCGCCGATTCGCCTTAGTCTACTGTCTATCTCTTGCTCAATGCTCGCGCTCATTGCCTAGGTGCACTCTGCAGCCTGCGGGTATTTCAATCGTGCAATTTTTGGGTTACTTGTGAAGTTGTGACTCGGGGAATAGATTCTACCGAGACACAGTCACGCTAGGACTTCAGTTGTTGCAACCTGCAAGTGACAATGACTTGAATGTACTTTGGGGCTGATTGATGGAGCCGCATTGGAGTATGTTTCGGGCTGTGTCTTGTTTTTGTACAGCTTACACGTTTGAGACATCATGGCAGTGGACGTGTCTTTTGGGTCATCCACGGACGCTAAGAGTGCTATAGCCTATGGCTGGAAGTTGAGTGGGACCTTGAAAGAAGCGTGCCGAGGCTGTCTCACTATCGAAATCACTGACTGACAGTTGTGTGTGACGGTATGTCGCCATGAAGTCGATTTCAGTTGAAGGCTGCCACGCTTGATGGCTGCTAATAAGTTGCTATCCGCCTTTTCATCTCCCAGAGTTGTGGATTTCATTCTTCGCTACCACTGCTGCGGAAATCCACGGCAGGACTCTGAGTCTGAGGCTTGAATTGGCCTGATTTTTGAGTTGTTCCTTGTTCTTATGTATGGTTCATACAAGATAGATAGGCGTAGCATCACGGCAGGTAGGTGCTGCCATGCCAGGTGCGTCCTCAATGTCCCTGTCTGATGCGGCATGATGGCGCTCCCCCCTTGTCTGAGAGAGATGAGTCGTGACATAAGCAGGCAGATCCGCTTTCATTTTCTGGTGAGAGAGGGGAGAAGGCCTCAGTCTCATGATCAGAGAGAGAGAGAGAGAGAGCCAGACACCGCCAGACTGCCAGACTGACACGGCAGCTCAGCAATAATCCACGCCGACGCCATCCTCCATTGCTCTCTCTTGCTGCCACTCAATCCATCGCTTGACTAGACACACACACACACACACAGCCTGACACAGGCCCACATTGCAAAGCTCTCACGCGCAAAATCGCTTGCCAACTTGCTATCATACTTACCTGAGAAGCACCCGTTGCAGTCTCGCTCTCTCTTCCCTCTTCCTCTCGTCCTTCCCTCGTGTCTCTCTCTACACCAAAGGCACTTGCTCTCGTGCATACTACAGAGAGACGCGAAAAGGCCTTCTCTTAGTTGCCGGGGCCACCACCTTCCACTGGCCCGCGCGGTATTGTGTCGCGGCCCGTTTGCAACCTTTTACCCATCGCTGCTTGTTTGAAGGACACACCCCGAGGGACAAGCCAGTGCTAGCACCGTCTCTAGGCCTCGACCTCCAGCTCCCTGTTTTGTGCAGCACGGGCCTTTTACCCATTCGCCACACAGCGCGCACTCCTTATATATACGCGCCAACTCGACACACTCCCACCGAGCAACAACCTCCTTCGATCCTCGATCAGACAATTCACGTCCATCGAGATCCTTTTCCCTACCAACCGGTCATCCAAGAAACTCTGGGCTAGTCTAAGCTCAAGCCTAATCAACGCTGGAGCACCTTCAACGAATCGCGTGTGAGGTAGAGAGGTGTGAGTATGGAATCAGTTCCAGTCAGCAACACCAGCAACAAACAAGTCCACGACCAGCACCAGCAGCAGTCGCAGTCGCAGCAGCACATCGAAGCGGCAAGTCCCAAGCGATCCCGATCGGAGAGTAAGCAAGATCTCGCAAGTGCTGCAGACGTGCATGCGCGTCGACGGCCTTCTCAGGTCGGCCGCCTTCACATCGATACACAGCAGCCACGACTGCAACATCAACAGCAACCACTGGAATCCGGGCCTTATGCTGTGAAAGAGTCAGCAGCCACAGGCATGACCGTCGATGTCACGCGTCGTCGGCAGTGGTCTCAAACCATGCTCGATGTCCTGCAAGACCTCTCCCTCGTTCTTTCACCCGACGGCCTCATTGTATGGGCCCCTCGCACCGCCAAAGCACTCCTCGGCTATGAACCAGAGAAACTCGTCAACGAAAGCATGGCCGATCTCATTCGACCTGACGAAGTAGCGCATTTCGTCCATCACCTACAGGAATCGATCGATCAACAAACGGACTTTTATCACTACTACCATATCCGCAAAGCAGACGGTGACTATAGCTGTCTCGAAGTCTCTGGCAGGCCGCATTATGAAGAAGTCAGGGATCCCGTGTCGGGCGGTAGGATGCATGCGTCGCGTTGCTTCTTCCTAAGTGCACGACCACACCCATCGCGCGCAGCACACGCACTCGATACGTTCTTTGATATCAAGAAGGAGAATGAGATGTTGCGACAAAAGCTGATGGATCTCGGTGTGAGGCAGGAGGAGTTGTCGGAGATGGGCGTCCTTGGTGAAACATCGTTGGGGACGCACAGTTCAGGTCATGCGAGTGCTGTCGGTGGTGGTGCAGGTGTGTATGAGCAAGGACTTGAGGGAGCATCGAAGCAGTCGAGCTTGCAGCACTGGCAGCAAGGCAGCCAACGCAGCTCGTCACCCTTTGCACGAGCACAGACGACGGCGCCGTATGAGGCGATCTTGGCACAGACGCTTCAGTGGCAGCAACAGCAACAGCAGCAGCAGGCCCCCATGCGTCCGCATCCGCATCTGCAGCAACAAGCCAATCGCGATAGTCCAGCTGTGTCGGATACGTTCGTCAATGCCTTTCTCAGCACAGAAGATCTCGTCAATGACATGTCGCATGCTGCTGGGCAAGGTCCGCATACGTTGAGTGCACTCCACAACACCGCCAGTTACTTCTACGATGTCGGTGGTCAATCTCCTGCAGTGCCCAATGCCGCTCGACCCTCAAGCGGACACGTCGTTGGTAACGATACACGCTCTGCCGTGCAAGATCCACGCTACCTGTCATACTCGGGACTCGCGCAGCAACAGCAACAACATATTCCACCGTCGCAGGATTTCTACCCCTTTGGATCGCCTGAACCGTTTCCTTATGGTTTATACGGTGCACCGACGGGTTATACAGAGTCATCACCCTTCATTGCACCTGGTGTCTTGCCGCAACGTCGTACACCCATCCCAATGCAACCACAGACATCACAGCAGCAGCAGCAACAAACGCCGCTTGGTCCACCTGTGTCGCGACCCTCACCACGACATCCACCAGCTCAACTCTCGCATGCATCACAACATCCAGGATCGCCGGATCGGATGGGTGTACAAACACCATACATGCTAGCGAGTCAAGCACTCGCTGGCTCGAATACTGTGTCGTTGCAAACAGGTTCAGTCACCGTTTCTTCGCAATTACAAACAGAAGATGCACGAACAGTCTTTCCTCGATCAGGTGAGAAGCAAGCGCGTGTAGCGACACCTGCTACTATACAGACAACCACACAGCAACAGCAGCAGCAGCAGCAGCAGCAGCAGCAGCAGCAGCAGCAGCAGCAGCATTCACCCGATCACGCACATCCCAAGTCTCCCAAGAAATTGAAAAAGGTTCGTGCCGAAGGACCTGAGTATGTATGTACGGATTGTGGAACGACGGATTCTCCTGAATGGCGACGTGGACCACGTGGTGCCAAGACGCTGTGCAATGCGTGTGGTTTACGTTTTGCGAAATTGCAGAAGAAGGCAGGTAGTGGTGGTGCTGCTAATGCTGGGCAGAGTACGGTTCAGCAGATGGGCATGCAGCCTAGTACAGAGACGCGTGGACATACAAGGCGTTCCTCTGCGTCAACCATTGGCAGCAGGTGATCGCAAAGGGCATCACGTTGCAATATGGGTGCGTCTGTTTCTTCAGTGATTGTTTGGCAAGTACTGTCAATGGCCCACTACTCATGCCATCGCCAATTTCTCTGGCCAATTGCTACAAAGCAACATCCAAGTCACCTTCTAACAACAATCAAGGATCGTTTCCAACATTTACAACAACGAGGGGACATGCAGCGACAGCCAACACTTTCTTAATCTCTTTTTTTGTCAAAGTGCTCTCTATTCATTGTCGTTCCGATCAGTTTTCACTTATTTACAGGCACAGGCGCTAATGAGCTTGTCGAATGTCGCAGTAGCTATATACATCAATAGAATCTCATGTCGTGTTTATTACTTGTTCTGCACATATAGCTTTGTTGGCCTTGTCAAGTGTCTTTGTTCAATCAACAGCTCGACCCCTGAGTACGACTAAAGAGAGAAGCTCCTGATACAGCTCCTCGCAATCGCTTCAAAGGCCCCTGACTCTCGCGAAGGTACGAGGAAGCCTCGCTATTTCAAGGACTGCCTGTACAGTAAAGCATACCAAGCAGGCCTGTTCCTACATCTCGTGTCTTGGCCAGCCTGCAGCGAGTCGCGTCTTTTTGTTTTGAGGCGACGACGCGACTGATTCAAGCGCAACATCCTCTTGCAGTCGACATCCTACAGTATCGATACAGCGCATCAGCGAGGCGTGTAGTCTCTTTCGCTTGAGTACAGACCTCTGGTTAGAGACGCGCTGAGCTCCATACGGTCATCATGGTAGCCCCATCCCACTTGCACCGACTCAACCTGCTAACAAAAGTACTGGCCAACAACCATCAATGCGATAGCCTTCATGACCGTAACGATTGGTATGGCTTTACTCGTCATGGCGCTCGAAGGCTACGTCTTTGCGCGGTTTGAGCTAGGCATCCTAGGCTATGACCCAGACCTACCTGCCATCTCACAACAAAAGTCAAAGGCCTCCAAGGCGATTCCAACGTACTTTAGCCTCTTCCTCTTTGCGGAGGTCTTTGGCCTCGGCCTCACCTGGGACTCGCTTCGTCTGAAAAACACTATTCAGGTAATTGGACTGTGCATCTACCACTTGGCGCTCGCAACGTACAGTATCATCCAAATTGCACAGATCCGTGATGCTCTCGTCGCTGCAAACCTCACGCCAATCTGGAATGGTACAGAATCACGTCTACCCATTCGTCCGTTTCTCTTCGCCATCCCACCAGTCATCATCGTCTTCAATGGCGCACTCGTCTACCTTGCCTACCGGCTCTACAATGAATTCGGATGGACCATCTACAAACACATTGGCGCGGACTTACAAATGCGACGCCGATACATGGCCTACCAGATCTTCGTCGCCCTGCTCAAATTCGATTTCGTCGTCTTTGTTGGCTTCTCCGTGCAATTCGCCGTCATCCAGCTCGATCGCAGTGACCCAGAGTTCTACATGACCCTGGCTGTCATTCCCATCACCATGCTCGGTTTGCTCTGCACCAGTCTTGCACTGCGTCGTGAAATTCACTGGGCCATGTATCTCGCACTCATCTACTTTCTGGCGGGCGCCGGTTACTTTGTCTTCAAAGTTGAACGCATGTACGCTGGTCCAAAAGCAGCATCTTATGGTGCTGCTCGACGACCGCTCGTGACATTCGCAATCCTGACACTTGCATTGCTCGTTGCCTCGATTGCGAATGCTATTGTCTGTATGCGCAACTTTGGATTCGGTCTCAAACAAATCCTCGATCGTCGGCGCGTCGATTCCTTTGGTCGCAATATGGAAGATGGCGTTGGCTCGGATTTTGTTAGCCCGCATTATCAACCACAACAGTATGATGGAACAGGCTTCGGCTCAGGTGAGCGAGATGGTCAGTACTATAACATGAGTCATGCGAGTTCACCTGAATCAGTGAAGCTTAAGCATATGCATAGCCTTGGCACAAAACGGCTAGAGCTCGACTAAGACTGCTCTGTGAATCTTTTTAGCAAGCAAATTTGTCCTATTCTAATTCAACTTTGAAGGTCTTTGGATCGCACCAAGCGTTCTGCTCTTGAGCAAGGGTCTTACTCAGCTTGTCTACAACGTCTAGTCTTCGGCATACTCCTGAAATTTCTCATCAGATGGACACTACCTTTTCAACATCGAAATCACAAAAGCAATGGCCTCGCTTTCCTCTGTCGTATTGACGTAGTGGTGGTCATTGAATCCATCCGTCAGCAGTGACAACCCCAAGCCAGCACACACAGGATCTTTTGGACGACAGTAATCGCGTGTTCGAGTGACTAAGCGAGCTGGTACTTTTGTGTTTGCCAGCGTCAAGACTTCCTTGATGATGCCAACGCCTTGTCCAAAAGGTGGTCCTCTGTTTTGCGGTTGGCCACTTTGATAGTATGGGTCGCCAAACAAGGTCACGGCCACAATCTGCTGATCAATCTCCTTTCGTTGGCGATTGGGAATCAATGGTTGAACGGGTGGGGGCGTGGGCACATCTGGAAGCTGAAAGGGCGATTGTGACATGGACGCAACAACAACCATGGCACCCTCACTGTATCCATGCATGACAAGACGTGTTCGTGGACAGACCTGTTCCAGAGCATCCACAAACGTAGTCAAGTCTTTGACGCCTTGTTCAGGGGACGAAAAGTAATTCATGGAGGCTGGGTATTGGACTTGATACACACTCCCACGAGGAACTTGGGAGAGTACCGTTCGTACGAGATTCCTGGATCCATTCGGGTCAGCTTGGTCTTCCCCTGTGCCGCGCGCCGTCACAATGATGTAGTCTCGACAGGGCTGCAGGTTTGTCAAGTTGATATCATGAGACGTAATGGCTGATGGAGTTGTCGCATCAGGCAGACTCGTTGGTACATTGGACCCTGGCGTTGCAGGTGATGCTGGCGAGTTGGTCAATCCTGTCAGCCCCGATAACAAGGGAGATCCAGGAAGCTGAAGGATTGGGCTCAGTGGGGTGCCTGCAAGGGGCGGGATGATTGGTGTACCCGGCGCGTTTGGCGATTGCGCCTCAGTCAAGCTTGTTGTTGTAGGCTTCTGCTGCTCCTGGGCTTGCTGCTGGTCTGCAGGGGCTTTTGAGGAGCCAAATGGCAAGAAACTACCAAAGTACTCCCAAAGCGACTGACTTGGTGCAGGTGCTTCCGCTGCTTTCGCCTTGGACTTGTCTTTTGTCAGTTTAGGACTCACTTGCCCAGGAGTCTTCGCTGCAGCTGCCAATGCTTGCTGGAGGGATGATCCCTGTGCTTTCTCAAAGGCTGCGACACGCCGCAGAATGTCATGGTTCCTTGAAAGGGCTTCAGTCTGCGCTGCTGACCTTGCAGGCGCATGATTGATGTTGTTGATACTCTGGACAGCAATGCAAGCAGCAATGTTGAGCCCAACAAAGGCAACGCTGTACCACTGCATGCACACCAACGAGTAGACAGATGACTGGCGCTCAAACCACTCATGAGTGCAACAGACGCTGTTATGATGGCTTGGAGAATGTGAAACGTACATTGCAACGGTGCGGCCGTTTCTCCCTGGCCAATGATGACAAACATGGTGGATGTGACTTCAAAACCATCTGAGCGATCATCACGGCGGTCACGAGATGTAACAGTGAAAGCAGTGTTACAATATGCACAAAGGGTATCTAAATAGGCATTATTCGCCATTGAATAAGCGTACCACCAAATCTGATTGTTAGCCACTGCATCATGCTGAATGAAGCAACACTTACAAAAGACACAGCCAATGAACCGAAACAAGGAGAGTCCTGCAACGCTCCAGAAGATGATGCCGAGATAGATACTGGTGCCGCTCGATGCAGTAGATTGCGAAGCAGCTGTGATTTGACTGACACCACCGATGCCAAGGACGAGTCCAATCAACGCACCATTCGACAAGATCCAGGCAAGGACGACACGCGTGCGAAAGGACTTGTAGTAATCTTCTTGCTTCGTCTCAGCGGATCGTTTGTTTTTCTTCTCTGCCTCTTTGAGCTCAAGTGTCTTGATGGCTTGCATGTATGCTGCGTCAATATCCGTGTCGCTGGTCGGTACTGCAATTTCAACAGTACTGCCGTCCTTCTTCACATTCACAACACCCAAATCAGTCTTGATGCCAGTATCACCTTTGGTACCCCAAGAAATGTCGTGGGTATTGCAAAATGCATATACATTGAGAATGTTGATGTAGGATGGCGAGATGAGCAGATACTGAATGAATGACGTGAACATGTGCCAGGGCTCAAAATATAGAATAGAAGCCACAAGATACAAGCCATACGTTGACAAGAGTGAAATGCAGAGCTGGTAGAAGAGCGGATCACGTTTGATGGCTGCGAAAAAGGTTGTCTTTGTCGGGTTGAGGGCAATAAAGTTGGTAATCTGTGGTTAGCTCGATCAAACAGGCAGGAGGACATACAGAAACATAAGATAAGAATCCAGCTGCAAAGAGCATGTATCCCATGAGCAGCGCAAAGAAGGACATTGTGACCATGTAAGCCCATTTCGAGCCTTGAGGACGGTTGCCGAGCGATAGCACAAAGCACATAACAATCAACGCTGCGTAGATCCAGGTACAGACCGAGTACAGGACAGCGCCTGGAGCAAAGATCTTTTGGCCGATGTGGACGCCTGTAGTCCATTTATTGTCACCAAGTGCTTTGGCAAGAATAGTGAAGGCAATGAAGAAGTTACCCAAGCCGAACCACGAAAAGAGCATAGAGATGGCCTGGTACAAGAATTCAATGTGGAAGAAGATTTTGCGAAAGAAGCCATGATCAGAGCGCCAAATAGAGAAGGTATGCCACAAGGCATAGATGGCAGCAAAAAAGGATCCATTCAGCCATCTTCGCCGCTGTGAGATGAGCTCCGGCAATTCGTCAGGCACATCTGTGACTGCATATGCGCTCTTGACGTAGTGCAATATCCAGGCACAGTTGCGCTTTGCCACCAGCTCATAACACAAGATGCGGTCTTCAGCGAGGTACATGTTGGCTTCAAAAATACCAGCATTAGCGCCATGCATCGTTTCGCCCTTAAAGTACTGCTTGAGCGGACCTTGGCCTTGTGAGTCGTTTTGAAGTGCAATATAGCGATATGCAGAAAAGGCGCCGGGCAACACAGAAATAAAGCCAAAGACTGACTCGAGTGGTTTGTCCAGGATGTTACTCATCTTGTACTCAAAATTTTGAGCAGCAACGAGTGGGTTGAGCAGATTCTTACCGTACTTACCCTTCATGGCAACGATCTCGCCACAAGCGCCTGCGACATTCGAGTTGAGGTCAAAGGACTTCCAGAGGTGGTAGATACTCTTGTCACCAGGCTGGGTTCCGGCATCGAGCAAGACACAGACATTTGGATTCAAAATTGGCCCAAAGGCTTGAAAGAACCATCGGTGGGAATTAATCTTCTTTTGGTTCTTCTCCTTGAGACAAAATAGCACTTGCACGGGCACAATACCCCTGTCGGCGCCCTTGAATGTCAAATCTGCATTGATACTGATTTGCGTTGTGTACTCGTAAAGATGCGCAGTAACAGGTTCGTTGTTGACAACATTCTTGGCAATACCTTCCTGGTAGACACCCATAGCTGCGAGATAAGACAATGTCCTCGGGTTGATTTTGCTTCGGCCATCGCTCACGATGCAGACCACTACTTTTTGCCAGCCTTCCTTGCCCCAGACACGACTGCGGTCACGCGAGCATAGATGTGCGATATTCTTCATCACGCTGTGCATGGTCCGCGCAAATAAGATTTCATTCTCGTTGTACATGGTGATGACGATGAACAACTCAGTCTGCCTTGGTGGGTGATACAATGCTTGTCGCAGCGTAAAGAGCTTTGATTTGAATTCAGACGGGTCACCTGTAGCTGCGGTATATCGCATATGAGTAAATTCCCGCCCATCTCGAATCGGGAGAGTATCGAGCAGCTTCTTAGGCACAGGACAGTCTAGCACCAAGTTACCATTGTATAGTTCGACGCGTTTCATGGTCTTGTACCGTCTTGGCTGAGGACCTTCTGGTGCTGCAGCGTACGGGTCTTGTTGCACGTACTGACTTACTTCTTTTTGAGGCGAGCTCGCTCCTGGATCGAGCAGAGGTACGCCCATCGTATCATAGCCAGCTTGAGGTGCACTCAAGTCGCCATTGAAGTAGGTGCTATCATTTGGGTGCGCAAATGGCGACGTTGGATCCGGCGTCAAGTCGTACAGATTGGAGTTTTGGTGCGACGGGTAGGCCTGCAATGGATAGGCTTCATGGCCATCGTGCAGATCATACCGCGTCGGGGTCCCTGAGTTCGCTAGATGCGTGGTTGAACTGTATGGCTCGTAAGAATCATAATGCGACGGGTAGGGATCTGGCGTTTGGTATGGGTCTGGCTGATAGGCGGTCTGCAAGGGCCCTGGCAGTGGTAGGGGTGTCTTGCGTCTCGGCGGATTGGCCTGCGTATAGTGTCTATCTGGCCAGTCACTCATGGTTTTGTGTTACGTAGACCGGGAGCGCGTTGTTGTGTAACGTCAGGGACAGATGAGGGGAGATGAGGTCGCTGTCGAGGTACTGAAATAGGGAGGCCTTGTCGTCTGATGTGTCCTGACTCCTGGATGGCCTTTGGCTGACTTAGCGTAAAATGGCTTCTGTAGCTTGTCCTTGGCGCTTTGTCTTCTCTGCGCGTTGTGCCTCCTTCCTTGAGCGCGAAATGCAGCATCAACAGCACTGTCAGCACACGAGGGCTATTTTGGAGCCAGGCACGTGCTGACATCCATCATTTCACGACCTCTCACTTGCAATCGAGAGTTGTTTACGCTCTAGATCGCTACTTGGCACAAAGTGTATCTATATTGCTTGAGCACCATGTAAATGTTTGGCAGCTCGCAGCCGTCTGCTGCAGTTCAAGCAAAAGCGCTGGACTCTGCCTTCGAACACGTCTATAGGAGACTGTCGAGATAACCTCATCCAGACTCAGATTGGCATAATCCAGCGCTGGTTGTATATGACCAAGAGCACGCCCTGTATAATCAGACTGGCCGTGCTTGAACTGTACTTGACTTCTCGACAAACATATACGAGTTGGTACACATTTGTTCATCAGACAAATATGGAATAGCAATACTTGCAGGCAAGGATTCATCACTGAGGCGCGAGTCAGCAGCTTAAAAGGGCAACTAGAGCCAATGACTACCTTGTGCTTTGATCAAATCAAACCTCTCAGCTATGCGCTTCAAGTCTATTTTCCTGTTTGCAAGCCTCTCTCAGACGATATCTGGCTTCGGCATTATTCCAGAACGCGGTGGCTACACCATAAACACCGACTCAGACATGGACGTTCGGATGACCGACTCAGGTATCATCCGAAAGCTCACCTACAAAGGCACTCAGTACATTGGCGGCCAATCTTTTAGGGCTCAATCTGGTAGTTTTGGTTCTGGTCCAAGAGGCACCCATTTTCAGACGCATGTCAAGGGTGACAGTATTGTGCTGCAATTTCATGCAGATGATCCATTTACTGGACGATTCACAGGGTATTACGTTTTCAGGAAAAAAGAGAACCGCATCTATATCGGCATGAAGCCTGAAGCTGTCAAGTATGAAGCTCGTTACATGCTTCGTCTCAACACAGCCGTGTTCGGGCATTGTGTCAATCGGGCATCTGACCTCAGAGGTGCGCAAATCCCTATCGAGACTGGCGACATCCTTGCGCGCGCTGATGGGACGACAGCCTCAAAGTTTTTTTCTTCGGTGCCTCACAAGTACAACGAGCTCTATGGTATAGCTGGCAACAATGCCGGAGATGGTATCTGGATCAGTTTGACATCAGAGTCTAAAGAAGGCATGTCTGGAGGTCCTTTTCACCGAGACATCACTTGCGCGCATGATCACAGGACCACTGCCTTATCGGCTTACTTTTACAGTGGTCACAGTCAGAGCGAGCCAGCTCGCAATCAATTGGCGTGGATTACGGTCAGCCTTGGTGAAAAGCCACACTCGACGCCGGACCTTGGCTTTCTCGATGACCTGGAGATTGATGAACATGTTCCTAGGAGTAAGCGTGGTTGTGTTCAAGGTCAACTGCATGAAAGGCAGCCTCTCGCTGCGGGTTGCTCGCGCTCAAGCGTCTGGTACGAACATCTTAAGCTGGCCGATTTACATTCATTTGGAGTGCAGCGCTCACAAGAGGGGGCCAGTTCGAACCAAAAACGCTCCAGTTCGAACATGACGGAGTACACTGTTGGATTAGCGAATGCAGCGGCTCAGTACTGGGCTGATGTCTCGGACGGCAATATCAAGCTCGAGAACGTCTTACCCGGCACTTACCAGCAGACTTTGTATCAAGACCAGCTGCCCGTAAGCAGCATTTCGGTTGTGGTAAAGGCTGGCGCTTGTGTGTCATCGGATATGACGGCTCCAAAGCAAGAAACACCGATCTGGTCAATTGGTTGCCATGATGGCCGACCGCATGGTTTCATGAATGCAGATCTGATTGAACGTGCGCATCCACAAGACGTTCATATGAAATGGCACAAGACTACTTTCACCGTTGGCGACGAGATTGCTCTATTTCCAATGGCCCAGATGTATGGCATCAATAATCCGACTACGCTGCAGTTCAAACTCACTGAAGAGCAAGTCAAGCAAGCCAAGACTTTAAGAATTGCCACGTGCTCCGAGTATCGAGGTGGCTATCCACTCGTCACAATCAATGGTTCAAAGCAGAAAGACTACGGTATGCCTCCAAAACTCTCTGCCTGGGGCAAAGAAGTCGTCGAATCGCGTACCATGACGCATGGGGCCTTCTACAGAAGTCCACGAACGTACATTTTTGACGTTTCGGGCACTCTTAAGCCGGGCTTGAACATTATCCTGATAGATGCGGGTGGCATGGGCATGATGCAGAAAACATTTTTGCAGCCAAACATCGTTTATGATTCTGTTGCTCTGCTCTAGCTTTGACCGCACGAGCGAGTCATTGGCTACCCCGCTGGACGGTGTCGTCAATGTTACCTGGCTTCTTGCGGTCCGATCGCCGATCATTTAGTTTGATACATTTTGTATGTTTCGTTTCTTGCTGCTGGTACAGCGTCCTCTTTGTCAAGATGACTTTTTGTTTGTCCTTCTAAGTGCTTGACAATTGAAGATACTACCCAAGCAAGACGCTCGTTGTGTTTGTACACCGGATAGACTCGCACCTCACGCGCATTGTCTGCCCTCTCTATCACCGCAGCGAAGGTGTATTGTGTGGCAAATATTGGCCTGATTTAGCAGTCTGGCTCGATGCCGTCAGCCTTTGATCTTCCTGACCACTGTTCCCTTCAGGCAATCATTGCTCCAGACAATGCTGAGGAAACATTTGTACATTCAATCGATATGTGACAGGTTTGCAAATGATTGCTGGTACTCTAATTTGACGGCTCTACGTTCGAGTACAAACAGAGGGTAGCAAGCCTCAAGAGTGGATCACCGCGCCATCGGGACAATAGCAACAAAATCCTTTCAAGCAAAGCATGAGTTGCAGTAGTGTATCGCGAGGTTCATGGAGCGATGCGCCGGCAAAGCGTTCAGCGCCCATGCTCAGTCTTGGTCTACGGACTGGCCATATTCTCAATCGAGACGGTCATGATTCTGTTGCTCTGCTCTAGCTTTCAACGCGCGAGCGAATCATTGAGTATTACGCTGGACGGTATCGTCAATGCTACCTGGCTCCTTGCGAGATCATCGTCAAGTCTTTACTTTGATACATGTCGTACGTTTTGTTTCTTGGTCTACAGACTGGCCCTATTCTCAATCGAGATGGACACGTCGTCATGGTAAGCGCCAGCTGAAAGAATGTAGCAGTCATTGACATGAATCCACTCCCTACGCCGTGCGCCTTGCCGCCACTGGTCCCGTCGGCGCGTTCAGCTGCAAGCAGCAGGACTACGCTGTGCCTCTGTTCTTGAGCGCGAAATGCAGCAGCAACAGCACATGAGGGCTGTTTTGGAGCCAGGCTGGTGCTGACATCCATCATCTCAACACCTCTCCCTCGCGCAGATCGCTATTTGGCATAAAGTGTATCTATGGTGCTTGAGCCTCCTATAAATATGTTTGGCAGCTCGCAGAAGTCTGCTGCAGTTCAAGCAAAGACGCTGGAGTCCTTCCTTCGAACACGTAAACAGCAGACTGTCGAGATAACCTCAACCAAACTCAGATTGGCAGAATCCAGCGCTGATCGTATATGACCAAGAGCATACCCTGTAGATTCAGACGAGCTGGTTTTGAACAGTATCTGATTCTCGACAAACATCTCGTACGGGGCTGTACACATCTGTTTGTCAGGCAAATACGGAGAAGCAATACTTGCAGTCAAGGATATTCACTGAGGCACGAGTCAGCAGCTTCTTAGGGCGACTGGAGCCTATGACTGTCTTGTGCTTTGGTTGTCACGGACAGACCTCTCCGCTCTTTCGTCTTGTTTCTATCTCTTCTTGGCTATCGCTATCTCTTCTGAGTTTCCAGTACTCCTGGCGCTTCTCGACCTCGATGGTCCACTCGAGCTCTCAGCACTATCACATGGCCCGGCGTACCTTCCTTCCTGGTGTGGCCTTCGCCGCCATCGCACTCACCATGCTCCAGCGTCACGCTCGCACGCGTTGATGTCTTTCTCAACACAGCCTCAGCATCAATTTTCGATGCGCTTTTAGGGGCTTTGCCATCGCACACCCCTTTCTCGTCTGTTCCCTGCTCGAGGTTGGCGAAGTATGAAAGGTGCGCTTCTTGCCTTTTGTTAGGATCGTCAGCAGCATCAGGTCATACTCAATACTATCTTGTGTTCGAAGTCTCTGCTGCCAATCCCCACACTACGCCCACGCTCTCTGTCCCCAGCGATTCGTCTTGCCTCGCCAGGTGAAGATTGTCACATTGATCGGCTCAAATCTCTCAGCTATGCGCTTCAAGTCTATTTTCCTGTTTGCAAGCCTCTCTCAGACGATATCTGGCTTCGGCATTATTCCAGAACGCGGTGGTTACACCATAAACACCGACTCAGACATGGACGTCTGGGTGAGCGACTCGGGTATCATCCGAAAGCTCACTTACAAAGGTACTCAGTACATTGGCGGCCAATCTTTTAGGGTCCAATCTGGTAGTTTTTGGTTCTGGTCCAAGGGGCACCCAATTTCACGCGAGTCAAAGGTGACAGTATTTTGCTGCAATTTCATGCAGAAGATCCCGCTATCGGACGATTCAAAGGGTATTATGTTTTCAGGAAGAAAGAGAACCGGTTTTACATTGGCATAAAGCCTGAAGCTGTCAAGTCTGAAGCTCGTTACATGTTTCGTCTCAACACAGCCGTGTTCAAGCATAGTGTCACTTATGCATCTGACCTTCGGGGTGCGCAAACCCCTATCGAGACTGGCGACATTCTTGCGCGCGCTGATGGGACGACAGCCTCAAAGTTTTTTTCTTCGGTGCCTCACAAATACAACGAGCACTATGGTGTAGCTGGCAACAATGCCGGAGATGGTTTCTGGATCAGTTTGACATCAGAGTCTAGAGAAGGCATGTCTGGAGGTCCTTTTCACCGAGACATCACTTGCGCGCTTGATCACAGGAATACTGCTTTATCGGCCTACTTCTACAGTGGTCACAGTCAGAGCGAACCAGCTCGCAATCGATTGGCGTGGATTACGGTCAGCCTTGGTGAAAAGCCACACTTTACGCCGGACCTTGGCTTTCTCGATGACCTGGATATTGATGAACATGTTCCAAGGAGTAAGCGTGGTTGTGTTCAAGGCCAACTGCATGCTAGACAGCCTCTCGCTGAGGGTTGCTCGCGCTCGGACGTCTGGTATGAACATCTCAAGCAGGCTGATTTACAATCCCTTGGAGTGCAGCCCTCACAAGAGAAGGCCGATTCGAACAAAAGACGCTCCAGCTCGGACATGATGGAGTACACTGTTGGATTATCGAATGCAGCGGCTCAGTATTGGGCTGATGTCTCGGACGGCAATATCAAGCTCGAGAACGTCTTACCCGGCACTTACCAGCAGACTTTGTATCAAGACCAGCTGCCCGTAAGCAGCATTTCGGTTGTGGTAAAGGCTGGCACCTGTGTGTCATCGGATATGACGGCACCAAAGCAAGAAACGCCGATCTGGTCAATTGGTTGCCATGATGGGCGACCGCATGGTTTCATGAATGCAGATCTGATTGAACGTGCGCATCCACAAGACGTTCGCATGAAATGGCACAAGACTACTTTCACCGTTGGCGACGATATTGCTTTATTTCCAATGGCCCAGATGTATGGCATCAATAATCCGACTACGTTGCAGTTCAAACTCACGGAAGAGCAAGTCAAGCAAGCCAAGACTTTGAGAGTTGCCACGTGCTCCGACTATCGAGGTGGCCATCCACTTGTCACAATCAATGGTTCAAAGCAGAAAGATTACGGTATGCCTCCAAAGCTCTCTGCCTGGGGCAAAGAAGTCTTTGAAACGCGTACCATGACGCATGGGGCATACTACAGAAGTCCACGAACGTACACTTTTGATGTTTCGGGCATTCTTAAGCCAGGCTTGAACATCATTTTGCTAGATGCGGGTGGCATGGGCTTGAAGGAGAAAACATTTCTGCAGCCAACCATCGTTTATGATTCTGTTGCTCTGCACTAGCTTTCACCACGCGAGCGAGTCATTGGCTATCCCGCTGGACGGTATCGTCAATGCTACCTGGCTTCTTGCGATACCATTGCCAAGTCTTTAGTTTAATACATGTCGTACGTTTTGTTTCTTGCTGCAGGTACTGCGTCCTCTTTGTCAAGCTGATTTGTTGTTCTTTCTTTTGATGTCTTGACAAAGTTACCGCCCAAGCAAGACGCTTGTTGTGTTTGTATGCAGGATGGACTCGCACCACACGCGCAGCGTCTGCCATCTCTGTCTCCGCACACTATCGATGGTGTGTTTTGTGCCAAATATTGGCATGATCTAGCAATCTGGCTCGATGCCGGCAGCCTTTGCTCTTCCAAGCCACCGTTCTTTTCAAGCAATCATGGCTCCGGACTATCTTGAGAAAACACAAGTATGTTCAATCAATATGTGGCATGTTTGCAAATGATTGCAGGTACTCTAATTTGACGGCTCTACGTTGAGTGCAAACAGAGGGAAGCAGGCCTCAAGAGTGGATTACCGCGCCATTGGAACAGTAGCAACAAAACTCCAAGCAAGGCATGAGTTGCAGTAGCGTGTCGCGAGGTTCAGAGAGCGATGCGCCGACAAAGCGTTCAGCGCCCATGCTCAGTCTTGGTATACAGACTGGCCATATTCTCAATCGAGACGGACACGTCGTCACGGTAAGTGCCATCTCACAGATGCAGCAGTCATTAACATGAAGCCATTTCCTACACCGCGCGCCTTGCCGCCACTGGTACAAACGGCGCGTTCAGTTGCAGGCAGCAGGACCACGGGCGATCAGCAGGAATTGGACAAGTTCGACAAGTACTTCGGAGAGTTTATCTTTGCGAGTGAATGCAGCAAGTAGTAGCGACCCTCATGGACAGTGTAGATTTATCAGCTAGCACAATGGAAATGTATCTTCATGACCAAGACTCAAGTAGATGTCTGGCTGGTCCACTGGAAGTCCCAGCGTGTGAAGAATCCCAAATTTTGTTGCGACGAGCAGACTTCAATCGCTACAGAGCCGATAGCTGAAGGGCCGTAGAACTGTCTTCCGCTATGGCAGCCGACTCACAGATCCTGTTACAGCCTACAGAAGAGGCGCAGCAGCATCGCAAGTCACGAAGTCAAGCACGGCTCGCCCGCAAATCAGGCAATGCCACAGACCCTTCAAATAGCTCGACACCCTCCACGCGTGCGCATCATGCGTACAATTGGCGCGTCACGGGTAAGCAAGGAGGTTGCTTTAGTCATCTCTCTCCACTCTTCTCTAGCTGTGGCAAGTTTTTATTCTTGACGGTGGGTTGTGAAGCGCGTGTGCATAGTACTGCTACGGGTGATTTACTTCAACCATTGCTACCCGAGGCGACGACGCGTCCTATTGTCTCGCTCTTTCTCGATCCAAGCAATGCGTATCGATTAGCTGGAGTCTATCAAGATGGTTCTATCTCGGTCTGGGACTATACAGATGGTGCGCTGCTCAAGCAGTTGCACCTCACCGACCAACGGACTGTCGTCGCTGCGACGCTGAATGGTTCACTTTTGCTAGTCAGCGATGGCAAGCATGTCTTTTCAGCTGAATGGTCGACCAAGACGGCTACCTTGCCAACAACACAGGTAGCAGATATGAAAGCCTGTCTCGGTCTTTCCAGTGCCCCCGGACTCTGCTTCGCGTGGGGCGACAACAAAGTCAACGTCTTCCCTATACAAAAGGAAAAACTAGGACAATACGAACAGTACGTATTGGCAAGCCCAGCGACTGCATTTGCAGCAGACGCAACACATTTCGCAGTGTCAGATGACGCTGGTGCGATCTATCTCTACCACCACGCTGCACGGAATCTTGCTTTGCCACCACGAAAATTGCATTGGCACGCACAAGCCTGTACGACTCTTCAATTCGCGTTGGATGGCGCATACTTGTTGTCTGGTGGACATGAAGGTGTGTTGGTGCTTTGGCAACTCGCTACTTCTGGGAAACAATTCTTGCCACGCGTTGGCACAGCCATTCGAGCGATCGGTGTGAGTGCTAAAAGTACGCAGTATGCCGTCAAGTTGGAGGAGAATACCGTCAAGGTCCTCTCTGCATCAACTTTACTCGCGACATGCGATATCGCTGGTCCTAAACGCGCAAGTGTCATGTGTTCACATGGTGAAGAGGTCATGATGGCGGCTGGTGGACAAGTACAAACATGGCACAGTCAAATGGCAACAGCAACAGGTCTCCTCAATGCAACGGCACAGTCATTTGCCGGCGCTACACAAGTCGGTAAAGCGAGTATCCCTGTTCCTGAGCCAGAAATCACACACATGGCAGTGTCGCCTGCGGGTACGTGGTTGTGTACTGCAGATTGCTGGACGACGCCGTTTGAAGAGGCTGCTGATTTGGGATACACTAAACCGCATGATCAAGTGAGTCTCAAATTTTGGCAACGGCATGCTGGTTCTTGGCGATTATCAACACGTGTGGATGCGCCGCATGGTGTTGCACGACTCACGACGATTCAAGCACTCGGTGGTGATGTGTTTGTCACTGCAGGTGAAGATCAAGCTGTCAAGTTTTGGAACAAGAATAGTGTGCGTTCATCTGATGATGCAGCACAAGCGTACAAATGCACGCGAGTTCTTCGATTTGCACAACCGTCATTGATGCATGAACGTGCACCTGCGCTACGATTGGCCGTTTCTGGGGATGCTTCATTGCTAGCACTGTCGGGACCACCAGCACCGCATACCACCGATGCATCCGTTCTTCTCGTTGACCCTGCAACACGACAGATTTGCGCGACGCTCGCTGGGTTGGGACTTGGGACACTGCTTGATCTTGGGTTTGCCGGGGATTACTTGATTTTGGTTGGACAATACAGATTGGTGTGTTGGTGCGTTGCAGCGTCTCAGGTGGTGTATGCGTTGCGTTGGCCTGAACGGACATTTCGAGCAACCTTGACGTGTCCTATACCCACTCCAATCTCTGATGCAACGACAAAAGTGGCGCATTTCTGTATTGCAACGCAGGAATCGAAGCAAGCGACCGGTGCGTCCCTCAAGACAATCTCCGAGGGATCCCATAAACTCTTCATTTTCGGGACGCATGCAGCGAAACCTGTGTTTCGGGAGAAGTGTCCATTCAAGACACTGGCAGTGGGTGCGTTGACGGATGGGTTTGTTGTGTTGGATGAAACGCTTGTGTTGAGACGTATCGGTGCAGGTCCCGCAAAGGACGCTGACGTAGCCCTCACACATGACTCCAGCGCATTGACGGTCACTTCCGGCATCAGCAGTTTATATGGCGCCACAACAGCAACGACAGGGTGGTTGGATTGGAAGAGGATGGACAGGTGCGTGTATTGACGTCACAGGCAGTCGAGACACTGATGCCTGTTGCGACGGCGAATGGTGCTGGTGCGTCGCTTGCATCGCTTGAGCAGTGTATGGCTGGTTTGGGTCTCTTCTTGCTGGGAGCACCGTCACCTGCTACATCATAGGTCTGTACGTACTGTCCATCTAATACAAAAGATGCAATGATTTCCAACCGATAATTTGACTACGAAAGAGATTGAACACCTACCGAGATTACAACAGACTAGCCACGTGGACGCCCCTTTGTGAATAATTGACACGACAGAGAGAAGGACAAGACCGACTCCTAATCAAGCAGGACAGAAAGTAACGACAAAGTTACTTGTGTTTTTGCAAACGGTATCAGCCGGTGATCCGAGGTGCATGTCTGAGTCTTCACGCCACGCTTGATCCAATGCACATCCACCCAATGGGCAGTATTTCGTTTGACACGATGAAACAGAGGGAACAATCTTGCAGCCGACGTTGTTTCCAGGGATGGCAGAGATGTCATAGGCTGTGATGTCGGTGTTGTACATGTCGGTGTTCAGACCTGATCCGAATTCAGCAAGGATAGGACCTTTCTGCCAAATGATAGAGGAACATTGGTAGCCTTGGCAATCACCTACTGCACAGGTGAAGGAAGATCCCGAACCCGTACACCCTGTACGTGCCCAGATTTGTAGACCGAGTGCTGATTTGGGAATGGCGAGGGTAATGCTGCTACCGGCAGGCATGGCATTACCAAGGACACGTGGGTCAACGATACCACCGGCTTTGTTAGTTTGCCAGCCAGCTTGCCAGATATCAAAGGCACAGTTGTTGACAACTTGAATAGCATACTCGCTGCCACTGGGAGACATTTGTAAGCCACCACCGGAAACAGGTGTAGGTGCAGCGATGGGGGCGGTGGTGGAGGTACGGAGGGTGGGTGCAACAGCTGCTTTGACAATGTTGTCGACCGGTGCGATCAGTGCTGCTGCTGGTGCTGCTGCGGGAACAGGAGCGGGTGTGCCTTTGCCGGCAACGACACGAGTGACGGTGGTGTAGACAGCTGCGACGGCTGGTGCAGCGACGGGAGCTGCGACGACGGGAGCCACAACAGGAGCAGCTGGAGCAGCAACAGGAGCAGCTGGAGCTGATTGACCGCCAAAGTTGACATTGGACCAGTCTTTGTTCTTGAGGGCATCTCCCCAGTTGATGCCAGAGAGGTCATAGCCTCGTGCGTGGTGCTGGTGGGTTGTACGTCTGCCTGGTGCTGCGATGGATGCGCCTGCGAGGGCTGCGGATGCGATGAGGTGGGAGAGTGCGACCATGGTTGATGCTGTTGGATGCTTTGTGTGCTAGAGAGCGAATTTGGTTAAGAGAGTGTGATGCTGCCGTGAGCTGTAGCTGTGGTGAGCAGTGAGTCGATGGTGCTGCTTGTGTTGGTGTTGATGGAGTATCTCTTTCTCTGCTTCTGTCCCTTTCTTTCCTGCTTCCTTCCCTTCTTCTGCTCCAATTTCCCAATTTCCCCTTAGATTGTTTATTTCCCCGTATCCGCCACTCCCATTGGCCAGCAGCAGGTATGTGCAACCTGGATCAGATGCCACTCATGCTGACTACTGACTACCTACTAGCACTGACTAGCAGCAAACAGCATCTTCAGCACACCTGACGCAGCCTCAGCCTCACGCGCCCTCAACACCTGCTCACACACACGCTCACTCAGCCGGTCCACCAGCATGCTCACACCCGCATCCCCGCCTAGCGCACCCCCATACACAGCCAGCAGCGTCATGCTCACATCCACACACACACCGCAGAACCGTACATCTGCAACATACCGTGTCACATACTTGATCAGCGGAGACAACGACGCCTCATCCCTGTTCTGTAGTGCTTGTCGTAGTCCACCGCGTTTCTGCAACTCACGCAGCACAGACAAGGTCATCATGGCATCCGTATCTGCCTTCAACACCATATCCAACGCATCACTGTATGCGTACCGTCGAAGTGCCTTGTCGTGTGCTTTCAACTTGCCGCTCTCCCGTGCCAGCACCGCTTCATCCTGAACCACACGATCCGCCGCACCGCCTTTATACTCCGCACCACGAAGCATCCGCGACACAGTGCTCGTTGCCTTCCGCCCACTCGCCGCAGTCTTACTCACTGAAGACCGTTGACTCCGCGTCCGAATACTCAGCAAGCCACTCGTCAATCCCACCACCAAATGCTTCTCATCAGGCGATACACCCACCGACAAAATAGGTCCCGGGTACTTGACACTATGCACCACTTTCCAACTCTGCGTGTCATACACCTTCAAATGTCCATCCACACCACCACTCAATAAGCGTGACCCTGCCTGTGTCGTTGCAAGACACGTCACACCGCGCGCATGATTCTGCAGTGTGCGTAGCGGTTCAGAGCGACCACCAACGAGGTCCCAGATACGTACATCCAAACCACCCGCAGACGCAAGGGTTGTGCCGCTTTGTGAAATGGGAAGGAGGCGTTCGACGTTACTCGCGTGTGAGAATTGCATGACTTGTCCAGTGTGTTCTGAGGAGCGTTGATCCCACACACGCACAGTCTGGTCATACCCACCACTCACAACCAAATGAGGTGTATTGGGCAAAAACGCAGCAGTGCGTACATAATCTTCATGACCTTTAAAGATGCGAAGCGGTGCTTGCGTCGGCATATCCCACAGACACACCGTTTTATCATCCGATGCCGTCAATAAGGTCGTTTGGTCGTGTGGTGAGAACTGTGTCACATGAACCGGGAGGCGATGATGTCGAATACTCCTCAAGATACTCCGTGACCCACTCTCAAACACCTGCACCAGACCTGATCCATCCCCAGCAATCAGCAATTTCCCATCCCGTCTGAATGTCCCAGAAAACACAGTCTCACTGAATCGTGAAATCGTCTTACTCACAGAACGTGTGCGTGCGCTATAGATTTGCAAACGCGTACTCGCCGTCACGCAGAAATCATGCGGCGCAATAGGTGAAAAGTCAATATGCGACACACCAGCGTATTCCTTGACGAGCAAAGGAGTCTTGTATTTCCGCCAGTATCGAGAATCAGCTGTGGAGGTGGATGGAAGAGCGGCGTATGAAAACGCTTGCAGACGCGGGAGGTCGTTGGACATGCAAAGCTCTGATGATTGACTGTCACTGCCTTGTCGCCTTTGTCTTGTAGTTGAGCGTTCAATATTTTTTTAGGCGCGTGGACCGTGAGATGCACAACTTGGCGCGTCAGGGGCAATTGGGCAAGCCTGATACTGAACAGTCTAATTCCTTCTACGCTGTTTCAACTCTATGACTGCTGTGCATGATGCTTATCAGCAGCTTTGGCAGCCTCCTGACCCGTTGCACCGTGCTTCTGCGCAGGTCGCTCATCACCAGCACCATAAAACACAGCACCCTGAGGTGGTCTCGGTGCGCGATGATACTGAATCGGCCACTTGACAGTGACATCCAATTCTTTTGCCCAAGTCAACGGTAACGATGGGTCTCGCAAAAACTCACGCGCCACAAAGATAGCATCCGCTTGACCTTTTTGCAAGACCTCTTCTGCTAGCTCAGCCGTCCAAATCATACCAACTGCGCCAATCAGCAGGCCAGGTACTTCCTTCTTGAGTTGTTCAGCGAAATGCACTTGGTAGCCTGGTCCGGTCTTGATTTGTTGGAGGGGCGAATTACCAGCAGACGAGACATCCAGCAAATCAACACCTTCCTTCTGAAGCACCTTGGCAAGCTTGACGGAATCTTCAATGGTCCAACCACCCTCGACCCAGTCAGAAGCAGAAATGCGGTAAAACAAGGGCACCTGCTTACCACTCTTCTCAATCACTTCACGTACAGCACGCGTACAAGCAATAGAAAATCGAATGCGATTCTCAAAACTGCCACCATAGTCATCCGTGCGCTTGTTTGACAACGGTGAGCAAAAGTTGTGCAGCAAATAGCCATGTGCGCCATGCACTTCCAGAACCTGGATACCTGCCTTCAATGCGCGTTCAGCGGCTTTGCCAAATGCCGCAATCAACGACTCGATGCGTTCCACAGAAAGTTCCTTGACGGGCGGGTACGTCTCGTTCCATTGAATGGCAGACGGACCAACAACATCATCAGGCCATCCATTCCCCTCAGCAGCCACACCCTGACCACCCAGCCACGGCGCTTCTGTCGATGCCTTCCTGCCAGCATGTGCCAGCTGAATGGCTGAGATGGATCCTTGCGATCGCATGAAATCTGCAATACGCTTGATGGGTGCAATATGCATATCATCCCAAATCCCGGAATCTTCAGGCGTGATACGACCTTCTGGCGTCACAGCCGATGCTTCGATGAATGTCAATGCAGCGCCACGAGCTGCATAAGAGCCGACATTGACGAGATGCCAGTCAGTGAGGAGACCATCCCTTGCACTGTACTGACACATGGGAGACACCCAAACACGATTATGCAGCGTGATACCCTTGATGGTCAATGGCTGGAACAGCAGAGGCGCATCCTTGAGAGTCTTGGCCGTGCCGGCTGGTGGATCCTGGCGAGGCGTGTAGTAAGGTACATCCTCGGCTGCCAAGTTGACTTGCGTTGAGAGTTGAGGCATCTTGATCGGTGCTAGGGTCTTTGCGAGGGAAGCTAAAATGATATAGGATGAATGGGCTTTTATAGTCTTGTAGAGTCGCCGCATTATAAATGTCGTCAGCTGGGCGGCAACTGCCATCGTGGAGCCGGAGTCGTCAAGGCCGCCAGACCCGCAACCACAACGCCGCCACTTGGCTAGCAAGGCCGTCAATGCTCGACTACTTGTCTGCAGATCTTGTTTTGGCGTCTGAGAGCAATAAGCTCTCTTGTCTCCGATCGCGCGATGCTCTCCCTGAATCGCAGGACGTCTGGACTCTAGCCCGTCTGTCTGAAACTCGCCTACACACTTCTCAGGAGATGCGCTTGGCTTCGACTTGATAAGCACCAATGATCAAAACACAGACATGCGATGTGTTGCCCTCCCCTTCACGTGTCGAATGCCAAGATGTCAACTTGGAGCAACAACTCCGCTACCCCTGCAGCTTCATCACTAGACTGACCTAAAAGGTTCTCGCTGCGCTGGAGGCAAAGTTCTCCATTCAGGCTGTAGGACATTTCTGATTAAGACAGACGCAACACTCTTCTGTGGTCTGGTGACTCATCTTGAGGCGCGCAGCAAGACATGAGTGGAATGAGATGAGTACGCTGACCAACAAAGCCCTTGTTAGTCGTGCAGATAAGGGAGACCATTCACGGCGCCCCTACAATGTGCTTCAGCAAGTGGCATTTGTGCAGATGTCGTTCTCCACGATACTACGACCGGAACTTGGGCCCAAGTTGGAAGCGCATTTGCTTGCCCCTGAAAAGTGACAGACAGAACATCCAGGATGTTTTCTGCTCTTAATGGCGCCAAGCTGCCAGCTAGCAAAATTTGCTCAGTCAACCTCTCACTGATACAGTCATGACGGCGTCGTCTACCAGCGATGAACTTGAGAAGACTCATCTGTCCAAGGTGACAGAGGATGGAATCTCCTTAGAAAGGTTCGCAAGTTATGAAATGCGCGAAATCAACGAGACCAGCAAGCACAACGACAAAGGACCATGGCCCATCGCCAGCTCTGCTCCACCAGTGACTGATGACGATGAAGCGGAGGATAGTCCTTACTTCATGGTCAGAGCAGCTGTGCCTCCCACTGACGACCCAGACTTGCCAGTCAACACCATCCGCATGTGGGCAACTGGCATCATCTTTGCTTGTATTGGATCGGCCATCAACACAACCCTTAGCTTGCACGCGCCTGTTGTGTATGTCTCACCAACTGTTGCTCAGCTATTGGCTTACTTCGTCGGCAATATGTGGGCCAAAATCTTGCCAACACGCGTTTTCACCACTTTTGGAAAGAAATGGACGCTGAATCCTGGCCCTTTCAACCACAAAGAGCATACCTGCATCGCCATCATGGCAACAGTCGGGTTTGGCAACGACTATGTGAGTAGTTTTGTCACGTCACACCATGCTTTTTACAAGCAAGACTTTGGCTTGTTGTTCCAACTCATGCTCTCCTGGACGGTACAGATTCTTGGGTTATCGCTAGCCGGCATTGCTCGTCGTTTCCTAGTCTACCCTGCTTCCGCCATGTGGCCGAGTGTTCTTGCTCAATCCACAATGATTCACACACTTCACCAGGGAAGGGAACCACCCGCCGAAGGTCGATGGAGTACCATAACCCGAAGGAACTTTCTCCTCGTCGTCATCCTTGGCTGTTTCCTCTGGCACTTCTTCCCGCTCTTCATCTTCCCGGCTATGTCACAACCTGTCTTCTTGACGTGGATATGGCCCAACAACGTGTTGATCAACCAATTGTTTGGCGCCTCGCAAGGACTTGGTCTCTTACCCTTGACCTTCGACTGGAGTGTCGTCAGTGGATGTATGCCTCGCTACAACCCTGAACATTGCTAATGATAGATCAAGGAAGTCCTTTAGTCGTTCCGTGGCATGCCATTGCGAATGTTTTGGTCGGCATATTCGTCATTTTTGTTGTTGGTGCAATCAGCCTCAGCTTTGGCAATGTTTGGTAAGGCTTTCAGTCATCGATGGCGCGCTAACATGAGGTACGGAGACTACCTACCAATCTCAGAGGGCATGGCATATGACAACACGCAAATGCCCTTCAATGCAAGCTCACTCTTGACACCTGACTTTCAGCTAGACCCAGTGAAGTACCAGAACTACTCGCCTTTGTTCTTGCCCACGGGATTTGCTATCGCCTACGGAGTGAGCTTTGCTGCTCTTGCTTCTACGTTACCTTATGTCTATCTGTACCATGGCGCAGGCCTTCGACGACAGTTCTTCCGCAAGGACGAAGAGGATATTCACATGAAGTTGATGCGAAAGTATCCCGAAACGCCAGACGTATGCTGCTGATTCCTCAAGCTTGGCTAACAGATAGTGGTGGTATGTTGTGCTCTATATCGTCATGTTCTCCATGGCGTTTGCTGTTGCAACGGTTTGGCCTACACACCTGGCTTGGTGGGCTGTGGCACTCAGCATCGTGATTGCAATCTTCTACATCGTTCCTATTGGCATCGTTGCTTCCATTACCAATATCTACATCGGTCTCAACGTGCTCACAGAATTCATCATTGGATACTTGCAGCCAGGCAAGCCGGTAGCAATGATGCTTTTCAAGACTTACGGATACATTTCGATGAGCCAAGCGTTGACTTTTACGGCTGATATGAAATTGGCTCATTACATGAAAGTGCCACAACGTCAGGTGTTTTGGGTTCAGCTCATTGGCACATTCATTGGTGCAACCGTCGATATCTTCGCATTGCGAGCAGCCTTGTTCAACATTCCGGACGTCTGTACGAAAAAGGCTCCTCTGAATTTTAGGTGCTCTCAGCCGAGAGTCTTCTTCAGTGCATCCATGTAGGTGTTCTTTACGCGAGGACACACGCTAACATTAGCATTTGGGGCTTATTGGGGCCTGCGCGTATCTTCAGCCTAGGCAAGGTCTACAGCGGTTTGCTTCTTTTCTTCCCGATTGGCTTCATCACGCCCATTTTGACTTGGTTGTACATCAAAAAGTATCCCAAATCATGGGTCCGCTGGGTCAATTTCCCAGTCATGTTTTCTGGGGTTGGTTCGATGCCTCCCGCAACGATTCTCAATTATGCAACATGGGGTATAGTTGGCTTTGTCGCCAACTTTATGATCAAGAAGAGTCACCCAAAATGGTGGACCAAATACAACTATGTGCGTGTCTTCTCTTTCTATGCTCTGCTAATCCAAGGTTCTGTCTGTTGCGCTGGACATTGGCTTGACGTTGTGCTCCATCTCCCTTCTTGGTTTTTTTGGTCTGGTGTCCAGAACCGAAATGCCGCGATGGTGGGGAACGGAGATTGGGTCAAATACTCTGGAGAACAAGGGCTTAGCAATTCGCAAGATACTGTCAGAGGGAGAAACGTTCGGGCCGCCTCTCGGCAGCTGGAATTAGGCAGCACTCAATCGAGGTGAAGCAAGACTTAAGAGCGTTCGCAGCAGTTTACCTTTTCCAATCAATTCTGCTGGCCAGCTCATAGTTGAGAGATATCGTTTGATCCATCGTACTTTGACAATCTTTTACACCTGTCAGATGCGGCGTTCATGGAACTTCATGTCCATCTGTCCATCTGAATATGCCCACTCCACGACAACGCCGGAGTTCGCTCGGCAATTACGCCCATACGTCGCGAGAGACAATACTCTGTGATGGGACAAATTGCATCTCTTGATGCCCTTGATCTACCCATGGCTCTGCTTGGCTATGTCTCTCTCGCAACCAGTCATGTGCTTCGCTAGTGACTGAGCTGCAACGCCGAAGTCCCGATTCTATCATCTTGGAACTGCGGTCGTACATCGAGCATCAAGGAACCTCGCTGTCGACTTTTCTTGCAGTTGTTTCTTCCTAGCTCAAAAATAGCGTCGCTTCTCCTGCTGATCAGGCCCCGTACAGAAAACGATCCATAATGACCTGGTCTGACTGGCTCTGCCCAGTCCTTGCCTGGGTAAATAAAGAGGCGCTTATTTGTGTCTATCGCAGCTATCGTCTTTGTTTTATCGCATTTGGATTAGATGCTTTCTCGCGAATCGCGATGCTCGCGCACCAAAATCAGGGGCACAAAATGCAGGGGCAAACAGAGCGAAAGATGTTGCCGAGGCCTACAGGCTGTAGCTCTCGAGTCTGGAACCTCTTCGCAACCCTGAAGCGTTGAGAGTAGTATTCATGCTATTTGATGCTGCGATATCCGTCTTGGACTGCCCCCACGCGTCAATGGATGCACTTCATGGAACTATGCTCAAATGCTGGAAGCACGATCGGCCACTTTGTTTATTGTTGATACCATTCGACTTTGAAGCCACGCGCGGTTATCCGTGACAAACATCGCAGAAGATCATATCGCGCCTGCTAGCTCATGGTCCGGGCCGCAAAGGGGCGCAGAGATGTATTTAAAGGACGGCTGGCACGACACCGCTAGAGCAACTCCTTTACATTCGTTGTCATGTCGTCTAGTAGCGCAGACGTGGAGAAGGTCCAGCAGTACAAAGTGACAGAAGAGGCAGTGTCACTGAAGCGGCTGAAGAGATTCGAAGACTTTGAACCACCCTCCAACGAACCAGCTCGAGCGACCGACGACCTTCCGTGGCCTATTGGAGGGCCAGATAACCAGACCGAAGTCGACAATGAGGCGGAGAATAGTCCGTACTTGATGGTCAGAGCAGCTGTGCCAGCCAAGGACGACCCTGATATGCCCGCCAATACAGTACGCATGTGGGTCATTGGTCTGCTGTTCACCTGCATTGGTTCAAGTTTCAATACAGTACTGAGCCTGCGCACACCAACAGTGGCCCTCACGCCGACTGTCGTTCAGTTTTTTGCCTTTTATGTAGGCAATTTTTGGCACAAGGTCATGCCAAGCCGCGTTTTTACTACCTTTGGCAGGAAGTGGTCGTTGAATCCCGGGCCCTTCAACTACAAGGAACACACCTGCATCTCGATCATGGCGACAGTAGGGTTCGGAAATGACTACGTGGGCAGCTTCCTTGTCTCGCAGCAAGTATTTTACAAGCAGACCTTCGGTTTGTTGTTCCAACTTTTGCTTTCTTGGACTGTTCAAATGCTTGGGCTTTCGCTAGCTGGTATCGCTCGCCGCTTCCTGGTGTATCCGGCCTCTGCCTTGTGGCCCAGTGTCCTTGCACAGAGCACGCTGATTCACACCCTTCACAAAGGGGTTGAGCCGCCGAGTTACGGACGATGGAAGGGCATCACACGATACAAATTTTTCATTGTTGTCATGGTCGCTTGTTTGTTTTGGCACTTCTTCCCGCTCTTCATCTTCCCGGCGTTGTCAGCACCAGTCTTCCTCACATGGATCTGGCCCAATAATGTTCTGGTCAATCAGCTCTTTGGCGCCTCACAAGGACTTGGCATATTACCCCTGACCTTTGATTGGAGCACAGTCAGCGGATGTATGCAGCGTCTTTGAAACAAAACAAGTCTAACAATAGATCAAGGAAGTCCTTTGGTCGTTCCATGGTACGCAGCGGCTAATATTTTGGTCGGCGTCTTCGTTATTTTTGTTCTTGGTTCGCTTGGCTTGAACTTCGGCAATGTCTGGTCTGTTGAATTGGACTCCATGGCAACACGCTAATAGCAGGTATGGAGACTATCTTCCGATATCGGAAAGCTCGACCTACGACAATACACAAATGCCTTTCAATGCGACCTCACTCTTGACACCTGACTTTCAGCTAGACCCGGTGAAGTATCAGAACTACTCGCCTTTGTTCTTGCCCACTACATTTGCTCTCGCCTATGGAGTGAGCTTTGCTGCTATTGCTGCCACGCTACCGTATATTTACCTGCATCACGGCGCCAATATTCGACGACAATTATTTCGCAAAGAAGGGGAGGACATTCACATGAAGCTGATGCGAAAGTATCCCGAAACGCCAGATGTACGCTTCTGCGTTCTCAGGATTTACTAACAGATAGTGGTGGTACGCAGTGCTATATGTCGTTATGTTTTCCATGACACTTGCTGTCGCCCTGGCTTGGCCTACACACCTGGCTTGGTGGGCCGTGATGCTCACGATAGTCATTGCAATCTTTTATGTCATTCCTATCGGCATTATCGCTTCCATGACCAACGTTTACATCGGCCTTAACGTGATCACAGAATTCATCATCGGTTACTTACAGCCCGGAAAGCCCGTTGCTATGATGTTGTTCAAGACATATGGCTATATCACGATGAGTCAAGCATTGACATTCACGGGTGACATGAAACTGGCGCATTACATGAAGGTACCACAACGCCAAGTTTTCTGGGTTCAATTGGTTGCGACTTTCGTTGGCTCGACGGTCGACGTTTTTGTATTGCGGATGGCCTTGCAAAAGATTCCCAATATTTGCACGAAACTGGCGCCAATGCATTTCTCTTGCTCCCAATCGAAAGTCTTTTACAACGCATCCATGTAAGATCCCGAGGACATGTTGAGAAAGCTAATAATAGCATCTGGGGACTACTAGGACCCGCAAGAATCTTCAGCATTGGAAAGCTGTACAGCGGATTGCTCTTGTTTTTCCCAATCGGATTTATTTGTCCCATCTTGGTCTGGCTATACCTCAGGAAATATCCTGATTCTTGGGTTCGTTTCGTCAATGTGCCCGTCATCTTCACTGGCTCTGGTTCGATACCCCCTGCGACAGTGCTCAATTACGCAACGTGGGGTATCGTTGGCTGGGTTTTCAATTACCTCATCAAAAAGAATCATTCAAGGTGGTGGACCAAGTACAACTATGTTCGTCCTCCCATCCATGTTAAAACTGCTGACCAAAGATCTTATCTGTAGGTATGGACCTTGGCCTGGCTATTGTCACCATCTTCCTTGGACTCGTCTTCAGCATCGGCAATATCAAGATGCCTGAATGGTGGGGCGTTACCGTAGGAACCGATACTCTTGATTACACGGGTGGAGCAATTCGCAAGATTGTCGCAGATGGCGAACATTTCGGCCCTCCTCTCGGAAGCTGGTCCTGAAAGGCGCAACTTTGTGTTGATCGAGGCTTGTCATGCAACTATTCTAATTCTGCTGGGCAGCTAATTCATAGACTTTTTGCCCTTATTTACCCTTCATATTTGCTAAATCTTCTAATTTCTCAGCTCAAAAGTGCACGAGACCTCCAACAGACCTCAGGTGCATTTCACGCAGTCCTCTATCGCATCTCTGCTGTCGCGGTTCGCGGATTCATCATTCATACTAATTAAGCCTCTGACATGCTTGGTCGCAAATCTCGTGGCAAGAAGTAAGTGCTGATATGCCCCACGAAGAAGACCGAGGCTGTGAGCAGAAAGACTAGCGACGAAGCCTCTTTGCTTTTGCCCAATAGCCATGCATAGATGCCATTCCAGACAAAAGGCCCGGACAGATCGCCCAGGCCCTCGACAAGGGAAATGGCCGCAAAGACTCTACCGATCTCAGAAGGTGGCGCCAAGTCTGCAATGAATATTCGCATGGCCACTGTGAATGGTGAGGATAGAGCCTGTAGAAGAATAATGAATGGCAAGAATAACGTGTTGCGAACCAAAGCGTAGCAGACATAGGACGAACCGAAACCTAATATACCCCATTTGAGCAACTTGTAATCGAAATTGCGCACGCGAGGCTGACAAAATCTGGTCACTGCAGGCACAACGAAGAGATAGACCGTCACCTTGGACAAGGCGAAGGCAGAGTAGAAACTTGCTCCCTCCGTTGTCGACCAGCCAAAGTAATTTATAAGATGCTGGACGAAGATCAACATAGTTCCTGTGGTGAAGGTCCACATGAGAGCGATTGATCCGAGAATGAATGCGGTCCGCCTCGAGAATAGCAAGCGCACACCAGCAAAACTTTCTTTGAAAGTTTGAACATAAGTGGAGACTTCTTCCGATGAGGCGCTCTCCGATTTTTGCAAGCTCTCAGGTAGCCAGCAGAGAATGACCAAGTCGAAAGACATCATTATCACCCCAAACCACAGAGGTGTGCTGAGACCAAATCTGAGAAGCCATGCGCCTAGGATGGGTCCAACGACATAAGTGCCATAGCTCATTGCTGTAAACCAGCTGATGCCAATCATGCGCGATTTTTCTGGGAGGACCTCGCAAAGATAGCACCAGATTGCCGTCTTCAGCGCAGGACCGGAGCCACACAAACCAGAGAAGATTGCGCCAACATACATGGGCCAGACGCCTATAGAGGGCCACGTGGCCGACACAATCATAGCCAAGAGCTGCACCAGTGCGCCTAGAGACACGGCAATAAATATAGGACGTCGACCCCATGTGTCTGAGAACTTGCCATATAGCAAGACAAGAAACGTATTTGGAATTCCTTCCGCCATAGGCAGCAGACCCATCAAGAAGGCCACCTTTTGCGAGATATCCTTATCAAAGCAGCGCTTTTCTTCAGCGAGCATATAGGGTTGTAGGCCAGAGTCCGGATACTTTTGCCGACAGTAAATGTATCTCGCAAGTGCTAAATCAGAAACAGAATGGGCTGTCGTAGCCAATAAGATCAGTCCTGATGCTGTCACGAGCAGTACAAAAGCCCGCGAAGCAAGACCAGATACGCACTCCGTTTCGGCATCGTGTGAGTGCTCTGCGATCTTGGAGATAAGAAGAGGCGTGGAAGCATCAGGCTCCTCGGGTGCAAGCGCCAATTGTGCGGCCATAAGATGGCAGAACCAGGTGCCGAGCCGTGAGTGATACTGGTCTGATCTCTTGTCTCAACGAGTCGGGATGCGTATTTTCGACGACGTTTGAATGATGTTAATGACTTGATGCGCGGTCGTTGGGTTTGCCATGGCGGGGGCCATCGGTCGGCCCGCGATCGCCGCGATCAGATGCCACGAACCAAAAATTGTCATTGCGGTATCCATCGCATGCAATTCCCTACAGCTATGCAGTGCTGCAATGTATGCGAAGTAGTCGATTGCGGGGAAGTGTTTGCTTAGTAATCCATCTACTACATTGAATTGAGCTCAAGAAAAGCTGAGCTTGAGGCAATAGCAAATCACAAGATCAATGTCTTGCTCGGAGGGTGTCAAATGCAACGAAGATGACGTGAAGGATGAGAATGAGCTATCTCGCTATGAGAGCGCCACGAGAGCAGAGCGGAACATTGTATGCAGGCCAGTGCCGCCTTGAGCCTATGCGAGCTTGAGAAGCGACGAGCGAAAGTCAGGATAGATGCGTGCCCAGTTCACGAGCACCTGTACAACAAGATTGTGCCACGCAGCGGTCAACAGGTATGCTCTTCCATCTCAACAAAAAGAAGCCAAAGCTGAGCGTTCAGCAGAGCTAAACCACACTCGTGACCCTGGACTAGTGACCAGGTGCAAGGGATTCTGTCGACACTCCCGACTTGTGAACGGTTTTCTTGAGCTCTCTTCCAGTCTCCGGCACCGGCTTCGGGCTTCCTATTTGTCTCGCATGCTATCAGGGGCTAGGTCGCGTTGTCGCAGCGTGGAACCTTTTCTACGACCGTTTCATATTCGCCAGCTTGCCAAGCCCCGCATACTTCGTATAGATACGCATTTGATGTTGCATCAAATTGCATTACGAAGCGACAAAGAAAGCCTGAACGGTGTTTTCGCACAGCATGCACGCGGCGCACAGTCGCGCACTAGTGTTTGGTCGCATCCCGCGCGGCCAGCCAGAGCACAATTTGCCGACCGGCCTGCGTGGGCCACACGACATTATTGCCGATCGCGCGTTCTTGACAGGTTGAGCTCTTTGATCGCCAAGAAAACCTGCCTATTCAGGCTCGAGTGCCACAAGGTTGTATACAACCGCAACAAACCACCAAGACTGATGGGCCACTCAAAATGCAGCCGGAAGACCCCGGATAATGTCAAAAAGGGCCCTAGGCAATCCGGGGTTCAACTGTGCTTGAAACATACTACGTTGGAGAGAGTATAAAGGGGAGAAGCAATCCGCAACGGCGACACTCAATTGATACCACAAAGCAACGACATCATGGGTGTTGCTCAGTACCTCAAGAGCCGTGTCACGGAGCTCAATCCTGAACGACCCATCAAACCCACCAACCCTTTCAAAGTCCTGGCAACCCTGAATGCATCTCAATGGAACAACTTCCTGCTCGCCTTCTGTTGCTGGACCTGGGATGCAGTTGACTTTTTTGTGAGCCCTCTGGAATGTCACTCAACAGTACAACTAACAATCAGGTCGTCAGTTTGACCGTCACAGACGTTGCGAAAAGCCTTGGCAAGTCAACCACGGACATCACCTGGGGCATCACGCTCGTGCTCATGCTGAGGTCCGTTGGTGCCATCATCACTGGCCTCGTTGCTGATATTTACGGCCGCAAATACATCATGGCTTTTGTTCTAATCATGTTCTCTGTTCTGGAGATTGGACTCGGCTTTGTCCACAATATGAAGGAGTTCCTGATTGTCAGGGCACTGTTCGGTATTGCCATGGGCTCCATGAGTGGTCTAGCTCAAGTCACTGCCCTAGAATCGGCTCCACCTAAAGCACGAACTCTGCTTGGTGGTCTCCTCCAACAAGGTTACAGTACTGGGTACTTGTTGGCTACCTGCTTCGCGCGTGGTTTTGTCGACACGAAACTTGGATGGCGCGGACTTGCCTTCTTCACCAGCGGTCCACCGATCCTGCTCGTTATCTGGCGTCTCTTGACACCAGAAACTGATGCCTTCCTCGCAATGAAGGCACAGCGCATGCAGATACCTGATGAAGGCGGCTCAAAGGTTCGCAAGTTTGCCCGTGAAGGAAAGATGGCTCTCCGCAACCATGGAGGTATCTTCACCATATTGGTCTTCATTATGATCGGCTTTAACTTCTCGAGCCATGCATCTCAGGACCTGCTGCCGACCTACCTGAAACAACAACGCTCTTTTGACGCTGATTGGGTCACCATCACCATGTGCATGGCAAATCTCGGCGCCATCTGTGGAGGATTCTTCTTTGGTTGGCTCGCACAGTTCATGGGTAAGCGTTTAACCATGATGATCACATTCGTCTTGGGTGCGGCTTTACTACCAGCGTATGCACTATCGACTACCAAGCCTGGTATTGTGCTCTCATTCTTCTTTGAACAGTTTGCCGTTCAAGGGGGTTGGTCGGTAGTGCCGACACTTCTGTTGGAGTTGGCTCCACCCCAATACCGAACATTTGTTGCTGGTACCGCCTATCAGCTCGGAAATCTGGCTTCATCGGCATCGAGCACCATTGAATCCACGGTGGCACAGCAGTACCCATTGCCAGGTGGCAAGCACAACTATGGAAAAGTCATTGGTATCTTGATGGGTTGTGTCTTTTCTTACTTGCTTGTCGTCATTTTCTTGGCGCCAGAACGTGCATACTCTGGACTCGCTGCCTCAGACGCCCTGCAAGATGGAGAAGATGATCTCAAGGCAACCACGTCGAACCGAAGCGACGTGGAGAACAAAGGAACAGATGATCACATTGAATATGTGACGAAGCGTTAATGACATAGCTTTCATGCCCGTATTATTTAGTGATGAAGCAGATCCTTTTCACAGCAGTTGAAAACCTCTTGATCACTGGGACACCGTGCTGTTCGGCCCTTTGTCAAGGTCAGCGCAAAAAGGCGATCGAACACAGAGACTCATGCCTTTTCTGGCAATGATGCATCACAAATGATTCAATGAAAAGACAGTTAAGACGTTCAGGCATGAGAAGGTTCCTAGAAGCCTACTATCGGTGTGCGTAGGCGTAATTATGTGCTGTATACTGAAGGATTCGAATTTTGCCACAGTTTTCCATCTGAACGTAAGCTCTCTGTAGTCGACGACTGGCTCGTGCTGCGAACGCCTACCATTTCTTACTCCCACTTAAACTTGTGTCTGGCATTTTCAGGGTTTGAATAGACTCAGCGTGCATAATGGGAGTGAAAGGCCTCTTTCCCCTGCTTAAAAAGCACGCTCCTTCAGCTGTACGCAGCCATCCGCCGAATTACCTACAGGGTAAGAGGATCAGCTTAGATGGAAATTTACTTCTATTTCGAGATTTTATGTCACCCTTATGGCTCCCTGCCGATCTCGAAAGTAAACATGCCATGTGGTGCTTGAGGCTTGCTAGATACTGCAGAGCATGCAACATCAGTCCCATCATTGTATTCGACTCACCCATGACCACGCCGGCCAAAGTTCGAGAGCGCGCGAAACGTAGTCTCGCGCGCCAATCTGTGAGGCGTGTATTTGACACTGCGGTTGATCGATCACACAGACTCACAGATTTGACTGAAACATTCAGCAAGCTGATTGACATGGAGCCGCTACAGCGTCAACAGGTTGCTCGTAGCTTCGAGGCAGAGCTAGTTGGTGCAGACAGCAGCATTATGGAGGCGATGCTTTCTTTAAAGGAAACCACAGTGAGTCAGACAACAGATTTGCAGGAAACGATCATAATACCAGATTCTGTGGTAGATGATACCTTTGCTGGACAGCCCGAGGAGGTGACGAATATGACACAAAGCTTGATTGGACACCTTGATCGTGTCGTCAAAGCAGGAACTTCCACTGCTAAAGCTAAAACTGAGCTAGATGTTCTGCTTTCCTTTGCAGTCACGCGGAACTCAACGTTGCCGATAGAAGGATTACAGCAGTTGAGTATCGACACCACCGAGCTCGTCGAGAAGCTTTCTCGAAGAATCAAAGGTCCGACAAATACACAAGTCTCGCAATGCCAAAAGTGGCTCCACGAGTGCTTTCACCTGCCGGTGCAACAGTCACCTGATAGTTTTGAGGGCGAATGCACAGCCGCATTCTTTCAAAAGCTAGGCTATGTTGATCTGGTGGCGAGTGATGATTCAGATGTGCTCATCTATGGTGTTTCCCAGCTTCGCGGCTTCATGGGCCTTGGAGGCAATGGATACGACTCTCAATCAGACAAGAAATTACTCAAGCTTTTACCATTGACCGAGGTAGACGTCGAGAGTATGATGGCATCTCTTGACCTGACTGCTGATAGTCTGGTCGACTTTGCTATACTTTCTGGGACAGATTACACCATCAATATCCGTGGAATGGGCCCTCAAAAGGTGCTTGACTTGATTCGTAAATACGGAAACCTCTCGGATACACTGGCGGCACTTGAAACTATTCATTTCAGCTCAGGAGCACGCAAGGGCAGTATAAAGTACAAAGTGCACGAGAGCTTCGCAGATGATGCACTAGTGGCCCGAAACATCTTCAGCTCCTTTCCAAACATCACGCAGCTTGCACCGCATTTTCAATCATCGGAAATCTTTCTCAAAAGCACTGAAGAATGGAAAAACCTGTGTAGGGATGATACAGCATGGCAAATGGCCGAGGAAGAAGTCTTGTCAAGGTGCCCTGACTTGTCGAAAATGAGTCTTTCCTTACTAGACGATAAAGGGCTTTATATGCCCAATGCTAACCACGTTGGAAGACTCATATGAAATTTCTGTGCCCGCCTCGTATTTCGAATTCATGCTCACAGATCTAATTCCTCACTTGTAGCACTTGTAGAATTACATTATATTAACTGCGATGGTACATTATTTACAAAACGCGTACTTCTCTACGCTGTGGCTAACGCCCAGATCTTGTCGATAAGCTCGCTAGCTTGCGAAGTGGAATACATCGCTTCTGTGCAGAAAACACCAAAGCAAAGACTCTTGCCATCCGATGCATATTCAACTTCAATGTCGACCGCAGGATTGACGCAATTTTTGTTGTGTGAGTCTAGCTGCTCAAATCGAGCATAATGTTTGTCAAACGCAGTACTGTAGCATTTCCGAATGCTTGCAATACATTCGTCCGGCAACCGCCCAAAGTTCTCAAGAGCCCCACAGCTGGTTCCGTTCTCAGGACCAGCTGAACCTCTTGGCAAGACATTGACAGCGACATCGATCAATCCGCCTGGACTGCTTGATCCGATAGCATGATGTATCTGGGCGATACTAGTTTGCTGAGCTGCACCGTTCATTTGAATCAAGTCTTGGTGCACCTTGGCCGGCAGGTTGGTATCTGTCAGATCAAGCCGAACTGGCAAAATGTTGACTGTTGGGCCGCAAAGACGATCGATGTTGTCAATATCCAAGCTACGGCCTGCAACGTACAGTCCAAGCACGACTTCGTTTTTCCTTTCTTGTTGGCCAAGTGCTTGAGCGATAGCTGCCGTGATCAAACTTTGCGAGGTGACGCCCAGTCTTTGAGCTTTGTTCTGCAATTGAGTAGACGCAAAGGGCGGAGAAAAGTAGTCAAGCTGATTCAAATGAGGGGATCGCACTCCAATAGATTCAAGCACGGATCCGACAAAAGATGTGTTCTGCGGCGTCAAGGTGAAAGGCTTCACTTCGCGAAGGTAAGTCCTCCAGAAATCAAGACAATCATCTGCTGGGTGGCCATATTCGGTCGCAAATTCGTCGTAGGCAATGATATCGAGATCATCCTCTTGAAGGGCTTTAAGTACAAGGGCAATGCTGTAGGCATCGTAAAGCACGTGATGTAGCGCTAATAGGAGTGTGGTAGAACCACTGGCTTCGATAAAGGTGAACAATGCAGGACATCGTTTCAAATCAGGAGAGACGAAATCATCCGAGGCGTAATAGCGTGCCAATGCCTCCTGCATTGGACAATCGAAAGTTCTGAAAACAGGCTGAACACTTACCTCGTGAGATAGAACCACTTGGCACAAGTTGCCATCGACGACAGCGAACGCGGTGCGAAAGAGTCCAAATCGCTGTACAAGCTGCTCCCACCGGCGAGATATCGCATCCGTGTTCCCGAGCACTTTGAATGCAAAATTCGACATGTATCGCCGACCACTAAGCTTTGCCCAGGCGGCGAAAAAATAAGCTTGTGTTGCTGTGCATGGAAGAACGCGTTGAATGTTGTGTCCTTGGCAGTCAAGTTGCTTCGCAATGCTCGCCAGCTGCGAAGCTTGTAAGACCACAAAGCCTTCTGCCTTACGCTTGACTTTCTTCTGATCTAAATGCTGGAGGCCTTTCATCTCGCGCACACTTGGATTTCTCAGTATGTTACCCACAGAGATTGCAATGTTCTTCTTGCGCAGCTTCTTCGATAGCTCCACGGCACTGATGGAGTCCAGACCAAGACTGAAGATAGAGGTGTCGCTGGATACATCCCCGAGGGCGACTTTGGCGACCTCTGCGATGGCCAAAGCAATTTCTTGTTCCTGGGGGTCCAATTCTCGACTTTTGGTTTGCTGACGATCAGATGCATTGAACCAATGTGGTTTTGCGACAAGACTGGATGTATCTTTGATGGTCTCGGCGAGCAGCACATCCAAAGCTTCGAGCAGTTGCGCGGGATCTTCAAGAAAGCCTTCATGGCATGCTAGCGTCCATTCAATATTCTTACCAACCTCGCATTCGACTGCAAGCGGGAATTCTACCGAAGAGTCATCCATCACAGGCGTCCATAGGTCAAAGCTGGTGCGAATCTCTGGTACATTCTGAATAACCAAGAGGCTGTCAAACAATGGGCCCTTACCAGCCAGCTTTTGAATGCGCCGAAGAGACGCATGAATGTAAGGTACCATCTCAATATTTGCCAAATGCATGTCGTAAGTCAAGTCTCCAATGGTAGTCTCTGGCGAGACCATGGCACGCAAGGGGACAGTATTCATGCACGGCCCATTGATGCGATCAGCATCTGCTGCAAAGGAACGCCCAGCCTGTATAGTTCCAAAAATAACATCTGCCTGGTTTTGGCGCTGCATCAATGCCTTGGCAAAGCAAGACTGAATGACTGACTGGAGCGAAACTCCAAGATCTCGAGCAACCCGTTTGAGGTCCTGGTTCTTGACATTTGATCGCTTTCGAATTTTGCTAGCCTTGGTCGGATCAAGCGCCTTTTTGGCCAAGCGTGGCACACTGCCACGCAAATAACTGGCCCAGAAGAAGTCTGCAGATGCCACCGATTGCCTGAAAACGTGCTCAATGAGTAATCGATATGGTGGTCTGTCACTGACAGTAGCTCCCGATCTGTAGGCTTCTTGAACGTCTAAGTAAGTCATATCGAGCGAGATGCCGTCATAGAGCGCGTGATGGACAGAGACAGCCAAGTAGCTTTGCTTGTCTTGATCAAAGATTTCGAATGCAAGAGGAGGTGACACCGCCGTATCGACACTGGAACTGACTTTCCGTTGGTATTGTTCGAATGCTTTGACCACATCATCTATTTGAGATCTTTCGATGTGCAGTTTTTCTGGCGCATGAACACATTGCACGAACCGAAAGCTGTGCGTCTCGTGCGCCACAGGATGAAACGTCGTCCGCAGAATTGGATTTGAATGTATCACTTGTTCCCAAGCTTGAACGAGCCTGTCGACATCAATATTGGATGCCAGTTTGAATAGCGAGTGATTCAAATACTGCAGACTTCCTTGTGCAATGTCCTCTGTCAGCATTCCCTGCTGGATCGGCGAGATTGGCAGGATAGCTTCCACGTCAGAGTCATCAAGGTCTCTAAACATGATTCTCCAATCCGTGGGAGCATTCCCAATAAATTCTTCTTGCGACCTGCTTACAAAAGCGGCAAGCTTTGAAACGGAGGCATTGGCCATCAGAGTTCCAACAGATGCGTTCAGCTGATGATGCTTCAGGCGAGCAGAGAGCTTGACCATATCGATTGAATCTAGACCAAGAGCGAAAAAGGATTGATCGAGCCCCACCTCCCCGTCCGCAACATCGAGAAGGTCTGCAACATCAGACAGAATAGTTTGGGCAAATCCAGTAAGGGTATTGGAGCCCAACGTTCTCTGCAGTGCCTCGCTTTCCGGCGCAACGGCAATGCTGGTTGAGTCTAGTCTTTGCAAATTGACCTGGATGCGTGTATCTGCAAGCAACTGGCAGAGGACCTCGTCAACGGCAACGAGCACTTCTTTTGCCGCCAGTGAGATCCCCGTGGTCTTGGAGAGCATCCTTACGTTGTCAGTGGTGATGGTGACATCTAGGGCAATAGCAAAGCCAGATGAATCGTCTGCCTGACTCGTCATTGACCAGCTTCCGTGCTGGTGTCCTCCGTGCTGCAGGACCAGAATGGAATCCATCAGCGGAGCATCGGATGGGATGCCAAGAGCTTTTTTTATGAAGCGCTGCGGAGTATGCTCATGGGCTGTCGCCCTCGAAAAGAGCTCTTGAGATCGTTCCACGACATCCGTAGGATCTCCATCAGTGTTGACAAACATCGGTAACGTATTGAACGTCGGGTACACAACATCGTCCACGCCATCCACAGTCAAATTTCGCCCAGACACGACTAGACCGAAGACTGCGTCCTGTCCAAGAAGCCTACGGAGGATCAAAGCCCAAGCGGCCTGGAAGATTGAAATGGTTGTGCATTTGTTGGCCTTACAGTAGGTCTGCAGATCGTGGGGGGAAGTTTTTGAAATGAGCGAGTTTTCCGTAGAAGCGCACTCTCTGCCGCGGTTGAATCTCGCAGCTTGCGCAGACTGCAGTTGCTCAGTCCAAAATCCTTTCGCCCGTTCCAGGTCGATTGATAAAATCTCCTCGATGACTGGGGATATGGCGGGGAGCGCCAGCTGTAATTCGGGCCGTTCGTATAGACGCTGGAAGTGTTTGATAATCAGCTGAAGCGAGTGGCCATCGTACAGCGCATGATGAATGGAAAGAATCAGGCGGCCGTCGACCTCGTCAAGTTGACAAAGCTTGCATCCAAGCGGGAATTTCTGGTCACTGAAGGCTCCGACAGAATTATCGGCAAGAACGACTTGAGCAATGCCGTCAGAGACAAGACAAAATCTTGTCCGAAGCACAGATACCTGCGCAACCAGAGAGTCGAACGTTTTCTGTGCGCGTGGAATGTCTAATGGATGCTCAGTACCAATCACGAACTTGTTGAAGTGCAGCTTCGTTTCCGCATTCATGCTTTCGACCAGGAGGCCTTCCACCAACGGGGTGCATGGGACGACCATCTCGATATCGCAAATGCCTAGATTGAGAAGATTCGCAGCAGTCTGAGTGTGACGGTGGCCAAACGATTGTACAGCGCTTCCAGTTGTCTTGAATTCAGACCTACCAGACAACGCACTGGCTATATTCTGAACCGTCTTGGCTTTCATGACCAGAGCGACCGAAGCCTCTAAAAGTCCAGCTTGTTTCAAACTGCGAGCAAGCCCAACGACAGATACAGAATCTAGACCTAGTTCGAAGATGGAAGAATTGTCTGTGATTTGGGCTTCCTCCAGGTCTGTCATTCCTTTGAGGATACCTCTGACTTGATTTAGCACTTTTACCGAAGCCTTGCTCTTGCCGGCCCTGTGCCTCATTGCAAAGGTAGGGAGCGCCTTGCCAGGCACTTCATTATACACCCTGACAAGTTCTTTCTGGTCCACTTTGTTAGTCGCTGTCAACTTGATGCGGTTGACCGGAATGATGTAGGTAGGCACCATGTAAACAGGAAGGAGGCTCTGGGCAGCGTCGAAAAGGATGTTACGGTCAAGCTGTTCATCAATCACGGTAATCGATGAGGCGCTCTCAGAGCCCTCATACTCGATCCATGTGACTAGGTGCTCTTTTGGCTGACTCTGATGTTTCAGCACGACCGTGACAGCAGCTTTGATATTTGTATGCGCCTTCTTGATCACGGAATCAATTTCTCCCGTCTCAATGCGTTGGCCACGCAGTTTGACCTGCTGATCGGCTCGTCCGACAAAATCAAAGGATGCGTCAATCTCGAGCAAGCGAACGAGATCTCCCGTCTGGTATGTTTTGTCATTGAGAAGTTCGTTGAAAACAAAACGCTTCCTTGTTACCTCGGGTAAGTTCATGTAGCCCTCTCCTACTTGCACACCACTGATGAAGAGATCTCCGAGTCCACCTCGTAGTGCTGGTTTAGGTTCGCCAAGCACTGCTTGAACGATAGAACCACAATTTTTCCACTGCTGGCCAATGTTTGATGGTCTGGCGCCCTTACGAACTTGTTTGAGAGCTGTACAGCCGATTGTCGCTTCCGTTGGTCCGTAGAAATTGAAAAGAACATCTTTGTCGCCCCAATTCTCGACAACTTCACTCTTCAACATTTCTCCACCAGTAATGAACACTCTGAGCGACGGCGCTTCTTCTGGAAGCAAGGTCATCGCAAGCTGCGGCGTCAAGTCGATATGAGTGATACCAAATCTTTGAATGGTACCGGGTATGTCAGAAAGCATGACATCTTTTGGAGCGGCACACAATCTAGCTCCAATAGACCAGCTGAAGTACTGCTCGAGAATGGACACATCGAAATGAAGGCCAGCAAAAGCCAAAAAGCGGCTGCTGGTGTCAAACTGACCGCAGAACTCGTACCTGAAAGAATATAGAGCCTGGACGATGCTTTTGTGGCTGAGACAGCAACCCTTTGGCGTTCCTGTAGAGCCGCTTGTGTACAGCACATAGGACAAGTCATTCTGGGACATATTCATCCGCTGCGAGTCAAGATTGTCTGTTGCAAATTTCTGGAGGTCGATCGGCAGAGTCAGAACTTGTACCGAGACTGCTGCACTCAATTCTTCTCGATAGGATGAACCACAAAGCACAAACACGCTCTCCGAATTCTCTACAATGAACTTGCGACGTTCAATTGGAGCAGTAGGGTCGAGACAACAAAACGGTGATCCGGTCTTGAGGATTGCAAGAATGGCAATGAATGCGTCGGGTGTCTTGTCGAAACATACTGCGATAGGCTTCTTAGGCATCTTTCCACCGACTAAGTGCCAAGCGAGACGATTGGCTTCCTCATTCAGTGCCTTGTATGACCAGATTTGGCTCTTCTCTGACAATTGAGAAACAAACTCCAAAGCACACGCCTCGGGTGTTTCTCGCGCATATTTTTCAACGTACTCATGTAGGAACGATACTTCCGTAGGGAATTCGGGAATCTGAGGAGGTATTACCGACAGTAATTGAAGATCCACGTGTGACTCAAGATCAAGCATTCTGCTCTCTGGATGCTTAAGTATTGCCCCCAAAATTGCTTCCATCTGCCGCAGAAGAATCTTTGCGTGCTGTGAAGGAACTTTTGAGGAATGGGTTAATACGAGCTCAAGATTCGCGTCCGTTCTGTCTGGAATCACCTCCAGGGAGATCGGCACTTCGACTTTGGCAAAGTCTTGCTTGAGTGTCCAGAAGTCGCAACTTAAACAACTCTCATCCGGGTTTTGCTGGTAGACAAAAATAGTGTCAAATAATTGAGCCCCCTCTTTTGAGACCTTACTCAGAGCAAGGTGTTGCCGCGCTAAGGCAGATGAATATAAATCAGCAAACGTTTTCAAGGTGTCAGTCGCGCTCCCCTGGATTACGGTTGAGAATGGCAGGGTTGAAATGCACGGATATAGCGCATCCTCCAGATCGAGCCCAAGTCTGCCTGACAGCACCACACCAAAGCTGACTTGAGATTCGCCCGTATATGCAGAAAGAATCTTAGCCCAGGCTGCCATACACAGGCTTGCGAGCGAGATGCCCTGGCTTTGACGTTCGCTTTGTAGTGATTGGACACTAAACTTGCGCTTAGTAACGAGTGACTGCGGCTCGACTTGGCAGTTGCTTAAATTTGGGAAGGGGTTTGCCGATTTGCCCTGCAAATGAGCTTGCCAGTAAGTTGCGCTTGACTCAGCATACTCTCCGTGGTACAGCTGCCAAAGCCTTTTAGCAGACGAGCTCATGGGCGGAACTTCTGGAATTGATTTATCACGTAACACGTTTTGTACCGCGACGAGAAACTTCGAGAGCGAGTTGCCATCGAACAATGCATGGTGCGCACTGAACAAAAGTGAATTACCTTCCGATTGACTCCGGAATAAGTGAAGCCTAAAGGATGGGGTGCTCAGATTGTGCAACAGCTCCTGCTGTAGCTCATCAATGACTTGTTTTACTGATACTTTAACATTAGTCGTTTCGGTGTCTGTCCAAAAATCGTGCATCTCCTCTGGGACTACCAGTGCATACTGACAATCTCGCTTGCCGACAGCGACAATCGATGCCCTCAGAATGTCATAGTGGCTAGCAACATGAGTCCAAGCTTTCAGTAAATCATTTACAGAAAGAGAACTTTCCAGACCAAAGAGTATATGGTTGTAGTAGCTAGATCCATCGGAGCGAACAAATTGTGCGATCATATTATCTTGAACTGGCGTACAAGGGACTGCAATAACACTATCCGGGCGCTCTTGCATGATGATGTCACAAAGCTGGTTGTAAGGCTTGTCGTCAACCGTCAAATTGGCTGATGATCGCGTTGCAATGTCCAGTTTCTTTGCCATTTTTTCTGTAGTGGGGTTTTGAAGGATATCCACGACATCGATGTGTTTACCCTTCTTCTTCAAGACCGATACAATCTGGATAGCTGCGAGGCTGTCTAGACCGAGCTGATAGATGGAACTAGATCTTTCAATCCTTGACTCTTCAACTCCGCTGACCTGTGCCATGACTTGTCGAATGACAAGTTCAGACTCGGAAAAGGATCTTGAGTCTAGAACTCCGTGCACATCCCGTGCCGAAGCTTCAAGAAAAAGTGCCTGCAGCTTGCGCGTGTCGAGTTTCCCAGCATTGCCTAGGGGCAGAAAATTAAGTGACTCAATCCGTGTAGGAATCATGTATGTCGGCAGCTTTTTTTCAAGATCCTGTAGAATGCTTCCGACATCTGCAATGCTGTCGCATAGAGCAGCGTTCAACGATGCCTGCGAAGAACTTGGTACTGCAGAGATGAAGGCAACTAGTTGTTCGACCCCCTCGGTTGTGGTCGCAACAATAGCTGCAGCAGCTTTGACTTTCGTAATTTGCAGCAACACGGACGAAATTTCGTCCAGCTCGATACGCTGACCCCGGAGCTTTGTCTGGTTGTCTTTGCGACCACTGAAGAGGATTTGTTTATCTGGAAGCATGCGGCACAGATCACCAGTCCGATAGAAGCGCTCCCCTTCGTAAGTGAAAAAGGCTTGCGACGTTTTGTCTGCGTCTTTCAAGTAACCACGACTGAGCTGCGGCCCGGCGATACAAAGCTCGCCAAGGTTCAACGTTGTCATCGGTCCGACAGCATCGACGGCGAAGATTCCTAATCGAGCATGAGCAAAGGTGTGGCCAATGTTGTGAGCCAAGCTCGTACTGCAGACATGATGCGAAGAACAAACCATCGCAGCTTCAGTTGGCCCATATGTATTGAGACACAAATCTTGCCACTCTGCTATAATGCTTTGTGCCAAACTCTCTCCGATACAGAAGAGCATTTTGACACAAGGAACATCAGCACGCCGAATTGTTTTGGCCACGGATGGTGTGAGATCCACATGAGTTGCTTCAAGTTTGTTGATGACGCTGGTCAAGTCTTCTAACAGCAGACTTTTAGAGGCTGCGCACAACGTCAAGCCGAGCGAGAATGCAACAGACATGTCATAGATGGACATGTCGAAAGTGCTAGCGGCGAATTGTAGCCAGCGAGCTTGAGATGTTGCCCATAGAATAGGCTTTGAAGACTTGATTGTCGCCACGGCTGCCTTGTGTTCTACCATGACCGCTTTAGGTCGTCCAGTCGAGCCAGAGGTGTAGATAATATATGCAAGGTCGCTCGAGCTCAATCGAGCTGGATGTACCTGGTGTTGAACCTCGCGGTGCCAGTCATTCAATGTGCGCTTTGGACACCCACCCACCTTATCAGCGCTGTCAGCGGCTTGGTCGCCATTTGTCAGAATAAGAGCAGGACAAAGTTCGGCGAGAATATATTCAAGCCTCTCAGAGGGTGTCTGTACATCTAGTGGGACATACACAAGACCTGCATGCAAGATCGCCAAGAATGCAATGTACATTTCCGGAGATTTGTCCATCATGACGACAACTGGAGCAGACCTCCCGAGCTTCAGACGCTGCAAATGCCATGAGATAGCGAACACGCGATCACGAAGCGTGCCGTAGGTAAGTGACTCGATTCTCCCAGAATCGTGCAAGAATTCGAGTGCAATTGAAGACGGTTGCCCATGGCAATTGGCCAGGAACGCATGATAGAGCAATTCTTCCGTTGGTTTTCCAGTAGGCACACGAACAGTCAGCGCTAGCGGGCCCTGGAAAAGTCCAGTGACAGGTGAGCTAGCGTTTCCCTCGGAGATTACGTCAACCAATCGTTCAAAGTGAACCGCAAGTTCTTGTGCCACGCTTGGAGAGACAATGTTGTTGCAAGCAGTCAATCTGAGGTTGATTGTGTCTAATTTTGTGTGTGGAACAATTTCCATCATGAGAGCATACTGATTGTTAGTCAGCCTTATCAATAGGAGGCTCTTACATTGCTGTCTCCTTTGTCATCAAGGGCTTTGTAGAGCTGAGTCTCCTCGAAGTGGACAGGCTTTTGAAGGATAAGAATTGTGTCAAACATCTTTGAGCCGACCGTGCCAGCGGATCTTGCGATACGACGCAAAGAATAATGAGGAGCCTTGAGATGTTCAAGATTTGCTTTTTGCAGTTGTCCAAGAAGAGATGCGATTGATTCTTGGGAACTGAAGCGAGTCCTGAGGGGAAGCACGTTAAAGAGAGGAGCGACCAATTCCTCGAGATTATCGACTGCCATGGTCCTGCCAGAGACTACATTGGCAAAGCAAATGTCGTCGCTGCCGCTCAAATTCTTCAGAAGAATGGCCCAGGCGGCCTGTAGCATGGCCAAGATTGGCGTCGAGGTTGCCCTTGATCTCTGATCAAGAACTGACAAAGAAAGTGAAAATTGGTGTTCGGTGATTGACTGGATGTTTTCGTTCGTATCCGAAAGGCAAGGAAATGGCGTCAATTCATATTGGGCAAGTTCCATCTCCCAATAGCGCTCAGTTGCAGGCTCGGCTGCTCTTTTGATTCGTCTCATCGCGTCAGCGAGCCTGGGCCGATTGGGTATCGCATGCCCGGCATACCATCGCGACAGGTCCTCGAGCATCAGTGACATCGACCAGCCGTCAAATAAAGCATGATGCAGTGATATGACAAGACGGTGAACTTGTCCTTGTTGCTCGAGGAAAGCTAGGGGCGGACGGGACAGGTCAAGGATGGATTGCGTCCTCCGGATGTGCTGTTCGAATGCATCCTCGGCGGAAGAGCTAGTCCAATCTATGTCGGTCTTTTGAAGGCATACTTGTACGCACGGGAATGCCGACGAGGCTGTGAAGCCGAAACAAGTTCGCAATATTGGCGTGTGTTGGACGAGATCTTGACAAGCCTGCTTTAACCGATGAGAGTCGATACCATCTTGCAATACCAGAATCTGATGATTGACGTAATGTACCGAATCTGACTTCAGTGTCTCCAAGAGAAGTCCTTCTTGCAATGGCGTACAGGGCAATATGTGCGATACCTGCGCTGAACTGAGGGATAGGTCTTCCAAAACCCGGTCCGTCATTGCTTCAGGGATCTCCGACGATTCATGTGACTCTGCCTCGGATGCATGGCTGAGGATGCTGCCAATTTGCCATGGAGACTGGTGAATCATAATATCGGAAACGGTTATTTCGCCGTGACCCTCTCGCTTGATGATGGTGGCAACTTTGATGGCCGAAATACTGTCCATACCAAGTTTGTGAAGTGATGTATCTGGCGAGATGTCTGCAATTGGCACGCCTGACACACGCGAGAACACTTGAGCAATGCTCCGTGCTGATTCTGTCCAAGAAGCGTGCGCATCCGAAGTCTTCGAATCTGCAAAGCGTTGGCGATCCGGAATATCTGCCAATCGCTGCTGCAGGCTTCGAGTATCGAGCTTGTAGGAAGATGTATGAGGAATCTTGTCCAAAGGTAGAATCATGGCTGGAACCATATATGCCGGCAAAATCTGCTTTACCCGATCAAAGATCTCGGCGACGACTGTATCATGACTGTCAGTCGCCCCAAGTTTGACAAATGAGACGAGGGCTGCGTCATGAACAATAGTAGCGGCATCTTTGACCTTGCAGTGTCTTCTCAATGCATGAGTTACCTCATCCAGTTCAATACGAAAGCCTCTGACCTTGACCTGTGAGTCTTTTCGACCCAAGAACGAGATAGAATTATCATCAAGCATGCGGACAACATCGCCTGTTTTGTAAATTCTGCCAAACTGTGGATGTTGGACGAAGCTCTGGGATGTGCGTTCAAAATTGTTGACATATCCACGAATGATCTGAGCACCACCGACCCAAAGCTCTCCTTGGGCAAAGCGAGGAACAGGTCTCAGTTGTTCGTCCAGCACAAAGCCTGAGGTGTTGGGCAGAACTGGACCGATACTTGAAGTGTAATCTTTTGAAGTAGTGAGCTGCTTCACGGTACAAACCTGATATTAGTACGGCCATCAAGCTTGATTTATCTTACATTGGTCGCCTCGGTCGGTCCATAGGCGTTGTAGCAGCGTTTTGAAGCACCCCAATCATGAATGATTGAGCGTGAAATCGCCTCACCTGTCAGAATGAAGCACTTGACCAGTGGCAATTCTGCTGCCTTTACGAGCGTGGCCGCCATCGGTGTCATATCAACATGAGTGACCTTGAATGCGTTGAGAGCAGCAGTGAGGTCAGTCAGCATGAGATCTCTATTGGCAGATACGAGGCATAGACCGTTCAGCCATGCAAACCAGATCTCAAAGACAGAGACATCGAACGAATCTAGCGTTAGTTTTAGACTCGCCAGGATTGACCTTACATGATGTGAATTGCATGATGCGATCAGCGACTGCGTGAGGATAAATGTTTGAGAGGACACTGATGTTACTGAGGACGTTGCTGTGGGTGACGGCGCAACCCTTTGGTACGCCCGTTGTACCACTTGTCATGAGGACATACGCCAATTGACCCTCGCGAACAGGCTCAAATTCATCTTTGCCTCCAGACTGTAGGACTTGGTTGACATCAACCGCATGCACATCTGAGAAGCGAGTTGCATAAGAGGACGAGGTCATAACATGTTTAGTACACGTCACTTCCAAAACAATTTTGAGCCTTTCGTCTGGAAGTGCTGGGTCTAGAGCCAGATAAGGACAGCCAAGTTTGTGAATAGCAATCATGGCTGCGTACATTTCAATCGATTTGTCCAGGCATATAGCAATCGCTTCTTCACACAAGACTTGCCTTTGTAAAACATTGGCAAGCTTGCAGGCAGCTTGATCAAGTTGTCTGTAAGTCAACTTGGTCGAGTGATCCAGGGCATCGTAGAACTCTAGAGCAATCTTGTCGGGCTGGCGATCTGCTATGTCGGCGAAAGACGCATCCAAGCGGCCAGTGACTGCAGAAACGGGACAAATGTTGGTGATGGAGCTGAGATCGCCAGGCATATTCTTCAAAATTGACACTTTCGCCAACGTGTCATTCAAAATGACACCAAGGAGATGATCAAATTGTTGCAACAGTTGCTTTGCAGCTTTCGGGGCTACGAGACCTGGACGTGCAGAAATTCGCAAATGCAATCCGTCTGGTGATCGATCCATCGTCAGAAGAATCTTGAATTCCAGTCTGTCCCCTTGCTCCAACACTTTGATATCAAGTTTGTCGATATCGGCGCCCGTCTTTTGGTAGATAAAGAGGGACTCTGGATGCTTTCGCGTCTTGGATAGCTTGAGTATGTCACGATACGGCAGGCTGTGTTGACTGAGCAGCTTGTTGCCCCTGCTAATAGATGACAATGCAGCTCCAATGGTTTCGTCTGAGCCAACCTGGAGCATACAAGGGTACGTGTTGATGAAAGGGCCAACCGTTCTCTCGATGCCTTCAACAGGCAGTGTTCTACCTGATGTCGTGATTGCAAAGCAGGAAGATTCACCAGTGTACCATTCTAATAGCAGAGACCAAGCAAGCTGCCCGATAGCTTGAGGACTGATGCCAGCGATTGCACACTTCTCATCCAGGCTCAACAGTGACATTTGCGAGAGACTGGATGTCGTCAAAGTCTCATTTTCCTCTGGCTCGCATTGCGCAAGAATTGGCAGGGGAGGGCAATTGTATGCTTGCAGTTCTTGCGCCCAGTAGGCCGTGGCTGCTGACAAAGGCTTTGAGGATACTTGCCGTTGGACATCAGCGTACTGCGGCGCGTCCTCGAGAGACTTGTTTGCTAAAAGACGCTGCAAATCATGCAATAGCAATTCCAGAGACCATGCGTCGTAGAGCGCGTGATGTAGCATGATGCTCACATGATCGTGAAGCACAAGCGCATGAAGCGGCGGCTGCGCCATATCTGCGGGCAGCTTCCGAGCCTTGTGTGTGCCAACAGCCACTTCAATTGACTCGTCTGATTTGTCGACCAGAGGCTCATAGGAAGCTGGATGGATAACTTGCACAAATTCAAAAGCCGGATCATCTGAAGGAGTGAATCCTGTTCTCAAAATAGAGTGCCGTGCGACCAATGCCGTCCATGCTTTGCTAAAGGCTTCAAAGTCATCAATGGGTAGCTGGAGCAAGATGGGATTGTAATAGAGCTGCCCTGCTGGGTCTGACAAATTTCCGGCGAGCATCGCCTCCTGAATCGGAGAGCAGGGTGCAAAGGTGCAGCCAACAAATCGTTTTTGCAGTGCAACAAGCACATCAGTTCCGAGCTCCCGCTTGTTATGGTCTTGGCCTTGAGCTTGTCCTTCAGTTAGGCTCAATCGTTGCGCAATGCCAGAAATTGTATCGGCATCGAGCACATCAAAGACTGAGCAAGATTGTCCATTTCGCTGCAAAGCCATGACAATTTTGATGGCTCCAAGAGAGTCGACACCATATTGAGCCAAGCTGCGATCACTTGCTACAGTAGTGCCCACAACATCGAGAACAGCTTGAGAAACAAGCGTTTCTGCTTCGCTCATGTCGCCTTCATCTGATTGTCGATTGTTCTTCTTGTAGTCTTCTGCCATTGCTTTCAGCTTCTTATTGTCCAATTTACCTGAAGAGGAAGTGGGCAAATCCTCAATCATCATTAAAATTGGCTTGAGATCCCGAGGTAGTCGACCGGCAAGTTGGAAGCCGGCTTGACCAACAACAAACGCAAAAAGCTGGTTTTCATGCTTGATGACAGCACACCGACGAGCACCATCCATTCGCTCAATCGCACAAGCAATTTCGCCTAATTCAATTCGTTGACCGTTGATTTTGACCTGGTCATCTCCTTGTTTGCGACCGACAAAGAAACATTCGCCATCGACGATTCGTGCCAAGTCACCTGTACGATACAACATCCCATCACATAAATCATGAGCAATGAAGGCTGCTGAGGTCAAATCTGGCCGGTTGAGATAGCCGCGTGCGACTTGTGGGCCTCCGATACAGAGCTCGCCCAGCCAGCCGAAGGGCAAGACGTCCTTAGACTGTGGGTCCAAAATTGCAATAGAGCAGGATCTGAGGGGAACACCAATGTTTGATGGCAGTGTAGCGGTCGTGTTCATTTGCTTCACAGTCGCATGCAATGTCGCTTCAGCTGGCTTATTAGCAAAAGTCTTCTAGTCGTACACTTACTTGGTCCATATGCATTGTAGAGCTTGCCTGCCCAGTTGTCAAGCACTTGTGCCGTCAGCATTTCGCCGATAGACAGAAACGCCTTGACTGTGCTAAAACGAGGATCATCCTGCCGTGGCAAGAGCCCGGCAACGGATGGCGTCAATTCGAGATAGTTGATTTGACGCTTGTCCAATAATCTTGGCAAGTCTGAGAGCAAGAGTGGTCGATGGGCAGCTATAAGCGTCATATCGCGGGCCCAACATGAGAATATTTCGAATATGGAGATGTCGAATGTCGTATTGGCGAATTGCAAGAAGTGATCGCCCTTGGCGAACTGAGTGTCCTCAAAGATGAAGTCATGAGCCAGAATAGAGGTGCTTGCATTGCGATGGGTGATTTGAACTGCTTTGGGTTGACCAGTTGAGCCAGACGTGTACATGACATAGGCGATTGCTTCCGGAACAATTTTAGGCGCATCATAGTCTGCCTGTCTGTCGAGGGAGACTGACATGTGTTTAACATCGCTAGGAAGACTGTCAGCAGAGGCGAAAGCACAGGTGGCCTTGACATCCTGACAAACGAAAGCAATGCGGTCTGCTGGGGTGTCCGGGAGCATCGAACAGTAAATGTTGCCCGACTTGAGAATGCCAAGCAGAGCAACGTAAAGCTCTAACGACTGTGGAAGAAGTACTGGAATAACGCTGCCGTACAGGCCTTGAGCAGAAAGCGAGCTTGCAACTTGGTTGGAGAGACGATGCAGCTGAGCATAGCTCAATTCGACTGGCTTTGCCTCGATGTCTCTGGTGAATGACACGGCAGTAGTAGAGCTGTCTCTGTGCCTTGTGAAAAGCTCATGCAGAAGTAAGTCGCTCGAGAAGCCTTTTGAATTCAGAATTGCTTTCTCATTGTTGACGAGCGAGGTTCCACTGATCAAATCGACGAGTTGTTTCAGCCAGGTTGCAGCAGAAGTCTCGGTGAAGTAAAGCGAGCTGCAAGCCAGATTCAGTTCGCTATCAGCAAGGTAAAGCACCGCAGCATGGTTGTCGAGATCCACCTCTGCTGAGGCTGTATGTAACAGAACGTCTCCTGCTTGAGTCTCCGCTCCGATTATCTCCTGCTCTCCTGACGGTGTCAAGCCAATAAAGGCATGACCCCTGCCGATGATGGCATTAAATCTGTCGCCCTCTTGCTTACCAGCTAGGCCACATACCAACAATAATGTCGCATGAGCAACATCTTCAAGGCTCGCATCAATAGACGTACTGTGTCGCTGTATATCATCATTTCCGATATTGCCGCGCAGGACTGGCAGCTTTGTCGTTTTCATTCGTTCTGGTGCAGGTACTTCGTGTGACTTGTCGTCCATGAGTTTATGCGTTCAGCATTCAACAGTTGCCTTTCTGCATCAGCTGAAGAGCTCGGCCAGTGCTGGTTGTTGAGCTGCGCGCTTGTACAAGGCGCGTCGGTGAGTGACGTCGGGTTTGCGCAAAATTACCAATCTCGGGCAGCGATCTAATATCGATAACGACGAGCAGCCCGCCAGCAGCAGCAGAAAGGGCAGCAGGAATGGGCTAATCAAGGCAAGAGAGGGAGGTCATTGAATCCGAAAGGCTATGTCGTCTGGAGTTGACCCGTGTCAGGCTGTGTGTCATACAGTGCGACAAGGCGGTCGGTGAAATGCTAACAATCCCCTGACCAGTTGATGCTATGTGCCCATTATCCATGCTACGAAATCGGCCACATATAGATAAAGGTGCAGTACAAGACATCTCCATGTCTTCTCATTGCAAATGCGATAAAATAGCGAAAAATAAATCATCAATGGTTGGCCATTGCGTTGCGCTGACCATCGCTTTGGGCCCAGAGCAATTGCTTCCAGGTCTTCATATCATTGTGCATCTTGACAAACTTGGCTTTGAGTGCCTCATCTGCGACTTTCTGGACATACACTTGCGCGTGCAACGCTTGGTACTCCGGATATTGCGACTTGTACTGCCGAGCAAGCTCAAACAAGTCGGTTGCCATTTTTGCTCGTTTGACGGATTCATCTGCCTTGTCATCCTGCAATTCGCTTGCTTTCCGCTTCGACACCGTGGTTGTCGTGGCTGTAGCAAAGGGCGCTGAGGATGAAGCACCACTTGTTTGCCGTGCCTTGTTGGCGTCTGTTCGCTTCGAGTCAAAGATACTGGCCTTCTTCGGGACACTGGCCACAGACGTGGAAAGCGCTTTGTCCGGCTTCTTCTTCTCCGCCGGTGAGCGCCCGCTGACGGATGTCTTTGCTGTGCTGATCGACAAGACAGAGCGGTCAGTCGATGTCGAGGTTATGGAGCTCGTGCGATTTGACGCGGCAAGAGCGTCTTCCAAGGAATCACCCGACGAGCTCGTTACTGAGGGAGCCTTTCGTTCGAAAGTCTGCAACCTCGATCTGCTCGTCGACCGATTCCGTAGTGCTGATCCTTTTTCGCGCGTCTTGTCGGTATTTGCCACATTACTCGCTTTGGAAGATTGAGCTGTCTTGCTGCTCACCTCCACCTTGCTTGATGCATCCTCCGAGCGTTTCGTTCGCCGATCTGAAGGCAGATCTATGTCGCTCACTGTCACCTCAGGAGTTATTCTCGAGGATGCTGAGGCCACATCTAGCTTTCGCTTCTTGGCCAGTTTTCCGGCACTCAGTATGCCATTCGCAGTAGTTGGCTTCTTCTTGTCATGCTCCGTGCCAGACAAGATCGTTCCCGACGTGACTGAAGCGGCATTGATGGGCGGATTCAGTGCGAGCGGCGAAGTGTCACTCATTTCGAGATCACTCATGGCGTTGCGCTTCTCTGGGTGGACAAGCTTGAGCCGTGCTGTAGCGGAGGCTGGCAGCTTGAGAGAGTCAAAGGCCTGTGTTGCCCTACTGACAACTTGCGTGCGCTCGGCTGTTGTGCAATGCCGCCAATCCCATACCTTGACTTGTGCATAAAAGCTGTCCCTCAAGACCCATTCGCTGTCTACTTGGCGAGCAACCTCTGTCAACAGCGGCTGCAGTACTTCGAATGTTGTGCGCAGCTTGCCACATAGCTCATCAGCGCTGCTAGCCCCGATTGCCAGTATTTGAATGAGTTTTGTCTTTAGCGGTACAGCGTTGGGCTTCGGTGAGCTTGCCACCAGTAAAGGTGACTTGCGCGCCTGCAAGAAGGGAGACTGCCGTCCTTTGGCTACACCGACCGGTGTGATTGATCGTGGTAGCCTTGCATTCTGCTTGTTTCTGCTCAGCGGATCTACTTCGAGCTGTTGCACCCTAAGATAAGAGTTAGCATTCTGCATCTGCAAGTCATGACAATGCGCATACGATCGGCCCTCTTTTGCAGCTTTGGCCTCTGCGTTCCTACTCTTGAGCTTGTCTGTGATCGTGTCGGCCAGTTCGCGCCGTACAGTGACTTTATGGCTTACTCGGCCAACCAAGTCCAAATGTTCTTGCGTCGTGCGTGGACACTTGTAGACCTCGAGCGCAGCAGATTCTGGCGCTATGGAGAAGGGAAACCTCTCTTGCCCGAGCATCAACGCCTAGCTGGTCAGTGGCGATGAAAGTGGTCAATCACACCCATACCTTGTCATCAAAGTCGACCTGCAGGCCGTTGCCAGCACTGTTGAGAATCTGCTGTAGGACTTCCGGAGTCAGTTTGATTTGTAGAAGCGGCCGGCCACTGCTCGCTGTTGTAGAGCGCAAGGGCGTGTCCGCCTGCTGGCCCAACATGGCGGTGTACAGTAGAGTCTCTTGGGCGAATGGCCCTTTTGTTCCCTGGTCGTCACAAGTCCTAGGAGGCCTGTCTGTGTATGGTCACCGTCGATGCTGGAGAAGTCTAGAGAGGCAGGGAGGTAGAATGGGCAGGCCGCTGCTGGTGCTGGCGGGGGTGCGCGGGAAGTAAGGGCAAACGGGGTTCCACGCGCGCTTCTTTCTTTTTCTGGTTCAGCTTCAAGCGCGGGTGGACGAGTCTGATGCTGCTGCAACATCCAATCGCCCCCAGCTCGCGCGGCAGCACACAGGGCCCGGGTTTCGCAAATATGATGTGACACTCTGCACTTCGATCGTCTTTCCAGCTGCCTCTAAAAGTCGTTCAATACGACCTCGTCATATACAATCTACAACAGCATGTAGGGTGACGCTATGTAGCCTGTCTGCTATTGCCAGCCCGAGTACCGCACACCTGCTGCCGGGCATCTCCTTGTCTTTTGGACCTTGAGCTTGAGCCTCCAATCTGGAAATTTGAGTCTGCCAAATTTGGGCGAGACAGGTCACGCGTGCTGCGTACATTTTGGGTCTCTGACGTGGTCTTGCATGAAACCTGCATCTACAAGACTGCAAATACAAGACGCACACCTGACCCAGTCTTCTCATGCGTCTCTCATGCCGACATGCTGAGGAACCTAGAGACTAGTTGCTCCACTCCTTGGATTTACGCTGTAGCCGCTCTGCGTCAGATTCAACTCAAAAGCCCTGTAGGCTTCAGGCATTGAGTGATGACGGTCTCAGAGCGTCCACAGGCGAATACATCGCCGAGCCAGGCTTCCATAGGCAGCGCTTGGATCATTGTGTGCTCGGGCACCTATCTGATCTATCTGGCCCTCAATCGCGAGCATGCAAAGCTTGATTTCAAGTTTATATTCCTAAGTAGTCGCAATTGGCACTTGCAAGTTGCAAAGTCGCAATCAAGGCCTAGAGCTGATCGACGCCAGCATTAGTTTTTGCATAACATCACTAGACTCTGCAACAGCGAAGCTCTAGCTTCAGGTACAAGTGCAAGCATAGCGGACTAGCCCTGGGCTCTGGTATGCTTAAGCTTGTACGTTGGCGTCTCTAGAAGAACTTATGCAGAAGCTGTAATGTCTTCAACCAAGTCGCTGTCCATATTCTATCCAATAAAAGGACAGCGAAAAGTGTGCCAATTACCGAGCTACAGATCTCGCCTAATACTCCGGATGCGGTAACCGTGTCGATTTGCGGCAACTTCGCCAACGGCCCAAAGCTTAAGGCTCAAAGTTAACGGCTGCACGTGCTGGCTCGCGGGCTTGCCTGCAATCCTCGACTATCACTACATGTTCAAAGGCTTCATTGTGAGCTCTATCACTTATGGTGTCAGAATGGATTTCGAGAATGGATTTCGAGCAGAGTTGATTATGCGTCTTTCTCACAGTGAAGGTGTGACATGAAAGAGCTCATGATCAAAACATGGACCAGTGCTTAGACCCTTCCCGAATTGAATCGTCCTTTGCATAAGAATCTGCCTTGTTGATTCAAGGCTCTGGAGGTTCCGTAGACAGACTCGACTTTTGAGGCAATCAGCCCTGTCGAAGAAGACTTGCCGGCATACACTTTCAAGTCGTGACTGCTTGCTTGATAGCTCATGGAGCTCAGCTGGTGTCCCCATCTGTTGAAGAAGGCTGTCGAAGCCTGTCATGATCTACGTTCGGCATCCATGTGAATCAGACCTCGAGGATACTGAAAGTGTGTATGCTTCACACATCACAAGCCTGCCCATTCAGCGGCCAAAAAGGCATAGAACGATGGCGTAAACTCTGGTCAAAATCGTCGAATCTGCCCTTCAGATGGCGGAATCGACCAACATTCGCAGCCAATATTGTCCCTTCCCAGCGGCAGCATCATGCTTTTGCCAAGAAAACTCCGTGCAGCTCATCAAGCATGTCAATCGTGCCATCGAAATTTGAGCATTGATAAGTTCTTGAGACGTTCGCTTTGAAATGCATACAATAGATACGGGCCAACATGGCAGACAACGACAAGGCTCAACCAGAACTTACAGGCACCCCACAGCGAGCTCACAGTGACACTGCTTCGCGCGACTACTACTACAAACATGGCATTGCTACACCACCGCAGGCGGAGCTCGAACGTTCCCGAACAGGCTTGACACTAACGCCGGAGATGTTTGAGCGCCTGTACCTGAATCCCAAAAATGATACAGAAAACACGCTACGCAAACTATGGGGGAACCCGACACCTATTGCCTTGGCGGGATTTCTGATGGCCTTGACACCGCTTTCGTGCGTGTTGATGGGATGGGGAGGTGCCACGTCGACCGTTGTCCTTGTGCCGACGTTCACCTGGCTCGGTGGCCTCATCATGGTGGTTTCAGGCTTACTTGAATTCTTCCTTGGCAACACCTTCGCAGCGCTTTCATTCTCGACATTTGGCGGATTCTATCTGTCCTTTGGAACGCTCCTGAATCCTGACAATGGCATTGCTGCTGCGTATGCCAATAGTGCAAGCGCGACTGAGACTTTCAATAATGGCGGCTCAACCACTGGCTATCTTTCTGGCCTCGCCTTGTACTGCCTTTGGTGGGGTGTCCTGGACTTTCTCTACTTTATTGTTTCTTTGCGCACCAATGTGACATTTGCTCTCGTCTTCATCACCATCGACATTGACCTCTTTCTACTCGCGGCTTCGTACTGGCAAACAACGCTCGGTCATACTGACTTGGCACAACGACTACAAGTGGCAGCTGGGGCGTTTGGCTTCCTGTGCTCCATGACAGGTTTTTATCTTGAGGCATCGATTCTATTTGATACACTTGATTTCCCCATCACGCTACCACTCGGTGATCTGAGTGGATGGATCAAGCCAAAGAGCGTGAGGCAAAAGGCGAAGGAAAGCTTAGCGTGATGTATATTATAGCGATTGATCCTCCTGCCTTGCAAGTAGTTGTAGAAGAAAATGACATCCCATCTGAAGAAACAAAAAATTAGATTTGTGATTATGAAGTACCAAGCAATTTTCGGAGCAGAATGACTCCGTGGCGCAATTGGCAGCGCGTGAGATTCCAAATCTCGAGGTTATTGGTTCAAGTCCTGTCGGGGTCAACTTTTTGCAACCCCTGATAGATCACTTTTCGTTTCAAGGTGATTACTGCTTACTATTAGTGCTACCCTATGCCAATGCCATCGTTATTCCTATGCGTCCACCTCATTGTTTTCTGCTCTGTCTTCAGCAACGTGCAACGCATCCAGATCAGGCGGTTTGCGCTTCTTTGCCTGTTCATCCAGCTTGACTGCCATGATCCGGTCCAATTCAGCGTCTTCCTCGATGCGAGTGAGGATTTGTCGATCTGACCAGTAATCTAGCTTTGCAATCAAGAGCTCAGCGACATCGACTGCATCGGCAACACACGCATGTCTTGAGTCGTGATCATCTGCTGCTGCTGCTTGCTCCTCATGCTGCACAGCGTGTTCCTTTTCGAGCTCTTGACAGTGTTGCGATAACAATGCCAGTAACTGTCTCCGAGAGTCTTGAAAGATCATAAACCGCAGAATTGTCTTGACTTCACCAGCGAGAGCGTACAAGTCTTGGCCTTGGTGGAGGTATTGATCCACGGCTTCCAGTTTTTCACGATCTAGCCTACATCCGCGAAGTTGCGTATAGAAGTCTCCGAGGTTGGAAAGGACTGTGACTTCTTGTTCAATTTGAGCGAGATGCTGCATGATGGAAGCGCCTTGCTGTGTTTCATAACCAGCACTGCGGACTGTTGCTGTATATCCCGTTGCGGTCTCATCCACACGTCGATGCACATGCCCGCCTTGCTTCTTCCTCCGTTTCCGTAACCATCTGCGTCTTCTCACAAAAGAATGATACCATAGATGATGACCATGCCAGTGGTGTCTTGTGAAATTGATGTTATACATCCAACCATTTTCATCCACATCACCAGACATATCCACAAACCAGCGTGGCCAAGTCCATTCCCAGGATGGATCGGGGAGTGTTGCATTGAGGATGTTGAAGGGCGTATACCGACCATGCGGCGTTGTCCACGCATGCGGATCAGTGATCCAAAGCCCCATTGAGGAAAACATGGGTGACCCACACAGAAATGCGCCTCGTTGATTCTCACACAGCAAGTCAATGACTGTATCTTCTGAGAGGTATGCAGAGAGACCGACTGGTGAGTTCTGAAGACCGAGGTGCGCTGCCTGGGGTTGTTCTGTGGGTGTCGCATTGCAAAGACGGTCTTCGAGACCAATAACGTGCCTGTCCTCCTCGATGACCTGGCGCGGACCGAAGCCTGGGATGTGCATCAGGCTTAGGACGTGCGCTCACTCTCCTCTCCTCTTCTAGCGCTTCCCTTTGCTCACTTGCCTTTTGTTGTGTTGTGTTGTCCTACCCTTGAGCTTCCTTTCCCTGGCGCGACCTCTTCCTCACTCGAAACGTCATGAAACGCACACTCACAGCAGCAGACAAGGCAAAGCTCGCTTCCTTCCTGCGCGTGAATCAAGCCGGTGAACTCGGCGCCAATCTCATCTACAAGGGCCAACATGCCGTTCTCAAACATACAAACCCAGCAGTTGCTCCTACCATCTTGCATATGTGGGAACAAGAACGCCACCATCTCGCAACGTTTGATCGACTCATTGCTCAGCATCGTGTTCGACCGACCTTCATGAGACCGGTCTGGGAGGCTGGTGCCTTTGCGATGGGTGCAGCGACTGCGTTGCTTGGCACAAAAGCCGCCATGGCGTGTACGGAAGCTGTTGAAACGGTGATTGGCACACACTACAATGATCAATTACGAGAATTGCAAGCGATGGATTTGGATTTGGGATTGCAAAAGACCATCAGGGAGTTTAGAGATGATGAATTGGAGCATTTGGATACAGCTGTGAATGATTGGGATGCAAAAGGTGCGCCTGCCTATCCTGTTCTCACAGAAGTCATCAAGATGACATGTCGAGCGGCAATCAAAGTGTCTGAACGCGTATAATATGCAATATCATGTGAAAGGAAAAACAAGAGAAACTCCGCCTTACAATAAGAAGAAAAGAGAGAGAATGAGAAAAATGAATGTAATTTGCCACTGTGCGCTGCTTGTACTGTCGTGTCTGGTCGTGCCTTTTTGGAACATGAAGCGAATGTGAAGGATGTCTCTTCCTCTCTTCTTCAATAAATTCCATCCGTCTATGCGTCGCTGTTGTCGTTGTGAGTGCTTTTTGTCAAAAGAAGGACTGGTTGTGTGTGTACTTCAAGATGCTCAGTCCTCAGAGGGGTTCGTCACCGTCAAGACACGCCGACTGTAATCCTCCTCATCACGCAAACTATGCCGTGAATAGTTGCTGTCAAAACGCATCAACAATGGCCGTGGATTCAATCGTTGATCCACCGGAATAATCTCATCCGGCCATCCATCACGCGGCGTCACACGTCCATTCTTCTCACCCAAGGCAGCAGCCATGCTACCGGATCGTGAGCGGCCATTCTGCGACATGAGGGCATTTCCCGTATTGCTTGAACTTTGTGATGCTTTCCGATCCACAAACGCACCACCGGTTGAGGTCGTCGCTGTGCTATGACGATGCTGATTGCTGCGTTTTCGAAGGTACCATAAGAGTGCTGCAATGAGAGCGAGCGCAACAAGTCCAACAGCGACAAACGTGCCTGCCACTTTCCCTGTATCGTCGAAAAAGCCTTTACTGCTACCATTGCTGCTATTGCCTGATGACCCAACGTTATCAGCGAGACTGCCGGCAGAGGCACTAGAGCGATTGCTGGTGGCACTACTACCGGGTGTGGTGGAGCGTGTGAATGTACTTGCACCTGGTGTTTGCGTGACAAAGACGGTGACTTGACCTGGTGTCGTTGCAGTGGCCACTGTCCTCGTTGCTCCATTACTGCTTGTTGATTGCTGTGTCGCGCCATTACCGGTAGTTCTCTCTGATGAGGTTGATGAACCACCACCATCGCCGCCTGATGAAGTAGAAGAAGAGGGTGTTTGCGATGATGATGACGATGCACCGAGGATACCACTCGCTTGAGCAAGTTGGTAGTAGGCAAAGGCACCTGTTAATTGTCCACCACAGTTATCTGTGCCGAAACCAGGACACCCTGTATCACAGCTTGAGGTCTCGGCTGTGGTGGCAGGTGTGTAGTTGGAGCACCAGCAGTTATAGCCTTGTAGAACGGCATATGCATAGCCGCTGCAGGTACCGGCACACAGGCCCTTTGATTGGAACTGTGCGTATATGGGTGAGAAGGATAATGCGCCTGTATTCTAGAAGAGCGAGGCGGTTAGATACAGGGGGAGGCCTTGTAGGATGGGGATTGGGCTTACGAGGTCTGAGCAGATGAAGGTTGCTTGTGCCTGTATGAGGCCGACCATGGCGAGGTGGTGGGCAGTGGTGATGAGGAGGAGGAGGGATGGGCGGGCCATGATGATGCTGGTGCTGCTCTGTTGTCTTGATCTGTGCCTCCTGATCTGACAGACAGACACTTCTCTCTCTCTCTCTCTCTCTCTCTACTTGCTCGTGATGCGACCTTCTCCTCTCCTCTCTCGTGCTTTTTTCTTGTTTCGAGCCGCAGCAGAGAAGAGAAGAAGCCAAAAATAAATTCAATCAATCATCGCCCCTGATAGACTACAGCTGGCTATAGTTACAAGCAGCTAGTTACAAGCAGCTAGCTACAAGCAGCTACAGCACATTCAAGTCAAGTGGAAGCAGAAACCCACACACAGGCCCATCGCCCTCCAAATCCACACTCGCACTCTCATCAGCCAGCCGACGCTCACCCGTCTCCTCCTCACGCCGAATGTCAAATGCATCTTCCTGCTCAACAAACTCAACATTCTCCTCCAGTTCCTTGAAGTCAGGTGCAAAGCTGCCCCATTTCTCAACACTCGGTACACCCCACAGATACACCGTCCCAGTCTCCACACCCACAGCTGCTGCTAGCACGCGGGTCGGGTGGAATGCCACATCAATCAATTCTTCTTTCGGTCCCTCCAGAATCTTGACAAGTGATCCACGTTGTCGTTCCCAGAGATAGACATCATTGCTGGACTGATACGTAGATGCAGCAACATACTCTGCGTTCCCTGAAAAGCAAACAGCATTCCATTGTAAGCGATTGACAATATCCTGAAACTTGTGCTCAATCTCCAACGTCTCGTCTGCCGGCCCCGGTACGGCAAAAGTCCGAATCACACGATCCGTTGAATTGCTAACGAGATGTGAGCTATTCGCAGTCATGGACAGTCCCTTGATGCTGCCAGATGTCAACTTCCACGAGCGTATGCAAGTCCCATCAGACGACCATAAGAGGAGCTGGCCTTTTGAAGAGCCACCGAGAATCTCACCAGCGGGTGTATACAATGAACACAACACAGATCCAGCCTTCGCTTCAATCTCCAATGCTTGCTTGTCAATCTTGCCCGGCGAGCAAGAAACCCTGACTGCAGCGGCATCCAACAAACTTGCACAAAACGTGAATGGATCGATTGGATGTAAATCTGCCATCCATACAGGTGCACCCATCATGACTTTATAGAGTGCCGTGGCAGTTTGCAAGTCCCACAAGACACACAACCAATCCCGCGAGGCACTCAATAGGTATCGTCCACAACGACTCCAGCAGAGTGATTGGATGGTTCTTGAATGAGCACGCAGGATGCGAGCGGGTGCGAGTGTGAGGAGGTCATAGAGGATGACATCGCCAGAGAGGGTGCCTGCTGCGAGGTGTGTTTCGCAAAAACGAATGCAGGATGCTTGGTAGTGTGGCAGGGTATGGAGGAGTGTCTCTGGGTAGTCTTGAGCGAATGGATCAGCGAGGAGGCTGTTCATCTCATTGCGGAACAAGCTTCGTTATAGCAGCAGTAGTAGCAGTAATTGTTATAGCAACAGTAGTAGCAGTAATGGTTAGAGTAGTAGAGCAGTAGCAGCAATTGTTAGAATAGTAGAGTAGTAGCAGTGCAGTAGTAAGCTTTAGCTGAGTGCACGTGCAGCACAACACAAATCCTCGCAGCAACTCTGCACCCGCCCTTCCCTCAGACGACGCCCACACAAACGCGACAGCACGACGGGTTCTCAGCCCCAACAGCTGCAGCCATGGATGTCCGTTTCGCCGAGTCCAGCGCACCCTTCCGGCGGATCGAAGAGGTCCAGTTTGGGATCCTCTCGCCAGAGGAAATTAGGGCCATGTCTGTTGTCAAGATTGAGTATCCCGACACCATGGATGAAGCGCAACTCAACCCACGCCTGGGTGGCCTGTTGGATCCACGACTTGGCACGATCGACCGTAACGTCAAGTGTCAAACGTGCAATGAAAATCAAGCAGAATGTCCTGGCCATTTCGGTCATATTGAACTTGCAAAACCAGTCTTTCACATTGGCTTCATCATCAAGTGCAAGAAAATCCTCGAGTGCATTTGTTGGAACTGCGGCAAACTCAAAATCGACCCAAGTCATCCCAAGTTTGCTGATACGCAACGCTTCAGAGATCCAAAAGTCAAGCTGAATGCCGTGTGGCAATTGGCAAAGTCCAAGATGATTTGTGAGAATGATGCACCAAAATCCGAGGATACACTGGAAGAACTCAAGAATCACGGTGGATGCGGGAATGCTCAGCCAACCATCAGGAAGGAAGGCCTCAAACTTTGGGGACACTGGAGACGCGCAAAAGATGCAGAGGAACAGCCGGAGAAGCGGTTGTTGACACCGGCCGAAGTACACTCTGTCTTCAAGCACATCCCATCAGAAGATCTCGTACGGATGGGACTTTCTGAGAATTATGCACGGCCAGACTGGATGGTCATTACAGTCTTGCCGGTGCCACCACCTGCCGTGAGACCATCCATTGCCGTGACGGGAAGTTCTCGCGGTGAAGATGATTTGACACACAAGCTCGCTGATATCATCAAAGCAAACGCTAATGTCCGCAAGTGTGAAGTCGAAGGTGCACCAGCGCATGTTGTCAAGGAGTATGAAGACTTGCTGCAATACCACGTTGCTACTTACATGGACAATGATATTGCGGGATTACCACAGTCGATGCAGAAATCAGGCAGACCAGTCAAGTCAATTCGTGCGCGTCTCAAGGGTAAAGAGGGTCGGCTGCGTGGCAATCTGATGGGCAAACGTGTAGACTTTTCTGCACGAACAGTCATTACGGGTGACCCCAATTTGTCTCTCGATGAAGTCGGTGTACCACGGTCTATTGCGCGGACACTCACGTACCCGGAACGTGTGACACCATACAACATTGCTAAATTGCAAGAGCTCGTGATGAATGGTCCAGATGAACACCCGGGAGCGCGTTATGTCGTGCGAGATTCTGGAGAGCGTATTGATCTACGCTACCATAAACGCGCGTCGGATATTCCATTGCAGTATGGATGGATCGTTGAGCGGCATTTGCAGAATGGCGATGTGGTGATTTTCAATCGTCAGCCTTCTTTGCACAAGTATGCCGCTTTCCTCGTGTCGCATCTGTAAACAAACTAACACTTCTAGGATGAGTATGATGGGACATCGTGTACGCGTCATGCCCTACTCCACCTTCCGTCTCAACCTCAGTGTCACGTCCCCGTACAATGCTGATTTCGACGGTGACGAAATGAACTTGCACGTCCCACAATCCGAAGAGACTCGCGCGGAAATCACGGAAATTTGCATGGTTCCACGGCAGATTCTCGCACCGCAGGCGAATAAGCCTTGTATGGGTATTGTTCAAGATGCATTGTGTGGTGTCCGCAAGTTTACCCTGCGAGATACCTTCATGGCGCGTGAACATGTCATGAACATTCTCATGTGGGTGCCTGGCTGGGATGGTCATGTGCCGCAACCTTCTATCTTGAAGCCCAAGGCGCTTTGGACGGGCAAGCAGATTTTATCCATGGTTATTCCTGCTGGTATTAATTTGTCGAGGGAGGATGAGAAGCAAACACCAGACAATGCCGACGACAAGGGTGTCATGATTGAAGATGGTGAGATTTTGTATGGTGTCATCAACAAAAAGGTTGTTGGCGCCACGCAAGCTGGTCTCATTCACATCATCATGAAGGAGAAGGGCTGGGAAGCAACGCGTGACTTTTTCACTGCTTGTCAAATGGTCATCAACTACTGGTTCCTGCATAATGGTTTCTCCATTGGTATTGGCGATACGATTGCAGACAAGACCACCATGGCTGAAATCACAGCAGAGATCAACAAGGCAAAGGAGAAGGTGCAAGGTATTGTCAAGGATGCTCAGCTCAATCGTCTCAAGCAAGAGCCTGGTATGACGCTACGCGAGTCCTTTGAGTCCAACGTCTCTGCTGCTCTCAACGGCGCGCGTGACACGGTCGGTCAAAATGCAGAACGCTCCTTGTCCAACCAAAACAACGTCAAGCAAATGGTGACGGCAGGTTCCAAAGGTTCCTTCATCAACATCTCCCAAATGTCTGCCTGTGTCGGTCAGCAAATGGTGGAAGGAAAGCGAATTCCCTATGGCTTCAAGTTCCGCACGTTGCCGCACTTTACAAAGGATGACTACTCACCCGAGTCGCGTGGATTTGTGGAGAATTCTTACCTGCGTGGTTTGACACCACAAGAATTCTTCTTCCATGCCATGGCCGGTCGTGAAGGTCTGATTGATACAGCCGTCAAGACTGCCGAGACAGGTTATATTCAGCGTCGTCTTGTCAAGGCGCTCGAGGATGTCGGTGTTAACTATGATGGTACCGTGCGCAACTCGCTTGGCGATATTATCCAATTCGCTTATGGTGAGGATGGGCTCGATGCCGCTTCAGTGGAATACCAAGTGCTCGACTCCTTGCGTCTTGGTCACGCAGAGTTTGAGCAGCAGTACAAGATTGATGTCATGGATGATGAACGCTCGTTACGTCCCTCTCTACTCGAAGCCGGCAATGAAATTGCAGGTGATGTAGACATTCAGAATTTGCTGGATGACGAGTTTGAGCAATTGACAGCTGATCGCTACGAGTTGCAGCACAACATCTTCCCCGGTGGTGATGCGCGTTGGCCATTGCCAGTCAACGTCTCACGAATTATTCGCAATGCGCAGCAAATCTTTCATTTGGACGACCGCAAGCCCTCAGACTTGCGTCCAGCAGATGTCATTCATGGGGTTCGCAATTTACTTTCGCGATTGATTGTCGTTCGTGGCGAAGACCGTATCTCGTTGGAGCATCAACAGCAGGCGACAGGATTGTTCCAGATGCTGCTGCGGTCCAAGCTGGCTGTGCGCAAGGTGATTGAAGAGCATCATTTGAATGCCATGGCGTTTGAATGGGTTATTGGAGAAATTGAATCTCGCTTCATTGCAAGTGTTGCGCATCCAGGTGAAATGTGCGGCACTTTGGCCGCACAGTCCATTGGTGAGCCTGCTACGCAAATGACGTTGAATACCTTCCACTATGCTGGTGTGTCGTCCAAAAATGTCACGCTTGGTGTGCCGCGACTCAAGGAGATTCTCAATGTTGCCAAGAACATCAAAACTCCGTCGCTAACCGTGTATCTCGAACCAGAATACTCGAAAGCCATTGAAGATGCCAAGAAGATTCAGAGTGTCATCCAGTACACCACTTTGCGCACCGTGACATCGGCGACAGAGATTCACTATGATCCTGATCCACGCACCACTGTCATTGAGGAAGACCGCGACTTTGTGGAAGCTTACTTTGAGATTGAGGGTGATACAGATGTCTCACGACACTCATCGTACCTCTTGCGTCTCGAGCTTGACAATGCCAAAGTCATTGACAAGGCGCTCACAATGGCAGATGTCGCTGGCAAGATTGCAGAAATCTTCGATGGGCAAATGCACATCATTTGGTCGGACGACAATGCCGAGAAGCGTGTACTGCGTTGTCGCGTACTTATTGACGACAAGGATGACTCTGAAGTGGAGGAAGACTTGCTTCTGCGCAATATTGAATCGCACATGCTCGAGTCGATCGACTTACGTGGTATCAAGGGCATTGAGCGTGTATTCTTGATTGAGCACAAGCGCACACAGCTCAATGAGGAGACTGGCAAATTTGATCGCTCACAAGAGTGGGTGCTCGAGACGGATGGTATTAATCTTGCTGAAGTCATGGCAGTCGAAGGCGTTGATTCTACGCGCACCTACAGCAATTCCTTTGTTGAAATTCTGCAGGTTCTTGGCATTGAAGCAACACGCTCGGCCTTGCTTCGCGAACTCCGTGCAGTCATTGAATTTGATGGTTCTTATGTCAACTACAGACATTTGGCGCTTCTCACAGACACCATGACATCGCGCGGTCATCTTATGGCCATCACGCGACACGGTATCAACCGTGCAGAGACTGGTGCACTCATGCGTTCTTCCTTCGAGGAGACTGTTGAAATCTTGATGGATGCCGCTGCAGCCGGAGAGACCGATGACTGCCGTGGTGTATCAGAGAATGTCATGCTTGGACAGACCGCACCTGTTGGCACAGGCAACTTTGATGTGCTCCTCGATGAAGCCATGATGGCTGAAGTCCGGGTTGACCATCGCATGCTTGGCATTGGCGCCGACACCATGGTCCAGCAGGGTGGAAGCGCGACACCGTATGATGACCGTTCGCCGATGGCTTACAGCACAGACTATGGCAATGATGACGGCAATGCTGCATTCTCGCCGCTTGTTGCATCTGGCTCCGAAACACCGGGAGGATTCAAGGACATCAGTGGTGGCTTTGCAAGTCCAGCGTATGGTGCACAGTCGCCAGGATATGCTCCGCAATCGCCTGGTTACTCGCCTGCCTCACCTTCATACTCTCCGACGTCTCCTGGTGGTCGTGGTGCAACGTCGCCTGGTTATTCGCCCGCTTCACCTGCGTACTCGCCGACAAGCCCATCTTACTTTGGTGCTACGTCGCCAAGTTACAGTCCTGTGTCGCCGGGTTACCAAGCGACAAGTCCAAGCTATTCGCCGACGTCGCCATCCTACTCGCCAACGTCCCCGAGCTACTCTCCAACGAGCCCAAGCTACTCGCCCACATCACCGAGTTACTCGCCAACGAGTCCAAGCTATTCACCTACATCGCCAAGCTATTCCCCGACGAGTCCTAGTTACTCTCCAACGTCTCCTAGCTACTCGCCTACGTCGCCAAGCTATTCCCCAACCTCGCCGAGCTACTCGCCCACGTCGCCCTCGTATTCGCCGACTTCGCCAAGCTATTCGCCGACGTCGCCGTCATACTCGCCAACGAGTCCAAGCTACGCTCCACAGGCCAATGCTGCGACGAATAGGCAAGCAGCGAGCTATTCGCCTACAAGCCCGAGCTACTCCCCGACAAGCCCAAGCTATAGCCCGACCAATAAGTGAGGTCGTTTCTCTTTAATATTGTGTGACTTACCCAGGGTCTTGACCATCATGCCCTCCCAAAAAAAATGCATAAAGGAAGTAGGTACATTGTAAAAGCGTTGCACTTGATTTGACCTTGTGACACTGCCATGAGTATCGCTTTGCACTTCTCAAGAAGACTGCTAAGGATGCACAACTAAAAGACTCACTCAGCTGCTTGTAAGAACGTTGAATACTACAAAAATCATGACTAGGCCATATCTGCCTTCATCTTCTCCCTCATGCTTCTTCCCTTGATCAGGCCGCTCAAGTCACCGATCGGCAGCGAGAAGGGGAAGTCGAGCGTATCAAGCATCAGTGACCATAGTAAATAAAAGCCAATAATGCAGGTGACAAAGCCGCAGCCTCCTGCCATCTTCTCTAGACGCTCATACATCTCCACATTACCTTCAGCTAGGTACAAGTAGGAGGAAGACAGGGCACAAAGGTCGAGAAAGACACCGAGGAAGATGCCAAAGAAGCACATGTTGGTCCTGAGTGACACCACGAGGTAAGTGAAGTCAACGACTGCCCACCAGACTAGGTAGAAGGCCAGACCAGTGAGGTATGGCACAGTCTGGTTGCCCTTGTTGAAGACGTCGGTTGCGGTAGCCGCGTTTGCGTAAGAAGCAGCAATACCGTTGTCCGGTAGCAGGATTGTGGCAAATGAGAGGTAGAACCCACCAAAGGTGATGAAGACGACAAACGGGAAGGTTGCACCGAGGAAGAACTCGAGCAGGCCGGAAATGATCATAGCCATACCACCAAGAGAGATGAACGGTCCAACAAGGACAGTCGCGGCACCAGCACCGCGCCAGCCCATCTGTGTGCAAGAAAGGGGCATGAGAGCGAGCAGGAAACCAACAAGTCCTAGAGGTGTAGGATTACCCCATATCTTCCGGTATCCATTGCTTGAACCATTCTTGGGACTGAGGTAGAGTCTCTCGAACATTTCGGGGGTCAATGTCAAGCTTCCTGTGCGTGTTCTTTCGAGCATATCAGGGTCTTCTTTGTAATGGTCTCGCGACATGGTGTTTGTCGGGAAGGCATTGTGAAAGTCGGGAGGAGTTGTGTTTGAAGACATGTTCTTGAGATACAGTAGCCATCTGTAGCAGCGACATTCGCGCCCTTTATTGAAGTGAGGACGGCCACCGGGGCAAGGTAGATCCGAAGCGCGAGTACGCAGTTAGGAGCTCCACGACACGGTGCTGATGCGTTGTTTTACCTGCGTAGCGTGCTGATGCTGCCCCGCGACGAAAAGTCTGTGCGTAGAATCAATATTGTATTAAAATCTGGGGTAGGATGACGCCACGGCGCGCATCTTGACCCAGAGAGCCGATTCTTGGCCCACGAGGGATCGGAGATAGTTGAACGCTGTCAGCTGAGCTCAGCCTGAGCTTCCCTCTGATGCTGATCTTGTGCATCTCCTTAGCGTTTCGTGACTTTTGAGCCCGCACGATCGTATATATGTAGTGGATCAGTGATTAGTACTGATTACCTACACTCGGCTTTTCTTGCATGCTTACCGTCCCACCGGGTATTGCTTACCGTCAAGCGGATACTTGTGCCGGGACCTCGTCGTCGATGTATACAACATCTCAAGACTGGTGGCTAAGTCTAGATATGGAAGCAGTGCAAAGCACCAGACCAAGTCTCAACTTGAGTCGATCGTGCAACAATGCTTGTCATGGTATGATGGCCCAGTATTTGGACGTTCAGGTGGTGAAGCACAATCCTGCCGAACTTGCGGTTGAGTCAATCCTCTTGATTGCGCTCACTTGTAGACCTGCCACCTGGTCAAGCAAGGGCGATGATCATGATCGGGGATGCAAAAGGAATCCCCAACTCTCTGATGCCAAATTTCCATATTCCGTTGAAAATAAGCTCATGAGTTTGCATCAGCAGGCTAGCATCAATTAACAAGATCGGCGTTGTCTCAGCTGTGGACGTCGACACTGAACGGCGATTGCACTCCAGGGCCTGCAGATCGTTGAGGCCGTCGACCATTCAGATGGGCTTCACCTTGCTCGCACATAATTCATGGATGGTACGTATGCATTGCTACTAGTCTGCTTTATAGTGGACCATCACACTACTCATCGTCCTCTTCCTCTTCCTCATCTTCAAGATCGTCCAGCAGCTCGAGCTCCTCCTCTATCTCATGACTCTCCTGTTTGCCATTTCTCCGCGCATCACGCTCTTCACTTTCTTGAATTAACTTCTTTGCGTCCTGCCGCATCGTTCGTTGAATCTTGACATAGGCACCCAAGGGCGTCTTGTCCACTTCGATTGCATCCGAGAACTTCAGCAGTGCAGTGGTGTCCCTAGGGTTGAACACAACACCTTCCCTCTTTTGCTCAATGAATTTACCGTTCGCTTGCAGCCGTTCAACGATAGACTGTAGTGCTCTCGCGAGCTTTGCATTCTTAGTCTTTTTAAGATATCGCTTGATTTGAACCACCGCCGGTATCGCCAATTCAGGGAATGCAATCGATGCACTGTTGATGGAATAATATTCCTGCAGCAGCTCGACAACCTGCTCGCCTACCTGATCTTGATAGACTTTTGTTTTGAGGTACTCTTGCTTTGTCCGTACAAGTGTCTCGAAATTCATTGGACGCAGTGTTGATGGGATTGGCTTGCGCTTCATGTCTGCAGACTCGAGTGGCTCAAAAATGATGGGCGCCAGGGGAATATAAGTGCCTGTCAATTGTGAGAGCCGTAGCAATGAGCGAATCAGGTGGAATCGCAGGGGAAAGAACTGTGATGAGGGTGCTAATTTGATGGCTCCAAGCGTTACTTGGACGAGAGGGTAGATGAGCGGATGCAGTGTTGCTTTGTCGTTTGTGGCATGCTGCGCCAATGTGAGGGACCAGAAATCGAGGCTGTTGACGAATTGCCAGTTGTAGACAGTCTTGTAGGATTCTTTCTGCTTCTCATTCACGGCCTTCCGCAAGACAATGGCAAGCTGCCGCAAGAAGCCAAAGATGAGCTGATAGGACAGTGTTGGGTCAAGTCCGAAGAGGTCGCTTGCAGAGTTCTTCATGAGGTTGATGAGCGGCAGGGAGTAGACGTTGACATTGCGCGACTCCTTCACGAGCGCACCATAAACAAGCTTCAACCCGCTCTCTCGAAGACCGGCATCACCAAGCAGCATAAACTCACGCACCAGCAAAAACGCCGACACCCGGGTCGCATCGGACGTGCTGGTTGACCAGATGTCCAATACAGCCTTGACGAAGTCTTTGAGAAATTTGCGGAAGGACAGCATATAACCGACGAGTCCTATACTCGCGTCGAGCACCTGCTTCTGTAGGTCTGGCTCAGTAAGACCCTGGAGGAAGTGTAGCAGGGTGGCGAAATGTGACTTGAGCAGCGGGATGAGCTTGATGAACTTTTTGTTTTCCGTTGGCACTTTGACCTTGCCTGCAGACTTCTTGACAGGCACATAGGCATCCAGGAACACTGGAATTTCGACCACGGCGAGCTTTGTAAGACGTTGAAAGACTTCGGGATCCTCAATGGCGAATTTGTAGACCTTGCCATCTTCTTCATTGAGATGCGCTGCCGCCCTGAATCCAAGCACAACCTTTCGCAAAGAGCGCAGTGACTTATCGGCCATCTGCTGCTCCCATTTCGCGACAGTCTTGATTGTTATCACTTCTGCTCCGGTGGAAGACTCTTCCTCGTCAGAAAAGTCAAGATCAGCCTCCTCTGCATTGTCAAAGTTGAGTAGATCCGCATCATTTTCTTGCAAGAACTTGTAAAAGGATGGATCGCTTTTCGAAAGCTCTTTCAGTTCATCTTGATGCGCTGCACCGTCGTCTGCTGCTTCGCTCTCCGCTTCGCTTTCCTCTTCACTGTCGCTTGCATCTTTCTTTGCAGGTTTGCTCTTTTCTGCCGCCTTGCCGCTAGGTTTTGGCTTGCCAGCCTCAAAACCACCAGCCATAAAGTCATCCACATTCATTGAATCAAACAGGTCCGCATTACGCTCCTTCTTCTCGCCCTTGAGGGCCTGATCGGCGGCTTCATCAATCGCATCCTTGCTTGTCGGCTTTCGCTTCTTGAAAGTCTGCGCCTTCTTCTTGAACTCCTTGCGCTTCTTCAAGGTCTCATCAAGCCTGTTTCGCTGGAACTTCTTGGTCTGCTTGCTGGCCTTTCCCATGGCCACCCTGTTGCAAGAGGGAGAGTTGATGTACGCAGCTGGTGTCTTGTTTCCTCGAAAATAAAATTCCCAGCTCGGTCGCACGCAAACTGCACGTAGCCCACACCGAGCAAGAGACAGCACTCGCGACAAGCCTCTGCACTCGTCATGTCGCTTGGTATACCGCTCAAGTTGCTACATGAAGCAACAGGTCACATCGTATCTATCGAAGTTTCAAACGGTGCGTGACTTTCGCCTGCATAGAGCATGCTAATACAAATAGGCGCGACGTACAGAGGCAAGCTCGACGGTGCAGAGGATAACATGAATGTACAGCTGCGCGATATTACCCTGACACAGCGGGATGGTCGCGTTTCGCATCTAGAGCGCGTCTATATCCGCGGCTCACATATTCGCTTCTTCGTGGTACCGGACATGCTCAAGCAAGCACCCATGTTCAGAGGTATGCGCATCTTACTTTGCATGACGAGACAGCGGCTAACAGGTCAGTGAAAGATACAGGAGTCAAGGGAACAGGGCGCGGTAAGGTACAAAATATGGCAGAGCGTGGACGTGGTCGTGGGCGTTAGGGCTTTTCGCTATCTATGTAGAAACTACCCTTTGATGCCCTCTTGCGCTTCCTTTGCCATTGCAATAACACGCGGCCGTATCCCCTCGAGATTTTGAAGTGGCGGAGTGAACTTGACGAGATAAGAGTGGCCTGCTGCTGTGTCTGGGGTGATGTACATGCCCTCATCACTCAAGTCTGTCAGCTGTGCCTGCTTGATTTCACCAGTGCTCAAGCCATGATAGTGCTGCAAGTAGGCAGAAAGTGAGTCTGCATGATCCTGAGCATTAGATTTGCTATATATAAACGACAAGGCACCTCATTCATGTGCTTCATGATGCGCTGCTTGACCGCTTCCTGCTGGTCCGACATGTCGTCCTGGGATCAGATGGGAATGCTCGAGGACACGGCAAATCAAGTGGCAACTTCCTAAGTCCGTTCAAGTCTCAAGACGACAAGTACAAGGTCTCCGCAGTCTTGATCAAGACATCAAATCATCCGTCTGATGCTCTATCAATTGCACTTGACGGGCCGAATTAAGGAAATCTGTCATTCTATAACCATCTTTGGAGTTGGGCGATCATGGAAAGCCCCGCTGTGTCGTACACGTCATTAGGGAGATCTCTCTCTTCTGCGCCAGCCATGAGACTGTATTTACATGTGAAAGCTGTGAGATCTTGTCATCAGATTGCCACGGCACATGCACACACGACTGGGAATGGTGACCGGAGTCCGGTTGACGGTTGGCTTCTGAAGTTACTACGATACTTGCGTATACCTTGCCTCGAGATATCTCGTCGAGTCCCTCGCTGCTGACGATGATATTGGACAAAGAGACTGGCCCAAGTCGTAATAGTCTTGATATGGCTTTGTCCTCAGTGTGATGTTTGAGTTTTCGCCACCTGGAAGACCGTGCTCACTTTGTATAGCAGACATACAAAACTTCCTAATTCCGTGCCATAACGGAATCATTCAGATTGTTCGCACGATGTGGTATCAGACGGAGGCGGTACCAGTGTTCCGAAAACGCTTGGCGAAGGACCCATCCAGAGAATCAAGGTGGCTCCTTTGTCAATCTCGCCATGAGTGAACCAAGCGCGGTCGAGCTTCTTTCCATTCAGGGTTGCACGCTGTATATAGCGATTCTCACGGGACAAGTCTCTCGCTTCAATAGCAAGTACTTCCTTGCCCACATTGATTTCGACATGTCTGAAAGTTGGACTTGAAATGAGGTATAAATTCGTTGCCGTGACTGGGTACAAGCCCATGCTGAGCCAACAGAAGTAGGCACCCATCGCACCAGAGTCATCATTGCCTGGAATGCCGTCCAGTCCATCGTGATAATACTTGCCGAGGATGTGCAATGTCTTGTCCACAGTCTTGCTGTATTCACCGGTCCACAGGTACAAGAATGGAGACAGAAAACTTGGTTCATTGCCTGGATCGAACGATGTCTCAAACATGTAGTCCAAACGAGCAGAAAAGATGTCCCGAGAGCCAAAAAGACAGATGAGGCCTTGAACGTCATGCGGCACGGCGAACTGGTACTCGATTGCCGAGCCCTCATACACAGGCTCATTCCAACGTCCAGTATGCAAATCAAGATCCCAAGGGTAAGCGGTACCGTTCGCAAACTTGGGCACGAGCCATCCAGTCTGGTTTGCATGAACGCGATCTGCTTGCCACAGGGTTCGCCAATTGGTTGAGCGCTTCAAGAAACGTAGCGCTTCCGCTTCCCTTGCTGTGCCTGTAGCGAATAACGAGATGACCCTGTCATTCGCGGCGTACTCCATTGTCTTGCTCATGGACCTTCCATCCCACCAGGCATGTGGATCTTGTGGCACATAGCCAAGCTGTTTATAGGCTTCAAGCTTGGACCGTCCTATCCGAAGGCCATCCTCAAAAGGAGGTTCGTTATCGGCATCAGCAAGTAGTGCATCCCAGACAGCATCCCAGTCCAGTGTTAGACCCTTGACAAAAGCGTCCACCAAGATCATATCAGCGTTGGAACCACCCTGAGTCAAGCCAGATGTTCCAGCAGATCGACCATCAAATGTCCATCCTTCATGCTGTTGTACATCCAAGAGTGATTGCAAAATTTCTGTTTGTACGTCTGGCTGGATGAGTGTAAGCAGTGGCGAGCTACAACGAAAGGTATCCCAAATTGTATAGAAATCATCGTATACTGGCATTGACGTGTTCCACTTTGGATTCTCCCCTTTGCGATTGCTAGGCATGATGTGCATGCGGTACAGTGACGAGTAAAAGATGCGCATATAGACGTCAGCCCCAAGCTCTGCGTTGGGTGAGACTGGTCCGGCGACACGAATGGTGGAAAGTGTCTCGTTCCAGACACTCGCAGCAGCCTTTCTTTGCGCCTCAAAGTCAAAGTCCTTACCGGTCTGCTGTTCAATATGAGCACATGCCTTGTCGGCCGACAGAAAGCTGATGCCAAGTTTCGAGTTGACAATGGGATCTTTTGAAATATCAAAGACAAGATAGGCGCCCACCCAGTCACCAGTATCCGACTCGAAATCATACCCTGCATGCGTTGCAGTATTCTTCCACGTTCCAAATGCAGGTGCAGGGATTCCCTGTGTTTCACCTTGTCCGTCTGCAGAGCGGTCAAATTGTGAGCAAAAATACACGGTCATGTCGTCTCCCATGTTCCATCCACCTCGGTATGTTGCATGACCTGTAATTTGTGATCTTCCCGGATTGATATGCACACTGCCGCCACGATAGGTTTGAGCAGATCCGAGGACATGACCAAGATCAAGTATGACTTGACCAGCATCTGCACGTTTCGCAAGTTCAGTATAGTTATACTTCGCAATACCGACCATGGTTGTTGTGGTGAGCTCAACATCAACGCCCCATGCATCGAGATGAAAAGCATAGTAGCCAGGCGTACTCACTTCTCTGCTACGATGAGAAGAATAGCCGTTCAGCAAATCATAGTTGATGGACGTGTCTGTTGGAATTTGAGAGAGGAAGCCATACTTGGCGCCTCCACCCGTGCCACTGACGTGAAGATAAGAAATGGCAGTGACGTGGGCTTCAGGCATGGACCAGCCGGCGTTGTTCGAGCCAATCAAGAGACCAGCTGTATCCGTTGTATCGATACCAACTTTGACACTGCCAAAGGGGCTAGCAGCGCCGGGGAAGACATGCCCTCCACCAGCTACGCCAATGAAGGGATCAACGTGATGGACGGGAGAGAAGCAGAGAGGTTGTTGATAGACAGATTGGAAGCGACTAAGAGCAGCGTCAAAGAAAGACTGCATAAGCCAGTAGCGATAGAACACGAGGTCAGAGTCGAGGTTGTGCGAGCGTCTTGCTAGCTTTGAGACTTGGTGAGATCCTTTGAATTTGGCAAGTGTCGTTGGAAGTCTCTTTAAATTGGCAGGACATTTACCCTTGAAGGTCAAGCTCCCAAAGGACTTGCCAATTTCAAAGGAATCCACTGCTGATACTAAACACTTTCCAAACAAGTTACTCAACTGTACTATCTGCTATCGCTTTAAATTTCAACAATGATCATGTCATCTTCCTACCTAGTCCCTCATCATGTGCCTTGCGATCTGCAAGACTTCTAGCATGCCGCACACGCTCTTCATCATCCAACAATGTCTCTTCTGATGCATGTCTCTGCTCATCCTGCAGCAACAAATGACCTTCCTCTTCATCACTCTGTACAGGCTCTTTATACCAATCCTCTTCAATGAAACAGGAAATAACGCAGCTGATGGCAGACACCAATGCCAAACACGACCAAACCAAGTAAATGAGCTTATACTCCAGTGACAACGACAACACAACACCGAACAAAGCTGGTCCTAGCATTCTCGTGAATGCACCGAGTGCTTGATTCAGACCATTGACGGAGCCAAGAAGTCGTGGTTCACGCACTGCATTTGTAACGAGAATAGCGCTCGATGGGAAGGAAAAGACGCCTGCGAGCTTGACGGCAAAGAGGCAAGCCAAAACACCGCCAAAGACAGTCTTTTCGCTTTGCTTTGCGAGTTGTTGAAGGAGTGGCACTGTGAGGTAGACAAGTGCGTAGAATCCTGCAGAGATACGTAGACACCACGCTGAACCGAGGCGTCGCTGGATGGGTGGGAAGACCAGAATCTGAAGCACCATACTACAAACGCCAATCAGACTCAATGCAGCGCCGATTCGTTGAGGCGTCATACCAAGACCGCCATCGCTGGTGCCTGTAGCGAGGAACATTGGGAAGATTTGATCGAAACTAGTAGTATGCATGCTGAGCGTTGAATACGCCAATATATTGAGTGTTACTTGCCGTGTGAATAGCTGCCGTAGTGGTGGCGGAGGCTGATTCTCAGACGTGTGAGATTCTGATTTTGTAGGTGATTCAAGCGCTTCTCGTGCATCTGCTGCTTCGAGGTCGTGAGAGCCGCTCGTAGAGGGTCGTGCATGCATGAGTCCGTGGAGTGCATCGTCGTCCAGTGCATTGGCGGAAGGTAGCCTGTAGTGCGTTTTGCGTCTACGTGTATCACAGCAACAGCAGCAATATCGACTGATCCACATTTTTGTCCGCAAACCAGCATCCTTCTTGCCGCGTTTCGTGATGAGTGTTTCTTCAATCAAGAGCCAGCCTAGTGTGACTGAGACTGAGAGTAAAGAGGCAGTGACGAGATTCGGTAGCGCATATCTGTAGCGTGTAAAAAGCTTCGTGAGTGTTTGACTGCGTTTGAAAAGCTGAGGGTAGGTTGCCACCGGGTCAGCGAGCCATCCACCGAGTGCTGGACCAAAAATGGTACCGGTTGACCAAACGATGGGCATGATGGAGAAGGCTGTTGCTTGATAGCGCTTTTCAGTGACAAGTTCTGCCACGACTGTTCTGATAACGCCAACATTTCCATTGAGCAAGCCAGCGGCGAAGCGCGCTGCGACGAGCTGGTAGATGTTGCGGGAGAAGCCAAAGACCAAGCTTGAGAGGATTGTGAAGAGGAGGCCTAGCAAGATGATGGGTTTGCGACCATATTTATCACTGGCGCGACCCCAGGATAGTCCAGATAGGAAAGAACCGAGTGAGAAGACGGAGGAGACGAAGCCGCCGTACTTTGCGATTTTCTTTTCATCATCCGTTATGTGCAGGTTCCGAATCTGGTCGAAGAGGTAGGGGAAGACGGACGTGAATGCTACGGGTTCGGCGAGTCGACATGCGGCGAGCACTAGGAGCTGTCGTTTGTGGGGGAAGGGCATGGGAGCCACAAGCTTGAGGTTGTGGTCACAATGGTTGTTCTATCGATGTCATGGATCTGCCCAGAGATCTGACGGGGAGGCAACTGCCGAGCACACTCAGATGGGCAAGATAGTGCTTGTTTCACCTGTAGGGGATAGACTGACTGGAAAGATGGCAGGCATGTTCGCTGTACTACTAGACACATTAAGCACTTGCTCTCTGTCTGTCGAAGGATGTGACCGGTATGCTTGTAGATCTAGATCTTTGTCACAGATGCAGACTACAGATGACTCATGCTGAGCCGTGTTGGTCGATGGGGACCTTAGGCTGGAGTCGCGTCTATGAGAGATGAATGAGCATCGCCAGTGTCTCTGCATGACTTGTACCTGCTCATAAATGGTAGTAAGTACTAAGTATGATCCCCTGTCTAAATGCATTTATTCATTCACGCAGGAGAAGGCACAAAAACAAAAAAGGGCAAACAACCAACGCGACGTCCACCCACCCAGCTCCTGTCTCTTCCCTCTCTCTCTATCTGTCTCTCTATCTGTCTCTACACTCTCTCATCTACAGCACACACAACATCACCCCATGCCCTCGCTAGACACCAGCAACAAGGAAAACATGGACATCGCCGCCACACCACACAAACGCAAACGGCCACAACTCGAACCCACAGACCAGGCAGGCACACCAGAAGCCGATCATGCCCACAAAGAACGCCTCAAACGACAACAACGCGAAACGCGTCTTGGTTATCGTAAAATGACTGCAGCACTGGATGATAAACGCGATGATATCTTGAGGGCTGATGGAACCATTGTCTTGACGCAATCTATTCAGCGTGCGAATGCACTCTATCAGTCTGTCACTCGACCTCAGGAAGCAAAGTTGGATTCGGCGTTTTTACTAGAAGCGTATGTTGTTTTTTGTTTACTTGACGACATCTGCTAAACGATAGTGCTGATCTCGCGCAAACCAAAGCGCGCAACATTAAGCGTGGTGTGCAGGAATTCAGTCTCGATGAATTCATCATTAAAGTCGATAGTTTCATCACGGGTGGTACGCGCAGTCTCGGTGATGCACTACAATTGACGCAACTTGTGAGTTTGGGAAATGTCTTTGCTCAGTATGAGACGCGACCACCGACCATGGACTTGATGTTGGGTCCATTGATGATTGAACGGAAAGAACGTGTCTTCAAGGCGCGTGAACAAACGAAACGCACAAAGGCTAGTCTGGTACAGCCTGGTGCATTGGTGCATCCAGATGGTGCATCGAATGAACAGCAAACAGTCATGACCCGACTCACGATGCAAGTTGGCAGGATTCTGATGCAGCAGAGTCCAATTGACTACTTTTCACTTGTCTTGAATCCTCGCAGCTTTGCACAGTCTGTGGAGAATATGTTTTACCTGAGTTTCCTGATCAAGGAGGGTAAGGCGGGTGTGTATGAGGACGGGGGATTGCAGGTTGTTCGGTACATTGCAGATGGCGATGCACAAGCATCCATGCCGAGTTTCGCAACACAAGGTGAGGAGGAGGGTGAGGATTGGCCTGATAAGCAACAGGGCATCTTGACACTTGACATGGAAACTTGGAAGGAGGCAGTGGAGATTCTCGGTTTGACGGAGAGTACCATTCCGCATCGTGATCAACCCGAGGACACGGCAGCATAGATCTTTCTACTTTTTTCTTCATAATTTGTTTTTATCTTATACTCCTGCTGCTTATCCACGTATACATGCTTGGTTGGGCTGGGATCATCAACCAGATCTGTCGTTAGTATCTGATGAGCAAGTCCAATGCGCATACTTGAAGATGAGGAAAGCCATTTGTCCGAGGTAGAAGTAGATGAAGTGTCTCGTCTCATGCGTGACATACGATCCGAAATTCCTACCGACAATGACATGCCAAGTGGTACCGAAGCGCCGGTCAAAGTCTTGCTTGATGTAGGCGGCAATGTCCTTTTCGACGTTGTGCTTCTCCATGGCTGCTGTAGCTTATCCTATTAGCAGGCATTTGTGGAGCAAGATACGGAGCATACCCGTATCAATGGCATCTTGCTGCATCTCTTCGGTCTAGAGGAGAAATTAGCTTCAGCCTGCGCATGTCGCGTCACACGTATGACGCGTCCGAGGGTTGGTTGTACCATGTCGACTGATTTAACGACGGCTGTGGGGGTTAGCGCGGGACTTGATGATGGGAGATGGCACCCTTTGTGTCTTGCTTCTTCTCCTGGTCTGCCATGATGCTCTGATGTCTCTCTCTGTAGCAGTAGCAGTAGCAGTAGCAGTAGCAGTAGCAATAGCAGTAGCAGTAGCTCAGTGGTCCTGTCTGGTAATTGCAGCAGCGAGTTGGCAGCACACAAAATAGACAAGAAACAGCCAGTGAGCGACTCTACTCTACTCTACTCTGCTTCATCCAGTACAGGGCCACTCGAGAGCTAGGGAGCACGGTCCAGGCATCCACAGCGCACGTCCCACTCTCCATCAAGTGTCATTCAGCAGACACAACAATGGTAGACTACGACTACGCCGAGGACCAGCAGCTCACAAACGAGGCAAGTCGCGCCCATCACCTTCGCTTTTGAGGCCAAGCTTGCTAATGCGCTACATTAGGACTACTGGACAGTCATCGCCTCTTACTTTGACGAGAAAGGACTCGTTGCCCAACAACTCAACTCTTTCGATGAATTCGTGCAAAATACAATGCAAGAACTCGTCGATGAAGACCAGCTCCTGACACTCGACTCTCATCAACAACACAGCGGTAAGGAGAATGATGTTACGAAACGGTATGAAATCAAGTTTGGACAAATCTATCTCAGTAAACCGACCATGACGGAAGCCGATGGATCCACGCAACCCATGTTTCCGCAAGAGGCACGTTTGCGAAGTCTGACCTACTCTAGTCCCTTGTATGTCGACATGAGCAAAAAGGTAATGCGACAAGAGAGTTATGGCGAGGATTTCGAGGTGGAGGAGGAAGACCCAGAACCCAAAAAGGTCTTTATTGGTCGTGTGCCCATCATGCTGCGGTCGGAATTCTGCGTTTTGCATGGACTCAGTGAATCTGAGCAGTATGATCTCAATGAATGTCCCTTTGATCAAGGCGGCTACTTTGTCATTAATGGTTCAGAAAAGGTCATCATTGCTCAAGAACGCAGTGCCGCCAATACCGTCCAGGTCTTTCGCAAAGCAGCACCCTCACCCATTTCTTATGTTGCAGAAATCCGCAGCGCCGTTGAAAAGGGTAGCAAGATGATTTCATCCATGCAAATCAAACTCTCTGCTCCCAAAGTCGGTACCTCGGGACAAACCATCAAGGCAACCTTGCCATACATCAAAACAGACATCCCAATCGTTATTGTCTTTCGAGCGCTGGGTGTGGTGCCGGATCGCGATATTCTCGAACACATCTGTTATGACCCGCGCGACAGACAAATGCTCGAAATGCTTAAACCGTGTATTGAAGATGCCTTTGTGATACAGGATCGTGAAGTCGCACTGGACTTTATCGGTAAGCGTGGTTCAGCAACTGGTGTCGTCAAGGAGAAGCGATTGCGGTATGCTCAAGACATTTTGCAAAAGGAAATGTTGCCACACATCACCACCTCGGAGGGTTTCGAAACGCGAAAAGCCTTCTTCTTGGGATACATGGTGAATCGACTACTCCTGTGTGCACTGGAACGACGCGATCCAGATGATCGTGATCATTTCGGTAAGAAGCGTATTGACCTTGCTGGACCCTTATTGGCAGGCCTCTTCCGCATGCTCTTCAAGCGTCTTACCAAGGACGTCTACACTTATATGCAAAAATGCGTTGAAACCTCCAAGGAATTCAACTTGGCGCTTGCCGTCAAATCCACCACCATCACTGCCGGTCTCAAGTATTCCCTTGCAACAGGTACGTGGGGTGATCAAAAGAAACAGATGCAAGCGCGTGTTGGTGTATCACAAGTCCTCAATCGGTATACATTTGCTTCGACCCTTTCTCATTTACGACGTACCAATACACCTATTGGTCGAGATGGCAAGATTGCCAAGCCGCGACAACTCCATAATACCCATTGGGGACTTGTCTGTCCTGCAGAAACACCAGAAGGTCAAGCGTGTGGTCTTGTGAAGAATCTCGCACTCATGTCCTATGTCTCCGTGGGTAGTGCTAGTGCACCCATCATTGAATTTCTGGAGGAATGGGGAATGGAATCTTTGGAAGATTACAACCCAAGTGCAACACCCAACACAACAAAAGTCTTTGTCAATGGTGTCTGGCTTGGTGTCCATCGCGACCCAGCGCATCTCGTCACAACCTTGCGGAGTTTACGAAGGAAAATGGATATTTCACCAGAAGTATCGGTTGTGCGGGATATTCGAGAGCGTGAACTACGTCTCTTCACCGATGCTGGTCGTGTGTGTCGGCCACTCTTTATTGTGCATGATGATGAATCTGCTGCTGCATCGGACATTCCCGCAGAATCAGGTGAGCTTGTCTTGACAAAAGATCACGTCAATCGCATCTCTGCCAGTAGCGATCCTGAGACTGCTCAGGAAGACAAGTTTGGCTGGACGCAAGTGTTGAGTAATGGTATTGCCGAGTACTTGGATGCAGAGGAAGAGGAGACTGTCATGATTGCCATGACGCCTGAAGATCTCGAAGCAACAAAACACATGATGACTGGCTTTGAGCCTGCTGCTGAAGAACTGAGTGATGCGCAACAAGCTGCAAAGCGTCTGCGACCGGCAGTCAACAAGGCACAGCATCTCTGGACACACTGTGAGATTCATCCAAGTATGATTCTGGGTATTTGCGCATCCATCATTCCCTTCCCAGATCACAATCAGTCTCCGCGAAATACTTATCAATCTGCTATGGGTAAGCAAGCAATGGGCGTGTTTTTAACAAACTATCAAGTCCGTATGGATACCATGGCGAATATCCTCTATTACCCACAAAAGCCGCTGGCCACAACGCGATCGATGGAGTATCTCAAATTCCGAGAGCTGCCTGCTGGACAGAACGCCATTGTCGCTATTCTGTGCTACTCTGGTTATAATCAGGAAGATTCCATGATTATGAATCAATCATCCATTGATCGTGGATTGTTTAGGAGTATGTTTTACCGAGTCTACCAAGATCAAGAGCAGAAACTCAGTATGAATGAGTTTGAACGCTTCGAAAAGCCTACACGACAAGCAGTCTTGCGCATGAAGCGCGGCACATACGATAAACTTGAGGAAGATGGTTTGTGTGCGCCAGGTACGCGTATCTCTGGAGAAGACATTATTATTGGGAAAGTTGCACCGCTCGACAAATCTGCCGCTGATGCTGAGATGGGTGCACGTACAGCAAGCCACACCATGCGCGACGTCTCGACCCCGTTGCGGTCTACTGAGAATGGTATTGTTGATCAAGTCATGGTGTCTACCAATTCAGACAATCTCAAATTCGTCAAGGTGCGTATTCGAGCAACCAAAATTCCACAAATCGGCGACAAGTTTGCTTCTCGGCACGGTCAAAAGGGTACCATTGGTGTGACGTACCGAAATGAGGATATGCCCTTCACCTCAGAAGGTACCGTGCCAGACCTCATCATCAACCCACACGCCATCCCCTCTCGAATGACGGTTGCCCATTTGGTGGAATGCCAGCTCTCAAAAGTCGGCTCGCTTGCCGGTTTTGAAGGTGATGCAACGCCTTTCACGGATGTCACGGTCGAAGCTGTGTCTGCCAATCTACGTGATGCCGGCTACCAGTCGCGTGGCTTTGAAGTCATGTACAATGGACATACAGGCAAGAAGCTCGTTGCGCAAGTGTTTCTGGGGCCAACGTACTACCAGCGTCTTAAGCATTTGGTGGACGACAAGATTCATGCGCGTGCTCGAGGCCCCGTCCAGATCCTCACACGACAGCCTGTGGAAGGTCGTTCGCGCGATGGTGGACTGCGATTTGGTGAGATGGAGCGTGATTGCATGATTTCTCATGGTGTTGCTGGATTCCTCAAGGAACGTTTGTTTGATGCATCGGATGCCTACCGTCTCCACGTCTGTGACTTGTGCGGCTTGCAAGCGATTGCTCAAATCAAGAAGAACCAATTCGAGTGCCGCAGTTGTCGCAACACAACGAAGATCTCGCAAGTGCATATTCCCTATGCAGCCAAGCTTCTCTTCCAGGAGCTCATGGCGATGGGCATTTCGCCACGCATGTTTTAGCATCAAGTAAGCATAGAAAGCATTGTACCTATGACTATAGTTGTGCGACCCAGTGATCGAACAGGGCCTTGGCGCGTGTCCATACGGGCTCTTCGTCAACCTTCTTGAGTTGCATCAGACTTGGCAGCAGTAGGCCGCTAAAGCTTTCACTTGCTTCCCTCGGCAATAGAGATGGCAGATGATCAATAGCAATGACGCTCACCTCGGGTCCGTTTGTCACGCCCTTGACCGGAACTGTTGGGTTTGAGAAGTACGAGTACTCCGAGTAGATGGGGATTGGGTTGTTGGGGTTGGTGGTATCACAAGATACGTCGCACACCACACGCAGACGTCTTCCTTCACTATTGAGTCCGTCCAGATCCACAAACGGTGCAATCGCATCCTTCAAGTAGATGCAGTTGACGAAAATCTCCGACTCGATAATCTCCTTGAATGGACCTCCAGCCTTGGTCTCCGCCATGTCCCACTTGAGGATCTTGTTCTCAGGGAGTCCAATATTGCGAGCAAGGGCCACGGCACCAGATCCACAACGACCCAATGCACCAATCACCAGAATCTGTGGAAGATTGTTGCCAGACTGCTTGCTAGCACGCTCCATCACCTCACGAACATGATCATTGAGCAGTTGCTCATTGTCGTAATGGCTGACTCCGGGAAAGGCCTCGTTTGGGTGAAGGATCTGGTGCGCCCAGACCTCGACTGCAAGGGCAGCACCTGCGTAGCCAGCATGGTAGCCAAAGGCAGCAACGCGCCTGCCACTGTCATCTTCGAGGAATTCCAAATCGTAGAGAGTTCCCTTGCCCTCAGGGAATCGCTTCAAGACATCCTTCCATCCACCTTGACGCTTGAAGCAGTGTGCAAATTGAATATGCCTGTGCTTGAGCGGGAACGTATCTTCTGGCAACTCCTTCAAACCAATGATGAATGCATCCTCTGGTGCATCTACCCAGCTGCCTGATTCTGCCATCTTGACTCCCTCAATGGCCTCAAATTCACTATCCTCAAAGATGCGAACATCGGGCTTGGACTTTTCAACCGTAATTTGGAATCCAGCATCAATGAGCTTTTTGGCCGTTGTCGGCGTCAAGGCAGAGCGGTGCTCCATTGGCTTGACTTCATCACGAAGCCAGAGATGAGGGCCTGCCATGTCTGCTTGTTTGCTATAGTCAAGGCAGCTTCTAAATCGCGATGATGCTGATAGTAGAGGAGACAGTCACATTATACAGTGAATAGGTACAAGATAACTAGCCAGATAGAAAAGATGCAGCTCATCGACGGGCGCGCTTAGTGTCTCGTCCACCACGGCCTTCGCCCTCATATCCACTTTGCTGACGTTTGCCACCACGAGCTGGGCTGCGAGGACGGCTTGCACCAGATGGACCATCATCCGGATGGCGTTTGCCTTGGCCTTGCTCTCGAGCACCAGCACGACCACCAGACCTACTCCCAGCACCTTCTTCAGCTCCAGAGCGAGCTTGCTCAGCTGCACGTCCATCACGGCGTCCACTGCCGGAACCACGGTCATTCTTGGCTTGGTTGTGGTGGGAACCTTGGCGATCAATAGCACCGCCGCTTCCACTCCCACTTCCGCGTGACCGAGGAGGACTACTGTTGCCACGTTCGTTGACTTTCAATCGTGAGGGATGCACGGCGTGGCCTTCTGTGTTGCGACCTTCAGACGACTTTTCCTCAGCCAAGCGCGATGGATGCACATACGGACCAGGAGCGTCTTTCGTCGACTCTGCTTTTTGTGAAGACTTTGCTGGAGCGTCAGTTCGTTGCGATTGGCGGCTATCGCGTCTAGCGTCACCACCATCAGCCATAGAATCCTTAATGGAGAGCGCAACAGAGTAACTTTTGCCATTCTCCCGTAATATCGTCGATCCTGGTACGCGTACATCCGCAGAAGCCCGACGTGGTCCACTAGGAGCTTCCACAGGAGCCTGCTCAGATTTTGTGCGATCTGGTAACTCGTTGCGGAGGTGATGCTGAATCAGCTCTCTGCGTCCACCATCATCGCGACGTCCGCGAGAGTCAGCCTGACCATTGGAGCCCTCGCGGCTTGATGGACGATCTCGACCATCTCGCCTTACACCATCTTTGCGAGGAGCATCTCGACCATCCTGTGAATCCCGCTCGTCGCGTCTGCCACCACGCGCATCTGAGCCGCCGTGTGCATTTCTGGAACGTCCGCCGTCTCCGCGAGCCGGCTCTTGTATACGCCAATCCCTTGACGTACGGTCGTCACTCCGGCCAGATCTTGATTCTAGGCGAGCATTTTTTACAGGTGGCCCATTGAGTCGTCCAGGCTCCAGGTCCGATACAGGTGGCGGCATATTGCGGCTCGAGCGATTGTCTGAATGGAGCAGATCCTTTTCTCGCCTGACAGGTTCACGGTCTGCTGGATGATCGCTGCGTCCCGGCCGATCAGACGACTTCTCTGTTCGAGGTGAAGCTGTCCGGGAATTGGATCGAGATTTCTCTGCATCGCGGACTTGGTCGATTTGGCTTGCACGATGCGAGTCCTTCGGCGAGGAAGGGACACGAACTCTCGGTGAAGACGAAGCTTGCCCATCGCGTGCCCCTGCCGGTGTGTTTGTTCTGTCAGGTTGCGACTTCTCACCACGATCTGAGCGCACTGCATTTGGACTCTTGGGCAGTTCAGACATGGGCTGTGGCACGCTGCCTCTCGGCTCAAAGGGCGATGCAGTAGCCTTGAGCTGAGATGGTGAAGTTGCGGGAGTCGGCTGCTTTGAGGCGTCACCGGCGACCGCAGACTGCTTTCCTGGTACATCGACCCAGCGGCCTTGCTGTCGTTTGAGAACAGCCTTGTAACTCAATGCCCTAATTTTGAGACTTTCACGCGTCTCACTTGCAATGAGACGATCCACGTCGCGAGAAATATTACTGCCGACCCATTTGAAGTGCGGGTAGGAAGCAGACATCTTTTCGAGCACGATTAAAATGTTGCGAATGTGCATGAACTCCTTGGAGCCAGAACACGTCTTGACGCACGTCCATAGTGAGCGATGGAATTTGTACCACATGCTCTTAAAGTCTTCGAAAGACATGACTAACGAATCCTCTTCCTCGGACTTTGGCGCAGTAAGGAGGACGGGCATGGCGTTGTAGGTGCTTTCGGATGATTGCAGCTTGTTGAGCGCTTTGAGTACTTCACCGAGAAACTTGCCCAGGTTCTCCACTTCGCGCTCAGTCGATGTGAATATCGATGTTGACAAATGAGCACCAAAGAGCTCTTCGTAGAGGTGCGTCATCGACAAATTGGAGACTTTCGTCTGATGAAGGAAGGCGATGAAACGCGCGCAATAGCTGGCATCGTTTGGCGAGACGAGCGCTCTGGGCAAGATGCAATGTTGCAAGAACGAGTGGGCGCGCGAAGCATGCGCCTCCTCATCTGTCGTTACTCCATACCAAGTCAATTGTTCTTTTGCCAGCTGATTCATGATGAAGTCATGGTTTTGCATCTGGGTCTTCATTTCTGCTTGCAAGCCTGGAATGAGGGCCTCGAGTCGCTTGACTTCTGCTTCCTTTGCTCGAATGGCTGTATACATATCTTCCTTGTTGACTTGTTGATTCTCTTTGATACTGTTTCGAATGGCTTTGATCTCTTTGGCGTAGCGCTCAACAGGAACACTCAGATCGTACAAGTCTAGTGACCAAAATGTGACATAAAGACGGGGAGGGAGTGTGTTCCAAGTTGCTTCCGGCAAGAGATCGATAATACCATCAGTCAAATCGCTGATGACTGGATGGAATTCGATGGGTGATTTTTCAAGTTCGGTGTCTTCCGCTGTCGAGGATTCCATCAGGTTGTCCTCTGGTTGCTCGTCCTTCATCTCGACGTCCTGAGTCGTCTCTGGCTTGATGTCGTCTTCGCCATGATCAGAGCTTGGGACAGGAGTGAGATCCTCATCGTCATCTTGCATATAATTTTCCTGAGCTTCCATCTTCTCCTCCTCTTTCCCAGCATCATCTTGAATGGGTTTTGCAGTCTCTGTAGCATCGTCAGCAGCAGTTTCCATTTCAGCCGCCTTTCTGAGGTGTGCGCTGGTTCTCGCATTGTAGTCGCGCACAGCGGCCAATAAGCCTGGTCGAGCAATCATGAAAGCGACAACAGGCTGCAAGTTTGCTCCTAGAACCAAATCAGAGATACTCGGCATCGCAAGCTCGTTCAACCGACCATCCAGATAAGTCGAAAGGAAATCGAGATACTGAATAAGGATAGAATGACTGGTGTCTTGCAGATTCGCGAGCAACTTGACCAGTAAGGTCTCTTCTTCAATGCGGTAAATGCTGCAATCGCGCTGATATCCAATCATAAGCGCAAAAGGCACTGTGAGGCTTGTCCGTTCAAGGGCATCGAGTAAGCGCAAAGCCGTCTTAGCTGTCACTTCTTGACGCTCATTAATGAGTGACAGGGCTTCCGCTCGGAGCAACGGTCCACCGGTACAGCCTAGTAATTGCTCTTCTGACAAATCAGAACTTGGTCGAATACCGCCCATTTCTGTGATGAAATCCTGTAGAATGATGAGATCAAAGGCGTTGTCAATCTTGAGCTGTTTGGCGACATAAGTCACGATAGGTACTGGATCCAGATGACTGTAGCGTTTGTAGATTTTCGCGGTGAAGGACGACAGACTTTGTAGCCAATGGGCGACGCTCGTACCGTCTTCCTTTAGGCGTCGCTTGATGTTGTTGGAGAGCAGAGTGAGAAGAATATAAGCCAGCACATCGAACGTCATGAAGGTGAAGTACCGACTCGCCTCAATGACCACCTCGACCAAATTGTCATACGACTCAATTTGGTTGAGTGCAATCGACAAGACGACGCATGGATTGGAGTGCGATGATTTTGAGAGCAATCGACCAAATTCTGGAATATTGGTCTTTGAGATACGTCTCAGAGTGCCCTTTGTTTCCTTTTCTGTTTTGATAAGCTGTACGCGAAGTTCCGGGATAGTTTTGTATAAGGAGGTGTGCCATTCCCCATACAGCGAGTAGCGTTGCTCGCGATCGTAGCTTTCCACGAGCTTATAAACGTCATTGACAACAGCTGGATTGGTCTCCAATAAAGAAAGCGCCGGTAGTAGTGAAGTCCGAAGCACAGTGAGCCAAAAATCTCGCAAATCGGGTTGTTCGCGTATCGCTGTATAGCCCACGAGGGCAATTTTCGAAAGCAACTTGGCGTGTCTGTGGATATGCACGCCCGCTATCCGTAGGTACGGCATGACGAGCTCGCCAAAATCAGTGAGGCTGTTGCATTGTTGTAGTTGACTGGCAGATTCGTCATAAAAGAAACGCTCAACAAGTTGAGGTGTGCTGAATGTGGGATTTGGATTGAGAACATGCCGAGTACGGGGTGCTGGTGGGAGAGTCAACTTTGAGTCGCGGTACTTTGTATCGCTTGAGAAGGCTTTGCCTTGTCTGAGACTTGCCATGACTTCAGGCGTGTATTGTTGTTGCGGCCTCAACTGGTCTGCAAGCGGTTGGAAAACCTGGCCGATGAGAATACAAAATGAGTCGGCCATGGCTGGATACAACCCAAGCAAGAACGGATACTCTGCGAGCAGGAACATAACCTCTGGGATAGAACCAACGGCAATGAGTGCATGCACCAGCTGTTGCCTGTGATTGACTGGTTGGATGGCTTCTTGTGGCGTATCAAACTGCATCGGCTCTGCTCGTTGAGCTGATCTCACGGGAGCTGCGGGTGCATCGTCATCATCCGCCAAGGCGCCGGCCATCTATTGTTAGAGAGTCTCCGGAAGCAGGCAGACATACGGCAAGCATATTTCCGCCACGCGCTTTATCCTTTTCATTGTCAAGTTGCTCTCGATATAGGCGCTTGCCATTTGCAAATGTCTCTTCATCTGGTGCGAGATGCGGCCAAAGGTCCGTCAACTTGAGCATGCCTTCTTTGATCCAAAGCGCCATGAGCAACAGTAATCCCTGTGCATCATCTTCGCCTGTCAGTCCAGCAAACTTGAAACCCATGATTTGTGCAGCATTGGCATTTCCTGTACGTCCGCTCAAGTCAGCTGAACAGGTGCAGGGCCGCACGGGTTGTTGATCATGGAGGAACCAAGGTGATATTTTGAAAAAGGCGAGCAAGAAGCGCCAATGACATGCTAATTGTTTTGCTGCAAGATCCGCAAGAACATCTAAAACACGATTAGGATCAAGGTCGAAGAAACCAATCAGAGACTGGATGTTGGTCATGAGCTGTTTTGCACGTGGTGTGGCTGCTTCGTTGGGCGTCGCTGCGATGAATGCATCGAATTCAGCGACGAGTTTGCTGTAGCCTTCATTCTCCTCTCTGAGCAAGTTGAATTTTTGTTGTTTATAGAGCAGAGCTGTGCGGAATCTGACTTCTCGCTTGCTAAAAGCTTGAGCATCGGGTATCAGTTTTGCGTGCTGAAGGAGAGCTGGGTCGAGTCGTTCACAGAGGATGTCTCTGTTTAAAAATCCAGTCGACTGCGAGAAGTACATTTAGCGTCGATTCTTCATAGAGATCCTTCTCGTTCAAGCAAAGCGACACAACCAAGGGAACACACACACACTAAGCGATCCTTCCTCAACTTTTCGACAATCGCCAAAGTGTTTCGCATGCGAAGCTAGATTTGAAAAGGGAGAGAGTGGAGACATCCCGGTGGTTGCGCGCGCAGTTTGCAGACGAAAAAGAGAAGGGAGAGGAGGTGTTACTGACGTTGAGATGTTGCACGAGGCTGCCAAGTCGAGCGAGACGTTCACTTGCTTCTTCAACCGCTGCATCGTCGTCTAGATCATGTACTGCACCGATTGTCGAGGCACGCCAGAGACAGTCAATAAGCGCGTCGCTTCGCTGGCCGGACTCTTCCGTCTGCTCTGCGAGTTGATGGAGCTGACGTTCGGCATCTTGTGGGCCGCAGTGGTCTAGAGCAATATCGTCGACGAGCGTTTGTAGCTGTGCGAGTTGTTGCAACATGCGCGCGTCTTCCATGATACGTGACATTTCTTGCAAAGGGTGATGATGAGCAGTTGCAATGAAGCAGTACCCTTCTCTTGCAGGAATGCAGCTACGTCAGGTCGATGCACAGCAGCTGGTCGTAGAGGCCTAGGGTTGAAGTTGTTTCTCTCTTGAATTGTTCAACGACCACAAGCTTCAACGAGACTGACACTGACTACAAGCCAGGAAGGCGCCGCCATGATCTCAAGCCTGCGCAACTGGAGAGAACACCTCACACCTGTCTCTGCCAAATCGGACTTCAAAGAGACCGGCCAACTCTCACCCGAAGCATTCGTTCAAGCAGGCGACTATCTAGTCCATCAATTCCCAACGTGGTCATGGCAGGCGGCGCAAGATGACAAGGTGCTACGAGATTTCCTGCCAAGAGATAAACAATACCTGACGACGCGCAATGTTGCCTGTGCTGCGCGCGCAGATGCCGTGTTGCGGGATACGCAAGAGGAAGAGGAGACGGAAGATGGGTTTGTGAATACATTCAGTGCTGGCGCTGATCAGGTCGTCGCGGATGTTCCTGATATGACCGCTTTGTCGCTTGAATCTACTGCGCCGAGCAAGACGAGTCAAGCGGCGGCGCCTGCGCCAGAGTACAAGGATACACCGCTGGAAGCACTACCTGATCTCGACGACTTTGCCCTGCCAGACGACGAAGACGATCCATCCGCTCTGCGACCGAGTAATATCGTCTCGACACGCACGTATGACTTGTACATTACCTATGACAAGTACTACCGAACACCTCGGATGTGGTTATTCGGATGGAGTGAGCAAGGGACTCCCCTGACGGTGCAGGAGGTATGGCAAGATATCAGTGGCGACCATGTGGGTAAGACTGTCACGATGGAAGGATTCCCGCATTCTGCAAGTGGTCAGCAAATGGCGAGTGTGCATCCGTGTAAGCATTCTGCTGTCATGAAGGTGTTTATCGAGCGGGCGAATGAGCAGGCACTGGCGAAACAGCGGAAGGAGAAGCAGCAACGGGCCCAGGTTTCAGCTGGGGATGAGGAGGAAGGGAAAATGGAAGAGGGGATACGGGTTGATCAGTATCTGGTCATCTTCCTCAAGTTCATTGCGACCATCACCCCGACGATTGAGCATGAGAGCGGGGCCTTTTATATGTGAGAGGCAGAATATAGGGGACACTGGTGAGGACAGCGACTGCGATAGCGTTATATACTTGTATTGATCATTGCTACAGGGCCAGTACAGGCGGGCTATGGACTGGGGGATACGGAGACAAACAAACACTCATCAACACACAAAGGGCTTTGGGCTAGACTCATCAACATGGATACGGAGTGCTTCTCTACTTAAGGAGACCCTGACCTGCCTTGCTCTCAATCTGCTCATCTCAGCATGCTCCATCATCTGCTCATAGGTACAAGCGGCACGGCCCTCCATCAGCTGGCATTCGACTCAATACACGCTACTCTATCGCTAGTCAACAGCCTCCAAGTCCAAGCACCGACCTGGGTCACATTCGATCCACTCACCAACGCCATCCTTGCCAACTCTGAGATTGAATCAGCTCCTCACGGTGCACTCTCCCTCTTCCCTGCCATGCCAACAAACCCTGGTACAGAGGTAGCTTGGCAACACTCGCCTACGTGGACAGCTCAAACCACAACGAATGGAACAGCTTACTGCAGTATTGCTTATCGTGGCAATAAACCTTTCTACATGGCAGCCAACTACGCTGGTGGTACGGCAGATGTGTTTGATGCTAATGGTAAGCTGACGGATACGCGCGCCTATCATGATTCAGGTCCCTTTCCAGGCAGACAAATCGCTTCTCATGCTCATCAGATCATTGAGGATTTATCGAAGGAGTTTGTGTATGTGTGTGACTTGGGTGGTGATCAAGTGCATGTCTATCAACTGGATGAATCGGGCAAGTTGCACGATCAAGAGAGTATCCGACTCGATCCCGGACAAGGCCCTCGACATGTCGCATTCAATCCAGACCACAAGGTAAGCAAGTCACTGTCTGCATGGGCTAAAGCTAACAAGAACAGGACCTAGTCTACGTTATCTGCGAGCTGACCAACGACGTTGTCCTCTTTCGTCGTACAGGCAAGACCTGGCAGCGTGTGCAGACAGTCAAGCTACTCGATGACAAGGTTGTTAAGGTGAAAGCACCACACTACCATCAACCTCCCTCTGCTGCTGCCATCCTCATCACGGCTGATGCTCAACAATTGCTCGCGAGTGTTCGTTATATCCCAGGCAAGGAGGATGCAGACATTCTTGTGAGTGTCCAGCTGGGGAAAGATGGGTTGATGGTGGTGGCGAGCATGAAGACACACAATACACACGCTGTTGGTCCACGCGCTCTTGCCTTGTCAAAGGATACGAAGCAACGTTATGTTGCTGCGACATTCAAGGAAACGGGTTCTGTGCGTGTCTATGATCGTCTGGATTCTTCCTTCAAGCTTGTCGCACAACTTGATATGAAGGGTGCTTCTTCTGCAGTCTTCATCTGAGCAACAGGTACCGAGAGTTTGTCACAAGCTTGTAGATTTGCTACCTATGTCTGTTGTGTTCCTTCCTATGCAGTCCAGATCCGCTTGATACCCTCCGTCAAGCCAACATCATTCGTCTCAAACTCATAAAAGCCAACAAGCACAGTTCCCGTTGCTAGCCTCAATAACCACTTGAATCCCGAACTCACAAATGTACCGTATTTTCGAGTCGGTACGTAATCGGTGATGCATGCATCGAAGCCGATATGGGAGTGAATGACGAGTGCAGAGACGAGTAGTGCATCGGTCACGGGATTGAGGGAGCCGACGGCGAATGGTGCAATGGTGAGAGGGATGAGTGCAACGGAAATGCCGCGCTCGAATGCCCAGTGGTAGGAGCCATGTGCCTTGTCTAGGGAGTTAGTCTTGAGTGCTGTAGGAGTAGCTGGATTCATGCGTACTTGGTTCGGGGAAGGTGACTGGGTCATTGACTGTTCCCTTGATGACTTGGGGACCTGCAGGACCGATGCGGTTCGGACGTGCTAAGGAGATTGTTAGTCGACTCACTCCTAGTCAGGCAGACGGTGGACAGAGACGAGCAAGGGATACCCCGCGTAAGCAGAGTATGTCTGTGTGTCTGTTGCCTGTGTCTCTCGATATACACTTACTTGTGTGGATTTGCATGGCTCGCTGGATGAGGGGGGATGTGCGTGCCCCTTGCCTGAGGAGCCCTGGATTGAGCATTGTCCTGAGTGCGGTCATGTCTCTTGTCTGTCGCTGTAGCACCGCAGTCAGTCAGCAGCAGTGAGTCGTCTCGGTCTCCCTGCTTGTTCCGCTGTGGGGTTAGGGAAGAGGGTCAGCAGAGAAGAGAGTCCGGCATACAGAAGGAACAGACAGAACTACAGCACAAGCAAAGAGAGCAGCAGCCATGTTCTCAGCCCGTCTCCTGCGACAGGCACCGAGGCACATCCTCAGGCACCAGCACCGTCTCCCATCCACTCGCTCCCTCGCTTCACAAGTCAACGCCATCCCACAGCAAAAGACAGAAACCACCACCCTCCCCAATGGCTTCACCATTGCTACGGAACACACGCCCTCAGCACAGACTGCAACGGTTGGTGTCTGGATCGATGCTGGCTCTCGTGCTGAGACGGAAAAATCCAATGGTTCTGCCCATTTCCTCGAACATCTCGCTTTCAAGGTATTCTTTCAACTATTGCATATCATCGATTGTTGCTAACAGTCAGGGCACCGGCAAGCGATCTCAGAAGGATCTCGAGCTAGAGATTGAAAACATGGGAGCTCACCTCAACGCCTACACGTCCCGCGAACAAACCGTTTACTATGCCAAATCATTCAAGGCAGATGCAGCAAATACGGTGGATGTGCTTGCGGATATCCTGCAAAACTCAAAGCTCGAGGCAGCTGCCATTGAACGGGAACGCGATGTCATTCTCAGAGAGCAGGAAGAGGTGGATAAACAAACTGAGGAAGTGGTGTTTGATCATCTTCATGCCTCTGCCTTCCAGGGACACCCACTCGGTAGGACCATTCTTGGCCCAAAGGAAAACATTGAGTCCATTGGCAAGCAGGATTTGAGTGACTACATCAAGACCAACTACACCGCCGACAGGATGGTGCTGGTTGGTGCAGGTGGTGTCCCCCACCAAGAACTCGTCAAGCTTGCTGAACAGCACTTTGGCAAGATCCCCTCTTCCGGTACTAGTCATGCTATTGGATCTCCTCGTGGTGAGAAACCACAATTTATTGGATCAGAGGTAAGGTTGCGTGATGATACCATGCAAACTGCCAATATTGCTATTGCCGTGGAAGGTTGTGCTTGGAATGACCCAGACTACTGGCCCATGCTCGTTTGTCAAGCCATTATTGGAAACTACGACCGGGCACTCGGTTCTGCACCACACTTGGGTTCCAAGTTGTCTACCATTGTGCATGCCAACAAACTCGCCAACTCGTTCATGAGTTTCTCAACATCCTACAGCGACACTGGACTATGGGGCATCTACCTCGTCTCTGAGAATGTCGAACAACTCGATGATCTCGTACACTTCACCCTCAAGGAATGGTCGAGGTTGTCCATTGCCGTGACGGAAGCTGAAGTGGAACGTGCAAAAGCTCAACTCAAGGCTTCTTTGTTGTTGGGTTTGGATGGAACGACTCAGGTGGCTGAGGATATTGGTCGTCAAATTGCAACGACTGGTCGGCGTATGTCGCCATTTGAGTGTGATCAGCATCTTGCCAAGATCACGGCAGCGGATGTCAAGGCTGTTGCAAAGGCAAAGATTTGGGATGCAGAGATTGCAGTGAGTGCTGTTGGTCGCATCGAAGGATTGTTGGATTATAACAGAATCCGAGCTGACATGTCGCTGAATAGATACTGAGCTCAGCCTTTCGTGAGGAGCAATTCCCTTCCAAGCAAACACTTCCTTGCTGTCATCTGAGTCTTGAATGTGCGTTATAGATTCACCGTAAGTAAAAAGTACGTTGGGCTTTGCTCGGCGTTGACTCGGTTGAGTGAGTTGCTCCTTGTCCGTTGCGCAGTCAGATCAGAGAGATCGTCAAAGTGCGCAGTTCACAGACCAACACACCCCAGGCTCAGGACTCGAGTTTACTGACCAATAGAGGAGTTACTGAAGCATCGTCAAGGGCCCAGGTCATAGAGACACGGCGGCCAAAGCATCAATCTCCACGCTCAGTGCGTTTCAGCTCAGACGACACTTCAGCGCGCGCATACACACTCCCACTGCATTTCAAATCGCATACAAAAAAGGAGACCCTTCGCAACAGCGATAAGGCGCTGGGCCTGCCTATCAACCAGAGGGCATGTCAGTCACTGCTGTCATCCCATGCTATGGTATCCTCCTTCCATCAAGCGCAAGAAATAAAGACTAATAAATGCAAACAGGCATGACGTGCAAGAGCTGTACAAGCGCCATTGAATCCGCACTAGGCGCACTCCCAGGCGTTCAACACGTCGCCGCCTCTCTGACAGACGAACAAGTCAGCGTCACCCATCACAGTGATAAAGTGAATCGCGCGCGCCTTGTTGAAGCTGTAGAAGATGCAGGCTTTGAAACGACGCGCTTAGAGGAACAGGAGAAGGATCACGGCGACACGGCGCGTCTCTTGGACACTTCGACGGCATCGCCCATGGAAGCGGCTGCGTTGACAACGACGATTATCGCAATTAGAGGCATGACTTGCGGGTCCTGTACTGCAGCGATTGAATCACAACTCACACCATCCCTCATTCCAGGCCTCAAGACATTCAGCGTAAGCTTGATCAGTGAACGTGCAAGCGCGACCCACGACGCATCACTCCTCTCCGCTGAAGCGTTGGCAGAACGTATTGAAGATTGTGGATTCGATGCAACGATTGTCTCTTCTATTCAAGCATTCGCAGAAACGGTTGGTGGCATTAAAGCAGAAGAAACGACAGTCTTTCGAATCTATGGTATGACATGTGCGTCGTGTGTCAATAAAGTCGAGCAAGGACTTTTACGCATCCCCGGTGTTTCTCAAGCAGCTGTCAATTTACAACTAGAAGAGGCAAAAATCACGTTCATGCCTGATCAAGTCGGTTTGCGTGATTTGGTCGATGGCATTGCTGCATTGGGTTTCGATGCGCTCTTGGCAGATCGTACAGATGATGGTGCACAACTTGAAAGTCTTGCACGAACGCGAGAAACGCGTGAATGGCGACGCCATTGGATACAATGCTGTGCTGTAGCCGTGCCATTGTTCCTCCTCAACAAAGTTTTCCCCTACTACACACCCTTGCGCAAGCTCCTGGACATGCGCGTCTTTATACCCGGACTGCATCTCGTGGATGTCGTTAGCTTACTGCTGACTGTAGTCCTACTTTTTGGTGCAGCAAGACGATTCTACCAATCTGCTTACAAGAGTCTCAAACATGGCTCAGCGACGATGGATGTTCTCATTGTCCTTGGTGTCTCTGCTTCCGTCGCATTTTCAATCTTATCTATGTTGGTGTCAATGGTCACTTCATTCAAGGGACATACCGCCACTTTCTTTGATACAGCGGGCATGTTGCTGACGTTTGTCTCTTTTGGAAGGTATCTCGAGAATAAGGCTAAAGGTGCTACTTCGACAGCACTCTCACGACTCATGTCCCTTGCTCCTTCATCAGCAACCATTTATGTCGGTAAAGATGGCGAGAAGCAAGCAGCAGAACGCATCGTTGCGACTGAACTCATCCAGATTGGAGACATTGTTTTGCTTCGACCAGGTAGTAAAGTCCCCGCAGATGGTGTCGTGGTTGCAGGCGAGTCGTTTGTCGATGAATCCATGGTCACGGGAGAAGTTGAACCATTACACAAACAAGCCGGGTCTCTGGTGGTTGCTGGAACCGTCAATGGTCATGGAAGTATTGACTTTCGTGTTCAACGAGTTGGTAAGGACACGCAGCTCTCACAAATTGTGCAGTTGGTACAGGATGCACAGACGAGTAAAGCGCCTATCCAACGCTTCTCAGACCAAGTCGCCGGGTATTTCGTACCTTGTGTGATATTCTTGGGACTCTTGACATTCATGGCGTGGATGGTACTCAGTCATGTCCTTGCGTCGCCGCCTGCTATCTTTTTGAATGCAGGACCTGGTGGCAAGGTGATGACGTGTTTGAAATTGTGCATCTCTGTTATTGTCGTTGCTTGTCCCTGTGCATTGGGTCTAGCAACGCCTACAGCCGTCATGGTTGGTACGGGAATGGCAGCATCTCAGGGTGTCCTCATCAAAGGCGGTGCAGTCCTTGAACGTGCCACACAAGTCACGCGTGTGGTGTTTGACAAGACGGGGACCTTGACATTAGGACAAATGACTGTTCAGCGATCTTGGATGACGAGCACTTGGCAAGACCGAGTGAAATTATGGTGGACACTGGTCGCTGCTACGGAACAGCCTTCTGAACATCCAACTGGACATGCTCTTGTGCGGCATGCAAAAGATGTATTGAATTTGGCTGTGCATGAAATGATCTCAGCAGCAACAACGGGCTTCGAAGTAGTCTCTGGACGTGGTGTCCAGTGTACTGTTCAGGTGGAAGGGACATCCTACGAAGTCGTCATTGGCAATGCTCTGCACCTTGAGTCACACGGGTCGACACCTGAACAGAATGATCAGTTGGCAAAGAGCGTCCAAGATGGTCAAACGTGTGTCTTTGTCGCCATCAACGGCCTCTATGCTGGATTCTTGGGCTTATCTGATCAAATCAAGCAAGATGCAGCAGCAACTGTCATGGCACTCAAGCGAATGGGCAAGCAAGTCTCAATGGTGACAGGCGATCAATTAGCAAGTGCTCAGCGCGTTGCAAAGGAAGTCGGCATCTCGTCTGATCAAGTCTGGGCAGGAATTGTTCCGGGTGGTAAGCAAGAACTCATTCGAGCAATGCAAGCAGAGGGATGTGTCGTCGCTATGGTGGGTGATGGCATCAATGACTCGCCTGCACTCGCCACGGCTGATATTGGCATTGCAGTGGGTAGTGGCACGGATGTTGCTATTGAAGCTGCGGATATGGTGCTTATGCGACGTGGTGCCATTTTGGATGTTCCTGTGGCCTTGTTGCTGTCGAGTGCCATCTTTGGCAGAATTAAACTCAACTTGCTCTGGGCGTGCATCTACAACCTCATTGCGATCCCCTTTGCGATGGGTTTCTTCTTGCCTATGGGACTGCACTTGCATCCCATTGTGGCTGCTGGTGCCATGGCCTTTTCGAGCGTCAGTGTTGTCTGTTCCAGTCTGCTGCTCAAGTACTGGCAAGCTCCACGCTGGCTTCGGGAGGTTGAAGAGGGCGGCAGTATGCAGTTTGAGGGGGATGGCACTGGCAAGAAATTTGTGCTCTTTCGGCGCGTCAGGGCTCTATTCTCACAGACTGGGTACTCGAGAGTGGATGATGAGGAGATGCAGTCGATGCCGATGGTACGCTGAGTGCCTGCATTGTCTACTGCTAGACGACTAGATATATTCCGTATGTATGACTTTATGACCTTCCCATCTGGACATCTCGTTGCTTTGTTTTCTGTTTTTGTGTCACCCTCCCACAGAGACCAAGTAGACTAGACTATACTGGACAGACAAACAGCTATACTGCTCTGCCAGCTGCCTTGAAGACATCTAGAATGGCAGACAACTCCAAGTACGCCTATCAAGGCTATAGGCAAGACGAACTCCCCATCACTCACCACAACCTCTCAGACGATGAGGACGAGAACTACATCCCCATGCGCGCTGGTATTCAATCACTCGGTACAACTGCATACACTGGCTACCGACCGCCTGCAGAAGACGCAGAGTACGAGGAAGAGCAAGGTTACACCAATGCAGGAGACCTTGGTCAAGGCTATACTCTTGAAGATACGCAAGCAGGCGCTTATGACTCCGATGCAGAGCGAACACTCGGTGCTCGGTCGCCAGTCACGGACAAGTACGATTTCCTTCGAAAGGACGCCGAGGCGAGTCGTGCTGCATCTGCATATTCACATGCCGAGACAGATCCCGAGGAGGCTTTCAGGAGACGGCAATTGACACTGCGTCGAGGGCATACACGCAAGGTCAAGCTCGTCAATGGAGACATCTTCTGTTCCGAATACCCGTGAGTGACTTGTGTCTCAGATCAAGCTGACAATTAGTGTGCCACTGCCCATTCAGAATGCTGTTCAAGAAAAGTACCGTGACCCCGAATCTGGCTCTGAGGAGTTTACGCATCTGCGTTGTATGTCTCTCCCCTAACTTGTTCCAGACTGACGCTAGACACGCGCGCAACATGCGATCCCAATGACTTTACCCAAAAGAATGGCTACAATCTACGACCAGCCATGTACGAGCGTAATACGGAACTCCTGATTGCCGTGACCTACTACAATGAAGACAAAGTCTTGACAGCACGAACTTTGCATGGCGTCATGCAAAACATCAGAGACATTTGCAATGACAAGAAGAGTAACTTCTGGAACCGCACCTCGCCAGCTTGGCAAAACATTGTCGTATGTCTCGTCTTTGACGGCATCGATCCTTGCGACAAGGAGACTCTTGATTTGCTTGCGACCATTGGCATCTACCAAGACCACATCATGAAGGGCAAGATTGATGGGCAGAAGCCGACGGCGCACATCTTTGAGTACACCACCCAACTCTCAGTCAACGAAAAGCTCCACCTCGTCCGCCCAGCTGCAAATGATGACGATGCCCTGCCCCCTGTCCAATTCATCTTTTGTCTGAAGCAAGACAATGAAAAGAAGATCAACTCTCACCGCTGGCTGTTCAATGCCTTTGGTAAGATTCTCAAACCAGAAGTCTGCGTCTTGCTTGACGCTGGTACGAAGCCTGGTAAGAAGTCCATCTACCATCTTTGGAAAGCTTTCTTCAATGATCCAAACCTGGGTGGTGCTTGTGGTGAGATTCACGCTATGCTTGCGCGTGGCAAGAACCTCGTCAATCCACTGGTGGCAACGCAGAACTTTGAGTACAAAATGTCAAACATCCTCGACAAACCTCTCGAGTCCAGTTTTGGCTATGTCTCTGTCTTGCCGGGTGCATTCTCAGCATATCGCTACCGTGCGATCCAAGGACGTCCTCTTGACCAGTACTTCCGTGGCGATCACTCTCTTGCAACGATTCTGGGCGATAAGGGAGTCAACGGGATGGGCATCTTCAAGAAGAACATGTTTTTGGCAGAAGATCGAATCTTGTGCTTTGAGCTTGTTGCTAAGGCCGGTGCAAAATGGAAGTTGACGTATGTCAAAGCCTCGCAGGCAGAGACTGATGTGCCAGAAGGTGTTGCCGAATTCATCTCGCAGCGTCGTCGTTGGCTCAATGGATCCTTTGCAGCGAGTATCTACGCCATGGTTCACTTTCCGCGTCTCTATCGATCAGCGCACAATCCATTCCGCATGTTCGTCTTCCATGTTCAACTGCTCTACAATGTATTTTGCACCATCTTTTCGTGGTTCGCCCTCGCCAACCTCTGGCTCACCTTTTCTGTCGTTATCCAGCTTACGAGTCAGCAAAATCCATTCTTCGGCAAGAGTGCTTGCATGACCTGTCATGAAATTCAGCTCGGCTCTCGCAATGGCACCTTGCTGTGGGACGCCACCACAAACCTCATCACAGGCCCCAGCGAAATCTTCAACAAGGCACTCGGCCAAAACCTCGCCAATCCTTTCTTGGAAAAGGCAGTCAACTGTGTTTGCGCTACAGATGTCATTAATCTGGTTGTGGAATACCTCTACCTTGCCTTCATTCTCCTCTCCTTCTTACTAGCCCTCGGCAACCGTCCCAAAGGCAGCATCGGCACCTACACGAGTGCTTTCGCTGTATTTGGCCTTTGTCAACTCTACCTGCTCATCTGCTCCTTCTACCTGGCCATCAACTCGCTTATTCATGTTCAAAGCGTTGGTCAGTTCTTCAGTGACTTTTTCGTGCCTGGTGGACAAGGTGTGATTGTAATAGCACTACTCTCCACTTTTGGCCTCTACTTCCTGGCAAGTGCACTATACTGGGATGCTTGGCACATGCTACATTCTTTCCCTCAGTATCTGCTCATCGCTCCGTCTTACATCAACGTTCTGAATGTCTATTCGTTCTGCAACACGCATGATGTGACTTGGGGCACCAAAGGCAGCGATAAGGCTGATGTCCTCCCAGATGTCGCAACGCGCAGTGCCGCTGCTGCCAAAGATGCTAAAGGTGCTGCGATTGTTGAGGAAGTTGAGCGAGAGCAAAGTGAGATTGACGTTGCCTTTGAAGCAACTGTCAAGCGTGCACTTGCGCCACTCAAACCTGCCGGACCTGCTGGAAAACCTTCCCTTGAGGACGGCTATAAGGCATTCAGGACACGTCTGATTATTGCCTGGATTTTCACGAATCTTGCACTTATTCTGGGATTCACGTCGACTGATATCCAGAGCAACTTGGGTCTGGCATCGTCAACAAGCTCTCGAACGGTGATTTACTTCAGCTTCATTCTCTGGGCAACGGCGATCCTGTCAATGATTCGCTTCTTGGGGTGCGTCGTCTTTTGTTTCAAGACGGGTGTGCTTGCCATCCCTGGCCTTTCAAAGAAATAGTAGGGTTTCATTTGCATCTTTCGGTTTTCTAGCACATGTCTTTTGCGAGTACACTAATCAATTCATTCAACCTTTGAATGCACTAGATAGCATTGAGCATCCTGATACACTTTCGCGAGGCGGTTCGAAATTCTCGACGCCTGTAGCCAGACACAGGCGTCAGCGTGACGGGTGCAGCAGATTTGCGTTCCTTATTAGATTTGCCAGACTTGCCAGGTCGTCGAGTATCGTGTTCTTCCTGCAGACCTTGATTTAGTCCCTCCAGCAAGATCATCTTGTACGTTGCCAATTGTCCCTCATCCATCACCAAAAATGCTGCGTCCTTGGTTGATTCATCGACGTGGCAACGTCCTAAAAAGGCACCAAATACAAGCATGTATGTCTTCAACACGATAATTCGTCCACTTGCGGTGAAATCACTCGTGGCTATTCTTGCAGCATACGCATTCTGTGTCTTTGCGCCCATCAATGCCGCAGTACGCTCACCAGGCGTGAATAGGCCTTGCTTGAACAAGTTGCTGCGTGTCGGTGCGCCTGCTTTAGCCTTCCCACCGACAGCTTGTGCATCGAGTGTACTACACTGTGACAACATCAAGGCACACAACATCTCGCCTCGTTGTAGCGCCACTCGCTTGTGAGACTCTTCGTCATGCCTCAACGCTTCTTGAAGCCAGCAAGACAATAGAGCGAGGAGTTGTCCGAGATGCTTTGGACCTGCTGAACCACTCAAGGCTGTTGGACCTGCCGACTCTTGTGCAAGAGCATTGAGCCAGTCGTTTTCATTGAAGTGAAGCAGTTTCCCTGTACGCTTGCCAAGCGAAGTCGGTTGACCTGAAGCAGCAGCGAGCGTTGCGGCTGCATCTGCAACCAGATGCATCAACCGTATGCGAAGTGGCAAACTCGCTTGATGTCCCCATAGTGCCGCCGAGTCATGCTTCAGGATGGCATAGCTTTCATAATCACCATCACTGTTGTAGTCAAGGTGTGTTGTTCCTGGACTGTCATCGTCACTGCTATCCTCCCCCTCTTTTGTTGACTTTGGAAAGGTTGCAGCAGCACCTGAACGTTCAATAAAGTCAGAGAAGCAAGCGTCCTCACGCCCTGCGCCACATGCGAGCGCAGACATGCCATTTTGTCCCGCATTGCGCTTTCGCACTAGTCTTGGCGAGTCCATTCGATTATGCGTGTCACTCTGTGGTCGCCAGGGGTCATGAGGCCAATCAAGTTGATCGCACTGTAAATCCACCAGTAGTGCTTTTGCCAGTTTGCCGGGTGTCAGGGCACTACTTTCGCCTTGTTTGAGTAGTTCCACAATCAAAGCACGGTCTAGCTCGACAGCGGCATCTAAAGCGCCATAACTTGCAAGTGCGCTCATTCCTGCTGCAGCTTGCTTGCGATGCTTCCAATCTTGTTCAAGGACACGAATGAGAATGTCACATAGGGAGAGCCAGCGTGTTGACATTTCCGGTGCAGAGATGGTGACGCTGCATCGGAAGAGTTCCCAGAAGGAGTCAAATTTGTTGAAGACAGACTCTGTTGTGGCCATGGCAAACTCTGTGTGTACGTAGCCCTCCTCTTCGTCCTCAGAGAGCAGCTCATCCATTGAATCGCGTGTTCGTTTCTTGCCACTAGAGATGGGATCCTGTTCGTCGTCAGACACGAATCCACCTTGTGCCAGCATGGACGCAACGCCATACCGACCTGTTTCGCGTGGTGCTGCTTTCCTCGCTTTCCGACGACCTGTTGATTGCAAGACCGTTACAGCACTGAATCCAAGCACGCCTGTAAAAGGCACTGATCCATGCCTCTCTAGTGTCCTGAGTAAGATCCGCTCAGCGCGTTCAGCGAGCTGTGCGGAAATTCGGAAAGGTTCGCTCTTGATGGGCTGTGTTGGTTTTGGTTTACGACGCGCACCGCCAGGCAGTGGTTTGGCATCCATCTCTTTACCGCCGACCGGTGCAAGTTGACCATCTTCAAGGACAACTTGGCGCGTTTTTGGGTGAACGAGGAGCGTTGCGCAGATTGTGAGGTGGGCGGCGGGTGGGTAGTAGCTTGGTAGGAGAGCTGCTAGGAGTTGAAGGTATTCTTCGACTAGCAATGGCGTTAGTCATGCAGATGAAGTGGATGAGAGTGTACAGAAGTCTTCCTCGAGGGGTGTCTCTACCAGCTGGCAGAGGTCATCTGCCAAGGGTGCAGAGTGCATGCTCAGACTGGTTGTATATTAATACTGGGCCATGGTCGCGTCGTCGCGTTTCTGTGTCGTGTCGCGAATTTCATCTCATCAAGCTCAAGGGAGAGACAACAAGCAATAGTAGAAGGAACGTAGACTGTAGGCTGTATGAAGGAGCAACTAGACTCTTCTAGATCTTCGCCTTGGGGTCAGTCGCAAACTGTGACTCAGTGACACCAGCACCCATCGCCGAGGTCGAATTGACACCACCCGTAACAAGTCCCTGCAAGTGATCCATGTACTCTGCACCAGACCATTTTTGGTGCGTCAAAACTTCAACACCATGCACACGTTCAGGCTCTTGAATCATCTCAACATATGCCTTCATACCTTGCTTTTCATAACCAGCGGCAAACGTGTCAATACCCAACGCAGACGAGTGAAGACCTGCAAGGGTAATGAATTGCCAGACAAAGCCAAGCTTAGCAATATCCTCAATGAATGTTGCAATCTTGTCTGATGGCAAGTTGGTGGACCAGTTGAACGAAGGTGACAGGTTGTAGGCGAGCCACTGTTTAGGCCAAACAGCCTTGACGCCCGTTGCGAATTCATGCGCTTGCTCGTATCCAGCATTCTTGGTCTCCATCCACAAGAGCTCTGCATACGGTGCATAAGCGATGGCACGCTCAACACAAGCCTGAGTACCACCCTGGTAACGGTAGTAGCCCTCACGCGAACGACAGCTGTCCCAGTCAAAGAAGATATCCACACCCGTAATGGTTTGTGCAATGGCGCGCGCCTCCGTGTTACTCTTACCCTTGGTTTGTTCGAGGTATTTTGCAATGGCTGCGTCTTGACCTGAAACAACAGACTTCTTGATGGTTGCAATCACGGCTTCATCAAAGAGCATGATGTTGGCTTGCTTCATCCAATTGTTTTCGAGCTCTTCAAGTTGCGAGGCACGCTTTCCAGCGAGCTCACCTTCGTACATGAGCGTGGCGAGTGGCTTGAGTCCAGGCGTCGTCACACCGAGGATGTTCTTGTGATCCCGCTGGTCAATGTTGGTGGAGATGAAGGTTGCCGCTTCAGCATCGGTACGAGCAACAATCACAGTTGAAGAGCCAAGCAAATCAGCCATGGCGCGTGCAGCAACGAGACGGTTGATGTGCTCTTGTGTTGGCACAAGCACTTTTCCAGCCAAGTGACCACACTTCTTCGTACCGGGTGCTTGGTCCTCAAAGTGGATACCAGCGGCACCGCGCTCAATCATCATCTTGGTCAACTTCATAACGGCAGTCAAACCACCGTGTCCCGTATCACCGTCAGCGATGATGGGACGCAAGAAGTCGATGTACTTGAGGTTTGCACGCTCTTGTTCAGTCTTGGAGAACCTGTCCTCACGCTGCTTACGGTCATGGAAGAGTTGTGCCATGAACAAGTGTTCGACCTTGTTGGGGACAGTGTCCATTGGGTAGTCTGCGATATCTGGTCCTGGCTCGTTTGAGGTGGATGCAGTAGACGAGCATTGCCAGCCAGAGACGTAGATGCTGTCGACATACTTGGCCATTTGCGCAACATGGATGGGATCCAATGCGCCGAATGTACGGCTGCAAGTCTTCTTCTAGGCGGTTGTCAGTCTATACTTCAATGAAGGTCGTTTCAATTGAACATACCTTGTCATGCTCCACGAGCAAGTTGAAGAGCTTCTCAGAGAGCTTGTTGGCAGCTGGGACCTGGCGTCCGAGGAGGGAGCCGCGCTTTGAGGCGATCTCTTCGGCGGAGTAGGGACGAGTGATGCCTGCGTAACGTGGGGATGCCCACCATTGGTTGAGCTGTTGGACCTGCGCCTGCTGGTCTGCCTTTTCGGCTTGGACGTCGATCTTTGAGTAAGGCATGATTGTGAGATGGAGGAGGAGAGGAGGATGGATGGATGGATGGACGGGAGGGTGGTTAAGTAGTCTTGTTCCTGTGTGCTCGAGATTCCGGGGAAGCGCAAAGAGGCCGAGGCACACCCGCGTCAGATGGCACACGCAGGGATGGTTGCACTTCAGGGACGCTGGGTACGCAAGAATCTCAGGGCAGTGTCGGAGGATCAAAGCCGATAGACCTAGGAGTAGCTTCAATAGCCTCGGAGATGTGCTCGAAAGGCAGCTCATGCTAGGGCCCTTCTATGCGTATCAGGCGCATCTGAAGCCCGAAACACACGTGGGAAGCGTCGGAATACATCGCCGAGATCGCAGCAGTCACATATGCACTCGATAGATGAACAGATTGCATCGAGTGTCATCCAGTAGAGTACGCTATGCTCATTACATCTGTCTTCTTCTCACTCTCCTTGGATGCACTAACATGTCGTTGTCTAATCTGCTCATGAAAACAAAAATACGCGCGACGAACGCGACTCGAGACACTACAAGACAAGCTAGCTGATATCGATCATTGTCTCCGCTCCTACAGAAAAAGCCACAAGCCGACTATGGCTGAAGCCAATGCCGCCGAAGAGGCACCCACTCGCTCCACGCTCCCCCTCAAAGGCTCCGTCAAGACCGTCTCCGAGTTCTTTGAATATGCCATCAACACAATCCTCTACCAACGCGGTCTCTATCCGCCAGAAGACTTCAAAGTCGTCAAAAAGTACGGCCTCAATATGCTCATCACTACAGACGACGATGTTCGGCGGTATATCAAGAAGATCATGCAACAGCTCCATAAATGGCTGACTGTTGGGAAAGTCAACAAGCTCGTTGTTTGCATAGTCAGCAAGGAATCAACGGAGACCCTTGAACGCTGGCAATTCGATGTGGATATCGTCGCCTCTACAGTTGCACCCACTGTGGTCCTCTCCACTGTTCCTGCAGCGCAAGAACCTGCCTCTGCCCCTATTGCACGCGACGAACAAGACGTGACGAAGGAGATTCAATCCCTCATTCGTCAAATCACAGCATCTGTCACGTTCCTCCCCGAAATCTCTGGTCGGGCTACATTCAACGTGCTCGTGTATACACCAAGCGATCCAGATCCAACACTCGCAACGCCCAAGGACTGGGTGGATAGTGATGCGCGACTTGTGAGAAATGCTGAAGCTGTTCAACTTCGCAGCTTCAGCACAGGCGCTCACAAAGTTGGTTTGCAAGTGGCGTATACCATGGACGAGCAAGTCGTATAAATCATCACACGTTCGACCGTTAGCGATTTTAGCGTATACTCATCTCTCATGTCATGTCTAGTCTATCTCTCCACTATGCCTGCAACCGCTTGACATACGTGTGATGCACAATCTTGGCTACTGCCAAGTCATACTCTGCTCTTTGCAAAGCCCACGTCGTCTCTTGCGCTTCCCTCTCGCGCTCGAGCCTTTGACGCTCCTTGACATTAGCTGGCAGGCCTTGCTCTTCCTGTACAGTAGGAGCTCCCATGACAGCCTGCCATGCAGCACGTCTCTCCATCACCACTGCGTAACTCGCAGCAAGTGCAGTCTCAGCAACGTCTTTTGCATTCGCAACACCATCAAGCCGTTGTAAGGCATCACAACAACGTTTAAAAAAGATCCGCTCCGTTACAGACGCGGGGATCTTGCGCGCACATTGCGCATATCGATCCAGAATCAAATCAACCAATCGTTCCCTCCAATTCGCAGCATTCGCCACCGTCTTCTTCACACTCGTTCGTCTCGTGACACTCATGTCTGAACCTTCTTCCTGTATAGTCGGAATCGCATAGGATGGATCCATACTAGAACGTCGAGAACTCGCCGTACTTGAAGCAGGCGGCGTTTGTATTCCCAAAAGACACGTAGCACTTGGTTTTGAACTACCAAGGGTACTACTACTCCCACTACTACCATCCGCCAAAACATACTCTGGCCCTGCTTGCAGGTGTGAGCGATGTAATGCGCTTGCATTGAGCGATGCGCTCGTTGCTGCAGAGAGACGCGCATGTTGGTCGCGCGTGAGGGAGAGGTCTTCTGGTGCTGCGTACAAGTCTGCCGTTAAGAGCGACATGGCCCTTGACGTTGCGCGAGCGCTCTCTCAAATGGTCACCTTGCTCTAAACTTGACACTGAGGAAGGTATCAGGGCCTTTTAATCTCTTCTCGCCAACGAGACTGGAGTAGGGAGAGAGATGCGATTCAGTCAGGAGCTTTTGATGAGGAGTGAATGAAGCAAGTGCATCATGTCGAGCTGATGCAGCATAGCAAGGGAGCACAGCCAGAAAAGGGCACAGCCAGAAAGCAAAGTGATGGCAGCAAGAGGGAGGAAGGCGCAGTCTGGTCAAATTGGTTGTTTGCGGTAGGTGCTCGCTTCTTATTGCTACAGGAGCACTGGAGCCGCGGCCCGCACGGTGAATTCCAGGATGCATGAGTATGACATGTGTATCGATGTGTAGCATCTGATACGACAGTGCAGTGCGTCGCTGCTCAGCTTGATATGTCCCATCTTTGCTATACCTGCTCTGACTAATCTTCTGTCGCGGCGCAAGGCAAGTGACTTTATGCAATAGATCATACAGACAGCTGCCGCGCTGTCAAATTCTCTCAAGATGGCGATGATCTGATCAGACCGGCCAAGAGGTGATTCGCAGCATCCCTGAGTGTGGTGACTGTGGACACAGCAACCACTCCATGCTGCAGACCATGCAATCGAGAAGAAGGGACAACATGAGGAAGCTGATTAGGGGGGCTGTGCTCATCCGACATGTGATTGTGCACTTCCAAGTTCCAACTCCACAGGCACGCACTTGAGCGCCCAGACTGACAAAGCCAAGACTGAAAGCACACTTTGTGATTGTCTAGCTATTTACAAAGCTGTTTATTTTGATTGGAAAAAGAAAGTAGAAAAGTAATCGTAATCTTGTTTAATCTCATCAGGTTGAATCTCTGTAGCACAGACTCTGTCTCTAGTCTGCGTGTGCAAGCTCTCTGAGAAACAAGTTTTTTCAGTGATCCTGCTTGTTGAATCAGGATAACACCTCGCGCGGCTCTATTGGCCGCGTTAATTTGAAAAGTAAATGGGCATCTCTAGAAGAGACCTTCGACTTGGCCAGTCTCCTGGTTGATGTCAATATCATAGTATGCCGGTCGAGTAGGCAATCCAGGAACTGTCTGAATCTCAGCAGCAAGTGGGTAGACAAAGCCAGCACCAGCAGACAATCGAATATCCCTGATGGGTACCGTGAATCCAGTAGGTGCGCCCTTCTTGCTTGGATCAGCAGAGAAGGAGTATTGCGTCTTGGCAATACACACTGGCAAGTTGCCGAAACCTTGACGCGTCATGGTGTCGATACGCTGCTGGGCAAGCTCAGAAATTTCAATGCCATCGGCACGGTACATCTCCTTGCAAATCGCTTCAATCTTTTCCGGAATGGTGAGTTCGGCATCGTACAAGAACTTGAAGTTGGAAGGTTGCTCGCAAGCCTTAATGACAGCCTCACCGAGTTCCTTGGCACCAGCACCACCGTGAGCCCAGTGGTAAGAGGGCACAGCATCCAGTGCACCAGCCTCCAACGCAGCCTTACGAATCGCCTCCAACTCAGCAGGCGTGTCTGAAGCGAATTGGTTGATGGCAACAACAACAGGCACGCCGTACTTGCCTGCATTCTCAATGTGTTGCTTCAAGTTGCTACAACCCTTCACAACGAGATCCACTGCTTCAGTCTTGTAAACGGCATCCAAAGGCTTACCGGGAGTCACGTCAGGACCACCACCGTGCATCTTGAGTGCTTGCACTGTTGCAACAAGAACAACAGCATCAGGCTTGAGTCCCGAAGCACGACACTTGATGTTGAAGAACTTCTCCATACCAATATCAGCACCGAAACCAGCTTCCGTCACAACATAACCGGCTTCTTCCTGGTCAGAGCCAGTACCAGCGAGCTTCAGAGCAATGCGGTCAGCAATGATGGATGACTGACCGATCGAAATGTTGGCAAAGGGCCCAGCGTGGACAAAGACGGGTGTGCCTTCGAGTGTCTGCATCATGTTGGGCTTGATGGTATCCTTCATCAACACAGTCAAGGCACCACCAATACCAATATCATCAGCAGTGACGGGGTCACCAGAGCGCGAGCTAGCAACCACCATACGACCAAGTCGTTCGCGCATATCAGCAAGATCCGTAGAAAGGGTCAACACCGACATCGCCTCAGAAGCAACGGAAATGTCAAAGCCAGTTTCACGGGTCATGCCCTTTTCTGTTGGGTTTTGTCCAACCGTGATTTTACGCAAGAATCGGTCATTGACATCGAGCACACGGTTCCAGGTGATGGTAGCGGGGTCGATATCAAGACGTGCGAATTTGCTGATTTCCTCATCCGTCAAGTCATCTGGGTTGGTCTTGTCAATGCCGAGCTTCTTGAGACGACGCAACATGACGGGTGCAAATTTCTTGACACCCTTCTTGGCAGGCACCATACGGCTGAAGAGGGCCTTGTCCTTTTGTGTGTTTTCATGGAAGATGCGTGTGTCAATGGCAGCAGCAAGCAAGTTGGTAGCGGCAGTGATGGCGTGAATATCACCCGTCAAGTGCAAGTTGAATTCGTCCATAGGAATGACCTGAGAGTAACCACCACCAGCGGCACCACCCTTGATGCCGAAGGTCGGGCCCTGCGAGGGCTGACGACAACAGGCGAAAGCGGTCTTGCCGAGGTGAGCGCCAAGTGCCTGCACGAGACCCATGACCGTGGTCGATTTGCCCTCGCCGAGAGGTGTGGGTGTGATACCTGTCACAACGACATACTTGCCGTCCTTCTTGTGCTGGTAGCGATCAATAATGTTGAGGGATACTTTGGCCTTGTATGGACCGTACATCTCGAGCTCAGTCTCCTTAATACCAAGCTCACCAGCAAGCTTTGCAATGTTCTTGGGAGTCTGTGCGCGAGCAATCTCAATGTCGGAGGGAACATCCTTCAAAGGCGACAAGGGCAATGGTGTGAATTGCTTACCACCCGTAACAAAGGCAGTCTTGGCAGCCTCGAATACGTTCTGCATGAGCATACCCACAGTCATGGGACCCACACCGCCAGGCACAGGCGTGATGTGTGAAGCCACCTCAACAGCGGAAGAATACTCGACATCACCAACAAGCTTGTGACCAGACTTCTTTGATGCATCTTCAACAAAGTTGACACCGACATCAACAACAAAGGCGCCCTCCTTGAGCCAAGATCCCTTGACGAACTCTGGCTTACCAATAGCAGCCACAACGATGTCAGCCGTCTTGACAATTTGCTCGAGGTTGTTGGTCTTTGAGTGGCAAACAGTGACGGTTGCATCAGCATTGCGCAAGAGGTACGAGACGGGTGCACCGACAATATCAGAACGACCGAGCACAACAGCGTGCTTGCCCTTCAAATCAACGCCAGATTCCTGGAGGAGCACCATGACACCCTTGGGTGTGCAAGGGATGAATGAAGGCTTGCCGCCCTTCTTTGCAAGCTCACCAATGTTGGCAGTACCGAAACCATCGACATCCTTAGCTGGTGCAACTGCACCGGTGATGGTGTGTTCTGAGAGGTGACCTGGGATGGGGAGCTGAACGAGGATGCCGTGCACGGATTCGTCGTTGTTGAGCTCATTGATCTTGCTCAGGAGCTGCATGTTAGTCACATAGCATAAGTCAAAGAAGGACATACAGCAGCCTCAGTGATGTCCTCAGCGAGTTTGATGTGCTGGAACTCAATGCTAGCCTCCTGGGCAGCCTTGGACTTCATGTTGACATAGGAAGTCGAGTCACTGCGCTCGCCAACCTGAATGATGGCGAGGGAAGGTGCGAACTTTGGGTTCTTTGCCTTTGTCTCTTGAATCTCTGCATGGATGCGCTCCCTGACAGATTTGGCAATCTGATTGCCGTCAATCTTTTGTGCTGGCATTTGAAGTGGCTTGAGGGTTGAGAATGGCCTTGCTCTGAGGATGAGGCTTGCTTTTGTGTATCGTTGTAGGCGTGCTGGACACCTAAGGAGCATGAACCCTGCCTGCCTGTGGTGGGAGCGTTGTGCGGTGTGCAGGAGGAGGCTCATTTTTTTATTTTCCTCTCGGGCACTTTCGCAGAATGGACTACGTTGCTTACTTTGCTGCCCGTAACAAGCGACTGTCGCCTGGCTGCATCTGCTCTTATAGCTAGGCTGCCAGAGTCAGGCCAATCTGCGCTCAGACGATACATCACGTAGCCCGAAACATATCACCTCGCTGGGCACCTCATGAAACATCCCTCCATCCGAGCCATATGCCATAATCTACGTCCTCTATAGTCTCGAGAGATAAGCCCACATGAGCCTGTACGACTCCGGGCCATGCTCTATACGCCGTGCTCCTGATGATCGTACCAATCGGACAAACATCGCGCAAGAATGTTGCACCTGAACAACAAAGCTCTTACTCTAGTGCATCTCCAAGAGCGGGTGCAAGCGGTTTCATCTCATCCATCTCCTTCTCCGCCTTGGCAGCCTTGACTTTTGCCTCCTCTGGCGAATCACTCCGTTCCAAACCCAGCACATCCGAGTCCCTGTCGTGTGGGTGAGGGATCTTGCCGCCACTCGTCCGGAAGTGATCCTCATCACTATCCAAAGCAACAGGCTTTGGCAGTACCTTCTCCAACGATGCACGATCCAAACCCATGCCCTTTGGATCACGATCGTTGGCAAGTTCATGCGCAGTGAGATCTTCTTTTGCATGTTCATGCTGAGTTTCACCCTTTGCAAGGGGTTTACCGGTCGACACGGGCAACGCATCAGGCATCACGGCCGGCTTTTGCTTCTTTGGCAGTTCAATCGCATCTTCCTTCTTCTTAGGTGGTTTTAACGCAGGCAATGGTTTCCCACCAGCAGGCGGCGTGACTTCATCCAAGTAACGCGTTTTGGCCCATTCCTCGCTGTTGAATTGGTAAATCATTTGCATCCATTCATTGTTCCAACGTCCATGCAACCACTTGAGGACTTGCGCATGGGGTTGCCAGATCTTCTCATGGATTACTCGAGCTGATTCGTCATCTGCATACGTCGGTGCGGAGACACCATACTCGCGTCCTAGCTTTTGTGCAGGGTGGGAACCACTTGCACTGAAGAATGCATTGACCAGGTACAAGTCTCGGTGTTTTGCTCGTGCATTGGGAAGCGTATCTTGGATAGCGCCCCGTGATTCAACCAACTTTTTGTGGATGAGTGGATTCGGATCAAGCACGAGTGTGTGCTCACTGATTTGATTGTCCATGTCGAAATAGTCCTTGCCAAGTGGAACAGTACCGAACGCATACAAGCAGAAATCGTCGCCTAGTGCCTTCTCAGCGGCATTCATTTTGCTCAAGACGCATCGCTGTAATTGTAATGCATCAAAGATACCATTGACATTCTTGATGGGGAAGGCGTTGTGGTCAAAGTAGGCAATCGTCGAGTAATCCGGTTCATTCCAGAGATCAATGATGGAGAAGCCACCGCCAAAACCGGTCTCCTTGACAATAGCACCAGCACCGCGGAAAATGTCGCGCTGTCGTTCAGGGACGTATGAGGCAACATAAACAACCACAGGATGAAGATGAGGTCCCATATCAGCGGCCCAGAGCAGCCGCCAAATCATATTGAGCGTCGTTGCAAAGTTGATGTCATCGAGCTCTGGATTCAGTGCATCAAAGCTGAGTGCGAAGGCCCTATTGCGTGCAGCTTCGCTGAAAAGGTTGTGGGCAATGACATCTTTGTAGTCGTCGAGATGCGTATCATCAGGCGTCTTGTAGTAATAAGGAGCTGGCGCCTTTTGTGGATCCAGCATCTCAACAATCGCACCACCTCCCTTATCTCCGGCTTTGGCTGTATTCCTCGAAGGACTGTAAGGGTCGGTGTCCCATTTAGCCTCTTGTGTGTTGAAGCTGCTGAAATACAGAATCATAAAGATACTAATGGGTAGGACAAGCCATAGATACCGGTGTAGACGGCGAGGAATGACTGGCATGGCTTCGCGTACCCCAGAAATGCGCCGAGTATTGTCCGGTGCTTGAAGTACGCGTCGCTTGGCTAGATTGTCGCTGAACAGGGTGAACGTTTATGAGGCCTAGCTCTTACTGACTGGGGCCCGCGTTTCTGTTGACTATACAGTAGTTCAGAGGAAGACGCCGTGTTGCAGGGAAGTCTGCAGGGTATGTCTCGAGCTTGTGCGTCGGGTTGGTCGGCTGCTCTGGACGTCGCACAAGAGAAAAAGTGAAAGTAAAGCGCAGTGAGAGAGGGGAAATTCAGCACAGGCTCAAGCACAAGCTCAACCAGATGCTGATACTGACATGCATCTACATTCAGCTATAAAGTAAATCATATTCAGCCTGTGTCAGAGCCAGCGGCACTTTCTGTGGGCGCGGCGGAGGTCCATTTTGCCCCGGCGTCGGCGGCAGCTGCCTGGCATTCTGCTCGTATTGTGTCGGTGTCGGTGCATAGGTATGTGGATGTTGCTCTCGATAGTAACGATCCGCCTCACTAGAACCTTCTCGGTGTAGCTGTCCAGCTTGTCGCACATTGCCAGGCGGGCTTCTCGATGGGGGCGGAAGGTTGGTCCATGTCTGTACAGGGTAACTCTGTCCCGGCATATGCGACATCGATGCTGCTTTCGCATGCTGTGAACTGAGCATAGAGGAGCCGTGTGTGTTGAAGTAGGGTTCCGGTGATCGATTGTAGGATTGCGTATGTTGATGTCGCTGCTGAGCATGAACAGGTGAGACTGTCCGTGGTGCCGTGGGCAGCGGTCGTGGACCCCAAGTGCCTGTACCTTCGCCACGGCCACTCATTCGACTCGACGTGCGTTCTGGTTCGGGCGAGATACGCAGATGATCATAGCTTTGTGCAGGCATGGGTGACGCGCGCCCGTCAGATATAGCACTGCTATTGCGCCTTTCAGGCACGTATCCGTACAACCCAGCAGCAATATCTGCTTGCAACGCTCCATTGTGACGGGCATCGCTTTGTGACTTACGGCGAACATCACCCACTGGTTGCGTATGGACACGCACGTCGCGTGAACCGTCCCAAGTCTCGGCATACTGAGCGCCTGTTTGGTAAGGAGATGCCACGTACGCGTGCGCTTGAGCTGGACCTTGAGGGAGCTGATGACTTGATGGCGAGTGCAGCGATAAACTTGCTAGTGCTGGAATAGGATCAAGCGTACCCGGCGACCGAGCAGATCTGTGGGGAGCAGCTTGTTCCAAGACACCATCATTCATGGGACCCAACGCTACCTTGGGCTTAGGCCGAGGAGGCCCTTCGTAGTAAAAGGTCAGCTCTGCATAGATCTCTCCAGCAGGCTTGCCCTTGTACTTGAGATCAAACCAGCTATCATACTCATGAGCGCGCCAAATGGCAGTCAAGTCAATCGCACAGTCGCCAATCAAGTCTGGCGCCTTGCTATCCTCATTGAAGACTGATATTTTGAGAAGATTCTCTTGCTCATTCGGTACTTTGAAGCGCATCTCGTGATTCCAGCTCGGTACCTGGCCAGCGCGTTTGTCAGTGGGCGTGCGCTGCACATCATGACCGAGTCGCACAATTGTATAGGCATCTTGCTTTCCTACTTTTTTCCTGTTGGGGAGATTACGTGCCTTGTCGATGATGACGACAAGCGTCCCGAATCTCTGTTTGGGCAAGTCTCCTGTCGACATGATGAGCCCCTGCACGTCCCTGAGTCGGGTCTCCTGGACTGTGATGATTCTCGAGGGAGTTGCGCGCATTTCGAGATTTATTTTCGGCTCCTCTCTGATGCATCATGTGCAACCACGACCACCACTAGATCATGCTCACTCTATGTCCTGTATAGCTCCTGCTTCTAGTGCAATGGCTTGACTGCTCAATGAATAACAGGCATCCACCACGCTTCTTGCTGCCGAAAAATAAGCCACCATGTCGGCCTGCTGAAGATGAACCTATCATCACAGAAGAGACAACACCCGTCAAGCGCTCTCCTTTGCATACTGCACTCCGAGCCGGTCGTTTCGGCGTAAACAGTCCGCTGGCTGCTTTTGAAGCTCACCAAGAGAGTATCGTGAAAGCTAGAGAAGAACGGACTATACAGCGCTTCAAGCCACCCCCAACAAAGCCAGTGGGTAGGCAAAAATCAAGCGTGCCAGCGAATGCTGGCTCACGACGTTTCATTCCTGTTGCACAAGGCAGCAATAAACGCTCTGCCGACATGATGAATAATGATGAGCCTGATGCAGATGAAGAAGAAGCGTATTGGTCTTCACAAATGCCAGCTGATAGTACACACAATCCATTCGACGTCTCTGAAGAGCTAGAAGAGCCAACAGTGCGGACTGAAAGCGATCCAGAGCGCATCAAGGGACATAGGCGATTTCTGACACGTCCCACGAGTACTGGGTCTCCTGCACCGGCAGGTAGAGCCGAAGCGACTACATCAAATACACGCAGGACGAGTGCGTTCCTTGCCACCATCCATTTGGATGCTACAAGGCCTGCAACTGATGGGCATACACTTGCAAGTGATTGGTCACCTCACAAAAAGCGAACAACCAAGTTTCTTCCTGGCGGCATGGCGGAAACAGTAGCCTTGTGGATCTACCAAGCGCAGGTATCGAATGACTAAATACACATCTATCAGCTTCGTCGTCGCCTCTTCGCTTCAACCTGCGAGAGGAGATCATTCTCGTCAAAAAGCAATGATTCTCGCTTGGCTTGCCTAAGCGGCGCAGACAAGGTTACTTCATTGCGAGCTTCCTTGAATGTTGGCAGCAATCCTGGATCTTGAGCCGCGGGTGCCTCTTTGAAGTATCGATGCTCCAAGACTTCGTAAGCTGTCAACCGTTTTCGCGGATTATATTGCAATAACTCTGACAAGAGTCGCACGAGACCCGGTCTTTCGCCCTTGAAGCGCGTTGGCAGATCCTCCTTTGTCCGCAATATTGCTTGAGATGGCGGCTGATATTTGCTTGCCCATGGCAGCAGTCGGAATCCTGACCAAGTCGTTTCACTAGGCGCGCCAATTAGACCACAAATCAAGTTCATCTCCCCAGACTCGTCTTTACCCGGTAGTAAGGGTTGTGATGTGACCAACTCTGCCAAGACGCAGCCAGCAGACCACAAGTCAACAGACAAGTCATACTGTCGACTGCCCAGCAATATTTCAGGTGCTCGGTACCAGAGAGTCACGACTTGTGGTGTCATGTCTCCAGCTTCTTCACGAGCCATACCAAAATCGGCGAGTTTCAGGATGCCGCTGCGGTTTAGCAGAAGATTACTCATTTTCAAGTCACTGGCTGTCAGTACAGGCAATCTTTCGACGGCCCTTTACCGATGAATGATGCCTTGACGATGGATATACTCGAGTCCTTCAAACAACTGTATCGCCAAACATTTTACTACCTGTTAGCAGTGACCATAGCAAACATCGAACGCACCCTCTGATGGCGTGAATTGTATCTGTGCAACGTCGAATATATTGGCCAAATCCTGTACGCAGATGATAGCGATGTTGAACAGGCTGCTCAGGGTTGTTGGAGGTGTAGTTGACTTACCTGTTCGCAATACTCCATGACCATATAGATCTCGTCTAGTGCGTCACCGACTGCCACTTCGAGTACATTGACGACATTTTTATGACGAAGACTCTTGAGGATACTAATTTCCCGAAGAGCAGTGATGGGTACTGCTTGTGAGCTGGTAGTTGCACAACATCAAAAGCTTACTGCCTTCTCCCTTGTCTTGTTCAAACAGCCGAACAGACTTGAGGGCCACCGTCTCTCCGGTCTTTGTGTGACGAGCTCTATGGACGACACCATATGCTAGAGCCGTTAGAGAAACAAGCATGCAGTAGCATCGACGTACTGCCTTCGCCGAGACGATTGAGACGAGCGTACAGAGCAGAGGGCACACAATTGCCCAGTAAATCATCAGCAGATACAGAGATCACCTCTCCCGTGACACTTGTCAGCTTCATGGGCCCTGAGCTCATCTTATATTGGCATCTTGTGCAGTTGTGTTGGTTCTTCGTCCTCTGTCGCGTTTGCGCCAGAAATTCACAAACTTGCTACTCGACGACCTACATGTCGCGGAGATAGTACGCTCTCTTGAATGGCTGCTGTGGTAGATGCGCTGCCTTGTAAGCTCCTCAATTAAACGTTTCGCTGCTAACTAGCTTAGACTATGATACAGAGCCGACAGACGAAGAACGCGATGCTGTAGATGCTCTGATCGAGGCAGAATTGCCCAAAAAGCAACCGCTCCATCCATCTCTACAGGCCACAAAGGAATGGCAGCCACGTTCCAAGCTCATACAACAAGAACTGGTACGTGCTGCGTCTGGAGAAAGGCTAGCGGCGATAGACTTGACGCGCTACCAGGACTTGCAATTATCGGAAGAGACGACAGATCTGCCAGCACTCATGCGGCGTAACGTGATTGCAGTCGAGGCGATGAAGACACGGCTGGACAATCTGAGCTTGTTGAAGCAGTTTGGTGCGAATGCATGGATTTATCACGTCTTCAAGCTCGAGCAACAGCTCAAGGGACTAGAGCGTGCATTACAGGCGACTCAGCAAGAGACGGAGCAGCTCAATGCACAGCGGAAACGAGAACAGATCAAGGCAGGCGAGCGGATAGGCGATCTGACTGAGAAATGGCGAGCGACTGTCTCTGGAAATTTGGAACTGAGTGTCGCCTGTGCGATGCTCGAGGCTGAGATTGAGGTCGCCGAGACTGCATAGACAAGGCCGTCCAGACGGTCCATATCAACTTATTATCAGGCCCTGGAGCCCCTTTTTTGTAGACGATGAAATTATATTTTGAAGAATCACAGAGACGACGAACAAGAAAACACAGAGAACATCCACGCGAAAGAAGCAGCTTCTGCTCAGTTGCAGCGATGGGGACAAAGACCATGATTGAGGATCATGTCCCCAAGCGCATCAAGCACATCAAATTTGGCTGCATGGATCCAAAGGACTTGCGGCGACAGGGCGTGATTGAGCTGTCAACCAGGGAGATGTACAATATCGAAGGCGGCGAGCGCAAGCCTGTGCCAAATGGTGTCCTCGATAGGCGCATGGTGGGTGATACTGACTTTGAATGACTGAGCTAATGACAGGGAACGTCCATGAAGGATGTCTTCTGCGAAACATGTAACGAGCGCATGGCAGACTGCGTCGGTCACTTTGGTCACGTTCGACTGGCCTTGCCCGCCTTTCATATTGGCTATTTCAAGCACATCATCACATGCCTTCAAAACATCTGCAAGGATTGTTCACGCATCTTGCTGAGCGAAGACGATAGGGCGCGGTTCTTGCGACAATTGCGACGGCCTGGGATTGACAACTTGAGACGGTCAGGCATTTGCAAGGCCATCAATGAGCAGTGCAAAAAGCAACGACGTTGTGAAGGATGTAAGCACATGCAAGGTGTCATCAAGAAGGCCGGCCCTCTCAAAATCATACACGAGAGATTTCGCTACGTTGGCAAGAAGCCAAGTGAAGAGCACGAAGAATTCAAGGCATCGTTCGAAGAGGCGCTCAAATCCAATGCCGAGCTGAAACAGCACATGAGCAAAGCTCAAGATGATATGAACCCCCTCAAGGTCCTTGAACTCTTTCGGCAAGTCTCACCCAGCGATTGCGAATTGCTCGGCATGGATCCGGTAGAGGGACGCCCAGAAATGTTTTTGTGGCAATTCGTTCCTGCGCCTCCAGTCTGTATCCGTCCATCCGTCACCCAGGATGGTGGTGTCACCGAGGACGACTTGACCGTCAAGCTCACTGAAATCATCTGGACGAGTTCTCTAATTCGCGCAGCTCTTGATAAGGGCACACCCATCTCAAGTCTTATGGAACAATGGGATTACCTACAACTCAGTATCGCCATGTACATCAACAGTGACGTGCCCGGAGTGCCCATGGGTCAAGCACAGAAACCTATTCGCGGATTCTGTCAGCGTCTCAAGGGAAAGACTGGTCGATTTCGGGGCAATTTGTCCGGCAAGCGTGTCGATTTCTCAGGTCGTACAGTCATTGGACCTGACCCAAACTTGGCCATCAATCAAGTTGCCGTGCCTGAGCGCATTGCCAAAACGCTGACCTACCCTGAAAAGGTGACACTGCACAACATGGACAAGATGAAGGAAGCAGTGCTCAATGGACCAGACAAGTATCCTGGAGCCAATTTCTTGATCGGCAAAACGGATGGCTACAAAAAGTTCTTGCGGTTTAGCGATCGTCCAAAAGTCGCGAATGGCTTGAGTGTTGGGGATGTGGTTGAGCGACATGTCGTGGATGGTGATTGTATTTTGTTTAATCGTCAACCATCGCTGCACAAACTCAGTATCATGTGTCATTTCGCAAAAGTAAGACCGTGGCGGACGCTGCGACTAAACGAATGCGCTTGTGGCCCATACGGAGCTGATTTTGATGGTGACGAGATGAACTTGCATGTACCGCAGACTGAAGAGGCAAGAACGGAAGCAATGGTGCTCATGGGCGTCAAAAATAATCTTGTCACACCCAAGAATGGCGAACCCATCATTGCTGCCATTCAAGATTTTATTACGGCAAGTTTCTTGCTCTCACAAAAAGACGCCTTCTTTGATCGAGCGCGCTTCGTTCAGACCGTCAACATGATGTCGGACGCAACGATGCATTTTGACATCCCTCCGCCTGCCATTGTCAAACCCATTGCATTGTGGACGGGAAAACAGCTCTTTGGCTTACTGATGCGACCCAACAAGGCAAGCAATATCCACGTCAATCTGGAAGCGAAATGTCGATCCTACGCAGCGCCCAAAGGCACAACACCAGATATGTGTCCGAACGATGGCTACTTGGTCATTCGCGGCTCACAAGTCATGTGTGGCGTCATGGATAAATCAACTGTGGGTGATGGCAAGAAGAACTCCCTCTTCTATGTCATCCTCAAAGACTATGGACCTGACGAGGCGATTGCTGCCATGTCGCGCTTGGCGAAATTGTGTGCACGCCATCTTGGCAACCAGGGCTTTTCACTTGGCATTAATGACGTCCAAGCATCCAGCGAGCTGCGTGCCAAAAAGGACATGCTTGTTGACAAGGCATACCAAGAATGTGACGATCTGATTCGCACGATGATTGATGGCAAACTCATCACGCAAGCTGGTTGTGATGAAGAGCAAACGCTTGAAGCCAAGATTTCGGGTGTTTTGTCGAAAGTGCGTGATTCTTGCGGTGAAATTTGTATGTCTGGTTTGCCGCATACCAATGCACCCATCATCATGGCTACATGTGGTTCAAAAGGATCTAAGATCAACGTCTCTCAAATGGTCTCTTGTGTGGGTCAGCAAATTATTTCTGGTTCTCGAGTGCCGAATGGCTTTCAAGACCGGTCTTTGCCACATTTCCCAAAGAACTCCAAGAACCCACCGGCAAAGGGATTCGTGCGTAATTCCTTCTACACAGGCCTCTCACCCCCTGAATTCTTGTTTCATGCGATTTCTGGCCGTGAAGGTCTAGTGGATACGGCTGTCAAGACTGCTGAAACGGGATACATGTCGCGTCGACTGATGAAGTCTCTCGAAGACTTGTCTGCGCAATATGATGGAACCGTGCGCAATTCTTCCTCTGGTATTGTCCAATTCACATATGGTGATGACGGTCTAGATCCCACGTATCTCGAGGGCGACGGGTATCCCGTCGAATTTGTGCGAACGTGGAGTCATTGCCAGAACCTAGCGTCTGCTAGTACAGAGCGCCGCCTGATGCCGTTTGAGATTGTATCCATTGCATCACAGAAATTGCGCGAAAAGGCATTCAAGAGCTGTACAGCAGACTTTTTGACGTCTGTCAAGGATTTTGTTGTTAACCGGGTTGCTCAAAAGCTGACGGCCATCAGGAAGGAACGTGGGTTGGAACCTTACGATAAGGCACCTGAAGGGTACAATGCTCGCAAAGCGCTGAATTTCGACAAGAATGCACCCATTGAAAGTGTTCACACGGTGCACAATATTCTGCATGTGACTAGGTCGCAGCTTGTTGACTTTCTCAAGATTTGCCTGCACAAGTATACGATTGCCAAGGTGGAGCCTGGAACAGCTGTTGGTGCTGTTGGTGCGCAATCTATCGGTGAGCCAGGTACGCAAATGACGCTCAAGACATTCCACTTTGCTGGTGTTGCAAGTATGAACATCACCCTTGGTGTGCCGCGTATCAAGGAAATTATCAATGCCGCGAAGAATATCTCGACCCCCATCATCACCTGCAAACTCGTGAATGAAAAGGACGAGCGTTCTGCTCGTGTGGTCAAGGGTCGTGTTGAAAAGACACACTTGGAGGACATCATTTCCTTTGTTGAGGAAGTGTACACGCAAACAAATAGCTTTGTGCGCTTGCAAGTCAATTGGGAGACTGTCACGAAACTGCAGCTTGAGATTACGCTGGATGAGATTCGCTTGGCAATTAGTTCAGCGCCAAAGCTTAAAATCAAAGCACATCGTGTGACGCAGCTAGGCAACAATGAGATTCGTGTCTATGTCGAGCAAGATGATTTGCACGGTGACAAGGAATACAAGGAAATTTACTACAAGCTGCAATGGCTCAAACGCGTCTTGCCAAAGATTGTCTGCAAGGGCATCACAAGCATCAACCGTGCCGTCATCAATGAAACGAGTGTCGGCAGCAAGGAATTGCTTGTTGAGGGGTACGGACTGAAGGACGTCATGTGCATTGAAGGTGTGGTTGGCACCAAGACCAAGACAAATCACATCATTGAGATGAAGTCTGTCCTTGGTATTGAAGCTGCGCGTGCGTCCATCATCACGGAAGTCTCAACAGTCATGAAGTCGCATGGCATGAATGTCGACCCACGGCACATCATGCTGCTGGGTGATGTGATGACTTATAAAGGTGAGATTTTGGGCATCACGCGATTTGGCATTGCCAAGATGAAGGACAGCGTATTGATGTTGGCGAGTTTTGAAAAAACGACGGATCACCTGTTTGATGCTGCTGCCCGGCTGGCACAGGATGCGATTGAGGGTGTCAGTGAGTGCATTATTCTTGGCGTCACTGCACCTGTGGGCACTGGAGCATTCAAGTTGGTCAAGGAGTGTAAGCAGGAGCACACGGCGAAGAAGCTTTGGTTCGACTTGGATGAGTTGCACCGGAAGGCGTAGCAGTAGCAGCAGTATGATAGCAAACATGATGACATACAGTCCAGCTGGAGCGTTGAATTTGATTTCGTGAAGTTGAAAGTGACGCGCAGGGAGACACGCAACGAAGCAAAGGCCACAGAGCAGCAGCAGCAACATCCAGGCAGCAGCACTCTCCATCCTTCTCACCTGCCCTCGACACACCTGCACTCACTCAGCAGATCCTCAAGCAGAACAAAGACAAGAAGACAACACTCACCATCCACGCTAGATCCCCATCATGTCTGTGACGCTCGATGTACGCCATACTCCCCAACCCTGCACCGAGTGCACGCTGACCTGTCCCTGCAGACCCAGGAACTTGCCCAGAAGCTGCAAGAGACGGCTATTGTGGACGCAGCAACCAAGGAAACACAGACACCTGCGAGCAAGGACCCTAGTCCTATTGACGAGTCGCACAGAGTGTATGTGGGTAACTTGAGCTACGCTACCACTGAAGGTATCAACTTCCATCCAGCACGCTGCATGAGAAAAGCATGCTAACAAGACTCAGGGGAGCTCAAGGATCTGTTTGCTCAGGCAGGAGAGATGTAAGTGACTCGCAACACTAGAAAGACACAACTTGAAACCAGTACTAACACATGCACCAGTGCCAGTATCGCCATCCCTGCACGTCGCAACTTTCGTCACAAATCAACTCGTCCTGCTGGTATTGCCTTCATTGGCTACAAGACGGATGAAGAGGCACACAAGGCGATTGAGTCACTTCATGGGAAGGAATTGGGTGAACGCACGATTTCTGTCAAGTTGGCACGACCTTTAAGTGAACGCAAGCCTCGACAGCCACGCGCTCCCAAGGTTCGATTCTCATCTAGCTGTTCTATTGGTTTACTAATACTCAGACTGAGAAGAGCGATGAGACGGACAAGTCTGCAGCTGAGAGTGAGGACAAGGCAGATGTCAATATGCCAGGTCAAGTGGAAGGTCTGGATGAAGGCAAGACTGCAGAGGGTGCTACTTCCACCCCTGCCAAGAAGAAGAAGCCTCGAAAGACTAAAACCAAGAAGACACCTGCTGCCACAACCGAGGGTGAGTCTGAGGAGAGCACCCAGAGTGATGCCAAGAAGGAAAATGGTACAACGACGCCTACGGAAGGTGCTACACCCAAAGATGGATCAAAGGAGGATAAGTCACAGACGTCTGCTAGGTCTCCAAGGAATGCGAGGCAGATTCGTCAGAAGAGGGCATCCTCTCGACTGAATGCTGGCATCCCATCTGAGAAGACTCTCTTTGTGTATGGCTTGACACCTGAAATGACGAGCGAGCAGGTATGTGTCTGCTTCACCTTGCTGCAAGACTAATCAATCTAGTTGAAGGATCTCTTCAAAGAGCATGAGCCAACCGGTGCTCAGATTGCTTTGCGTGATGTCCCCACCTGGCTCATCAAGAAGATGGCTGAACAAGGTCAACAGCGTCTTGGTCGTGGCTTTGGTTTCGTCTCATTTGCTGATAAGCAACACCAGCAGTCGGCACTGGAAGCAATGAATGGTTACAAGCACAATGATCGCGAATTGGCAGTCAAGGTGGCTATGGATGCACCTCCTAGAGCCAGCAAGACTGCTGTTGCTGCTGAGAGTGCTACGGCTGAGAAGGTCGGTGAGAAGGTTGAAGCTGCCACGACTGCCCAAGCAGAGAGTAAGACTGAGAGCAAGGAAGAGACCAAGAATGAAGAGAAGGAGGATGACACGGATGATGTCAAGACAGTGAAGGAGACTGTCCAAACGAAAGCAGCCGAGACTGAAACCTCTTCGGCTGCTGAAACGCCCGGCACAAAGCAGGATGACTAGGCTCCCGTCTTTGGTCAATCCCCCACGACACACGCAAAATGCATCATCATCGTTTTCCATCATCTCATTTCTTTTACTACGAACGTCTCTTTGTTTCACATTGTTTTGCTTGGCACCCCTGACTGTCTCTTACAAAGGCAGAGTCTCTCCTTTTCTCCATCTCATCATTACCTAGCTAGCTTGCCATAAGAAAAATAAGGTGATACCTTTTCCTTTTCCTTACTCGTAAAGGAAGCCAGCCGCAGTAGCCTCCATATCATGACGCGCCAAACTCGCCTCGAATCCTCCACTAGCAGCTCCTCGTGCAAGTCCACTCCTAACGCCACCAACAGATCCACGCGTCTTGGCAACATCACTTGCGAGGGTTCGCATTTGTGTACTCAAGGCCATCATATCACTTAGTAATGTTACCAGCGCCACTTCTCTCGCCGTTTCTTCCTGTTCAGTCTGTAGTGTCGCATCGTTAGGTACGTGCGCTGATTCTGGCAATCGTACAAGAATGGCATTCAAGCGTTGTAAGATACCTGGATCACCTGACAATGTCCCCTGCTGAACAGCATCCACATACCTGTGAAGTAGCTGTAGCCGCGTTCTAAGGACCTGTAATGCATTTTCTTGTGTGATGAGGAATGTACAATCACTCTCTTCGGATGGCGTCAAAATGACATCTGGCACTTGTTTGGAGCGTGTTGCCTCAGAGGCTTCTTCTTTTTTTCCTTGCAGCGTTGCATTGGCAGCGCGAGACACATGATCAACAGCAATACGTTCAGCTTCGTGTGTCACAAGTCGCCATTTGAGACTGCGTATGCTTGTCGTGTCTGTGGGGTCCAGCACTTTTAGAGGGATCTCTGTACCGCTTGCACCAGATTGAAGGGCGGCTGTATCGAGTAGCAGCAAGAGTGAGCAGGTCTCATACTCTGCTTTGACTGCTGCGTGGAAAGTAGATAGAGCGGCAGTCATGCCACTGTTGCTTGCTGCGACAAAGACACCGACTGGTTCTAGCGTTGGAAAGGTCTGCTTGTCTAGAAACATGTCAGCCAACGATACATCCTAGGGCGGTCCTCACATAGCTCAACTTGGGTCTTTAGAAATGCAGAATCAAGCGTTGTTGTAGCTTGTTTGAGAGCAAAGCTGTTCTCAATGGTCATGAGCTGGCCATGTAAGGTACCAAGACATACTCCAATGCATGGATCGCGACTTGCTTGTGCCTGCAGCCGTACGTGGAAATCGCTAATGTTGAGCAAGACAAGTGGGTGTATGGCGATATCCAGCTGTGTAGATGAAGCCATTTCTTTGATGAAGGCCCTCTTGGGCCCTGAGCTGTATTGATCAAGTGCACTAGTAGCCAGACTGTAGTATAGTATGTACTCGATGTCGCGTCGTGTTGAGCGTGCGAGATTGGAGCAAGAGCACAAAACTGCAGCGAGCGCCTCTTCCTCCTCTCCATCATTATACATCTGCTCTCCATACTGGACCCAGTCATCCTTCTCTCATTGCGCACAAGGAGAGGCACGCAAGTGATTCCTCTGAGTCCTCGTGTTTCTGTCATCCTGGTCTCTCGAAAGGGATTGACCGGGGAAACGATAGTTTCGCCTGCTTGACTCTTGGCTGGACCCTTGTATAAGGGCCGTAGACTGACGTTGCTTCTCTTTAATCACTCTGCTTACTGAGGCGGCCACATAAGGGGCGTTTTGCTCTTTCTGGTTCGCATTCTACCAGTACGGAGTTTCTCGAGATATCTACAGACTTTACTGTGTACATATACATAAATATACTGTTGAATCTATTGTGCTTGGCCAAGGACTTGTGTGAGTTCTTCATCAAGTTGTTCTTGCCGCAACAAACCAATCGTCGTCCGCCTATTACGTCTTGCCTTTCGTGCACGAATCGGTGTTGCATCTTGATCCACCAAGGGTACCTGCATATCCAGGCCCATCAACCTTGCATCCACCTTGACTGTTGACAACGCACCTCGCATCGTACCCATCTTACCATTCTCCTGACCAATCACCAACGGTGTCTTTGCCATGGCTCGCAACAATGTTGCTGGTTGTGCCGTGTTGATTTTCGCGCGTGGTGTTTCTTGCAAGATGCTAGAACTTGCTGCAATGGCTGCATCGACTTTACTCAGCTGTTCCACACCGTCACTCAGGATGTCGTCTGGGTTGTTGGGTTTCGCTGCTTGTCCGGTAGACAGCACAGATGCAGTGAGTCCCTTGAGAACACTCCGTGCCGCTGACCATTCCGTCTCAATTTGTTGCAGTCGCAAAGACAACTCGCTAATGCGAATATCTCTACGCTCGACTTCTTCGAGTGGAACGTAATTTGGCATTTCCAGCATACTGCGCAATGCAGTCAATCGAACCTGTAGCTGAGCTTCAAGCATAATGATACTTTGTGCCACCGATCGTACAAGCGGCGCTGCAGCATCTTCAGCCTCTTCAAGCGGGACAAGACTTTCAAGCGATGCAAGAGTCGCTTGTAGTAATTCAGCTAGGGCATCATTCTCCTGTGCGACTTCTTGAACCATGGTGGTGAGTTGCTGCTCTGATTCAGCTTGTAGCTGTAATGCAGCACGCGTATCGTGCTGCATGGGTTGTGCCCTAACACTACCGGATCCGTGGATTCGCATGAGACCGGTCAGTTTACCGCCACGACGACTACCTTGTAGGTTCGTGCTCGACAAGGCCCCATCAAGAAATTGTTCCTTGAGCCGTGCAATTTGTAGATCCCGCTTGCGCAAGTCATTTGCCATCTGTGTTTTGATGTGCTGCAGAGCCAGTGAAACGCGTGATAACTGATCCTTCTGCAACTTCGTCTCCCTTATCGCACCGGCCGTCTCTTGCTTTGCAGCAGCCAAATGGTTCTTGGCAACACCAGCAGCTTGTTCAAGCTGTGCGACACGCGAGGTTAATTTATCATTTTGTTGGCGTAGAGACTCCAAATCTCCCGCATCTTGCCTGACGCGTGTTGTGAGTCGTTCACGCTGTAACTCTTCCCACTCACTACGCTTGAGAAAGTCATACACCAAGTTGATGACGGTGGGCGCGTCTGCTGAATTGAATTTGAGGGCGGCAGAGGCATCGCGTACGAAACCTCGAGCGTAGAGGGACGTGTTGATGTATGAGCGTGATTGAGCAATATTGGCATCATCGCAGAAGCGCGTCTTGCCAAAGGGCGGAGCGGACATGGCTGCAGACAGAGAGAGTGTAGATTGGTCTACTTTGGTCTGCTTCGTCTTGGATGTTTTTGTTTTCGTTTGCGGAAATCAAAGGAAATTGGGAAATGGCAACGGGATTGATACAGTCACAACTAGCTCTCTTCTCTACATCGCCTCCAACCGACGCAAACACTCCTCTGCACTCCATCGCTCCTCGGGCTTCTTGCAACATAATCCTTGTACAATCTCCAAGACACGCGGCACCAATCTGCCTTGATTCTGGGCATACCGAACAGGATTCCCAGACTGTGCCATCATGACACTCTCAATCCCATTTCTAGCACCAGCATAAGGTTGCTCTCCCGTAGCCAGGCACAGTAGTGTCACACCTAACGCAAAGCAATCTGAGGCTGTTGTTGAACCGCCTGCGTCCATTCGTAGCAGTTCAGGCGCAGTTGTATAGTGTGTCCCTGCGATACCCCCCGTCTGCTTATCCGCTGCAAAAGGAGAAGTGGGATCCGTACTCGTCGCTGCTTCAAAATCAGTAAGCTTCAGCGTTCGTTCGTCTCCTGATCCAAATACCAAGAAGTTTTCAGGTTTGATGTCGCCATGCACGAAGCCAATACTGTGCAAGTAAGCGACAGAGGACGCTGCAGAGAGCGCTAACGCTCGCCATCCAACTTCCCCAAAGACTGGTGCATCACGCGCTGCTTCAGTCCTTGCCTCTTCAATCAAACGCCACAAATCAGACTGTGCCCGCTCGAGCAACAACAACGGCGCCTTGTCATCTTCCTTGAGCGCAACAAATCCAGTCAAGTACTTTTGCGCTAGAGGATGTCTGTGTAGATGCTGTAGAACACCCGCTTCCCTGTATAATGCAGCGATCGCCATTTTACTCCTTGGACTTTTCGCAGCGACAGTGTGTCCTGCATACTGCGCTTCCCTCACTGTTGCTTGTGCGCCTTCACCCAAGACTGCGCCGAGCTCAAGCTTCTCCACACAAGGCGTTGAGGCTGCTTCAGCATCCAGAGAGGCCAGGTATTTGTGAATCTCCAAACTCACAACACGTCGATGGTGCTGCGCTTCTTCCCTTTTTTGCTGTAACTGCTGTTGTGCACGCGCCGGGGAGGGATGTGAGACCCAAGAGGTACTGGATAGTTCAGGGGAGGGTTGAGAGGAGGTATCGCTGTATGCGCTTGGACTACCACACTGATAATTGTTGTTAATTTTGGAAGAAGACATGGATGCTGGTGTTGTTGGTGTAGGGTGCGTTGCTATGTGTAGTCTCTGGAGAGGAGGGCAGACATCGGCGTCTTCTGCTTGCTCCATGGATGTGTTTGGTGAGTGTCGATGTGTCTGGATGAGTGAAGTTGACCAAAATTTAAGACTTCAGGAACGACTCCCGATGACTAAATTGACTACATGTATATAGTGTAAGGTGTCTACAGACAGGTGACTATGACAGTATAGGATGGTTGAGGCAGAGATAGATGGAACAACATTGCATTTGGATTGAGACACGACGCGACTATGATACGCAGCATACGAGAGATACATGCCGCAAAGAGAAGATGGGAAAACAGAGCACATACCAACCTGACTAGTGATAGCCAACACCCACACGCCATCGGTCTTCATCATTATTCGAAGCAGACCCACGCCTAGCAGTCGGTGCAGCAAATGGTAAACTTGGCTCTCGCAAACCACCACTACCACCACCTTGTTGCAACGCCGCTAATCCAGCAGATTGATGCGTCGGCATGGCTGCCCGAACAAAGGGTTGTCCAGCACCACTCGGTGAACGTGTTGAAAAGTTTTGCACAGCAGGTGAACGGCGACCGTCCGCTGAGACAGGAGATCCATAGTACCCTTGTCCCACAATCCCCGGAGAATGCGTACGAACCACAGGACTCGCGGGGTTGTAGCGGGCGTATGCCAGATTTTGTCCAGAATGGTTGCTGTGGTAAGAGGCATTATCGTGATCTGCAACGCCGCGTGTGGGTGCAAACAATGCTTCATGCTCACCACTCGGTGAGGCTGGCATGAAACTCGTATTGAGCATTCCTGGTTTCACCAAAGAACTACTGGATCCTGCAAAAGTCGTATGACTCGACATTTCCTTGCTGTACTCATCCACGATATCGCTCTCGCTAAACATCTCCTTACGACCAGCACTACCGGACCTGGAGGATTCAGAGGGGATATGGTCGAGTTCGGTGGTGCTGTCGAGGTTGATTTTGGATTTGAGGTAGCTGTTGCGTTCGTCCTTCATGCGCTGGTAACGGATATCTGGGTTCTTTGCAAAGAGCGCATAGCAGCAGGAGCAGATGATCATAATCAGCAAGATGGTTGCAAAGATGGCGTTGAGGACAAAGAAGATGACACCCATAGCGCCGCGAACGATACCCTTGAGCTTAAAGACATCCGTCAGGAAGAGGATGATGATGGCGTTGAGAGCATTGACACTGACAATGGCGTAATTGAAGATGTTGGTTCGTTTATCCATAAAAGGCTTGATGATGACGACCATCAAGAAGTAGATGACTTCAATGGCAAGGAGCGCACCTGCCTGGAAGTATTGTGATCCTTGGCCTGCACCGGCAATGATACCCTTGAGCAAGAGATAAGCGAGCAAGGGAATCACAAACCAATACACAGCAGCGCGGAACTGCACATACAGGAATCCCCATCGTGAGAGCTGCTTTGGGTCACTGAAGAGGATATACGCTGCATTCTTGTGCAACTCGAGAGATCGTCGTGCAAGGCGAACAACGCGAAACGCAGCATAACCCAGTAATCCAGACATGACCACGAGAATGGCAATGGCCAACACGACACAACCAGCAGAATGACGAACAGTCAGTTCCCAAACACACAAGAGTGTGACGGCCGGGTAGGAGACGAGGACGAGTCTGAAAATCATCCCCTTCAGGACAATCTTCCAGCCTTGACGAAACTCGATAAACTTGTCTTGCGAGAGCTTGCCCTTGCGTGTCAATAACGTGATGATACCCTTGAACAGCAGTAGTGCAAGAACAGCCACACCAATGAGGATCATGTACCAGGAAATACCTGTAATGAAGAGATTGGTGTCTTCGATGCCGGCGACATAAGCAAGTCGATCAATACCAGAAAGCACGTCGACGTTGGCAGATGGGTCTTTTGCAACAGCACGCTTAGCAAGCGACGAACCGACATCTCTGCTCATGAGCGAGTCCATAATGACATCCCGCTTCGACAGCACAATGGTCAACAATTTGCCGCTGTTGAGGAACGTGGATGGTGAGCCGCCAGAAGACTTGATGTACCAGGTAAAGATATCCTGCATCCAACCCACATTGATGATACCAAGTGACCAAGCAAAGTTTTGAGTCCAACTGCGGACAATGGGCGGGTACGTGACTGCAAGTGTGCCAACAATGGCTTGACCTTGGAAATAGAGCAAAAGTGCAACGGCATTGGTAGCGACGTGAGCGGCTGCATTTGGATGCGAGAGACCACTCACAATAATCGAAACGAGGAGTGCAATAGCGGCAATACCAGCCGTTACCCAAGCAACAGCTTCGACGTCCACAGAGCGGCCATTTGTGATATCGGCACGAAGACAAGCGACTTGCTTGCCTGTTGCCGTGTCATTAATGACAACCTTGACCCACGCATCCACATCAGGCACGGTGAAGGCAATGCCTGGGATTTGGCCAATCACATCACTACCCACCTTGACATTGCCACTAGGGTTGATGTTTCCGGCTTCAACGGGACAGAGCTGATCGATATCGCTTTCGCAAGGATCGATGGTGCGTTGAACAACTCGTAGACCGTACGCATAGACTTCGAGGTAGACGACGACGTTTCCGGAGATGATACTTTTAGCAGTGATACTGAAGGAGAGGGTATTGTTGTTTGGTGTGAAGACGACGTTAAATTCGGTCGCAGAGAGGCCCGAGTTGTCCATGCATGTTTGCAAGGCACTCGTCGAGAGTTGTCTTTCGGGGCCAAGGGCGAAGGTACTGCTGGTGAGGCAGAAGAGGAATAAGAGGGCCTGTGAAAGGAGGCGTGTCGCTATCCGCATGTTGGCAGCAGGTGTGATGTTTCAAGTCGCGGCCAGGGAACTTATGTGAGTCTCAAGATTGAGTCTGTAGATAGACGCTTAGAAAGCAGAAGAGGAGATCGCCTCTGGTCGTCTTTTTCAAGCTTTCGTAATTCAGCAGGTGAAGTGTGAGCGCGAGTGGGTGAAAGAGCGGCGGATAGTCGGAGGGAGGTAGCCGGAGATGAGGCCCGGTGTGTGAGGGTAAGGGCGGGTGTTGCGCGTGTGTGCGCTGTGTGTGCCGGGCGAGTGTTGGGTGGAATGGAGGGGGCGTGTTGCTTGGGTTGTGTGTGTTGATGAGATTTTGTGTGTGCGGGCAGGGGCAGCGAGCAGGAGAAAGCGCAGCAGCAGCAGCAGACTTACTTCACTTGGCTCCTCTGCGCTGTAATTTGCAATTTTGCTCATTCACTCGCTGCAGCTGGGCCACTCCTGCCGACTCCTGCTCAGTCACTCTGAGGCAGGAATAGAACAAGCACGTGACTACAGAGCTCATCCTATACTATCTATAGAGTGTACGCCAGACATTGCTGCAGCATTCTTGCACCCTCGTCATGACCAGAGAACCAGTGCCTACTCTTCAATCGTCACCTGCGATGGACTGCAAAGATACCAGTCGTGCTTTGAATGTATCGCTTGTTTTTGACTGAGCTGTCTAGATCTGTACCTGCTGCACATTGAAAGTGCCCATTGGATCACTAAGGGCCTGAGGCTCTGAGGCTCGATTCACATGCCCACAGCAGGAGGACCTGAGAACAGTGAGGAGACTCAGGAGACGCCTGTAGCTATTTGGACTTTTGGCTCGCACGACAGCCACAATGCAAATGACATTGGAAGATCCTCTGGCTCCATTGCAACTTGAGCTTGACAACCTTCACTAGATACTGTGGCTTCCTTGTCTTAGGATTGATTCGTCGCTTGTCCCTGTCAAAGCTACGACAAACAATCATGACCCATTTAGGAGGCGCGCGCTGTACATCACGAGCAGCACGACACTCGCGCTCAATCTCCTGTGAGCCTCCGCAAGGAAGGGAGATCCAGGAGAGTGCCTGAAGAACGCGATGTGAATTTGCGGCCATGATCATAGGCGCATCTTCCTGCCGCCGTCCTGCCGCAAGCTCAACACTCGACCCTGTTGCTGGACTGCAGCGTGTTCTTCTTCCTCACAAGTCAACGGCAATGCTCCTCCACTCTGCTGGGTTCCTACTGTCATCTATCTCTGCAACAACGATCCCTTTTGGCTTCAAGAAGACCGACTCCGTTACAGTTTCAACAGACAGCGCTCTCTCAGGTAAACGAAGTCTCGATGAGACAAGGAGCTGACAATGCACAGTTTCTGCCCAAGTATCCGGGACCAGTAGTACTTCTGTGAACGCTGCGGTCGACGGTACCGATGGTCGCACTCTGGTCACAACAACGACCAGTACCTTCAACCTGAGTACGGTCGTGCCTGTCGTTATCAAAATTGGCACGAAACTCACAACCATTCTACAAGCACCAGCTTACACGCAAAATTCATATGCGTCCATTGAAGACCAGCCTGCATGGGTCAATTCGCAAACCATCGCTGTCCTCGCGCCTGTCATTCCCGGATTCATCAACACCAGCGACCCTATTCACTATGAGCCTTCCATTCAAAAGACTATCCAGTATGCCACTACCCCGAATGGCGCCACTGCTCAACGCGACTTCTCCAATATCGAGCTCGACTTCCATCACCCTGCAGTGGTGATTGATCATACAGACTATATCCAGGCTTCCTATGTGAATCCGAATGTGATGGAGTTGCATTTCACCAACGAGCAAGCTGTCCAATACGCTGCCACGCAATGGCTTCCCGCTGGACAAGCTGCAGTGGTGCTTGTTACATTCTTGCCTGGCTCCGCAGACTATAAGCTGGGAGGCAATACGTATTTCACTGCCGTCAGTATTGCCTGCAATATACAGCAGCTCAAGTGCACAGCACAAGGTATCGACGGCGGGGTAGAATCAGCAGTGAAGCACTTTAGTGCGGAATTTGGCAAGGACGAGGTTCCCCAGGACTCAAACTCAGAGACGGATTCGCAAGGACTGGGCAGATCAAAACCTGTTGTCTCAACCAATGGCCTTCCCGCATGTGCTTTCGGAGACGACTTTGATGAATGTCTTGATCGTCAATTGGGCTACATCACCCTCAAAAAGCATCTCGCGGCTGGTGTCGATAAGACCGTGACCGGTGCGACACGCAACGACAAGAGCCACCCTGCCGACAAGCGACATTCAGCGAAACGAAAAATGATTTCCAATTACAAGAAGTCTCGTCGAAACAAGAAGTTTCGCTCGTTGTTGAAAAAGGTCTTCCGCAGCATCAAGAACGCCATGCAGAAAAACGTCATCGAGCCAGTCAGGAAACCGGTGCAATTAGTGCAGAACGCAATTCAGGAGTCTACAACAATTAACAAGACTTTGAAGACAAAAACGTCATTTCAATTTCCTTCCACCCATTATTCGTACGACAAATCGCCTTTCAATGGCAAGGCCATCTCCATTGTGCAAGATGATGACTTGAGCGCATGGTGTGTAGACTGTTCCACCTCAGGCTCCGTTTCAATCTCTGGTCGCCTTGCTGCTAACCTCATTGACGGCTTTACACAGGCATATATCAGCCTAAATGGCAGCATTGCTGCGGAGGTCAATCTCGGCATAGACGCCAAGGGACCACTCACAAAGACTTACAAGAAGCAGCTTGCTGAAATCGGTGTTCCTGGACTCAGTGTGCAGCCCTTTTACCGCGTTGGTCCAGCTTTGGTCTTTGAGGTCGAAGCAGACCTTGGACTTGAGTTGCAAAGTCAGTTCTTGGCCGGTGCTCGCGTCGAAATCAACAACTTTGAAGCTCGTGTTGATGCTCTTCATTCGAGCAAGAGCTTTGGGCGCAATGTTTCGCCAGTCCTAACCAAGCGCTTCGAGGCGAAGGGTCAAGTGAAGGGATCTGTGGATATTGGTCTACCAGTCAGTATTGCATTCGGCATTGACGTCTTCAGCGGAAAGTTCAAGCGCGACATTGCTCTAGTTGACCAGCCAGGTGTCCATTGGGATGCTGCCATTGCCTTGTATGCTTCTGCCACTGAAGCGCCAAGACTTGTTACCATCAATGGCTGTAAAGGTGTCGACACGAACGTTAATCTCTTCAACAAGGTCTATGCGGTCGTTGGCACCATCAACTATCCTATCTTTGACTTTGCAGTCCCTGTCGCTGAGTCCTGTTTCGAAATCGCAGGCGTTCAGGATGCGCCATCCAGTGCAACTGTGCAGCAAGAAGCACCAAATACACCATTCTCAGCCAATCCTGCTGAGGCGACTCCAACATCCACGGCGGACGGTAGCGGCACGGTCATGGTCGGCCAGCTTGAACATCTCACAACCTTCAATTCAAGCGATTCTCTTGATGGCTACGCTGTACCCACCGACCTTCTCAGCAAAGCTCCAATCTCGTCGGCAGCAGCTGGTGTCAATCTCACTGACCATGAAGTACTCGTTCGCATCGTCAACAAGGATAACCAGCTTTTATGGCTCAGCGATCCGGATGGCAATTTTTACCTGGCGGAGATGTCCAAGGCTGATGAAAGTACCGGGCTCATTGACTTCATCTCGCACGACGAAGCGCTTGTCTTTGCCAATCCACGAGAGCAAGACATGTTCTTCTACGACGACGAGATGAACAAGCTCGGTGTTTCTCGACTCAGGACAAACATCGATTCCCTGACTCCCAAAACGGCAACTCTTCTGAGCTTTCAGTCCATCGACTATGGCGATGATTCATCGGCTATCGGTGCCTTTGACCATCAGCAAAACATGTTCTATGTCATGACATGCGACATCCCGTCTCGAGGGACGATGCTCTTTGTGGCAAAAGACCCAACGTCTGGTGCAAAGACACTGATGAGTGATGCCGTGCAAAACAGCATCACGGGAGGCAAAGTCACCGACTGCTACCATCTCGACTATTCGCTTGTTAAGGCTACGGACGTCTGATGTCTTTGTCAAGTCCGTCGGGCACATATCTAATCAATTTTCTCAAGCTTCTCCGTACATATCCTTCATGATCTATCTCTTGATCTGATAAAGCTTTCGGCATTTGTCGAAGTCATTATGCTAGCCTGTAGGACCTATGGCTGAGAGATATGAGGATGACAATCGTAAAATACAACATTCCCCTTTGCATTGACGAGATCGTAGTTGATGATTGACTTGCTGCTTCTCTTGCTTGACACAGTCGTCAAGGTCAATTCGCGTGTGTCTGTACGCCTCGTCGAACAGAGGGACATCAAGTCTGTCAGCTCGCAGGCATTGTCAGGTGAGATGGCGACCGCGTGAATCATCACTTTGAGATCTCAAGACTCAACAGCATCGATTGCCAAACTATGCACGTGAAACAATCGTGCAATCTTTATTCAGCAGAGTACCTGATTCGTGATGGGCATCTGGACAAACTGCGTATGTGATTCGGATTCTCAATGCGTACTGACTGCCCGTCGACGAGCTTTTAGCTAAGCTGACACAGTCTCGTTTGCTTGTCGTTGAGCTTCAAGACTGCCAATCTACTTCGTCGCGCAAGAGACTGGCCGACAGCCGTTTCCGGCGTCTTGTGAGAGATACTTCTCAGCTCAGCGAGTAGGTCGGCGCGTGCGTATCAGAGCACAATTGTGATATAGCAAAGTAGCCGTGTGTAGTAGTAGTCTTCTGGCCGATTGACAGGGAATCAAGTCATATTGATCGGAGTCGACTCGACACGAGGAACTGGAATGTAAATTCGGCCTTAGCGTCGTATTTGACTTGTACTGGACGCGACGGCCGATACGCGTGACCACAGTTGACGACGCACGGGCGGGCCAAGGCGGCACGGCACGGCAAGGTACACCGTACGCCGCGGTACGCGTCGACATTGACTCGACAAGTATGTCAGACCATGATCACGAATCATATGATTCATATCTGGCAAACCCTGGCGACCTGGCCTCATAGCTATAGCTACGCAGAGCCACTATAGTCTGAGTGACTAGACATGGTAGACAAGCAGTGACAAGGTCACTGACAAGCGCTGGTGCTCGAACCGAACGGTTCGAACGGTCGTCAACCTTGTCTCAGGGACTTCTAGCCTGCATATTGAGTGCAGACTCAGTGCAGACTCAGTGCAGAGTCAGTGTCAGTGCAGAGTCAGTGTCAGACTGTCAGTGCCTAGGCTGCAGTATCTTCAGCAGCAGTAAGCCTGGCTGATCACGAGCCAGCATCGTGATTCGTGAATCGTGAGAGGGATCATGGATGTCGAGTTTGCTTAAGCGCGACTCCTTCCAATTCAGATCCATCACTTTTCGAATTCCAGGACTCTGAGGCTCTGCCGCTCTGGAGTCTGGGCCTTTGAAGTTTGAAGGTTTGAAGTTGGCAACTTGGCACACGCTTCGTGCATCGTGACTCGTGACTCGTGAGTCGTGACACGAATGACACGATCCGCCAGGACCGTCAATCACTGAATGACATTCATTGAACAGTGGTAGTGCTTCGTGAATCGTGAATTGTCATATCGTCAATCACAGAAGGCTTTGAGCTTATGGAGTCGTCCAGTCAAGACTCGGGGCACATTAGTGTGATATCAACTTATCTCATGAATCATAAGACTCTGATAAGAGACTCAGAGTCAGAGTCTCAGGGATCCTGTCAAATCGTGTCAATGAACATGCTCGCTTGTTTGCAACTCGCACGCAAATTGAGGTTTACTAGGTTACCAACATTGGACTCTACCGTGGACCGTGGTGTCCCGGACTCCCGTTGAAATCATCACAAACAAACACACCCCAATTTGGATGCGCGTTTCCAGTTCTAGTCATCCACTGCCGGCGACGTGAAAGACTGCCTGGAATTAACATACTTGACGGGCAATGTCAGGCAATGCCAGCCCGTCCGACCAGGCTCGAGCTCAATCTCCCCCGACCCCGGGTCTCTAGCGGCCAGGCGACTGAGGCGAGACACCGGAGAAGGCACAGACTGCAGCCGAAGAATCTCATGTATATATCTATGGCCATGGCCACCCGATGGCAAGCTCAACTGTCTCCTCCATTGTTGAAGCGCAGCGTCTTCTACTCTTGCACAAGTGACCGGCAATGCTTGTCGTCTCTGCAGGGTTCCTGCTATCGCTCGTCTCTGCAATAACGATACCCTTTGGCTCCAACAACACCGGACTTGTAACAAATTCAACAGGCAACGCTGCATCAGGTAAACGAACACTCAATGAAACAAAAAGCTGACAATGAACAGTCTCTGTCCTGGTCGCTGGAAGCAATGGGACTTCCGCAAACGCTGCGGTCGCCGGTATTGGTGGCACACCAGTGATTGAGATAACCACAGTGACCGTCCCCTTCGACCCGAGTACCGTTGTTCCTGTCATTATCAAAATTGGCATTGAGTTTACCACCATTTTGCAAGCGCCAGCGTACACACAAACTGCATATGCTTCCAGCGAAGACCAGCCTGCATGGGTCAATCTGCAGACCATCGCTGTGCTTGCGCCTGTAATTCCCTCGTTTATCGATACCAGCGACCCTGTTCATTTCGAGCCTTCCATTCAGACGACCATTCAGTATGCCACAACTCCGGAGGGCGTCGCTGTGCAACGCGATTTCTCCAACATTGATCTTGATTTCCATCACCCGGCAGTGGTGATTGACCATACAGATTACATTGTGGCTTCATATGCAGGCCCGAATGTGATGGAATTGCAATTCACCAATGCGCAAGCCGTCCAATACGCTGCAACACAATGGCTTCCCGCTGGGCAAGCCGCAGTGGTGCTTGTTGCATTCCTGCCCGGCTCGCCAGACTACAACCTTGGAGGCAATACCTACTTTACTGCCGTTAGCATTGTTTGCAATATCCAGCAGCTCAAATGTACGGTACAGGGTATCGATGGCGGGGCTGAATCCGCGGTGAAGCACTTTGATGCTGAATTTGGCAAGGACGTGGTACCCCTTTACTCAGACACCAAGACGGGTTCAAAGGGCCTGGGTACATCGAGACCTGTTGTTTCAACAAACGGTCTTCCCTCGTGTGCTTTCGGGGACGACTTTGATGATTGTCTTGATCGTCAACTGGGTTACATTGACTTCAAGAGCGATCTGGCAGCTGGTGTCAATGAGATTGCACCCGGTGCGACCCTTGATGACACGAGCTTCCTCCTCGACAAGCGCGACTTTGCAAAAAGACAGATGATCTCCGACTATAAAGAGTCCCGTCTGAACAAGAGGTGTTGCTCATGGTTCAAGAAGGCCTTCCGCAGCATCAAGAACGCTGTGCAGAGATACGTGGTTGAGCCAGTCAAAAAGGTGGTGCAGGTGGTGAAGAACACGATTCAGGAACTCACATCAATTGACAGAACCCTGGAGACCAAAAAGTCATTGCAGTTTCCTCCCACCGATTACACCTACGACACGTCGCCTTTCATTGGCAAGGCCATCTCCATTACGCAAGGAGATGACTTGAGCGCCTGGTGTGTCGACTGTGGCACTTCGGGTTCAGTTACCATTGCTGGCCGCCTTGCTGCCAACCTCATTCAAGGCTTCACACAAGCATATATCGGCATAAGTGGCAGCATTGCCGCCGAGGTTAACATCGGTATTGATGCAAAGAAGGCATTCAAGAGGACGTACAAGAAGAAGCTTGCTGAGGTTGGTGTTCCTGGACTCAGTGTGCAGCCCTTTTACCGCGTTGGTCCAGCTTTGATCTTTGAGGTCGAAGCCGACTTTGGCCTTGAGTTGCAAAGTCAATTCTTGGCCGGTGCTCGCGTCGAAATCAACAACTTTGAAGCTCGTGTTGATGCTCTTCGGTCGAGCAACAGTTTCCAGCGCAACTTTTCGCCAGTCTTCACCAAGCGCTTCGAGGCCAAGGGTCAAGTAAAGGGATCTGTCGATATTGGCCTACCTGTCAGTATTGCATTCGGTATTGATGTCCTCAGCGGCAAATTCAAGCGCGACATTGCTCTAGTTGAGAAGCCAGGTGTACATCTGGATGCTGCCATTGCCTTGTATGCTTCTGCCACTGAAGCGCCAAGACTTGTTACCATCAATGGCTGTAAAGGTGTCGACACGAACGTCAATCTCTTCAACAAGGTCTATGCGGTCGTTGGCACCAGCAGCTATCCTATCTTTGATTTTGCGGTCCCCGTTGCCAAATCTTGTTTCCAGATTGCGGGCGTCGAGGATGCTCCGTCAAGTGCAACCGTGCAGCAAGAAGCGCCAGACACACCGTTCGCGGCTGATACTGGGCCTCAACCTCAGGCAACGACTGATGCCGCTCCTCAACCTCAGACATCGACTGATACTTCGCCTCAGCCTCAGCCTCAGACAACGACTAATCCTTCGCCTGAACCCCAGACAACGACTAATCCTTCGCCTGAGCCCCAGACAACGACCGAGCCTGCGACCCAGTCTTCGTCTCAAGTATCTGCTGAGGCCTCACCTGAGCCACAACTTCCAGTAGCAAAGAGGCAACAGCAAAGTGCAAGCGGTGCGGCACCGGCCCCGTCATCTTCGGCTGGAGGTGGCGGCACGGTGACTGTCGGCCGACTGGAAGATCTCACTACATTCAATGCGAGTGACTCTCTTGATGGCTACACTCTGCCCACCGATCTTCTCAGCAAAAGTACGTTCAACTCTTCGGCCGCAGCTGGTCTCAACCTCACTGCTGATGAGACACTTGTTCGCATTGTCAACAAAGACAACCAGCTTCTCTGGCTCAGCGATCCGGATGGTAACTTCTACCTAGAGGAGGTGGCCAACGCTGGTCAAAATGCCGGGCTTATTGACTTCTTCTTGGATGACGAAGAACTCATCATTGCCAATCCGCGAGAGCAATACATGTTCTTCTACGACGATGAGATGAACAAGCTCGGTGTTTCGCGACTCAGGACAAACATCGATTCCCTGACTCCCAAAACGGCAACTCTTCTCAGCTTCCAGTCCATCGACTATGGCGATGGTGTGTCGGCTATCGGTGCACTCGACAACCAGCAAAACATCTTCTATGTCATTACCTGCGACATCCCGTCTCGAGGGACGATGCTCTTTGTGGCAAAAGACCCAACGTCTGGTGCAACCACACTCATGAGTGATGCCGTGCAAAGCAGCATCACGGGAGGCAAAGTCACCGAATGCTACTATCTCGACTATTCGCTTGTCAAGACTACGGGCGTCTGATGCTTCGTTCAAGTTCGTTGGGCATTCATCTAATCTGGATTCTCAATCTTCTCTATACATATTCTTCATATTCTATATCTTAATCATGATTGGGTTCTCAGCATTCGTCGTCGTCATGCTAGCCCTGGGGTGACTGTGGCAACTACATCAGGCTCGAATCATGTTGAACAGTTGAAGCAATTGCAAGCTTGTGAAGATGTGCAGTGGTGACTGACAGCCATGACTGGCTCGACACTGCACAGACTAAGGCCTCATATTTGGATCGTAGGTGTCACAAGACAATTGAACTTCGAAGCCAATGCACTGAATGCAGGTCATCGGCGCTGCAGTTCTAGAGCCGGCCTCCTTTGTGGCCGTTGCCAATCAGGAGCGCGACGACGCGCGTGATTTCGTGTTTCCTGCGGCCTGCCTCCTCGATTGTTCGCGTGCGCGCTTTGTTGACATCCGCAACGGCGCGCTGCTGTTGAACTGCACTCCTCGCTCCTTGTCGTCATCAGTATCCTGCAGCTAGCTAGGAGTCTAGCGCAACCTTGTAGCTACCGCTCAGCTCTGTCTAGTAGTAGCTCTCAACAGCACAGCGTCTGCTGTAAAGCTTAGAATCTTCAATTGCCTCGGTCTACTGAATACGCTATTTAATACTTCTGTGTTACATCGAGCCCGCTTAAGCTTGTTCTGGCTAGTTTCAATCATAAACGAGTACATCTCCGAAGATTCTCCTGGCGAGCTGTACGATCGCAGGCCTGAGCGTTACTCGAACAGAGTGCCATTGCCCAAGGGCGTGAATTGAGCTCGAGAAAGCTTAAGGCTTCGGCCATCGTCATCGGCTGCGGCTGCGGCTAGAGTTCAAAGCCGAGACATCGGAGTGAAGCTTTAATCTTCCCATCAACTCCTCGTGGGCTTCACCCACACAGTGCGCACTTCCCCTGCACAACTGCCTGCACAGTGCACACTGCACTCACACTTGCACACAAAAACAAAAAAGGTCCCTGGCTACCTGCGTCTCCTCCCACGCACAGGGCCTGCACCTCGCCTTCTCACACCAGCCAACTCACGTCCCCGGGTATCTTGGACAGACGCGTTCTACCTTCAGGACCCAACACACTCTTTTACCGCAAACCTTCGCGGACCGACACTCTTTTACTACCTTGCCTTCAGGTCAGTTGACACAGACCAGGACCTCTTCTTGACAGTCTCTATCATTGCGCAACGTGTGACAACTCGGGAAGTTCTCACATCTTCAGTATGTCTGTCAAGGCCGAGTCCATCAGCAACAGAACGCGGACGCCAGCGCGGAAGCTGCTTCTGTCGCCTATAGACCTGACGCCGCCCTCGTCTACCAAGAAGCGCGCACTGGGTGATTTGAGCATCAACATCCCTCCGCGGCCGCACTCTGTCCATGACTTTACCACGCCAGAGCACCCGAATCAAAACAAAAAGCACCGAAAAATCGATGGACAGCGCTCGGCACCGCTCTCTGCTGAGCCTTTCCAGTCAACAACAAAACGCGTCTCGGCGGATGAGGATGCCGTATGGGGTCCAGAAGTTGAGGCCGCATTCATGGATGGTACGAACACTTTTCAAAACAAGCACTTCTAACAGCAGCACTTCGCAGAATGCCTAAATTAGGTCGCCGGAAGGTAGAAATTCACGGCAAACCATGTGGGCGCAACGAGTTGATTGCTGAGTACATCTTTCGGCGTACTGGCAAAACGCGAACAAGGAAGCAAGTCTCTTCACACATTCAGGTCCTCAAGCATCTTCGACGCGACGATGCACTCTTCGTAGCGCTGGTCGCTGACATCCCAGGGGCGGGGGAGGACCCGACTGCAGAGTATGACGTGGAGAAGCTGCTGTCATTGTCTCCCACGACCACCATTCCTACGCCTTTTTCTGCTAAACCACTACTCAGTGCGCGATTGGACCAGACGTCTCCATTGTGCCAGGTGACTCGCGCACGCACGCCTGTCTTTGCACAGGACAATGTCAAAGTGGTTCGCGTCGAGGACTTTTGCATCTGGGCAACGTGCAAGAAGCCCGAGGATAAACATGCCGAGACCTTTGCCGTTTACACAAAGCTACAGCAACCTGTGCGGATAGGTGTGTCGCCATTGGAGGAGCTCTTCAATTGGCCGTCCCGCTTTCCTACACTCTCTCAGATGCTCGAAGAGCCAAGCGGTGCACAGTCGCCAATTTTCAGGATGCGTGCTGGTTTGTTATTGCCTAGATCACTTGATTTGGCAGGCGAAGCGCAAGTTGTACTGAGGACCCATCTTGCCCTTGCAGCGCAGCTGTCTGATGCGCGTGAAGAATGGACTTGCACGACGCGTGTCTATTCAATGGGCAACAGGGTGCTTGAACTTAAACAGCGCGTCACAATGGATATGGAGGAAGCCCGCGATGATGTGTCTGGCCTGATGAGACGACAAGTCCACGCCAGAGCTTCTGTTCCGTTTGCGACTGATTTTTGGGCAGCGTTCCTCTCTGGCTTGTCTTGCACCGGTATCAGGGAAGATGACGAGGATGAGCGAGCACGCAAATTTGAGCGTGATGCTGAGATTGCTATTGCTGGTGTGACCATGACACAGCAAATTGGTACCATCGAGACAGCGCTCGAGCCTAGTCGTCCAATTTGTTTGCTCTTGTGGGAGTTTGACTTGAGTACTGGATCGCGTCCTGGAGAAACAACTGTGACACGCATTGCCGTACCAAAGAAAGCGACGCAACCCATTCGTCCAGCACTCATGGTTAGATCTGCCTCCATGTCAAACACCATTCCACGCGTCAAGCCTGTCAGGCCACGCATGCTACCTGCAGGGGCGCATCTACAGCGCAGCTTCAGCTTAGCCTCTGTCCCATCGCAACCCGCAAAACCGCGTGAGACGGAGTTTATTGCCTACCATGGTCCACCGGATGCTGTCCGCCCTCGCTATTTACCCACTACATCGCAACCGCGCATACAAGCGCAGGCATATCATCAACCACACCGAGCACCGCCGCCTGCCAGGTTGCAAAAAGCGCAGCAGCTGCCAAGTGCGCCTCCGCATCAAGTGGTGAGTCAACTCGAGTACTATGCTGGCCATTATGATGAGATGCCTCTGAGCAGTCCTGCGAATCTAACCTATAACCCCATGTCGCAGTATGCGTCGACACAACCGCCTATGCATCTTGTTGCTGGTGCGCCTGGTGCTGTGGTCAATGGCGGCGCACCGCCCATGAGCCGTTCGTTCAGCGCACCAACTTGGCACCCGAGTCCTGTTGGTTCCAACGTGGAGACTTGGGATGGCAATTTTATTGACTGGACGTTGCCTGAATCAGCTGGCTACCTACAGACTGACTTTCAAATTGCTAGCGACGATTGTTTCGGCACAGTCTCCACTGCGATGACTACGCCACAGCTTTGTCCGCCAGAGATCCCTTCATCTGTCGCACCGGATGTATTTTTGGTGAAGCCAAGGCCTGCACCGCCATCACGGACAGCGTCTGCTACACCGGCTTCGCTGAGCCTCTCTGCACCTGTGGCGGACTACGACGATGGCATGCCACGTCTTGGCTTCTTTCCTTTACAGCACTAGGGTATCTTGTCCTTTTCTCCTTCTGCTTTCCTTTCGCTCGAGGCTCTTGCTTTCCATATCTCTCATCTGCTAGTTGTAGTCTCCATTTTTTGCCCATCTGATTTTCTGATTTTATGACGAGAGCAGAAGTCGACAGAGTGCAGCACACAACACAGACTTGGAGGCAGGCATGAGGAAGAGTTCAAGCGCAGGGCATGAGTCTGGCAATGTCTACAGACCAAAACGCGGTCCTGTAGCGAAACTACAAATGCCACCATCCCGGCTTCGCAGTGTGAGTGTGGAGAACTTACTAGCGAGTGTGGATCAAGTGCCCAGTGTCCGCAAACGAACGCCTGCTGTTGCCTTTGCGGGCGCTTCACCACTCATACCGAAGGATAAGCGTGGACAGGCTGGTTCAAGCTATGCGAGTGGCTCTGCTGCTGGCGTCGGTGCGCGACAATCACAACCCCAGCGCACGACGAAAAACTCGGAAAAGGTGGTCTTTATCCCAGAGACGGATGGCGTTACAGGACCCGATGACTCGGATGATGAAAATGATTCACCGCCGCCGAATGCGAGTGGTGAGGAATCAGCGAGGCCTGCATTGAAGCCGAAACGATCCGTCTCTGAGCGCTTAACAAAAGAGCATCGTGAGGAGCGTCATTTACCTCGTGTCACGGCGTATTGTATTGCCGATATGTTTAGGCTTGCCAAAACTGCGACGTTTCTGAGGGAGAAGCATCATGTCAAGCCGAGAATATATGATGACTTGTTGTATGCGGCCTACTCGCTACCACTGCTGAGCGGCGATGAAGAAGGTTGTCGCGTACGCAGTGGACCGCCGCTCAAAACATCAGAGGGAGAGAACATCCTGGATAGACAGATTGATGCGACAGAGAGACGCGATCATGGTGATGAATTCATCGATGCACCGTCGAGACTGTCGACTTCCAATGAGCCACATGTGCAAGATGCGGAACCATTCACATCAGATCAGGTGTATCTCGAACAGCATGAAGAGGCTGTGGCTACAGAAGATTTGCCTGACCAGGCTGAAGCAGAATCAAAGGAGCGCGCCAAATATATCAATCGACGGGGCTCTAATCCAACAGCAGCTGATCTACCAGCCATGTACCAGTGCGCTGAACTCTTCATCCTCTCCTACGGCGTCGTCGTCTTTTGGAACTTTTCTGAACGTCAGGAACGTAACATCCTAGCAGACTTAACATTCGCTATGGATCGGACGCTGATGAGTAGACCTTTGCCGGACCGTGATGTCGAGACTGAAGAATTCCATTTCGAGTACTCGCCGAATACACGACGTCCGCGTATTTTCAATGACATGATTACGTTGCGTTCTGCTGATCACTTCATCAAAATGGCCATGTCGCACGCGATTGCGCAGTCTGTCAAATTGTCGTTGTTTGAAGGACGCATGGATGATAGTATGGCGGCTGCTGCGCATGTTCCTCGCAAATTGGCAACGACAGGAGAACTGAGCATGACCAAACCGCAAGTGATGCGCATGTCAGGTCAGCTATTCAAGTTGAGGGTGGACGTAAATCTTTCGTCCAACATCCTGGACACGCCAGACTTCTTCTGGGAGTCCGAACCAACACTCATGCCGCTCTACTCGGCTGTGCGCGATTACCTGGAGCTCAAGGGACGCATTGTGCTGCTCAACTCAAGGACGACGGTGTTGCACGATATGATCAGCCTGCTGTCTGACAGTATTGCAGATGACACCATGACGAAGATTACCTGGATTGTGATTTTGCTGATTGCCATCAGTGTGGTGGTGACGACGTTCGAGGTGGTGCTGAGGTTTGCCCTGATTCAGCGTAACAGGGGCCATGCTTGATGTCAAGTGCTTTGTCTTGTTCTAGCGTCTGCCGTAGCCTGCACATCCATTCATCTACTATCTACTATCCGCTACTGTACTTCTGCCCCTTGCTCGTCCCTGCTGCGTGTTTAGATTTTACCCGCGACGACGACGACGACGACACAAGAGCACAGACAGCAGCGACGCGACCCGGCATCTAGCACGACCCGGACCACATCATCAGCTTCCTGTCCACACTTCCATGCGCTACATGTGAGCATGCCAAGATTGCGTTCCAACTCTTCCACATCCAGCCAGCCAGCCCAACAGCAAGGCGACGGCAGTAGCATCACCAATTCATCCGGCTCCAAGAAGACACTTCGTGAGAAGCTCAAGAAGATTGGCCCGAAGAAGCATCACGACCACTCGCCTACTTCGTCGCGTCACCCGCAAGTCGCGCAACCAGGGGAGTACGGCGATAACATCCAACGTCGATCTGTGAGTCTGGGTATTGAGCGCGCCCCACCCATGGCGCCAGACTTGGGTTCACTGCATGCAGCGACCATGCAACGTACAGCGGGTCTCGTCCCGACAAGTATCTCCCTCTCATCACCAGCGTCGGGAGGCGATACAGTGACGCCTGATCGCGGTCGTCCTGCAACACCGCGTTCAAGACCATCATCGCCCTCACGCCCACGCACCGGCGATGTCAAACGACCTGCATCTGGAGTCTCCCAGCCGGCACTGGCAGATCCTGTGCTATCCAAGCCGCCAACACTACAAGATATGCGCAGTCATGTCACCCCTGTACGGCCCATTGAACCGACGCAACGCTCAGAAGAAGCGTATAGCGAGTCATCGCCGCCGATCATGCCAGGTGGCCAAACACCCGGTAGTGCAGGCAGTCTACAACCTGCTGGTGGACATTTCGCATCTGCTTCGAGTATGGCTACATCGAGTACAGCTGGTGGATTCTTGAGTTCAGTGCTGAATGTGGCACACTCTGTGCTTGGCACGCAGCCCCATGAAGACCACTCGACACCTTCCAAGACAACAGGTGATGCTTCCTTCGGGGACTCTCACGTGCTTGACGCTGAGAAATCTGCACAGGATCAGACACTATCGCCACCAGCGAGGTCATCGACGCTGCCTCCTGGTAATGGTCGTGTCGCTCGCATTGCAGAGGAAATCTCACCAAACAACTCACTAGAACCCACAAAGAACAGAGAGATGCGATCTGGTAGTCTGATGAGCCGTCGACGTCGTGAATCCAATGCGTCAGCGATCTATGGGCCTCATGAAACGACTGGACAACCACAAAAGATCACAGGATTTGCTGTTGCATCAAATAAGCGGAATCGTGAATTTCACGCCACCTTTCGCAGTGTGCCTGAGGGTGACTACCTACTTGATGGTGAATCCCCGCTGATTTAGAGTTATGCTAATGCTAGATTATGGCTGTGCTTTACAAAAAGAGATTTTGGTGCACGGTCGTATGTACGTCTCGGAAAGTCACATTTGCTTCAACTCCAACATCTTCGGTTGGGTGACCAATGTATGCTGCCAGCTCATCTCTATCCTGCTAATGCTAGCTCGTGATTGCCTTCAACGACATTGTTTCGATTGAAAAGCGCTCGACTGCTGGGATCTTTCCAAATGCTATCCAGCTTGCTACACGGTCTGCTAAGCACGTTTTTGCTTCGTTCATCTCTCGTGAGACCACTTACGAGCTCATCATCAGCATTTGGCGCCTGACACATCCTGCCATCCAGACAACTCCCCATGGCGTCGAAATTGCACCAGTCGAGGATGAATCAGATGACAACAGTACGAACGGTTCTGGTGACGAGGATGATGAACACTCTGACAGTTCCGTGCAAGATAGTGATCATGAATTTGCGGTAGAGGAGGATACCATGTCTCGACACAGTAGTTCACCCATGCTGACGACTACCTCACCACAGCGGCCAGCTGCTTCAGAGAAGGGTGATGGAGGAGACGCACCGGCTGCTGACTTTCCTGGTCCTCGCGAACATGCGCCGACTGAAGCTCTAGGATTGGGCGATACTAGTAAATTCCCAAGAGCGCTCATTGACCAAACTGTCGATGCACCTCTGGGTCAAGTATGCCAGTTGTTGTTTGGGCCAGACGCCGCTTTTATGAGGGACTTTTTGGAGCAAAACCAAAAACTTCTTGATGTCAAGGTTGCTGGGCTGCCAGAGCCTGGGAAGGGCAAATCACGCAAGATCTCCTACGTGAAGCCACTATCTGGGCCTATTGGTCCTAAACAGACTCGTTGCCTCATCGATGATACGGTCGATCTGTATGACTTTGACAAGGCCGTACAAGTGACAACGAACACTACAAGCCCTGATGTACCGAGTGGTGATGCGTTTGTCATCAAGACGCGCGTATGTTTGATGTGGGCGCCGCGCAACGGTACGCGTGTCGTTTGTCATTGTAATATCGAGTGGTCCAAGTCTTCATGGATCAAAGCGCCCATTGAAAAGGCATCGACCTCTGGACAGATTGATTACTGGACACAGCTGGTGGACGCTGTACGCAGTGAAGTATCGAGTGGCGTCAAGCGAAAACGTACCAAGAAGAGTACAAGGCCTCGTGGCAAATCTGCAGCAGACGAGGAAGGACAGGCGCCTTCAACAAACGCAAACGCAGCAGGTGATATCAATGCGGGTCCTTTGTCAAGGTTTTTGGGGCTCTTGTCGCATATCAATTTGACTGTTTTGTTGGTGGTCCTCTTGCTCGGTATGATGTTCACCATGTTTCGCATGCAGCGTTCCATTCACGCTCTTTCGAGACACGGTCGCTTGGGTGGTGAGGGTGTGCCACTTGCTTCGTCAGATCGCTGGGCGAGAGAAGAAGGAGACTTGTGGCAATGGCTCTCGAGCAGGACTGGCGCGCAATCAAATACAGGCGAACGCGCGCCTGTCACAGATTTGGCTGGGATGCAACTGCAAGAAGCTATTGAGCAGGAACGTATTCGTCTGGCCGTTCTGATGCAGGCTGCTGAGATTGCGAGCAAGCAGAGTAAGGGGAGGTGAAGATGTGACTGTTGAAGATTGAATTCTGTAGATGCCAAGTTTAACGATGCGACTGCAACTGCAACTCCACACAGAACTAGCTCAACTTGGCGCAGGCTCGCCAATCTGGATCCAGTGCGCATGTCGAGGCTATCAGAGACTGGCAGGCGCTCTGATGGCCAGCCTCCGCAGCGCAATTCGTTCGATGCTGTTCTGTCTGGAGAGGAGGATGACGCGCACAGCAGGCGTAGCTCGGCATCAGAGACGGACCACATCCCATCTGCAGCGCCAACGAAAGCACAGATCCATCGCATACTCGTGCAGAAGCTAGTCATCAATGCACTCCTCGTTGTTGCTTGGTTCACATTGAGTATGGCACTTTCGCTCTACAACAAGTGGATGTTTAGCAAGCATCCAAACAACAACGGTCGCGACAACCTCAACTTTCCCTTCCCGCTCTTCACAACTTCTGTCCATATGGTTGTGCAGTTTCTGGGTAGCTGGATGGTGTTGCAATTGCTGCCACGCTTCAAACCGCCAAAGAGCCACAGCTTGACACTCAAAGACTATGGTACACGTATCGGACCGTGCGGTGTTGCGACAGGTCTCGACATTGGCTTTTCCAATGCTAGTCTGAAGACCATTACGCTTGCATTCTATACCATGTGCAAGTCTTCATCACTTGCATTCGTCTTGCTTTTTGCGTTTCTCTTCAAGCTGGAAAGGCTTCGTGCAAGCCTGGTGCTTGTCATTGCAATCATCACTGCTGGCGTTGTTCTCATGGTAGCGCACGAGACTCGCTTTGTTCTAGAAGGTTTCTTGCTTGTCATGACAGCTAGCTGTCTGGGCGGTCTACGCTGGGCTCTGACACAAATTCTGCTCAAGGAGAACCCATCTACTGCCAATCCATTCTCTTCCATCTACCATCTGGCGCCCATCATGTTTACGTCGCTTTTCATGATTGCAATGATCCTAGAAGGACCTGTGGCACTCATCAAAGCTGAGCTCTGGCATAGCCGTGGCCTTATGGCAATACCGATTCTACTGTTCCCTAGTATTCTCGCCTTTCTCATGACAGCTTCAGAATTTGGCTTGATTCAACGAACCAGTGTTGTCACACTCTCTGTTGCTGGTATCTTGAAAGAAGTCCTGACTATTGGCGCTTCAGCCGTCATTTATGGCGATGCCCTCACTCTTCTCAACCTTTCTGGTCTGTTTGTTACTATTCTGGGGATTGCGCTCTATAATGTGTTGCGATTCAGAAGCATGCGTAAGAAGGTCAAGCAGGCTGTCTCGGATGAACAAGAAGGTCGTTTGGCAGAGTCAGTACCATTGCGTGGTGATCAGGCAGAAGGTATTGAGACTGTCTACCCGCAACGTTGATCTGATAGCGATTAATCCCGCGCTCGGAGGTGCTGTGGGTCCGAGACTGTCCCGAAGATCGACTACCATCGCAATGCACTGCCTCGAGCGAGTGACGAGTACGTGAAGGATACACGAGACGACGACTACATACCTGGGCACGCAAGACCATGCGATTATACTGCATGCTGTCGCATCCGAGATGATCTGCGGTGCGGGCCCCACAAGCGGCTTCGATTTTTGTCAGACTTCATCCTGACAGCGTTGTCTCTACATGCTTCACGAAAGTAGCCGGCTGTATGGAACGTTATTGCCTGCAATATCTCAGAGAGTCGAGGGTATCTGCTGCTTGTCTGGCCATCAGGTCTTGGTTGTCATTGAATTTCACTTGTGCTTCAAGACACGGCTGAGCCGTAAGATCAATTTCGATAATGATGCGGTGGATCGGTGACGTCGAAATAAGGCTTATGCATCGGCTCGAGTATGGATAGCTATATAGCAATCACTGCCTGCTCACTTGCAGCGTTCTCTCCCTCCTCCTCCTCACTTCACCTAGCAAGTCACCGTCGTATCGACCAGCAGACGCGGGATCGACCATCTGGTAGATTGAATCATGACGCCAAAGCGCCCGCAATGAAATTTGGTTTAGCTAACTACCCGCCAGACACAACCTGCGCCTGAAGCTCAACGTTAATTCAACCTGCCTTGTACTTAGCAGGCCAATAAACACAGCTGTCATTCTTCTTGTTGGCGCATTAGCGATCATTTTGTCACTTTAAAGGCGGCCAAGTTTTGTGCAACATGCAACCGGCCATGACCAATACGACTATTCACGACTTTCTACTCGTCGGCTTCGGGCCAGCAGGCCTCGCCATCGCCGTTGCAGCACATGAGAAGAAGGTTCTATCATTTGTCGCACTTGAGCAGCAAGATGACTTCAAATGGCATCCAGGCATGCTCATCCCCGGCGCATCAATGCAAATTTCATTCCTCAAAGACCTCGCCACCTTGCGAGATCCAAAGTCTGAGTTCACATTTCTGAACTATCTCTTTGAGCAAGGCAGACTTGTTAAATTTCTCAACCTTGATACCTTTTTGCCGCAACGCGAGGAGTATCAGGATTACATGCATTGGGCCGCTAAAAAGATTGATGCGACTGGTGGCGTCAAGTATAATACCAAAGTTAAGGCGATGGAGCAGACACAAGATCCGGCAGTACTCAAGGTGACGGCTTCGACAGCATCAACTACAGATACCTTTTCAGAACAAGTCTACTATGCTCGCAATGTCATCATTTGCACAGGCGGTCAGCCATATCTGCCTGCTCAGTTCCCTCAAGAGCATCCACGCTTGATGCACAGTTCTCAATTCATCAAACGATTGCCTGGTCTTCAAGCTTCCTTGCCAGGCGGTCGGGCGAAACGCGGCTTTTGCGTTATCGGCGCTGGTCAATCGGCCGCTGAGATTTGGACACATCTTACAAAGACCTTCCCAGAAGACTTGGTGGATCTCAAGTTTCGTGCAGGGGCACTCAAACCCTCTGATGACTCTCCCTTTGTCAATGAAATATTTGATCCATCAGTGCGTATTGATAAGTGGTATGGCATGCCTGAGGAGGCGCGCAAGTCACTCATTCAAGAGTCAAAAGCAACAAATTACTCTGTCGTTCGATTACACTTGCTCGAGGAGATGTACAAGCACCTTTACATGCAAGAGTTGCCAGGCCATCAGAAGATACATCGACTTTCGCCTAATACTGTCATTGAGCGTATTGAGCCTGCCGGTAAAGGCGACGATGCCTGTATCGAGATTGCCACACGAGACTCGCTGACTGGCGAAAAGCGTGTCGATCAATACGACTATGTATTTGCAGCGACTGGCTACCAACGTACTTTCCACAAGCAGGTCTTGCGCAACTTTAGCGATGTCACCTGGAATGAAAATGCAGATCGACCCGTGGTTGACCGGCGGTATCGCGTTGTACGGCGAGATGAGAATGCGGCGGGTATTTACTTACAAGGTCTGTGTGAGGCCTCACACGGGCTTAGCGATACCCTGCTATCCGTCCTATCTACGCGCGGCATGGAAGTCGTTGAAGACATTGGCGAGCGGATGGGCGTCATGCAAAGCAATGGTAAAGTTGCATCAGCAGACTTGACCAGATCTGTTGAAGGGGTGTCAGACTCTGACTATGGGTCCGAGAGAGCGCCTACGCCAGACTCGGCATACTAGATGGCCGTGCTAGGCTGCTAGCCTTTCATGACCCCTTATCACAACTGACGACTACCTGTTGAGTATGTTTTCTTCCTGCAGGCGCACCACGAATCTGTAAGCTGGACTGACATGCAATTGTACGATAGCCGTCAAGCTTGCGCTCTTCTTGGAAATACTTAGCAATACTTTCTAGTCCTATTCGCAGAATCTGGACACAAAGTCTCAGCTTGAAACCTGTTTCAATTGCTCACCTTTCTAGGCCATAAGTAAAGATCGTAGAGTAAATTGCAGCTTCTGGAGCAAGTCCGAAAATGCTCCTGAGGAAGCAGCTTGTATGATTGACTACGGTGCAACTTCGCATATGACTCTAATGAACGACATGAATGACCGACTTTTCTGACAAGAAAGCCGGCACCATGATCAAGACTGGCAGCGGTTGGTTGCAGTGTGGAGACTTCGGGACGGTAACTTTTGCTATCCCAGACAAGGCCGATTTGACCTGCAAAAACGTCCTCTATGTACCCAAACTAGAGGAGAATCTCGTGTCAGTCGATGCTTTTGAAGAGTCAGGCCACGGTGTATGGTTCCATCGCGATACCGGTACCCAAATTTTCAAAGAAGGTCAGATTGTCGCAACAGGCAAACGAGTTGGCAAAGCAAGCATCTTGGTCGGTGCTGCTATCGCCCCTTTACCTCAGCGAGTACTCTTCTCTGTCGAGAAGTTTGACAACACTGCCCTCGAATGGCATCGTCGCCTCGGACATATATTGTTGAGGTAAATGAAGACTCTGCACAGCGTTGTCAAAGAATTCCCAAAATTTACGTTCTCCGACCGCCTCGACTGTACTGATTGCTCGCAAGGCAAGGCTGTACATTCTTCTCTCGCTCCCAGCTCGACGATCACGACCGAAAAATCTAGCTCTCCTTCACGTCGGCATTGCTGGACCAATGAAGTCTCTTACCATTGACGGTCCGCGTCCTTTCCTCGTCATTGTCGACGATCAGACCAAGTACGTCTAGACAATCTTTGTCCTAAGCAAAGATTCCACAGCTCTCACTGTCTCCTTATAGACTTGGAAAAGCATTGATTCTCGCATAAGCGGCATCTAAACGGCATTAAGACTGTTCACTCCGCCAATGGAATTGAGTTCTAAAGTCTTGCCACGCACTTCAAAGACTGGCATTGTGCATTAGTTCTTTGGCAAACCTTTGACAACGCTGTGAAAAAGAGTCTTATTTCCAAAGACATCTGCGCGAACTGGGCTCGAAGGGGATTGACGGAGGTACGTTGGAAGCTGAGACGTCAGCACGAGGTACGAGGCAGAGCTGGTCGAGTCTACTTCAGAGACACTAGACAACAAGACTGTTAGGTGGTAGCAATTCTACCTGTGTACGAAGTTGGTGAAATTGGTGCTGTTCGGTGGCCACGGCCTGGATGGCTTCTTCGGGGGTCATACCCACAGGGATGACTAGTTCGGATGACATGAGCTGTACGGGTGTTGTTGTCTGGTGTTGTAGACTCTGGTATAGATTCACCAAAGTGTAACGACTGGGCTCGAAGGGGATTGACGGAGGTACGTTGGAAGCTGAGACGTCAGCAAGAGGTACGAGGCAGAGCTGGTCGAGTCTACTTCGGAGGCACTAGACAACAACACCCGTACAACTCATGTCATCCGAACCAGTCATCCCTGTGGGTATGACCCCCGAAGAAGCCATCCAGGCCGCGGTGTCATATGTGCAATGAGTCGTCGAGCTCTGGTCAAGGGGCGATAGCGGCCCCGTCGAGGATGCTAGCTTTGTCAACGCGCATGCCCATGGCGACGATCTGGGCGTCTTTGGAAATTTGGGTGCCGGTATCGCGATGGAACTACACGCCGTGGCCGGTCTCCTCGAAAGAACCGACTAATAAAAGATTCTGCTCTAGTATTGGGATAGAGAGGACGTTTTTGCATGTCAAACCGGCGTTGTCTGGCATAGCAGAGCAACCGTCCCGGAGCCACCGCATTGCAACCACCCGCTGCCAAAATTGACCATGGTACCGGCTTCCTTAACAGAGAAGCCGGTCATCATGTCATTTATTGGAGTCATGTGCGAAGTAGCACCGTAGTCAATGGTCAAAGCTTTCTCAGAAGCATTTTCGGACTCGTTGCAACGCAAGCGTGGTCTTCCACGAGACTTGGTGATCTCTCGCGGTGCTGCATAGGCGCTTGGGCCCTAGCCTCCATAGCACCGCCTTCCTGCTTGCAGGATTACAGCATGTGGCCGACTGACCCGCAATGGATGGTGATATTTGAGGTCTCCTGTTGTTGCGGTTGTTGCGCTTCCCGGCAGACGATCAGATGGCACGGAAGGTTTGTTACGGAGCAGTTTAGCGTACCGGGTTTGGGCCCTTGACACTTTTGGTATCGTTGTTCATGGCAACCATGATACTCTTGATGGTATCAAGCAAGCATTGACTTCATCCAACTGTTTTAGTACCTACGTCACAAGGTAATCCGCCACAACAGGTGATGCGACAAATATCATCATCAGCACTGTTACGCAGCGTAACCCCAAGACTGCATCGGTCTCTTCGAACTTCCCGTTTATTTAGATCGTCACTTGCGGCGGAGGCATCAGTCAGCCAGATACCGCTTTCCTCGTGCCTGCTCGTGTATCTCATATTACCCCACGGATAGAGGTCATGCAGCCAAACAGGCTTCCTGCTCATCAAATACATTGGTCAAAGTGTTTTCACTAGTCATAGCAAGTTGAGTTCATTCAATGGCCTCGCTGCTTGCCACCTCTCTATGCTTTTTGTCATCTAAAGCGAGTGCCTGATGAAGCGTCTCTCTACCCATCTTGCGAAACGCACTACATTCGCATCGACGTATTTTGCGTGTAACGTTGCAACGACAATCAAGCAAGGCCACAAGATGAGCATGAAGCACAACCAGCCAAGCGATAGTCTCAGCCATCCAGGAAGGAAGTCATCTGGATCAGGCTCTCGTAGCGAGATATCGAATCCAGCGCCCACAGGGCGATCTGGTGCCTCAAACTTCCCAACAAGGAACGTCTTGACAAAGGTTCCTAGACAGTCGTAGAGTTCAATGTGGCAAAGATAGAGACTGAAACTGCATCGACCGGCCCAGCGTACGGCAGGAAGTCTTGTTAGGCGTGCTTGCCATTTAGGACTGTAGGCAAAGCAAACGAGCATGAGAAAGGCGCCGGCTGATTGAGTATACCGAGGGACTCTCTCTTCGGAGAGGATGTGATGGAGCCATTCGTATCCAGGATTCGTGTACCAGTCTTGAACTCTAATTGGAGCACTTGATAGGTATAAAGCCAACGCAAAGACAAGTTTGCCGAGCAGGGACATGCGTCTTGACGAGCGCTGTGGTTTGCTGCTCGCGAAGGGAGGATAATGCATCAACGTAAAATCGGCAAGCAGCATACCGGCCAAGAAGTTGCTCGCCCACCATGATTTGACAAGAAGCGCCCAGATAGAGATGAATGCGATAAAGCTTCGGCGTTTGATGGCATTGGTTGTACGCGCAAGACTGAGGGTGACGACGAAACATACGAGACTTCCGTAGAATTCCAACGGCAAGGTCCACAATACCCATTCATAGCGATGACCAAGGTCTGTCATATCTACGCGATATGCGAAAGGGTTGAGCAAAGAAGTCGTAGATCTGGCCCACTCGAGCAAGTGCCAAAGGACATTGCCATCGTTCGGTTGTGGAAAGTAGGCATCGTGGTTGCGTAATCTGAGCAAGACGAGGATCATGCCGATGAATCCATGAAGCGCCACTGGTAGGTACAGTCGAATGCCGCGACGAAAAGTGGCACTGCTCAAATTGACGAGCACTTTAGCCTGGTGAGCATCCGTTGCTCGCTGAACGTCCTCTTTGGACTTGTTGCTTTCCGCATCTGACTCGAGCAGAAGTCCTTGACTTTGAATGTGACGCAGGCTGCTTTGCGTCAAGACCCATCCACTGGCCATGAAAAAGATGCACACCATGGTTGGTCCTGAACCGACTAGCAGCTTGAATCCTGGTAGACGGAAAAACCCCGAATATGGCGGACGAGTCGCCTCCCCAGTAGGTGACACAAAGTCAAAATTGGGGATTGCCATGTATGCAGCATTGACTTCGACGAAATGGCCATTCCAATGATGAAAGACCACCAAGATTGCTGCAATACCGCGCAAACAATCCAGCCAAGCCGTCGGTCGTAGTTCCTCAGTCGATGTAGTAGGTTGAAACAGGGACTTGAGGCGCGCAAACAGCGTATGGTCGCTCGCGCCGTGTGTCTTTGCGAATGCCATTTGCACGTTGTTACCACCGTCAAAGTCGCGCAGCTCTATTGCAGCATCATCCATCTGGTTCAGCGTCTTGAGATCCACTCGATCCGCATCAGAAGCGTTTTGCATGCAAAATCAACAGAGACTCGGACACTTGTGCTCTATGGCTTAGACTTTGTACGAGGTCGTGGATGTATTTGGTTCGTGGCTGCTGTACAAATTCCCCGAGTGGAGGCGCGTTTAAATTCCGAATCTGAACAAGTACAGTCGAAGTCTTGTCATCCTACAGCTACACCTGCTGCTGCTGCGGCTGCTGCGATTCATGCTGCTGTGCATCACTTCTGAGCTGGGCGACCTCCTCACGCAAGTCTTCAGCTGAAGTTTCCTCGCCACTGCTGCCTCCATCCTGGTCGTCTTCGCCCATTTCACTTGGATGATAGTCTTGATCAGAGCTTCCGCCATCTTCTGCATCGTCTTTTGCATTGTCCTCCTCATCTTCATCATCAGAAAAGGCAAAAGCAGGCACAGGCGGCCGCCAGAATGTAAAATCTGTATAGTCGCTCTCTTCCTTGACACTTGTGCTCTTGACCGGCGGGAAGAAGTGATCCACAAGATCATTCATGCTGATATAGGAGACCTTGTAGCCAGCAAATTGAAGAAGCTCCATCTGTACATCTCCATAAGAGTTGATTGTGAAGATGCGAGACGACCGAACATCCACATAACGATATGAAATAGCATCCGTGATCCGATTACCGAAGCCTGCGTGGAAAGGCTTGTTTTCCTTACCAAAGAGATTTTGCAAATCTCGCAGACACTGCATCTTGAAGACTTCGGGTTTGCGTAAAATCACTTCTCGCCGCAGCGCTGCCATGAGTCGATCAGGCGATAGAATGACGGGACCATGAGGAAGCTTGTACTTGTCCTGCACAATAGACCGTAGGTAATTTCTCGTTGTGTCTGCTTGGCCAACAGACCTGGAAGACAAGTAAAGCCAATGATAGCCATTGTTAGCGATATCTGTGTACAGCTTGGCAACGCCAGGGTGAGTCCAGTCGCGGCCTACCATGTTGAGCAGATGACCTAGCGCATCAGACTTGGTGATGGTGCCATCAATGTCTGAAATGACAATGGGCGTGTCAAACTTCCAAAAGAAGAGAGATGCCGTGCAGACACTCTTGCCTACCTTGAAGGACATGCTGTTCTCTCCGTCTTTCAGCTTGAGACCTCTGAGCTGATCGGATGTCAACCGCAGTGTCTTGGCATAATTGGGCGAATCCGACTTTTCATTCTGGTTTGCAAAAGGCGATGGATCACTCGTGACTTTGTGCAGAGTCGGCATCTTGGGGCCCTCTTGATCTTCTGGGACTGGCGAGTTGGAACGAATGCTCTGTGCGTACTGCTTGGTCTCTTCTGTTGCGTAGATCCACAAGTTGCCTCGCTCATCCGCTGACACAAGTGACTTGCCTTCTGATGTCAACTCTTCACCTGCAATAATGTGGTCAGATATACTCCCCATTTGAGTAAAATCATCGTCGTGACTCTTGTAGCCATGCATGTCAAGCATAATATCACCTGCATCTGTCACATGCGTCGGTATATCCTCAAGAGCCAACTTTTTGAGCAACTCCTCAGCCTTCTGGATGGCATTTTGTGTACTCATGCTCAAATCGCTCCGCAGCTTGATATCCGCCAGAGTCCCCGCGGGATATGTTTTGAGCATTTCAAGACCAGCATTTGGATCTGACGCATTGACTGTATGCCGCCGACTCTTGCCAATTGGTTCAGAAATTGCTGGGGAATCGGGCCGCGCACTCAAATCAAAAGCTCCCCAATCGCCGGAGCGTGGTCTTCTGTCTGGCTCTGAAGTAGGTGTGATCGGACGCTCCAAGTGACGCTCATTGAGGTTCCCAAGCTCGAGTGGCGCATCACTGGCCCCCGCACTACTCGCCCGTATGTGCTGCTGTTGTTGCTCGTTCAGTTCAAAGAATTCAGGCTCCGGCAAGGGCGACGATGACCGTCCCGTGGGACTCGCAACAGGACTCACGAGAGGCGACGTTTGTAAATCCTCCGGAACATCACTGTCTGTTTGAAAGACGAAAAAGGCCTCGCCGCCATCACCCAATTTCATGCCATACTCCACTTTCTCTTCGTTGATGCGAAATTCCACCTTCTTCTCGCTTGGCCTCAGCAGCTGGAACTTGCCAAAGCGTACGTGAAAGGGCGAACATGCAAGATCACCATCCTGTTGTTCCACGACAATCACATCGATGGCGCCAGAGACTGTAGCGTTAGTGGGGGAATTGGGTATCGGTGATTGACTCACGTGTCGCCGGGTTGATGGAATTCCAGGTCTTTGAGACGGAGCCTATGGCTCGTCCAACGAGATTCATGACAGACCCGCTGCACGAGCTCAGTAACAAGCAACTGCAGATGGAGTTACGTAGCTAGCGGCAGCAGTAGAAGTGGATTGCAGTTGGTGTGTCATGATCATGTGATTCGGCCCACCCGCCAAGACTGCAACATCCAGCGACTCTCTACCACCACAACTTACAACAGCTTAGGCGTTGCTCTGTATCAGCTGCAGTCTCACAAGACAGGCAATAGTGATGCCCGCCAGTGTCGCAAATATCTATGCTCATTGCTCGACCAGCTATCTAACCTCTCCAAGATACAACCGCAAAGCCTGCTAGTCGCAAGACATAAGAAAGTGGATACATGCTCAAGCAAACGCATGCTTCAGACCAAGCTGGTGAGGTCTACTTGCTGCAAGAGTGGTAGAGACCAAGCTGGGTGCTCACTGCGTTCTTGATTGCAAACAGGACTCTATGGACCTACAATGTGCTCGACAGGAAGTAGTGGGAGTTGTCCCTTAATGACAGCGTTTGCAAAGATGTCTTGGAAACGTGTCTGTTTGACGTCACAACTGTGCAACTCTTGGGCTACATCGTTTCTCCATCCAGCATCACCATGGACCCTGCCAAAGTCGCAACTATCACCTCCTGGTTGCAGTTGAAATCAATCCACGATGTTCAAGGCTTCTGTGGCTTTGCCAACTACTGTTGCAGTTTCATGCGCAGTTACAGCAAAAATCACAAAGCTCTCGTACCAATTGCCCGAGGCTAACGACACCGAATTCGTCTGGTCGGAAGAAGCGGACAATGCTTTCGAATTGAAATTCTTGTTCACGACCGCCTGGATTTCGATACACTTTGGTTCGACTTGTTCAGCTCATACCACCTTCACATTCACATGTGCACTCAGCTCAAGTCCGGCATTTGGTCGCTGTCTTCGATGCACCAGTCTGGCTCTAGAAAGCTCGGATCAGGTCGAGTGGAATAGTAGATCAAGCCATTCGTGTCGAACTTTCATGGGCAAGAAGTAGACGAGCCTGAATTTTTGGGACCTTTCTTGGAAGCTGCGCTTCTTCAGCTCTTGGAATTTGCAAAGTCTGTCTGTCCAGTACAAGCCGTCGCGGAGGCTGATCACCTCATATGCGCCTCCCTCCAGTGACAACTGACAAGAGCTGGGCTTGCCTGCCACCTGCACAGACACCGCACCGCTCGAGAACCTAAATTGGAAAGAACTGCGTTGACTGCGTATTGATATTGAACTGAATAAATATTGCTTCAGCGAACATCTTGGGTACCGATGGGCGAAATTTGCGGGCCCCTCTCAAACGCAAAATCGAGTAGTACTCGCTACGGTGACCACTGGCTACTGACTAGGCCAACCTCGTTTCCCGCATTGGACCCGCAATGGCCGCGTGGCCCACACAGATCATCTTGATGACCGAGTGCGAAATCACCGTACACTGCAGTTCTAGAGATCGTGTGGCCAGGTAGGCCCTGCCACTTAGGCTACAAACTTGGCACAAAGCCTACAATTCACGAAGCAACTCCTGCGACTCTGCGAATCTGCATGCTCCGTTCAGATCTCCCGCCATCATATTGTGTGAGGCCGACTTGTGAGGTGTGATTCATAAGTCGTGCGTCGTGCATCGCGACAGGCCGTCGAATCTACTCACTGCCACTCATGCCGCGCTAGTTGATCCGCAGATCTAGATTAGCTAGAGGCACAGCTCATTGCCTTGGCAGCCACGATCCATGATTGATATTGTACGTAGGTAACGGTAGGTTACACTGCTATCTGAGTAGTTGGTCAACGCCACAGTCTCTTTCAGCCCCAGAACCCATTTTGATCTCCTCCTACACGCGCTCCAGCTGCAGATCCGATTGTGTCTACGCAGTAGAGACTTATTCCTCGAGAGACCCTGAGTCAAGACTCGAGACTCGAGGGTCGGGGAGACTCGAGGGTCGAGATTCGAGAGTACCGAGTCTGCCCAACCAACAACAGGCCACTGCATCCTGCAGCGGCACTGCTAGTCTGCTACAGCGGCGTAACAGCGCGAGCTTGCTGTGCCTGAGCCTCAGGTTCTGACTTCTGAGGCTCTGTCACTCTGAGCAGTGAGCGCTGTCCGAAGTTCGGAGTGAGTCTCCGAGAAGCGATCGGATCGCCAGCATGTCCGATCAACTTGATCGTCTACCCGGCTGCAGGCACAGTGCGGTTAGATCTGTATCGGTTCGATCCGTCCGATTTGGCCTAGCTAGTCACAGTCTTGCAGACTTGCAGTTGCAGTCTTGCAGAGCACTAGTCCCGGTCGCGGTTCTTACGATCGTAATGCAAACGACCATTCGACGACACGCGCGTCAAGATTAAGCGGCCCGTCTGCTTTTGATGTGGGGTCTTGTGGGATGGATACTGACCAAACCCGCATGGCAAATTTGGGCAAATCCAAGTTTCAGGCTGCAGCCGGCAGACTTGGAAGTTGGAACCGAGTCAAACGACGCGAGGAAGTCGGGTATCGGTGCTCCGATCGCAAAGGCTGGACCTGGGCTGGGCATTGGGCAGCCTGGGCCTCGAGTCAGGCCTTCGACAGGCGACAGCGCCGCGACACTCTCATACTCACCCACTTGCTTTCAGATTCATTGAGATCATCTCTGCAGTCAGCTGGACATCCTGGGCGCTGATTTCTCCGTTATACTTGTTTCCACAGAGTCTCACTTCAATTCCCAGCTGCTTGCTCTGTCTCGGCAACAACTGAGCTGATTCTCAGCTCAAAGCTTGCTTAAGGTCAAACGCGCGCTGAGACTGTACACAACGACCCCGCGGCCGAGGCCCGCGTGCCTTGTACTCCTGAGTCTCCCCATACGCTCCTGCTGATCCATTATGTCCTTGTCTGAGGTCTCCTATAGCTAGTCGCTTTGCTGCACATGCTGGAGCTGCAAACGCCGATCTGTTTCGGGCTTCATGACCAGATGCGATTCTGTAACCTGCTCAGTTGTCTTGGCACCGATAGATGTCGACAACTCGTCGCGCAAAAGCTCGCAACCTCGCCAAAAACGCACTGAAGACAGCTCCCTGACTTCTGCCATACATGGCAAATTGGCAATGCTAAATATTTATCGTCAGATCGTGACTCTGGGGAAGCAAATTACGCCATGGTCTGCGGTTCCCCCTGAACATTCTCGGGGTGCAAAAGCTTGGCAAGCTAGCCAAACAACGCAAAACGGCGTTTAAAAGATGTCGTTTGTTTGTCGCTTCGCTCGCCCTCGTGTCCCCCTGGAATCATATCTGGCGTCTGACTCGAAGAGAAAGGGTATAAGGAGCTCCTTCTCCAGCGGCAAGGCTTCCTCTCCAACACTAGCAAGACAGACACCACAATCATGGCCGATGTCAAGCCAGGACCTTTTCAGCGCTCGCTTGGAGCTAGCGCTATCGGTACACCACCTCAGATCTTTAACTCTGTGCTCTTTCTTGGCACAACGATTTTTGGCATTCTCGGAGCTGCTCGTGGGTTTGACGAGGGCAATATCTCTGGCATGTTGGCATCTCCCGCTTTCCAAGCACTCTTTGGTCTCAAGAAAGACGCCACGCATACCGCCCAGCAAGTAGCTGATGTCAAGGGCAACATCTCTGGCATGGTGCAAATATGCTCTATAGGTGGTGCTCTCATTGCTTTCACAATCACAGACAGGATTGGTCGTGTGTGGGCTCTTCGTCAGCTCTGTGTCCTTTGGATTGGCGGTGTCTTGCTACAAATCTTTGCACAAAACATTGGCATGCTATATGCCGGCCGCGCCCTCGCTGGCCTTGGTATTGGTCAAACGACTGTGGTGGGCCCCACTTACCTCGTTGAAGTCGCCCCTCGTCAAATCCGTGGTCTTTGTTCCGGCATATTCTCTGGCTCAGTCTACCTTGGCATTATGCTTGCCTACTTTGCCAACTATGGGTCGGCTCTTCATCAAGTGGGTCGTATTCGGTGGCAGATCCCAATTTCCCTCCAAGCTGCATTCGCCGGTATGGCATTGGTGCTTTCAATTTTTGCCATCGAGTCGCCTCGTTTTCTCATCATGAAAGGTAAGCACGAACAAGCCGCCAAGAACCTGTCAAAGCTGCGCGGCCTCCCGATCGAGCACGAGTATATGCAGTCAGAGCTTGTCACTGTGACTGATGCTCTTGAGAAGGAGCGTGCCATCATGTCAGGACGCACTCTTACCGGTCGCATCTTTGAGATTGTAGGCACGCACTCCAACCGTTTCCGTTTGTTTGGCATTGGAATCATGATTCAGCTCTTGGGTCAGTGGTCCGGCGCAAATTCAATCACCGTCTACGCGCCTGAGTACTTTTCTCTTCTTGGCATTCACGGCACGGAGACTGGGCTGTTGGCGACTGCAGTCTTTGGCGTCGTCAAGCTCCTTTCCTCTCTCAGCTGTGCCTTTTTCCTCATTGACAGAATCGGTCGAAAGCGCTCGCTGTACATTGGAGTTGGTCTCCAAGCCATCTCAATGCTGTACATCGCAGCCTTCCTTACTGCGGCTCCAGAAATATCCTCACCGGAGGTGACAAACCACAGTGCTGCCGTGCGACATGCCAGCGTATTTGGCATCATGATGATCTACGTCAACGGCTTTGGCTGGGCCATGGGTTACAATTCAATCCAATACCTCATCAACTCAGAGTTTGCAAGCCCACTACACATAAACAATGCTAACCAGCGATTAGAATCTTTCCTCTTCACCTACGTTCACTATCTGCGTCGATCATCATGGCCGTTCACTTTGCCAACCAATATGGAAACTCAAAATCAGTGCCCACCATGCTTTTACCTAGGTCAGAGGGCGGCATTGGACCAGCTGGAACAATGTGGTTCTTCGTCGTCATTTGCGCCCTCGGTCTCATCTACATCTTCTTCTTCTTGCCAGAAACTGGTGGCTACACTCTTGAGGAGATGGAGGACATCTTCAACTTTCCCTGGTGGCAGATTGGACGCAGGTCAATAAGCCTACGTCGTTCTGGAGATTCGCGTCGGTCTTCAGGCGGAGAGGAGTCGGTTGACTGCGAAAAGTCTGGAGGTCAGCATATTGAGACAAAGTCTACATGCAGCAATGATGCATATGTGACGAAGTAATACATGAGCCATCGAATTGGAGCTGTCTTGCTGTTCTACGATCAACAAGCTTACTTAAATTGATTAGCAAGCATTCCGCGTTACTCTTGATGAAAGCTTGGGATCAAATCGGTGTCATCTGAACATCTCGCTAGACTCGGCCCCTGCCCACAGGTTGACGACGGCGAAGAGCCAAGGCACTACACGATCTACACCAAGTCTGCAACTCTGCGATGTGTCCCTGAACAGTCCGCGACCATTGAACAGCAGCACAGTGCATTCACTGTATTGAGTGACTGCGGTTCAGTGCCTCTTGTGCCTCACACTAGATCAGTCTAGATGACACCTATTATGACGAGTCTATCGTCGGAGTCTTGCCCTCCGTAAGCACCCGCCCTACCGATCGTGGCTTGGCCTTGACTCCAGGGCTTTCTTCGGCTGTGACCTTGAGACCGTGTGAGCATTGTGAAGTCGGGAGAGCAGCCGGCTGCCACTGCCTACCAGCAGGCTGGCAGCAGCGCGTACAACAGTTATTACAAGCCTACAACTACTCTCATAGGCTGCTGCGGCCATCTTTTACGGTTCTACCATTCTGCAACTTAGCGAATGATGCTGCCATTGTACTGCATTGAATGCAATGATGCGCTGAACCCATTCATATGTAGTGACGGTTGCAGTCCGTACGTCGTATAGGAATAGTCTCATATATGCTTCCAATCTACGGATATGTCGCGGTGTGCCCGCATCTTTAGGTGGCCAATCAACAAGCTTGAGCTCTATAGAAGGCTGGCAATTGGTGTTCCCAGCTTCCCGTGATTTCCTGAGGCCCACGATTTCATGAGCCTTCGAAGGTGAAGGTTGGACTTGAACAAATTGAGCCTCGCTTGCACTGTCCTCGTCGCTGCGAGCTGCATCCCAAAGTGGAAATTGTTGTGCTGACCAGCCGCTGTAGAGATGAAAGGAGCGCGGGATGGGCTGGCCGCTGTCAGAATCGTAGATCAGCCGTATTCAGATGCCACAGCCCAAGACTCACGATCTAGTACTATGCACCCTGACGACTTGTACCAAGCTACTGACGGCATCACGCCGAGTGAGAAGGCTTCTGAATACAAGAAAAGGACGCTTGTTCCTGTCACAGTGTGCAGTGTGCACCTGAATCTTCAAGCGTGTGCGGTGTGCCGCGGCGAGTGCGCATCGATCTCGTAAATTGTACGTCGTATCTATAATCTAGCTGAGTCATGACCACGATACAATAGCCCGCGCTCCAGAGTGGCAGAGATCGTGTTCAGCTACGCTGAGCGGCTACGCCTACTCAACTTTGCCTGATTGGCAACTAGAGTTGGCGGATGGCCGGCTTTGGGCCCCTTAATACAGGAATTAGCAAACCCGACATGATCCAGGATCACCCAACGCTCCAACAACTCAGACTGAATGAAGCGCACTTGACCATCGTCGTAAAGGCGTATACGTACCACGGTACCACATGCTGCCATTTGTGTTCGGTGTGCAGCATGCTCGTCACTTGACTCTGTCCGTCGATCGTCGTATGTCTGCTTGCAGCAGTGCATCTAGAGTCTGACCCCGGTGTGACCCGCTTGTCTCTGGCCCTGTCAGCAGGCTAATAGTTTGAGGCTGTGCCAGCAGAAAAGCAGCTGCTCTGCAAAGATTTCCCTGCTCGCTTGTCGTCGACTCACGCATCCCTCTGACTTTTGGTCTTCGGATTCAAATGCCGGCCGCTCGAAGTCCAAACGCAGCGCCCCCAGTGCCCCCCACCTGCAAAATGTGAGGCAGCCTAATTAATTCCTCCACATCTGCGTATTTTGGCGGCGCAACCATGAACTTGCTGCTATACTCGTGTCGGGCGACCTGCAAGGACGCGAAAGGCCCAGTGCCAGGACGACTCCGGGGTCTCATCCCCAGTTTTCTTCACCCGCATCACTCCGGGACTGAGTATGCGCAGCAGTTTGTTCGTCTCTATATAAAGAGGACCACGTCCGCACCTCGGCTAGGTCCTCATCCAGCAGATCTACCAGGCTTTTCCCCTGCCTAGATCCATTGCTTCTTCACCTCACAAGATAAACATCATGAGCGACGTCAAGCCAGGACCTTTCCAGCGCTCGCTCGGTGCCAGCGCTGTCGGCACACCACCTCAGATCTTCAACTTTGTTCTATTCCTTGGAACAATGATCTTTGGTATCCTTGGAGCTGCCCGTGGTTTCGACGAGGGTAACGTGTCTGGCATGTTGGCATCGCCCAACTTCAAGTCCCTCTTCGGCTTGGACCCAAAGAAGAACTCTGCCCAGGAGATCGCCGATACCAAGGGTAACATTGCCGGTATGGTGCAGCTCTGCTCCATCGGTGGTGCCTTCATTGCCTTTGCCATTACAGACAGAATTGGCCGTGTATGGGCTCTTCGTCAGCTCTGTGTCCTCTGGATTGGTGGTGTCATGCTCCAGATCTTTGCACAAAACCTTGGTATGCTTTACGCTGGTCGTGCCCTCGCTGGTCTCGGTATTGGTCAGACCACCGTCGTGGGTCCTACTTACCTCGTCGAAGTCGCCCCTCGTCAAATCCGTGGTCTTTGTTCTGGTATGTTCTCTGGCTCAGTCTACCTCGGTATCATGCTTGCCTACTTTGCCAACTACGGATCTTCACTCTACCAGACTGGCCGCGTCCGTTGGCAAATTCCAATTACTCTCCAGGTCATGTTTGCTGGTATGGCTCTCGTCCTCTCCATCTTCGCCATTGAGTCTCCCCGTTTCCTCATCATGAAGGGCAAGCACGAGCAGGCCGCCAAGAACCTGTCAAAGCTCCGTGGCCTGCCAATCGAGCACGAGTTCATGCAATCTGAAATCGCAACCATCACTGAGGCCCTTGAGAAGGAGCGTGCCATCATGTCTGGACGTACCCTCAGTGGTCGCATCTTCGAGATTGTCGGCACCCACTCCAACCGTTTCCGTTTGATTGGTGTTGGTATCATGATTCAGCTCTTGGGTCAATGGTCCGGTGCAAACTCCATCACTATCTACGCTCCAGAGTACTTTGCCCTTCTCGGTATCCGCGGAACTGAGACCAAGCTCCTCGCAACTGCAGTCTTTGGTATTGTCAAGCTCGTTTCCTCTTTGGTCTGTGCCTTCTTCCTCATTGACCGCATTGGCCGTAAGCGATCGCTCTACATCGGTGTCGGTCTCCAGACTCTCTCTATGCTCTACATTGCCGCATTCCTCACTGCAGCACCGGAAATCTCAGACGAGTCATCCATCAGCTCTTCACACAGCGCAACCGTCAAGAACGCCAGTGTTGTGGGTGTCATTTGCATTTACATCAACGGTTTCGGTTGGGCCATGGGTTACAACTCTATCCAGTACCTCATCAACACTGAGATCTTCCCTCTCCACCTTCGTTCGCTTTCGGCATCTATCATCATGGCTGTTCACTTTGCCAACCAGTACGGAAACTCAAAGTCCGTTCCTGCTATGCTTTTGCCCACTTCTGAGGGCGGTGCCGGCCCAGCTGGAACCATGTGGTTCTTCGTCGTCATCTGCACACTTGGTCTCGTTTACATCTTCTTCTTCCTCCCAGAGACCGGTGGTTACACACTCGAGGAGATGGAGGACATCTTCAACTTCCCTTGGTGGCAGATTGGCCGGAAGTCAAAGAACATGAGGAAGACTGGCGACTTGCCACGCTCTACTGGCGACAACGAGTCTGTTGTTGTCGACTACGAAAAGTCTGAAGGCCAGCACGTCGAGACAATGTCAGTGCACAGCAATGACAAGGCCAGGCGTTAATGCATCTTTCTTTCTTAGCCACCTTCTTGGCAGCTTCTCTGCCCTTATTAGCCTTTCTATACATTAGATGTCAACTATTTACTTGAACTATCGCTAGACCCTTTGACCTGCGACCTGACTCTTTGGGATGATGTGAAGCCATTTTGCTATGTCTGACTCGCGGTACAGGCTGAGTACGGTACGCATAGATCTTGAGAGTTCTGCAAGGACTCGAGGAGTGCTTCGCTTAGGCAGGTGGTGCCTGTCAATCCTCAAGACTAGCCGGCGCCATCATTTTCGCATATTCCCCTGACGTGCCATCTCGTAGACTTTTCACGCGCCTGGTCACCCGGACCTCTAGGTGTCAAAGTCAACTGCAACGACCAGAATTAATGTCGTGCCCATGTTGCAGGAAGGCGGTTGCAAACCGATTTAATCTGGAGCCAAGACAGCGCATGAGTCTTGTCAAAACGTGCAACCACTTGTACTGTGCTACTCCTTGGAGGTATGACGAGCAGGCTTCATCCATGCCGAGTCGTACGATTGCACAAACGACCCCTCAGGACCACACGGGGATCGACCATACATCGCAGAGACTAATTCAACGAAGCGACTGCTAGCAAATCCTTCCAGTCCAATAAACATGTGGCCTATGTCTTCATGTCGAGACGGACTCTACAAGTGGCACATACCAAGCCATTCTTCCAATTGGCAGATCTGCGATAAGCAGTCTGACCAACCATGGAGCCCGGAAAATGTTGCGCAGTAAGATATTATGTTGAAGCATGATGCAAAGCTGAGTGTCACGAGCATCGCCATTGCGCCAAAAGGTGGAAAAGTGGGTCCAGCTAGCGGTAGAAGCTTCGAGGCATGTGCATCTCACCTGAGACGATACCAACATGCTTGCGTCAAGTAAGACAAGCTCAATGAACTCTAGGAGATGCCCAGTGGGGCAGAAGTACTTTGCGAGAACATGGCAAGAAGCAAGACTGTTTTGTTTTCCTCGATTGCGATCGTCGATTGCAAGCGTTGTGGGTGTGAGATCAGATGGTACACACAGAGCCACTGCGACAAGTAATATTGGCATGGGACGATCAAGACTGCTGTCGTATTCAGGCCGCCTTTAAAAGAATCAAGGGTGACCATCACTCATAAAGGATGCATGGCACGAACAGCACGATGTCTTTCAAGATGCTTGTTGTTTACCAACCGATGATAGCGTCGTGCTGCCTGCACCTCGCGACAAACCAACATTTCAACCACTGTCGCCACATCCCGTTGAGCCAAGGGTACAAGGGTACAAGGCATCGTGTTTGCAAGTAGCTACAGTCTCATGGAAGCACATGTCTATAATAGGCAGCAAGGTACATGGCCTCAAACCGCAATCTGCTTCACACTGTGCGGACGTGGTGACTGTCTTCTCTTTCTTTCATACGCACGCACTGGGTGGGTGTCTTTCTTGAAAGTGTAGCGAGAAAGTATGAAGCTGTACGGTATGCCGGCACCTCACCCCCGAATGGACAAGATATTTTTGCCTTTGACCTCAGCATTCGATTTTGGATCCAGCAACTCTGTGAGCGTGATCACGGACCCTTCTTCTGGTCAGTCGTCTTGGAGCGAAATCTCTCAGTCTTGGACAATACCGTCAAGCTGGCAATGCTTGCGGGAGGTTGCTTCTCAAGGGTCATCACTAACGATGGTCAAGAGCATACAGTCTTGACGCAACAGGGTAAGTCATACGTTACTATAGACACGCTCACAATACAGAGAAGTCGTACCGCCAAATCATCCCGTGGCTGCAGTCGCTTTAGCGCTTGAAGGAACTCCCGACCTTGATTTTCTTGCCCGTTGCGTCCGTTTTCAAATCAACGACGACGAACAAGGCTCTTCCTTCCATTTCGGTATTCACAAAGACGTTTACTTAGAAGGCGAAGCTTACATTGCCATTGCGAAACGCTTCTTGATACAAACGCGTGAAGAGACGCACTGCTACGACCACATAGTTCAGCGTGGCATCGCAACACCCATTTATGTGTCTGAATACCGGTATGCTGTCATGCACGTTGATATGCCACCTGGCTCGCGTAATGGTTCGTGTCTTGTGACAGCAGTGGAAGGGTATACCTACTTTGTTCTGGCTGATACAGGTCGCATCATTGGTGATACGGAATTCGGTATCCCTGACTTTTGGCAATCCGTTTTGGCGTGTGATGGGCGTGGTCTTGCTGTGGATCTTTCAATGATGGTTGAACGTAGTACAATGCCGTGCTGGGCACTGTGGGATGAGTAAGGCGTGGTGCATCCCGGGCAGGAAAGTGGACTCGTGTCTGTGGTGCATGGCAGTGGTACGATCAAGCCCGTGTGTGAAGATCTGCAGCTGTCTAATGCAGCATAGGTAGGGTCTGTTGAAACTTGAAGCTTTCCAGTCAAAGCAACATCGCTCAATCCTGGCGAAGGGCATTCCTGCTCTCGTCTGATGAATCAGCAACATTGAGTTCAGTCCATATCTTGAAAGACTCCCTTTGCTTTGCAATTGCAACTGGATTGTCGACTGATTGGTCTTGGTGCGCTCGCAGACTCAGGGCTCTGGCTTCTTCGGCCTGCAAATCTGGTCAACTAGGCCTAGACCTGAACATCTGAGCTGCAATAGCCTTCAAAGGCTTAGTACGAACGCAAATGGCCCTTGAGTCGCTTTTGATCAGTCATGGTCACATACCATTTAAAATTGCTACAAATATTTGCCTCATGCCGCGTAGGCTCACGGAAGAACCACTCATAGCAGGCGAATTGCCGAAAGGTATGCGCTTGCAATTGCAATCGAAAAACAGAATTGACTTATCTTGGCTAGCACATGGCAAGCATACAGGCGCAGGCCCCTGCCTTCCAAAAAATGTCACTTATGAAGAAGCTTCTGAAAGCAGCCTAGGAATCAGCTTTCAAGAGCTGCAGCGTTGTGCTCCAAGGACTATTCACTGTTAGCTCAATTGGAATGTGATGTCGATTCCGAGAAGCTTTGAAATAAGTTGCTCTCCCTACGCAGACATGCTCACCAATTGGACCCCCTGAGACAGGGAGGTTGCCAAAAATATGCATTTGGCAATTTTGAAAGACTGATCACGGCTAGACAGATATTGGGTGAACAATTCCGCGTGTATTTGTCATGCTGATGGACAATTGCTATAAAAGCAGAGGAGTCCCTCTATAACAACTTCCACTGCAGGCAACGACAGCGACCTGACGATTGCTCAGGTCACTGCGCCAAACTGTACGTACATCTCCCTGAATCTTCTCCTAAAGGACTTATACTGATACACAGCAAAGGACCCAAATGTGTTCCGCCAACGATTCCTCATCGCAACTTAAACGCCACGCTTGGCTCTTGAGCTTTTTGTTGGTCTTCGTTCTTGATCCCAGCATGAGCCACAAGGCTGCAGGAACAGGCGTTTGACCTTGTTGGTTGGAACTGAAGGCTGGAGCGAGCTATAAGAACCCTTCAGGAGGGTGTCCCTTACTGCGAAAATGTGGCCTCAAGTTTCCGCCAAACTTAGACTGTATGCCGGTTGATATGGCCGGAACACAGTGCAGCGATATGAACTGGTTCACAATACAAAGCTTGGAGCGGAAAGGGGGCAGTTATTCTTGTCGCCTGAGTAAGATTGAGAACAAGGCCCCACCTGACTATTATGAATTTCTAGTGGCCGCCCATTGTCATGCAAAACCTTCAGCCGGGCAATCGGTTCTCGATCTTGGTGGTCCGCCATATGCGAAATTGTTCTGGGATTTCGTTAAAAAGAAAGCCATACCCTTCAACTGGACGACTGATGAACTCACGGGCAGGCACACGATCGTATATGGTAGTTGCGATGAGTCTGATTAGTGTCACGGGCTAGTCTGCTCACTCTCTGAACAACCGCAAAACCCAATGGGTTTTGATCGCACTACACCGCGTTCTCCGTGCGTAGCTTCTTTAGTACGTCTTCGACATTTATCAGCACCACTTTGCTCAACAATAACGTCTTGATTTGGCCTCCGAGCTCCGAAAGTCTCCTCTGTCCTTCTCTCCTTTTGATTATTTCGGTATATATGGCCAGGCAGCTATGGACATCAAGGGGCAATAGCCCATCCTACTCTCCTTGGTCCGCAGTTCGACTATTTGCATCTGCCTCTCTCTTGTCGGACACAATGCGTTACAAATTCTGAGAGTGTACTATTGCCTTAGAATACATTGTGCGAAGGGCTAGAAAAGCAACACAGCGATTCCACTACTGCAGCTGCGGAGGTCTAGGCAAGACTAGAACATAGGCAATAGAAATAGAGCAAACAGTAGATGATAGGCTTGCTTATAGCTGGCTTGCTTATAGCCCTTTCCGGAGAGATCGACAAAGTGGGCGAGAGAGTACACAGGTGGCTCCACTGAAAGAGCTGCTCCAGCAACAGGATACGCCATGATAGCATGACTTGTGCATTTGCCTGTTCAGGCCGATGATACGCATGAGCGTTGGCCTTCTTCTGTTCACATTGAAGGATACCTGGATCATGTCAATTCAAAACAATTTCGTCAAGTGCGCTTGCTGATTGTCCATCAGGTCGTAGCGCTTGCGCGTTTGCCTATTGAACCTGCAAGGGATACGATCATAACTCTTTTCTTTTTGACTTCCCGAACACGGTCGTTGCAGCTCTTCAAACGCGATTTTCAGACTGTTTCCAGGAGTCAGTGCCCATCAGGAGACACCTTCTGTACTGTAAGGCCTCAGGTTCCTTACGTCGCTCCTCCTTCACTTTCACCGCTCAAGCAGCTATACGTATGTAGTAGGCGTGAATAATGAGATGTGGAAGAAATTAAGGAATGAAAAGGGAAGAAGAAAGTATATAAAGGAGTCGCCAGCACAGCAAGTCCGGGAGCATGTTGTTAGACTGGTCAGGAGAATGCTGAAGCTGTGACTGCTATTTGTAGAGTCAGGGGTGTCCTTGATAAAAGGGACCTGCTGGCATATTCTAGGAATCAAGTTTGTTAGATATAAATGAGCTTCGAGATTCTGCGGGATTCGAAGATGGGTTCAGGAGGTGTCTCCTGACGAGCACTGACTCCTGGGCGAGGCCTTGGATTCGGGGTTTAAAGAGCTGCAGCGGTGTCCTCTAGGGACTAGTCACTTTTGGCTCAACGGGAATGCGAGGTGAACTCCGAATAGGTCTGATAGGTTATGAGCCTTGCGCTGGCGTTGCGCAGTGATGGCAGAACACGAACTTACGGGAAAGGTTTCGAAGCACAGTATCACCGCACAAGGAGGTTGCAGGATAGCTGTTGCGGGAATTCGAAGCTGGGTGAAGTGTTAGATATAAATGAGCTTCGAGATTCTGCGGGATTCGAAGATGGGTTCAGGAGGTGTCTCCTGACGAGCACTGACTCCTGGGCGAGGCCTTGGATTCGGGGTTTAAAGAGCTGCAGCGGTGTCCTCTAGGGACTAGTCACTTTTGGCTCAACGGGAATGCGAGGTGAACTCCGAATAGGTCTGATAAAGTTGCCATCTCCTATATACCTGACTGTAACGAACACGCAGCCTTAAACCTCGCATCCGACTTTCCCGCACCACATGCTCTAGCAACTCATCGCGGCTCTTCTACCTTCCGCCCTTCAACGACGCTTATCACCTCAGCACGTTGCCTATCGTCTCGCGCCTAGCTTCCTCGCTTCCGGCAACGCTCTGTCACGTTGTCCTTACTCGCTCTCTTACTCGTCGACGACGTCTACCACGTCGTCCCTTGTTCTGTCTCTTCCTTATCCTGCAGCTCGGACATCTCCACTGGGCTCATGCAATCTCGCTTCCCCTCTTCTTTCACTGTTCTCCTGCTGAGAGTCGGCTCCCGTGGGCTCCATCCCCATCATCGCCATCCGCTCTCATGCTCGTACCTGGTAGACATAAGTAGGCAGCCTTCCGCTGTCTTGTTCCTTAGTTTACAATTTCTATTCTTGTCCCCTACATCTCGCCCAAGTCCTGTCTTCAGCACAAGCATTCGTCCTGTCCTGTTCGCCCTTCGTCACATTGACACATGTGCCATGCCATCTGATCGGCGAGCCAGCCGAGCCGTTGTGAGGCCGCAGCTCACCTTGCGGCCTCACATGTACCCAATCTCGAATTTCGCAGACTTATGAAGCTTATTCTCATCTGACAGATTTTTCATTGATGGATGAGCGTAGTGCGTTGCTGTACTAAGCGATGTGGGATGACCAAGGTGTGGTGCACGTTGAGCTTGAGAATGGGCAAGTGTTGGTGGTGTATAGCAAGGAGGCGACTGAGCTTGAACGGTCTCATGCTGCATTGGTAGGGCCTATTGATACTTTCAATTACAGGATCATTCAGTCTTTCGAGGGGTATTCCTGCTCTAGTATGACGAACTTGAAGCATTGAGTACAGCTAGCAACTTGGAAGATCGCCTTTGCCTTTGACTTATAATTGCAAGTAGAATGTTCAACTTATAAATCGGGATGCGCTCGCAGTGTCGCAAATATCAGTCGATCGGCTTCTCTGGTCTGCAGATCTGGCCTGGAAGGCCTAGGACTGCGTGTATCTTCAAAGGCTTCGCGCAATTGCAAACATGACTCCGAGTGGCTGTTTGTTCAGCGCCGCTTGTTTACTCGATACGAAGTATGTGCACACCAATCGTCCCTACGAAAAATTTACCGGAGTGTACCAGAGCCAACCGGTGGATAACCGTGAGAAAGTTCCAAGCACAGCGGATTACTGGAGCCAACCGACTTCCAAACTTGACCACCGGAGGAAATCCAGCGGATATGAAGAGGCGGATCACTCAGCCACGCTAAAAGGCAGACAACACGCAAGGCAATCACTGTTATCAAGTAAACAGAGGCCAACATCCGCTCATCATCAAATCTAGAAGCTATTTATACTGGATTTGATAGCCCTCAGCTACCCATAAAGAGTGCTTCTGCCCTCGTAAGCGCCATTTTCGCTTGAGCAGCTTGCCTGCTGCTCTTTTTTTATCGAGCCCTTTTCTCTCATATTGGCCAGTTGATTCAAGAAGACGGCAAACTAGCACAATGGCCTGCAATATGTGTCCTTGTTTGCTGAGAGACCTTGCGCCGCACGACAACTTGGTCTTCAAGACCTTGATGCCTGCTATCGTATTCAAACAGATAGAAAACTTCCCATAGCTCACTATTGCATGGTCGTCAACCTCGGGCGTTCCATGCGTCTGCTCACTGAACGCGACCATGCTTCGTGAATGGAGGTCATTCGCAGCGCACTTCACAACGAAGATCTTTGTGGTGCTCTGAAGACGAGCAAATTGGCATCTTGGTCACGATCACAAGTTGGCGTCTATAGGCTGAAATCTGGAAGAGTGCAGCGCTAGTGTCACGCACTGACCTCGTCGCACTGTGGTCTCGTCTTCATCCGGCTACTCAGCCTCGTCTGTCTCACTCGGGCTCCCAGCGCTCCTATCTTTCCGCTATCACGATGGCACCTGCAAGCTCTCAGCGCTACCTCACGTTCCGACGTATCCCTTCCTATTGGTTCTCCATGCCGCATGGCTTCTCTGTCGCATGGTTCGTGCTCAGACACGTTTCGCTCGCTAGCATCACTCGGTCTTCGCCAAGACCTTCATCGGCAACTGCCAGTGTTCTTTTCAGGGTCTTTGCCATCGCCCACTTCTATCTCGTCTGTTCAGTTGCTTTAGGCTGGCAGTGTATAAAAGGAGCGCTTCTCGCACCTTTGTAGCATTGTCAGCAACATCAGTTTACATTCAATACTATCTTCTGTTTGCAAGTCTCTGTTGCCAAAACCACACTCCTACTACGCTCCCTGTCTCCAACGGTACGCCTTGCCTCGTCTAGTCGTGATCGTTACAGTTTGCTGACCATACGGCAGGTTTTACCAGAGACATCATTTCAAACATGTCCAACATTCCAACACCCGAAGACTTCTTCAACTTGCATCAGCAAGTCAGTGGCCTCATCACCGAGATGCAGCGCCTTGGAGAAGCCAATGCTCAGCTTCGAGCAACGGTCGAGTCTCAGGCCGCTAGCCTGGAGTTTCAGCGCCAGGCCACGGCCGAAGCACCCTCAGCCCACGTCAATCGACACCTTGGTAAGGTTCACCCAGACCCAAAGTCATTCGATGGGTCTAGTGACGCCGTGCCCGTACGAGACTTTATTGACTCTTGTGGTTTGAAGCTCTCCGCCGAGCGAGAGCGCCTCGTCACGGAAGCCGAGCGTATCTCTTACGTTGGTGGGCTTCTCACTGGTGCTGCCCTCAAGTGGCGTCGCTCGTTTGTCGTGGCCGATCCACACAACCCCGGCTTGACGCGCCTCACTTTCAACACTGTCAAGGAGCTGTTTGACTCCTTGGACACTGCCTTTTCTCGAGGTGACGAGAATGTCGAAGCTCGCAACGAGCTCAAGAAGTTGCAGCAAGGAAAGACGTCCGCATCCCGTCATGTGGCTGCGTTCCGCGCCATCACCGCGCCTCTGGATCTGACAGATGAGACCAAGGTCTTCGAACTTCGTCGCACCTTGAATCCAACTTTACGTTCGATCCTTTCCTTGTCCAACCCATCAAAGAAGGACTTTACCCAGTTCTGCGAAAAGGTGGTTCAGTGTGACGAAAACTTGCTCGAGAACGCCCAGGATGAGGGGTTGGACCATTATCTCTCAGGACGCAACCCAATATCCTCTGTCGTCCGCTCCACCGCTCCTCGCGCCTTTGGAGAAGTTGTCATCAAGACTGCGCCTGTTGCCACCACCACTCAAGGAGGCGACCGAATGGACCTTTCTGCAACCACAACTCGCGCACCCCTCACCGATGCCGAGCGTCAGCGTCGACGAGATTTGGACTTATGCAGATACTGTGCTAGCCCTGATCACAAGGTGCATGACTGCAACGAACGCCCAAAAGGCCAGGGCAATCGGAAGTAGTCCCGACTATCCTCTCTTCCATCACTCTGTGCGCAACGACGGAAAGCAAGCTCCTCCCTTCGGGCTTGTCTCCTCTCCTCACTCTCGCCCTTGCGTCTCCTCATCGCATGCTCGCTGTCACCATCTCCTCGGGGTCTCGCTCTTCGGACAGTTTTGCTATGCTTGACTGCGGCGCAACCAGCAACTTCATCGATTCCCGTTTCGTCGAACGCTTGCAATTGCCCACTTCGCCGCTGCCATACTCGGTCAAACTCGAAACGATCGACGGTGGTTCACTCTCAGATGTGGAGCTCATGACTTCCCCTCTCAACCTCCGGGTAGGAAGTCATACTGAGCTCTTGTCCTTTGCTGTCACGGATTTGGGTCGCTACGACGCTGTTCTCGGGTTGCCATGGCTGGAGCGCCATGATCCCCAGATCACGTGGTCAACAGCCGACCTCAAATTCCCTGACACATGCGCTTCACATTGCGACGGCTCGCTGCACACTCACACGGGGACTCCGCCAAGTGACGCTCGCCTTCTCACAGTCGCGGACGTCCACATTGTTGCACCGGGGTCTTTCAAACGTCTTGCCCGCGATCATGACGTTCTCTACCTGGATTTCACGGATTTGCTTGGCGCACGGCCAGAGCTCGTCGAAGGTCTTGCGGAAATCGATGTCGAGCCAAGTCCAACTGCTCTCGAGCCTGCACAAGCGTCGATTCCCGCAAAATACCATGACTTCCTCTCAATTTTCTCAAAGGTGGAAGCTTCTCGACTCCCATCGCGTACCAAGCATGACCACAAGATACCCCTGGTTCCCGACTCTTCGCCGCCATGGAATGCTTTGTACGCGATGAGCTCTGCCGAGCTGCAGGTCTTGAAAGACTACCTCGACGAACAACTTGCCCTCGGCAATATCTCTGTGTCCGAAAGCCCCGCTGGCGCCTCGGCTCTGTTTGTCAAGAAGAAGGATGGGTCTTTACGTCTATGCATCGACTATCGCGGCCTCAATCGCATCACTGTCAAGAATCGTGCGCCGCTGCCACTCATATCGGAAACCTTGGATCGTCTTCACGGGGCGAAGGTCTTCACGAAGCTCGACTTGCGCGGCGCGTACAATCTATTGCGCATTGCAAACGGAGATGAGTGGAAAACCGCTTTCCGCACGCGTTACGGCCACTTCCAGTACAATGTCATGCCGTTTGGATTGACCAACGCACCAGCCTCGTTCCAGACCATGATGAACGATGTCTTGCTCCCTTTTCTCGACATTTCAGTGGTGTGTTATTTGGACGACATTCTGGTCTTCTCTGAATCCCAAGCAGCTCACGACGTGCATGTCCGAGAGGTTCTGCAAGTGCTTCGAGAACACTCCTTGTACGTCAAGCCAGAGAAATGCGTCTTTGACAGCGACACAGTCGAGTTTTTGGGATATGTCGTCAGTTCCAAGGGTATCAGCATGGACAAATCAAAGGTATCGGCCATTCTCGATTGGCCAGCTCCACGATCAGTTCACGATGTTCAGGTGTTCAATGGATTCGCCAATTTCTATCGGCGCTTCATCGAGGGATACAGCAAGATTGCCAAGCCGTTGTACGACCTTTTGAAGAAAGATACGGGACCCTTTGTTTGGACTGAAGAGGCTGCCGCGTCGTTTGGACTTTTGAAAAAACGCTTCACCACGGCCCCAATCTTGATCCACTTCAACCCGGATAAGGAGATCTTCATCGAAACCGATGCTTCTGACTTTGCTCTGGGCTGCATTCTCTCTCAACATGGTTCCGACTCGCTCCTTCACCCTGTTGCCTTCTTCAGCCGCACGTTCGCGCCAGCTGAAATCAATTACCAAATCTATGACAAGGAGATGTTGGCCATTGTGGAAGCTTTTCGCGTGTGGCGACAGTATCTTGAGGGCTCTGCTCACACTATCACGGTATGGACAGATCATCGCAACCTTGAGTACTTCAACACTACGCGAGTACTCAATCGTCGCCAGGCACGCTGGGCCGAGACTCTTGCGGACTACAACTTCACCATCGTCTACCGCCCGGGCGCTCAGCAAGGCCGGCCCGATGCTCTCTCGCGTCGTGAGGATCTCCGCACTCCAGGGGGGATACTCCTGGCTCTGCCAACTTGCGCGCACTTCTTCGTCCCGGACAGCTTGTCTTGAGTGCTACGCAGAATTCCATCTCTGCTCTCGCTTCTTCCCTCAAAGAGCAAATTATGGCTGCCTACACTACGGATGACGCTGTGCAAGAGCTCTTGGCCGCACTCTCCTCAGAAGCTCCGGCCTCCTCTGCTCCCGCGCGCAACTTGGACAACTTCGAGCTACATGACGGCCTCTTGCTTCACGACTGCCGAGTTTACGTCCCCGACAGTGTGGATCTGAAGTTGTCTCTATTGCGCCAGCACCACGACAGCCCCGTCTCGGGTCATTGGGGAGCATTGAAGACTTTCGAGCTCCTTGCTCGTTGTTTCTACTGGCCAGGTATGCGCGCGTATGTCAAACGGTACGTCGCTTCTTGTGACACCTGTGCTCGCAACAAAGTGGTTCGACACAAGCCTTATGGTGAGCTGCAGCCGATGCCTATCGCTGATGGTCCTTGGTCCTCGATATCTCTGGATTTCATCGTCAAGCTGCCGCCTTCCAATGGTTTCGACTCCATCCTAGTTGTCGTTGATCGGTTCACCAAGATGGCTCACTTCGTGCCCTACCACGAGTCTACCAGCGCGGACGGGTTTGCACAGTTGTTCCTGGATCGGATCTTCGCCTTGCACGGCATGCCTGTTTCCATCGTCTCCGATCGTGGCTCGGTATTCACATCCAAATTCTGGCGAGCGTTCCTCAGTCACTTTGACCCCAAGTCAAGGCTCTGTTGTCAACTGCCTACCACCCAGAGACTGATGGGCAGACCGAGCGCGTCAACGCTATCTTTGGAACAATACCTCCGATGCTACTCCAACCATGCACAAGACGACTGGGTGTCTCTACTCCCGACGGCCGAGTTTTCCTACAACAACGCCCATCAAGAGTCCATCAAGACCTCGCCCTTCTTCGCTGCATACGGTTATCATCCACGTTTTGGCTTACACTTTGGCCACGGCTCTGACACTCGCAATGTTGGCAGTCTCGATATGACCCAACGGCTGCGGGATATTCACGCCGAGCTCAAGCTACACTTGCAAGAGGCTCAGGAGTTGCAGAAGCATCACGCTGACACTCACCGCCTTCCGCAGCCCAACTTCCAAATTGGCCAACGAGTGTTGCTGAGCAGCAAGCACATCCGGTCCGATCGGCCTTCTTCCAAGTTGGATGCTCTTCGTCGTGGGCCTTACCTGATCACCAAGTCTTACGACGACCGCGCCTTTGCCCTTCGACTTGACCCTGGCACCAAGATCTTCAACGTCTTCCACCCCAAACTACTTGAGCCTTACCATGAAGCCACCGGCGACGTTGCTGGTCCTGGTCGTGTTCAGCTGCCACCTCCACCCTTGGTTGTCGGCCAGCATCTTGAGTACGTTGTGGAACGAGTTGTCGATGTACGCCCTCGGGGTCTTGGCTTCCAGTATCGCATTCATTGGGAAGGTTACGCCGACTCAGAAGATTCCTGGCGGCCTGCTCGTGAGATCTACGACTCTCTTCCAGACTACGTCCGCGAGTTTCATCATGGCCATCCCAACGCTGTGGTTCCACCCTTCGTCCAGCTTCTATGATTCGAGACGAATCCCTCGAGGGGGGATTCTGTCACGCACTGACCTCGTCGCACTGTGGTCTCGTCTTCATCCGGCTACTCAGCCTCGTCTGTCTCACTCGGGCTCCCAGCGCTCCTATCTTTCCGCTATCACGATGGCACCTGCAAGCTCTCAGCGCTACCTCACGTTCCGACGTATCCCTTCCTATTGGTTCTCCATGCCGCATGGCTTCTCTGTCGCATGGTTCGTGCTCAGACACGTTTCGCTCGCTAGCATCACTCGGTCTTCGCCAAGACCTTCATCGGCAACTGCCAGTGTTCTTTTCAGGGTCTTTGCCATCGCCCACTTCTATCTCGTCTGTTCAGTTGCTTTAGGCTGGCAGTGTATAAAAGGAGCGCTTCTCGCACCTTTGTAGCATTGTCAGCAACATCAGTTTACATTCAATACTATCTTCTGTTTGCAAGTCTCTGTTGCCAAAACCACACTCCTACTACGCTCCCTGTCTCCAACGGTACGCCTTGCCTCGTCTAGTCGTGATCGTTACAGCTAGCGAATTTTGATTTTCATCGACTTTGGCGGTTTGCTCCACTCTTGTCTTGTCACTTCAGGACGAGATGGGATGATCAGCGCATGCATCTGCTCTGCACCGTCTTGCTGCTCGTAGACAACACCTCACAGTCCTTGAGCTTACACATTCGAGCCTGTGGCATCTGAAGGTGCTCGATCACTCTTCTCAAGACATGTCGTCCTCTACTCACGTGAGCAGTGCATGCTGCAAGCGCGAGACCTTCGACTGACCTACAAGTAGATAAGAAGAGAAGTCTCCCACAGACAGTCTCGACGAGTACAACAGGCTCGCAGGATCTATGGAGCGTATCGATATACCATAAAGATCCAAGCGCACGTCGCATGGCTTCTCTAGGACCGATAGTCCCTCTACAAAGACACTACGACTCGCAACGGCACTCTGGCCACAAACGCCATTGCGCGACGCCACATGGAACAACATCACGGCACATGCACGTTACTTGATGGAAACACACCAGATTCTGGTTGATGCGCAAGGCAGGACGGTCACATGGCATCACCGCACGTTGAGAAGGTCCAGACGGTCATTCACAAGTTGGAAAAGGCTTTCCCTATCCTGGAACGAGCTCATGGACATTGGATTGCCTTGATTATCTGTCAGACCACGTCAAGGTGGTGAATGAAGCGGTGAGAGTGTCCCTGTACCTTGCAAGCTCTTGACTGACGCGCCCACAAAAGCGCAAAGCGAAAGTCTACAGAGAGAAGACTACTGCTGCTGCTCCCAAGACGATGACCTCAACGACGCGCACGACGTTGTCCATGGGGCGTCGTCTGCTCGCGTCGATGACGAGAACATTCGCTGCGAGATACCCGCTTCCGTCCCCTTTGAAGACGATGATATTGACGAGACTGCATCGAGAGTTGTGGGTTTCTCCTCTTGCCTGCTGTACCTCACTAACATTTTTCAGTTGCAGCCAACTTCTTCTCAGCACAATGTGAGCCTATTATGCGGAGGAAACATTGGCTAACAAGATGTAGCATCAAGCAGACAAGAATGCGCATGTTTCCAAGGCAAGTCCGTCCCATCTTTGATGTTAAAAGACTGACCAGTGGCCAGAAGTCAAGCAAAGATCGATCCACCTCCTCGTCTCGCAAGGTATGCACTTCTGCTACTCCTACCATGACTTACTAACGATGTATTTCTAGTCTTAAAAAAACATCAAAGCTATCACGCAGAGCACAGGACGCTGAGCAGGGCAGCGCTACTATGACCAAGGCCAAGACAGCAGCATCACAAGCACAAAAGGCGCGCAAGTCTGCCAAGAAGGCCAAGAAAACGGCAGCACGTCTGTAGTGTGTCGTAGATGGTCTAGTTGCTACACCTACTGTCGCTACAGCATCTATTGAGCTACCCGTTGGCAGGTGGTATCCTCTGGTAATCCTCCGGTTGACTCTGGTAAAGGCGTGCTTATTTCCGCCGGTAGTTGCCGGTAGTCTGCCGGTAGTCTGCTGGTATTACTGCGCCTGCGAAGTTAGGGATTTTCCGCCGGTATTCCGCCGGTATTCTTCTGGTAATTTCCGCCGGTAATCTGCCGGTCCAAATTTTCCGTAGGGCGTAAGAGCACAATGACCTCGTGGCGTATACACATGGGCATCGATTGCGAAAAACAAACATGTATTTTCACTCGTATCTTCACTCGTAGCTGTCTCGGGGTCATGTCTTTTGGTCAGACCGCATATGTTTGGGCTGTAGCTATTGAACAAACATAGCAAGTATCTTTGCTACCCGACTGGTTTACTGCAGCTGCAGCTTCAGTTAATGTGAACTGAGCTTGACCGACGCGCAAAAAGTGAAAAAGTTCAGCGTATCTATTTGGCAAGAGGCAGCTACCTGCCAGTCGAGCCCTGTCTGGATATGGGTTATGCGAATGCTATTGACTACAAATGCACATTTGACTCAACTGTAGCTGCTAGGAACAAATATTCGTTCGTTCATACGAGACGCCAAATACAGCTGGTAGGTTTCGGACAAATAGCGTTGGAGCCATGTGTGATATTTGGTTTGAAATTGCCACAAAGACAAATATTTGCTTCGTCCTCGCAGACTTTCGCAGACGCTCCAAAACAAAGAACCAATCGCAGCAGCTGCAGCAAAGTTGTGTTTGTCAAAAGATACGAGCCTTCGATATCAGGAGCAAAGTCCAGGAATGTTCAGCTGTGCACCTCGCTTTCTAAACGACTCGCTAAAATCTCATTAAGGGATAGATAACTTATTTCGGCTAAAAGTTCATCCATGCAAACAATAGTTCATCAAATATTTCCACATTGGATAAACACCTCCGCGTGCATTTGCCATGCGGACGGCTAACTGCATGATGGACAGATCATATCAAACCAATTTGCACATTTCTCGCAATATGCTCTCAGCTCTTGAACACAGACTTCGTATGTTGCAAAATAATCATGTCGCTAATGATTCTGGGCCAGGCCGAAGCAAATGTCTCGTATCAACCACGAGCGGAAATATTATTCTCCTTCGACTTGAAATTGCAATCAATATTTGTGCTTCCCCCTTTCCGGTGTAAGTAACAAATAGCCCAGCATTTGCAATTTTAAATGTGAATTCTCGGCTAACATCTCCGATCAACAAAGTCTGCACGCGACTTTCCGCAACTTCCGTCTCGCAACATTATAAAAGCAGGCGACTCGGCGAGTCCCTCCATATCGACGTTTACGGAAGACATCGACAGCGACCAAAAAATCCCCCAGGTCACTGCTTTATACTACACGTACATATCCCTGGACTCAGTCATCAAAGACTTATACTGATACACAGCGAAGTTACTCAAATGTCTCCTGCAGAAGGTTCTTCATCGCGACTCAAGCGCCACGCTGGGCTCCTAAGCCTAATCTCGGTCTTCGTTCTTGATCCCAGCGTGAGTCACATGGCTGCAGGTACAGGCGTTCAACCTTGTTAGTTGGAATTGAAAACTGGAGCGGACTATCAGAAAACCCCACAAGCCTGCAACTTAGTGCGAGTCTGCGGCAAAACGCTTCCGGAAAACTGTAAGCCGGTTGATATGATCGGAACAAAATGCATCGATCAGAACTGGTTCGCAATTCAAACCTGGCAGAAAAGTGGGAGCTACGATGACTGCTCCGAGAAGCTAATCAGGAACAGGGCTCCACCTGAAGGGCTTGAATCTTTAGTGGCTGGTTATTGCCCGTCGAAGGGCAATCGGTTTCCGATCGTGG